CAATCCAGGATAGGTGCCAAAGTTTGGAGAGGATAAGAGAGTTGATGATGGTGGCTCGGCCCAGGACGGAGAGGGATCGGGAAGAGTGTATGGTTATGGCTGATTGTATCTTCTTCAGAGTCTTGTCCCAGAAGTCTTTTTCCTGATCGCGGTTGAAAAAGATAGGGAATCCAAGGTAGATCAAAGCATCGGCGGAGTTGTAGTCATGCCATCGCACGTCCAAATGTTCCAGGTGGGTCTGCAATTCTTTGGAGTAAGAGGGGGCCATAGGAAAGGCCACAGTTTTGGACAGGTTGACTTTGGCATTGGATGCGCGGCCATAGGTCCGTAGGGTATCCTCCAATGCTGACCATTCGGTTGTGGAGGAGATGAGAGTCATGAGGTCGTCTGCATAGGCGCTGAGCTTGATGGGATCCGTGCGACCAGGGATTTCAATACCGTGAATAGCCGGGGATCGTTCGATAGAGGCAAGCAACGGTTCAAAGGCTAAGTTGAAGAGGAGGGGAGATAGTGGGTCACCCTGGCGAAGTCCTCTTGATTGTGGGAAGGTGTCTGACACAAAGCCGTTGATATTGAGTGCAATCCTGGTAGAGAAGAAAAGTTGAATAATCGACTCCGTAAGGCATGATGGAAATCCAAGTCGTTTCAAGACCTGTTGAAGATAGGTAGGATGCACACGGTCGTATGCTTTTTCCTGATCCAGTAGTACGCCAATATGTCTTGTCCTTCTTGCATTGCAGTAATCTCGGAGTGTTGAGAGCACTAAGCCATTGTCTGCTATATGTCGTCCTGCCGTGAATCCTGTTTGGTGCGATTCTGTCAGCTTGGTCATGTACGGTTGAATCCGTAGGGTAAGGATTTTGGTGAAGAGTTTGGTATCCGAGTTAATGAGTGAAAGAGGTCTCCAGTTTGCCAGTTTTGTCGCATCGCCCTTCTTGAAGAGGAGGATCATCACTGTCTCTTGCCAGGATGTGGGGAAAGAGGCAAGTGTCAACGCATCGTTGATAATTGCGGTGAATAGTTCCTTGATCCAGGGTATGAGGAGGATGTATCGATAGAGCTCAAAGGGTAAGCCGTCCTTGCCTGGGGCCTTATTAAGGGGCGTCCTGCTCACAACGTGGTCTAACTCATCGGATGTGATAGTCCCTTCGAGTCTGGCGCGATCCTGGTCAGATAGGGTTGCATGTGGGGGGATGGCATCCAGTAGTCGGTTAGTTGCATTCTGGTCGGAGGGGTCGCGGGAGTATAGGCGCGAGTAAAAGTCTGTTGCTACTTCCAGACGTTCATTGGTTGAGGTTGTCAAGGCATTGGTGGCAGGGTTGTGTAGGTGTGGGACGAGTCGTTTTTTGTTGCGTTGAGAGATGGCTCGGAAGAAGTAGGCGGTGTTGCCTTCTCCTTTTTCACGCCATAAGGTTCCCGACCGGAGGGCATAGGCATCCAGTTCTTCCGATGTATGTTGTTGAAGAGATGTTTCCAAAGCTTCCAGATCCTGAATGATTGCGTCCTTAGTTACACCGGTTGCAAGGGGGAGCTGGGCTAGTTTGTTTTGGCGTTGTATGTTGAGGTCTCTTAGGGCGGATTGTCGATCCTGTTTCCTTTTGATGGAGGCTGAGATGCAGAAACGTTTGATTTCCATCTTGACCCTGTCCCAGTGTTGGATCTTGCTTTGGTGAGGACGGGGTAAGGAGAAGGTCGCCAGGTGGTCGGTGAGATTCTTGATAAAGTCGCAGTTGTTGAGGAGCTGGGTATTCATTCGCCATATCCCTCGACCTGTCATGGGGGCGGAGGCGGGGGAGAGTGTCAGTAGTAGCATGTCGTGATCCGAGAAAGGAGATGCGCAGAGTTGCTCAGATTTAGATACCTGTGAGAGGAATTGGATAGAGGAGAAAATGTAATCAATGGTATGGCGGACTTTGTTTCCTGCAGGGGTGCAGGTGGGCTTGGGGTTGGTATGAAGTGGGGTGATGCAGTCTACAAGATGAGTATCAACCCAGTCCTGAAACAGGGGATGAGGACGAGGGTGAGTGTAATGTATGTAGTTAAGATCGCCTAAAAGAAAGGCCTTTGGGGGAGGGGAGAGAAAGAAAGGGAGGGAGAGACAGTTCAGCATGAATAGCCTTCGTGCTGTCCTGTTGGCTGGGGCATACATAACACAGAATGTGGCCATAAAAGAAGAAGATGAAGAGGTGACGGTGGTAATAATAATCCTTCCTTGTTCTGCGTAAGAGGTGTTAGAGAAGGAGAGGTCAGGATTGCGAAGAAGGAGTGCACAGTGGGGGGACCAAACAGAGCTGTGAGTGTTGAGATATTGGTTGTAATTGATCTGATCAGCAGTGGTTGGCGATGTTGGTAGGTTGATTTCCTGAAGGGCCATTATGTCAAAATCCGTTTGTCGAAGCCAGGTGAAGAAATGAGGTGGACCGGTAGCATTGTTGTTTTGAAGGTGCTGCTTACGTAGACCTCGCACGTTCAAGCTTGCGATCCGCATTACTGTGACCGATTGTTTTTAATTGTAGAAGTAGATCTAGTGGCAGGTCTACCTTCTTTGGTGTAGATGTTGTTGGATGTCTTGGTGATGGTCTTAACTGCTGTGGCGACCGCGGTCTTGGCTACGGAGCGTCTTGCCTTGATCCGCGCTGCTATAGAAGCAGCCATAGCATCCTCCATGGGGAGGTCGTTGTTGTCGGAGGAAATGGAGTGTTCAGTATTGTAGGTAGCTCTGTCAAGGTCTCCCAGGTTAGCTCCCTCCAAATTGAAATCCTCATCAAAGACCTCTTCTCCTGTATCCTGAGCCTGATCATGACATTCGGTCATAGTGATGTCATCTTTTGGTGAGTTGGAAGGAGAAACCACTAACTGGGATTGATGGGTCACATTGGTAGTGGTCAAAGCGTGGTGGGTGTTTGAAATTGTATCAGGCGGTACAGAAGCAGAAGCAGAGGAAGTAGTGGAGGAAGGAGAAGAGAAGGAGGTTGAAGAATCAGAAGAAGAGGAATCATGAGAAGAAGAAGAAGAGGAAGCAGAAGAGGAAGAAGAAGAGGAGGAAGTAGAGGAAGTAAAAGCTGAGGAGGATTCAGCGGAAGAGGTGGAAGTGGGTTGCCCTCTCACAGGCATCTTACCTTTCGCCCTCTTAGCATCTCTAGCCGAGAACCTTGAGCAGGTGAAGCTGACGTGGCCATTCGCATTGCACGCACTGCATACGATGGCCAAGCGCTTGGGACAATGGAGAAGGAGGTGCCCGTGTCCCTTGCAATAGTTACAAAAGGGAGAGGCTCCCATCCAACTGATACGGCAAGGAGATTTTTGACGGTTGCCCAAGGAGAGCAAGCGGTCAATCTTGAATTCGTCCGCAGTCTTGTCACTCTTGACATAAACAGCGAACTGGCTGCGAGCCTCGTGGTTGCCGTTGGGGGTAGGGAACAGAGGGATCTCGATCTTGATGACTTTGCCCATTCTCTTGGCGTCCTCAAAGTACCAAGAGCAGAACTGCTCCAGGTGGGTGCCAAAATCAAGGGAAGTCTGGAACTGGTAATCCGTGAAGACGAAACGGGTGATAATGTGAGGAACAGTCGATGAAAAGGGGGCAAACTGCTTGTCGTCGACGGTAATGGGAGTGGTGGAAACAGCTGTAGTGTCCAGAGATTCATGGTACACAATTTCAATGCGATGGTGGACATTGTCAGCGCAGGGGAAGGCCATGTTGCTAAGAATATGGAGAGGTGCTATGTCATCATGGGCTTTGAACAGAGTTGAGTGGGTGGATCTGACTGCATCCGAAAACGCGCCAGAAGAAATAGTTTTGGGGACGATGTATGCAACAGCTCTTGGGTTCACCAGGTCGCCCAGTCGAGCTCCCTTTGGTGCAAGAGCGGCAGCAGCAAGGTGACCCTCTTCGGGGTCGGTAAACACTGAGTGAATGAGAAGTTTATTGTTACTACGGGTTCCAGCTGCCATGGAGGCATAGGAAGGGGATGGTGGGGACCCGATTGAGGGCAGGGGTTGAGAGGGTGGGTCACCATCTCCGTGTTGGTGTTGATGTTGCTGTTGGGTTGGCATTGTGGAAAAGAGTTTTTTGTAACAGCATGTGCTTTCGACGAATCTTAAGGGGTATGACGGCTATGTCAATGATGTCACGTCAACGACTGTGTCGAGTATATTTCACACTCATTCTCTCCCTTTGCCATCACTCTCCTCAACAGAAAAACTCACCACTCCATTTGTATACACAACAAACACGCTCTTTCCATTCACACAAAACAACAAACAAAACAAAAAAAAAAGTTTTCTACCATTATCATTTACTCTTACCATCAAGATGTGCTGCGGACACCGCCATTGTGAAAAATACCATGGCAGACTTGTACGCTGTGTGCAATGTCGACACCAGGCATCGATTTGCAGTGGCGAGGCTACCGGAGGAATAGATATCTGCGGACAGGACACTTGCAGAGAGGACAGTAGCGATTGGGAATATGTTGTCAAGTACGGAGGCTGCTGCGATTGTCTAAGCCGAACGACCTACTTCAAGAACGAGGCATCGCCAACTCGAAATAATTGGCTCTGCCGCCGATGCTACAACAAAAAGCACAATCTTTCCCCCGACCCTTACGCGGACACCGAACTGGGCGAATAACGCTCTTGCACAGATTGATCGCAAATAAATTGATGACAGATTAAGTCTACCACCTAAATGGTCGTTTGTCCTATGTGAGACACGTACTCCATGGAAAAACAATAACTTACAATCCGCGACTTGAAGAAAGTGCCAAGGAGGACAATGACAAATGACCCTGAGCTAGATATTCGTCTTTTGAGTGGAGTGAGGACTTGCTGAGAGCCAGAAAAATAAAGCCCAGAAACAAAAAATCTGAGACCGCGTCAAGGTCATGCTGTGTTCCTGGACGCGTCAATCACCTATTTGACCACTAAACTAAGTTTTATTCTCACAAAAAGCAAAAAAAAAAACGCTACAAACAACTTTGATCCCAACTGGAACTGCATTACTCTGGTCGCTTCCTGACAATTGCCATCGCCGTTGTCACAGAATTTGTCATGGCCATCGCTGCTGCTGCAGTCACCGAATTCACCGTTGGGGAAGCAGGTGTTACCAGTACAGTCTCTGCCTTGATCGTCGTTGTCGTCTTTGTCCCTTCTGTCACCACTGTTGCAGTTGCGTTGGTATCAACAGTCATGGATGATGGCGGTGGCACTGGAGCTGCTGTCAGTTTTACGGCTTGTTTCGTCTGCTTGGGTAGGGTATCGTCCTCATCATCTTCGTCGTCGTGTTCGTCGCTCAAATCCTCATAGCCGTTAACGGAATTCTCACTGTCGTCCGACTCGTCTTTGACCTTGGGTTTGCCATTAATACCGCTGGCCGCCACAGTCTTGCCCTCATCCACATCCATACCTGCCTTCTTCAACTGCGACTCCTCACCCTTTGCCAAGTAGTCAAAAGTATCAGAGCTGAAACTGACTGAGAGTCTACCCGCAGGGCTGACAACGCTTCTTTTTCGGACTCGTTTGTTGTACTGGACTGGGTGGTCCTTGCTGGTCCCGGCCTTGGGTTGGTTGAACTTGTTGGTGTCGCTGTCACCATAATCGCTTCCATCATCATCATCATCGTCTTCACCCTCCTCATCACCGGCATCCTCATTGTCCTCGCCAGGGTTACCAAGGAACGTCCAATCATACTGAATTTTGAACGACAACCACATCGACGCCTCCGGCCTCCCCCTTCTATCATTCTGAATCACACACTGAACCATCATCAACCCCTCTGCCTGGATCCGGTCACCGACTTGAAGGTGAGAGAGTGTCTTAATGTTGTGCTCGTTAGGTTTTGCCTTTACCCCTGGTGCGGGAATGTCAAGGAGGACGGTCTGGCCCATCCAGATACAGGAGGTGCCTTTGCCTTTGTTACTGGAGGGGGAGGATATGGTAGTGGTGAGGTTGCGGGATTTTTGGAGGACGGTTAGGTAGATTGGTGCGGTTGGGATGTATATTAGGTTCATTTGCTGTTGTTTTGTGGCTGGGTGTTAGGGGGATTGGTTTGTTGGAGGGAGGTTGTGTGTGGTGAAAGTGCAAGATAGTAGTTGTGAATGAGTGATGGTTTTTGGAATCGAAAAACTTTTTTTTGATGAGAGAGAAGAGAAGAGTTAGAGTAGGAGGGTGAGTCATGGATTTTTTATGTTCCTCGACAAGCCTGGCGAACACGCTTTTTTCTTACCTTGTGGAATGGAGTTTTTTGTTCTGTGGTTCTTTGTGGGTGAAAAATATTCATTGCAGAAGGATGTGTGACACCAAAAAAAAATCGAGATGCATGAACCACACTGGGCTGTGTCACAAAAAGAGGGGACCACCACATGCACCACAATGGTGCGCAAACACGTTCCAAACCACAAAGAAACAACTCAACTCACTTATGTCGGAACCTCCAACAGACAAATGTGAGAGTGTCACCAAAAGCAGCGGAAGGTGGACGTGCCCCATAATCACCGTATGCGTCGAAAGAGAGATAAGGGAGAGAGGGAGATCATAAAATGCCTCTTATCTTTTCAAGGTGATCAACCTTTGATCGACAAAAAAAAGAGAAGCAAGGTCGTTCATTTCTCTTCGGCGAGGCCAATTTAGCCAAGAAGAAGCAATAGTCAACAAGCATTTGCGTTTTCTATTTTACTGATATGCCCAAGAGGTCTCGTGTCACGAATTGATGGTGATTGTCGCGACTAGGTCACCAGGTGAGGCATACGTACTACAGGGCCATGGTAATTTTTCTCTCTTCTGCATTTTCTTTTTCTCTCAAGTCCCAAGCCCACGCACACTCATCCTCACATCTCCAAGGCAACTCGAACAAATTGGTGTTCATGTCGATATCTCACTCCCTACAACAATAAAGAGTCGTCGTCATCTCAGCTTTAGCAAAAGAAAAACGAGTTGAAGGACCCACACCCATAAAACCTATATGTCACCCTCCCACTGTTCATGTCAAAGCGTATAGCTGTTGAAGAGAGGTTATCGCTGCCGAGCAGATTGAAAAAAGTATAAACAATGAAAGCGGCTAAATCAAACAGACACGACTAAAGCAAATTTCATGTATCGCCTTGAGAATAACGATCGGCTACACTTGCTTTCTTTCTTTTTATATTTCATTTCAGATTGAGTTCTGTGCTATTGAAAAACTGCTAGTTCGAACAGTATTGCCCATGCATCGAACATATGTACATGTTGGTAATTCAGATAATTAAAGAGTGGCAGTGAAGACAGCGACATGATGAACGAAGATCCTCAGAATTTGAACAAAGGAAAGTACTTATCGAGGTACTTGAACTTTTCATCGCGAAAAAATAGCTGCAATCGGCTCGAGAATCCTTATGACCATCGGTCTCGGAAGAAAAATGTACACATATTCCATCATCTGTGTAAATGACCAGTGAAAAAAAAACAGGGGATCCTGAAACCTTGCCAGGCAATCGCCCAATCTGCAAAAAAAAAAAAAAAAAAAAAAAAAAAAAAGGACAAAGAAAACCCACTGTTATGCGTTTCCTATCATCGTTTCAAAAGCATGCGCTACTTGTGAAGAAAACAAACGAGATAAAAAAAAAGGGGGCAACAGCTCTGAAAAAAGAAGGTACATTACCGTCATCATATGTTGCATAAAACGCGTACGCGAAAAATACCTCGATTCGCAAATACACCAAACCAACATTCAAATGCGAGAAATATGAATGTCACCGTGAACTTGGAGAGCTATCGTTTGAATACAAGGAATCCGGGTACACAAGAGCTCTATCACAAGGCGCGAGGCTATGACAACCCCTTATATCGCCTCCACCTCCTTTTGCAGTAAGATAACAGGAAAATGCCGTTGAGGTGCGTGAATATTCATCAAACACTACCTCAGCCTCCTTCGGTATCGTCCCCCCCCCCCCCAAATAAATGAAAAGCAACCGCTAGACCCACACAAAATGACCAGCAAGACAAAAGCGCTCGTTGCTACGGTACAAACCCTCGATCGCCATGTTCGCAGCCAGTTTGATCATAAAATACACACCTTCTAAAGCGATATTACAAGGAGCATCGCTAGTAGCATGATGCTGATTTGAAGCATGCCATTTTGCTCAAGACAAAAAAAAAAGAGATGTTTCTTCGTTCATAATCATCCCCTCGAGGACCCAGCAACAACAAAAAAATCCAAACCGACAGAAAAAAAAACTTTGCGGCACCCGCACCCCCCCCCCCCCCCCCCATCGTCTTTCAGGGTTAACTGCACTTGATGATCTGCACCGATTCTCCCTCCAAAAATAACCAGAGAAAGAAAATATTACTAATGCCTTGCACGTGTGAACACCCAGCGACTCGGAAAGATACCGAAGATGTCCCAATGAAAAAATCGAAAGCGAAATGAGTCGAGGGAGATGAAACAACTTGGCGACAAGCTCAGATCGGCCAGGTGAGAACTAAGAAAAAAAAGCGAGATTGTGTTGTCGGAAAGAAAAAATGAGCGACGCCTCGAAGAACGAAAAAAAAAAATGCGAATAAAAGGAAGAGATCCAACGCCCGAAGGGAATCGAATGCAACCCTCTAGCATCTCCTTTTCCAACTGCCACACCACAAATGAAAGGCGAGAAGGATTAAACACTCATCCAACGACACATAAAAGACTCCAAATCAAAGCACCAGATCCTTGGTCGCCCTCTTTTGTAAAAAAAAAGCCCCCTTTGGACTCAACTGAAATGTAATGCCCCAAGTTGAAGAGATAAAATGATACAATAAACTTCATGGATAAGTTTCAAAATCGCCATGTCGACCACTAAAGGGCATCCCATATCCACCTCAGATACATATTAATACCGAAGTGTCGATAACTATAATCCAAGCAAAATCGTCTTCGCTCTGGCGCATACAAAAGAAAAAAAAATCGACCCATCTCAATTCGGACGATACTTGCAGGTGAAAAAAAACACGGCTACAATGAACATTGAAGGACTAAACTGACATGACGAGCCAGGTTACTGTCTCCCATACAGCCTCCATCCAGTTGACATTTCTGTAGGAACTCATTTACTTGTCATGCCAAGCCAAAATGTGATCATCCGCATACTGTTTTCAACATTTCGCAGCAGGTTGTTTACAGCGCGCTGTACAGAATACGGACATCGGATTGACCACTACAGCTTAACCTGCTAACAAACACACATAGAAAACAAAATGATGGAGATACACGCTCTGTATCAAGTTTATTCCATCGCCGCCCTACCACGCATCCCTTCGGGCTCTCTCTATCAACCTCACTCCTCCTGGGCACATAATAAAACCAATCTACTTAATCAAGGTAGCTTCAACCTCGGCCGCAGTAACGTTCGAAAGTCTTGTAATCAAAGTGTTATAGAACTCAATGCCCTCCAAAAAGATATCCTCATGCATTCTCTCGTCATGGTCGTGGAGCAAGAGGGGCGTGTTCTTGAGGTACGAGACTCCCAATGCGGGGATCCCCACTTCACGCAAGTAGCGCGAATCCGTTGCCGCTATTAAAATTTGATTTCACACACAAAAAGAGGCGTTAACACAAGGACATGGGTAAGGAGGAGAATACGCGCTGAACTTTGAAATAATTAGAGCACAGGTTATGATGGTCCAAATGGCTTACCAGGGAAGATCTCGGTCTCATAGTCGACGTTCATGCCCTTGCAGGCATCGCTGAACACCGTCCACCAGATGTTGGACTCGTCAATCGCCGTCAGCGTGTTGTCAAAGTGTCCATTAACAAACTCCATCGTCACTCTAAGGACCATATAATAAGCAGCAACAAAACATGGTCAGTACTGCTTAGCTTCAATTCCGTCCCCATTATTTCCTGTAGTTCTTTACTCCCGCGATTTTCATGCCCTGTTGCATCTACGGCCAAATAATTACCCGGGCTGGGAGGCGACAAAGCCTTCGATCTTGGCCTGGAACTCCTTCATGTCAAAGAAGGGGCTGACGCGGATATCGAAGCCGCAGGTTGCCTCCATAGGAATAACGTTGTACTGAATACCGCTCTACACACAATCATAGAAGAAGAACACAATAAATCAGTCAGCATGTAACACCATTGACTGCTGTACAGTTCCGCACCCCGTCGATGCAAAGAACAGTGACAAGAACGTACCTGCAAGAAGGTGAGGTTGATGGTAGTAACATCGCCCAAAGTATACCTCTGCCCGTTGTGGTGCAATCCGACCTCAAGCAACTTCTCCTGCTCGTTGCGGAGGTTCATAAACTTCTCGATGACCTTCAACAACTTGGTGGGAGCAGTCTCCTTAATGAACTGTGATCCATGTCCAGTGGGGCCTGTAGCAGTGATTTTGATCCACCAGGGCATGCGCTCGCCATAAAAGACCTTGAGCGCGTCCTTGGGGGATGCGATTCCTTCGTCGAGGGCGAAAGCGACATTAAGGCGCTTGAACTCTTCATGGTGGACCAGCAACTTCATTCCCTCTACACCTCCGACTTCCTCCTCTGTTGTTCGGTTTGTCCCAAGCATAAAGGTAATTAAGGTTAGCGTATGGTAAAAGTATTAGTCCTGAATGAGTAAAAAGTTGTCCGTATTCCGATTTGAGGCGGAAAATGATGTCAAATCACAGTCCAAGTGGACCGTGGAAAAAAAAATCTAAAATGGCGCCGCCTTCCCGTCCATCCATGCCACACTTGCTTCGCATACACGCCGCTCACACACGCAAAAAGATGTTGGGTCCATCCCCATCCCTATTCCTCTCTAACCCTCCAATTGGTTGCCTTTTTGTATCCCGTCCTTCCGTCCTTCCACAGTGGCGTCCATGCATTAGTTCTTCTCGCTCTCCCTCTGTCTTGAAAATTCATCTGACGTCCTGTTCAGTCCTGTCGTTAGCTCCTTTTGCCCAGAAAGTGTTCCGTTGTTGTCTGCTCCTCTGCTTCAGTTCGCTTTCCATGAACCTGTGTGAGGGTAGACCCTTTTGCAACCAAAAAAAAGGGGAATAAAAAGTTCAAAAAGGGCGGAAGTGAGACTTGCCTGGGACCCAGGTGAGGTGGATAGTTCTAAGAGGCTTCTTGCCTTCCTTGCGGTACCGACGAAGCACCTCCAAGTAACTATAAAACATTCGCACAGCAACAAACACACGATGTCAGAAAAGAGCAAAAATGGAACGCAACACCATGCACCTACAAAGCATCTGTCTCATCCTTTCACATTCTCTCAATGCTTGCTCTTTCCGTGGGAAAGAAAGGGGCACCTACCTGATGCCAACACACTTCATGTCCTGGGAACCACGGGCATAAATGAACCCATCGACCTTATTGGCGCCCATTGGGTCCTGAGTCCACATCTCTGGGAAGACAGGGACCACATCTGTGTGGCTGTTCAACAACAAAGATGGGAGGGAAGGGTCCTGGCCCTCGAATGTCATAATCACCGTCGGCTTTCCCTTCACGCACTATATTGTTGTTTGCATGTACAGTATGTACAAGAGAAGAAGGTCGAAGAAGGTGTTAGGACATGCTAGGGATGAATAATAACGTTTTTTTCCTCTTTCTTTGTTTTCTCCGCATCACTGTTTCTTCTCTACATCGCTTGTCGCTCGTTAGATGCCGAACAGAGGTACATTCCATCTCCTCACGCCTACTGAATGACAAAAAGGAAATGTACCTCGACGACACGGTAGGGCATGTCAATCTCCTGAGCCTGGCGGATGAGGAAGGCTGTGGAGCCGGCATAGTCGGGAGTGGGTTGACGAGTGTCGATGCGGAGGTATTCGCGAAACCGGGTCACTGCCGGATGTTCATTCGTGTCTTGTGCGTGTGGCGACATTCTTTGTTATTTGGATAAGGGGGAGGGGGTCTTGTTCAAGAGGGGAGGAGGGGAGGAGTGCTTGTGAGATGAGATGAGAAGAGAAGAGAAAGAAAGAAGAAAGTAGAAAAGGGTAGATAAAATCACGTCAATAATGAGCACTGTCGCAGCAGACAAACAAGGGAAAGATAGGCAGGGCATCGTTTCCGCATTTGGCGCACAAAAGCAAAATAAAACGGGCATTTTACCCTCGGATTCGTTGGGGGACGAGAAGAAAACGGCACCCGTGGGAGATTCATCTGGTATCAGAGATACATACGAAACAACAAACACATCCCTCTAGATATGTTAACTATGAAAAGAGTAAAAGTAGGCCCATTGAAATCGCATCCATGAAGCGTCATTGTAATCCCGACCTGAAGAGAAGAAAGGGTTCACTTCGCCCAGCTTGAGGGCCTTTCGTTTTATTATTGCAAATAGTAAAAAAAAAAAGAAAAAAAAAAAAAAACGTTGTTACTGTACAAGAAAGACACCGCCTAAGCAGGGTACCTTGGGGGACGAGTGACACGACGGACGGGGCGGTTGGCAGGTGTCACCATCTCGTCGACCTTCCCTTTCACTTTCTCCTTCTGGATCAAGGGTGGAACTTCCCTCTTGGACGTTGATGACTTTGCAGTCGAAGAAGAAGGAGCGACCAAAGGCGAATGTGAAGAAGGTGTTATTGAAGTTGAACGAGAATAACCTCTCATGGAGATCAGGGTCACAGAGGCTCTGGTCTGGCGCTTGTTCGGGCTGACCATAGGCATCGGGACCACAACAACAGGCGCAAGATCATTTCGCGAAGGGACAGTGGCCATCTTGTCTGGAACAGAATCAGGGACAGCCTTGGCAGGGACACCGGAAATCGCCTTAGAAGTAGGAGAAGACAGAGACGAGAGAGATCGAGAAGGTGGAGTCGAAGACGGTGGGGTAGGGGTATCCTGGGAAGGGGCAGGGGTATCCTGGGAAAGGGCAGAGGAAAGGGCAGGAGCAGGGGCTCGCTCGGTAGGCAGAAAAATGGAAGCAGGCGCGAGCCTCGCAAGTTTGGCGGCTGGTAATTGCCCGCTGGCGGTGTTGACGGACCCCTTGCGCTTGTTGGAGTGGGGCAGGACCAGCTGCTCACCAGCGGCCGCCTTCTTGAGGAGCTGTGCGATCTGGTTCGCCATCATGGCCTCGGACGCGGTGGTAGGGGTGCCACTGATTTGAGAGTGGTTGACGTAGTTGGACTTCTCCTTGAACCGCGGGTCGCTCTCGGCCATGATCTCGTACCGCTCCCGAAGCTCCTCGGTCACTCCGAACCAGACGTTGATCACTATTTGGGCTACCAACGAAGACGCAAGTTGGGGAGACCTTCTTGCAAGCGCCTCGCGAAACAGGATTAGCGGAGGGGACAATTGAGGATACGCTCGACTACTCTGCTGCTGTTGCTGCTGCTGCTGCTGCAACGCTGTATTCGTATCACTGACTAGTGCCTCTGTCCCGTCGTTGCTGTTAGGTGATTCTGTTTTGATGTTGTTGCTGTTGCTGACACTGTTGTTGTTGTCGGATAATGATGCATTTGAACTGCATGCTGAGGATACATTCGCGTCGTTGGAGATCGGCACATTCGATTTGTTGAGGCTCGCTACCTTGAATGGACGTTGTGCCCTGGGTCGGATCTCTGTGGTAGCCACCGATGTGGGACGCGCCTGACCAATGGGTACATATTGCCTCTGATGACGGTCGCGGCTGCCAGAGGGAGTGGGGCCGGTACCGGTGGCGGGAGTCATGGACGACATCGAGATCAACAGCGCAGCAGCATCCATCTCAGCCATCTCGTTAGCAATTGCCTCCGCTGCCAACTTGAGCGCTCGCTTGCCTGTACCACGCTTGACGGGGGCAAACTTGTAGTCGGGGTACTTGAGAGCATGATCCCTCTTGGCCTGTTCTGCCATTTCATCGTACCGATCCCGAACATCCTGCGGCTCCCTTCTCCATGCCTCACCCAACTTTGCCGACAGCTCTGTGGCAACCAGTCCTGGATATTTTTTGCCATTCTCTGCACGATACAACATGAACGAGTTGGCTGGTCGAGGGATCTTGAATGGTTTGGCAGCGGTCTTTGAGGTCGTAGTCTTCGCCGATTTCGGGTACTCGGCAGTCTCTCCCTGCTGGTCCACGTCCATCCGTTCGTCGTTGTTGTTGACTCTTTTAGAGGCGTTTGAAACGCGCTTTCGAGGCAAGTCGTGAAAGATGACTCTCTGATGCGGGTTGTGCACCGTTGCGGGTGAGGGTGTCGGCGTAAAAGACGATGTTGAGGACGATGGCGACGAGGACGACGAAGTGTGCAACGACGGGGAAAATGCCGGCGTGCGAGGCGAATCAGGCGAGTACGGTGCGCCACGCGACGACTCTGAAGGATAAGAGTGCGCTCGGGAAGAAATCGAGGAACGAGGGTATACCGAGTAAGAAAACGACGACGAGTGTGCATGGTACGGCGCGCGCGTTGCATCCACGCAGCACGATTCACGACACTGCTCTGAGGACGATGAAGAGTAATATCGCCGTGAAGATTCTTCTAATGCTGGTCCTGTTCCTCCTCGTCCTCCTGTTTCTACTGCTGCTCCTCCTCCTCCTTCTGGGGACATGGATCTACGCGGTAGATGGGCCGAGTCCCAACGGTAATATGCTGGTGGTGGCGGCGATTGTTGTCGGGGTGAGGCTGCACCAGACAGGTTTGGGTCTGGGTAAAAGTGCGCTGCGTGGGCCGCTGCAGAGCAATCTATTCGGTCGTGGTCTATTGGAGTGACCAAAGAGGACTCCCTCTCTTCGTAGTTGTAGGTGTCGCGGTAGGTAGAAGGGGACCTGTCCTCTCTGTTGTAGTTGTAGCTGTAGCTGTTGTGGGCGTGATTGTGATTGTGGTCGAGTGGATGTGGTGCGGGTGACGAATATTCCCGGGCAAGGCGCGGTGGTGGTGAGCGTGGAGAGCGCGGTGAGAGTGAGGACGCGTGCTGTTGTTGTTGTTGCTCTTGATGCTGTGGTGGCGGTGATGGGGTCATGTTGTGTTCTTGGTGGAGTTGTTCATGATGGAGTTGTGAGGAGGAAGGAGGGAGGACTGGTGGTGGCAATGAAGGAGAGGAATGGGACATTGTGGTTGTTACAAAAGGGAGGGGAAGAAGGAAGGGTATGTTTATGGATGAATGCGTGTGGGTGTGTGCGCGTATGCGTGTTGTTAGGATGGAAAGGAGGGTGGGTGTGTGAAGAATGAAAAGAGGGTGAGCAAAGAAGAGAAGAGAAGAGAAATGAAGGAGGGAGAGAAAGGGAAGAGAGAAGGTGGAGGATGGAGGATGAAGAAGACGAGAAGAAGGAAGAAGAGAGTAGAGAAGAGGACGAAGGAAGGAAGGAAGGAAGAAGGAAGGAAGGAAGGAAATAAGAAGGAAGAAGACAAGGGAAAATAAAAAGGGGGAAAGCACAGGGGACTGATTGATTGTCTCTCTTCTTGGAGTGATATGTGATTGTGTGTGATTATGTGTGCTTGTGTCGTTGTTGTTGGTGTTGTCTGCGGGGAGGTGGGTGGGAAGGGGACGGGGCGCACTTTCTTCCTTGGACTCGTCTTTTTTATGACTGACACAAGATCGAAACAATAACGAGGCCCCACCTTGTTCCGCCCTTCAACAGCAGTCATACTATTCCCTCTCTCAACAATAGAATGGGTGGTTGGGTATCGTATCCAGCTACTCGTCCAGTTATTACTCAGTCCATAGCAATATCTATCAATCAACACACGAGGAACGGAATCAACGATCAGGGAGGCAACAAAATGATCTCTTTTGTTTGTTCTCCCCCTCTCTCTCTCTCTCTCTTTTGCCCCTATTCCTCCTCGGTCTCTTTCCCTCGAAGGACATGATGACGCCCATTGTTACTGCTCCTCTACCTCCTCCCTAACCGTCTCTTCAACCGCCCTTCCATGCTGCCTTGGCTGAAGTACATCCCCGGAACTGGGTTGCAGGCGCTGGACTGGAAGGACATGACTCGTAAGGAATCACCGGACGATGAAGGCAAATCAGGGAGAGGATATGGTTCATTTGTTGTTGTTGTTGTTGTAATAGTTGTTGCAATTGTTGTTGCTGTTGTTGTTGTTATTGTTGTTTGTCCCCGTTTATTCAATCTCCGAGGAGTAAAGGAGGAAAAGAAGAGACAAAAGGCAAAAGAGAGATTTGAGAGCCATGGACGACGATGATGCTGCTGACGATGATGGTGATCCGCCATACCATGTCAGCAAAATGCTCTCTTTGTATCCTTCCTGCATTCATGCCCCAGGCGCAAGCTCACTACTCAAACAATAATGAATGAACATGGAGAACGCCTCCTTTTTTTGTTTCGTTGACGATACAGCGCAGACAGGGAAAAAAAGGTTAATGACGAAAGAAAAGAAACACCATCTCTACCCTTCAATTATCCCCACAGGGAAAGGTCCTTGTTCCCACATGTCCCACCAAATATAACCAACTCAACCTAAATATCAAAAAGATGAGAAGGAATAAAAGTAAGGGACCATGGCGCAAATGGAAAATAGAGTAGAGGCAGAACCCCTATTTTTCTCTCTTTCGTTTATTTGTTTGTTTGCACGTTGTTTTTCTTTGTCTTTCCTTCTCCCCCGCTTTGTCTTCACGCCTCCTGTCCAAACTAGCATGTTCATCCCACCTTCCTTCATTCGCCTCTTTCCCCATCTCTCCTTCCCTCCATCGTCCATTCACCCGTCCTTCCCACCCACCCACCCAACCCGCGCTCTTTCACTCTGTCGCTTGCTCTCATCATGCATAATCCCCATTCGCGCTACCCACCTCACCCTCCGCACTGTCCTCTTCTCCCTTCCTTCCAAAACACACATCCCTACCTATTCTTCCATAACATCCTGCAAAACGCCACAGAGCAAAATAGCTCACAGTCTTTTGTTTCGTCTTCGATTCCCCAACATCCAAACAAAAAGAAGGGAAAATAGGGGGGAGGTTGATTGAGCAAGCGCAAACGAAGCAGGGCATAGAAATAAAAGAGAGCACTAAATAGTCAAGCGAGCATTTGTAATTGATCTTGATGTGCTTTTGATGTTACTCAATAGCGAAGTAGAGAAGACAGAGAGGTGGACATGCATGGTCTTTGGTCATGATTTGATATATTGAAAAAGGCCAGAGTGGGAGTGAGAAGAGGTGAAAGTGCATAGAAATGACTTGGAGAGGACGAAGGAGAGGCGAAGCAATGATATCAAGAGAACAAACCGACACACAAACAGGCTTGGGGAAGGTACATGGACAAGGATCACAAATGCAAGGTTTGTACTCGGTGGCTTATTTCTTGGAACAAAGATGAACGATACACGAACAAACGGGCTAACGTGAACTCTACTCCCCAGATGTGCGCCCTTTTACCTCCTTCTCCCTTACGATTACCTTTGAGTGTATATGCTTGGCCAACACGAAACTGCTACGGAACACCCAAACACTAGGACCCAATTCCGCTCATCTGCACACAAACAAACAAGCAAACAAACAAAACAAACAACAACAACACAGGACGAAAGGAAAATAATAACGCAAACGCGCAAGATTGGATAAACAAACAAACAAGCATGCACACAAACTCCCTCTCCTCTGCCAACCAAACTCAAACCTCATGCACAAAATAGCCAAACAATCAACCGCAGTGTTCAATGGTTTTAACCAAGGACCTTGTCTAGGGGTAGAAGTAAGATGAGAGTTTTGATGATCACACACCAACCAACCAACTAACCAACCACCATTCCTTCCTTTCTCTTCATCCCTCTCTCCTCCTCCTTTCGTCGACATCCTCCACAATGACACACATTCATAAAGAAGCACGCGCCATCAACTAACCAGCAGGAGATGATGCGGAAGAATACATTCACGCCGTTGATTGATTGTTCCCTCTCTCCTTTGTTCATTCCATCCTCTGGCTCTCTGTGCCACAGCACAAGAGCATTATATTTTTATTTTTCCGTTTGGTTGAGTAGCGAAAAGGAAAAAGGGGTTAACCTGTCGTCGGTGTGTGTGGTTCAAGTTAGCACAATAAACAAATCGAGAGCCCATTTATTTGTTTTGCGTACATGAAAACTGTTAGGGACACGGGGCAAGAGTTAGGTGTACGTGCGTTGTTTGAGCCAAGGGAAGGTAGTGAGGACGAAACAGTAAGGAATGCATTGCGCTTTCGAAAGAGAAAAATAATTCAAACAACCACGAGGTCCTGGCAACACAGCACCCCTCGTGTTTCTCCGAGTGAGGAAAGGACGTAGACAAAGACAAAACATAATTGTTAACGTTCTTTCTCCCCTTCCACCCCGTCCCATTTTTTTCTTTTCACTTGTGTTCTCTGTACCACAGTTTGAAACGTGGCCTAACTCAAGGAACAAGTGATCACTCTTTAGACACCCATCAAAATTCAGGTACGAACTCAATCGGTTTCACATCGGCGATCGTCATGATCGTCGTCATCTCATCACCATCAAAGGTCTGTGCCTCCAACTCATCAAATATCGATATCACATACACGAACGCATTCTCTTCGACTAATCCGCTTGGACAACAAAGAAATATCTATTGGTACACTCCCAACTGAGCATCTCAACATATAAAGAGCAATCACAATGGTTGGTTGCAAAATGGTGATTTAACCTCTGGCTTGTCTCATCTCTCGCTTTCCCGTTCTCCCATCTGTTCACTACAGACACACAAGGAACTGATGTGAACACCGAAAGATGCAGCATGTCCAACGGGACAAGGAAGAGGGACATTTATTTTTGGCCTGTCATGTGTACAATTTTCTTTTCCGCCCCCATCATATCCCATTGCTGCGAGTCACAAAGGAAAGGGGAAAAGGGGGATGGGAAGGGGTTGAACGGAAAGAAAATTCTCTTGGCGTGGATGGATCGCTTCAATTTTCGACTTTACATCCGGTCATATCCTACACGTTTGGCGAATAAATAGAACGCAACCCCCTCCTCTGAGAACCAAAACAACCTACATCACCACTTTCTTTCCCTCACAAATACCATCTTCTACCACCTGAGTTCCCTGCCCCGTCAACAGTAAGTCCCTCCCAGGACATATACCTTTGTCCTTTTTCTCTCTTTGTTCACTTATGGCCCGTCTTGACATACTGTGCCTATTTTTCTCACTTTTACCCTCCTAGATAAGCACTCATCCCACAGAAAGAAGGAACACCAACATGCATTCCCCCGGACCACTTCTCGTACTACTCTTGATCGCCACCCTCAATCCGGTAACAGCCTATTGGAAGACAGAATTCCATCCTTGCAAGGACAGTCGGACCCACGTGGGCGTAGCAGTCAGTTACCTCTATTGCGACATGTACAAGTTCACCAAGGCCGGATACAAATGCAACGAGACCACTTGTGTTTCTCCCTCGGTCCTTTGTATCAAGGATGGTCGCGATCCTGTGGATCAGGCGAAGACGTACCTGAGAGCCACAGGAGCATGTCAGGATCTGGACCGTGCGAAATTCGAGGCTATTAAGGGGCTGGATATGGTCGAGGACGAGGGGCAGAAGCAGCATAGATATTTGTTCACGGAGCGTGTTCGTCCCCGCCGGCCTCTTTTTGTTGTTCGGTAGCACAGTCGGCAATAAAAACGGAAAATTTGCTGTTGACGTTAGGCTGGTGGTTGTTTCTTTCTTTAGTTTGGAGCAGAATGTTTATCACTCGTCACTCTCCAATCACAAAGGAAAAGAGCAGCATGATTTTTTGACGAGGACGATTCTCACGTCTACCTCATTTTACTCCATCTCTCATCCCGTTTCTTATCCTCCTATTTCCCCTGCGCTTTATTCCTTTGAACGTAATTTGCTTTTGACTGTCGCACACACTTTCTCTCATTTTCCTGATTGTTCCTTAGCGCCTTCTCTAGTATAGCTCATAAATCAAATATACCACTTGGGAGTCACTGCCTTTGATATGACTGTAGTAAACACATTACCCTTCAGTTCATCCTCACATCTTAACATTGCCCGACTTTTTTTTTTTGCGTTTCTCATTTGTCTTTATCGTTGACATTGCCGTGATGAGAAGAAAAGATATGAGACTTTCGTGCGATCTTGGAGGTTGTAGAGGGATCACCACGGCCACTGTGGCTCGCGCAATTGTCAAGGGAACGTTTATTTTCAGAAAGTCACAGACCCGAAATCAAGAAGATTAAATCGGATTAACAAACAGGACGCGTTTTTCTATTGAGACAAACTGGGCTGCGTTTGATCCCTCGGACGCGAACATACGAGACAAGCGCGTTTTTATCAGTGTCATTGATATGGCGACGGTCAAGCATTGTCACTCGCAAAGAAAGGGAGGTATATATACCTCTCCCTCCCTTGTTTCTTTTTTCCTTCCCTCCTTCTTTCTTTTTTCGTTTTCCTTCCTTTCTTTCTTTCTTTCTTTTCTTTTCTTTTCTTTCTTTCATTTCTTCCACCCCCTTACTCCGGAGCTCTTACTATGCCACACACATACCCCTCTTTCTATCATACTATCCCGGTTCTCCTACCCTCTCACGCCTCGACCTCGGTGCGACTCAAGACCCTCTACTCCCACCCACCCACACATCCAACATTTGAGTCGTCATGGAAGTAGGCATAAGCATCACCAACACCCGCTCACCTCCAAATATGACCAACCCACTCCCACCACTAGCAACAAGTTCGGAGCAAGGAAGAGAGAGAGCAACGGATGACGTGACGAGTAAACGAGCACCAGTAAGGAACGAATACTAGAGAACATACCTTTTAATAATGAAAAAGCACCTATGAAAAACAGTGGAAACTGACTTATGGCCAAGAGCGAAGAAAAAAAGGGTTTGGTCAGCGCGGCTCATCCCAGCAGCCAGGTATTGGTGGCTGCACATTCCAGTTGTCAAAGATACTTACTTTGGCGAGCTGAAATGCATTCATGCAACAAAAACAAGATGTGAATGTGGACATCTTACGGCTGGCGGTTTTTGCCAAGGACGTCCCTGGACCACTTGCATTGCTACCTGGCAAAAGACTCTCACCATGTTAACCTTCAAGACCAAGGGTAGGGCAGTAGTATTTTCCCTTGCAGCCAAGCGAGGAAATACTGTTGTCCAAGCTCGTGCCTCATCAGTTCCAGCTTTCATCAAAACTGGTTGAATCAACTAATGATGCCGGGTCGGATACTCTCGAACGTTGCCAAGTTCATGTGAGTACTTGCTCGGTGACTCTTTGATGAATCAGAGGATAAGCAAGAACAATCTTTTCGTATATTTTTTTAAACTGTAAACTCATCTCAATCATTCTTTTGATGTCTAGGTGATATTTCGGACGAAGGTGCCAGACGATTTCGATCCCATTGCAGATGACCGTATGTTCTATTTCATGTGCCTGATAGCGACCTGGTGTTCTTAAGAGTTAAATTGATTATTGACACTATGCATTTCGTCCTTCAACATATGTAATTATAGGTTTCTATGCTACTTCATTGGAAGATCGATCCCACGAAGTTCTTTGAACCATTTTCGTGTACATATCATTTGGTGCATATTGATATGACCTTTTTGTGTTTTTGTAACTGACACTGTAATATCGCTACTATTGCATTAGCCAAAAGGAAGCAGGCATTCGAAAATCCACAAGAGAAATCATGAGGAAGATAAGGTCAATAGGAAAAAAAAGGCGATACAAATCAAATCGAGGTTTTGCTTATGATGTTCCCGTACAGCCATCTGCTTCATCGGTTGAATGTACTATGTCTTTAATCTGTGATGTTTAGTTTACTGACAGCGCACAGAGATCTCTTCAACACTGGCATTCCTCTCTTAGACCAAAGTGGACTTTGAAGTCCGGTACTATCGTGGAAGATGTACTTTTTCAAAGCCGGTCAAGAACTCACAATTCGCCAGTAAGGAGTCTAATATGAAACTAATATCCCTACCCTGGCGGTATTCAGCGTTAAATAATGAAATATCTTACTTGTTGATGTGGCTCAATCCCACTCCTCTATGTTGGACATAATAGACTCGTACACCGTAGGGTTGCTCAGTACTCAAGAGGGATGTTCCCAGTACTGTCCCTTATGCCAGCGCAACTTCGACGTGCATGGATACCTTCGATGAAGTAAAAACTGTCAGCGACCATAAAACGAAGTTGGGTCACCGTCCTGAAGGTTAGGAGCTTGAGTAGTCTCATGTGCTCCCTGTCATTATATAGTTAGTCTGTATGGTAAAGGCCTGTACTGATATATATTATTGCTTGTGTTGCTAGGCTCAATTTGTATGAGATGACAAGCCCGTCTCGATTTACAACTGAAAGCAGACTCTCAGAATCGTGGTGGATGTCGCAAGCATGGGGTGTCTGCAGTCAACTGACTAAGGGAGTTCCTAGATGCTTTATTCTCACAGAAGATATGACCGGTGTGGACTCTTCAATGCGTCGCAATAATAAGGGACCCCGGATCAACGCCCACGCCACATATGTGAAGAAATAATATGAGAGTTCGGGCAGGTCTGATACGACGTACAATGCTATGCTCGCGCTTGAGAAGGATTGGGCCATGCCGCAAGGACATGGGACGATGCGGGACAGTAAAATACATCCACGAAAGCACATTCAAATTCCTTCGACAACATGATGTATTTATGACGAGATCAGCGGAATTAGGAGGGTCAGAGGGAATGCGAGCCATACTAGTGTCAGGGCTAGTAATTGGAGGTAAGACTCTACATCTATGTAATTGTCTTTCTCGTCTTCTAGGTATGTACTAACAATTGATCGCCATTCTACCTACTAGGGCCATGCATACAACGTGTCGCCTTAAGTTGGGGATCAAAAGGGAGGAACGTAACCAGGCTGTTAAAATGGAAACCAACGCGACTCGACCCGTCGTTGAAGAGCATGTCTGCGCCTCTAAAGGCGCTCCGCCATCTCTTCTTATTTCGAATAAGTTTATCAGTCAGGTCGTTGGTTTCATGGCCAATAAAACTAACATTCTTATTCTACCAGTTGTTGCTATTTCCCCGCTTAGTCATATACCATACGTCTTGTGAACTCCTACGATCGTGCAGACGATAAGTGCAACAAAAAGTGGAGTCAGAATCGGCATAACGTACTTGAGTCGGAATATCGGAGGTGACAATTGGTATGACTTGCTACTCGCCTCGCTATATTCGACAACATCACAAACGACCCCAAGCGCCCAACAAGTACCGACAAACCACTTGATATACTTTTTGGTCCGGTCGAATATTAAGAGTCGTGACTTGGGGGTCTCGAATTTTGTGGGCGTGATCCACGAACACACCATGACTGCCGCCGCGGGGATGAGGTTGATAACTCAGTTGTTGATGCAGATAATGCACCACATGAACGCCAGTCATCCACACACCAACACCACCGCGTGATTTGTGATCCACGTTCGCAAATCCCTCCGGTCCGGGTCCTATAAGTCGTCTTCCGCCTTCAGAAAGATCCCCGTCAACACCGCAGGCAATGCAGGGATAGGCGCAACCGCAACAATAAGAATAATCATCCGCAAGAAGGGCGCCAACTGCTGCCACGTCGACCTCTCATCCTCCCCCTTCTTCTTCTTCTTCTTCTTCCCATTACAATCGCCACTAGTTCCACCGTCGATATTAACGTCCTCATCCCAATCGAATCCGACTCATCAGAGTGCATGGCCTGCCGTGGTGGGATAAAATCGCTCAACATATCCTCTCGTCTCAAGATCTTTTCAATCTCGATCATCATCTGTGGCTCATACCCTCCTCCCCCTTCTCCCACTCCTCTTTCATCATCATATCCCCCCTTTCCAGACCCGAACCCGACCCCCAGCTCCGATGGCCTTGGCCCTTCCACTCTTGCGCAGTCTCGAAATCCGTGGCGATTTAGTCTTATCCTGTGAGGAACCTCCCGAAAAGATGGGCGATCCCTTGGAACTCGTTGCTGCCCTCTCCCCTGCTGCCATTGCTGCTGTTGTGGTGATGGGGATCATGGTCGCAGAAGAGTCGATCCTGCTCCGCGCCAAGTTACAATACTCAACCGGCGTTGTCGGGACCGAATACACTCCAACTCTTATTCCTTGCGGGTACCCTCCGGATCCTTCTCCGAAAGCCGGTACTGCCGCTGGTCCTGTTGTAGCGGTGCAGGTGCAGGTGCTGTTGAGTTGGGGAAGGGGTACGCCATTGATTGGAGTGCTACTAGTGAAGTCGCGTTGGGGTGATACCTCATCTCCGGATCTTGTTATTGTAATCCTATTCAAGTTGAACAAAAAAAAAATACATCACGGTCCATACGGGCGTTTAGTTGTTGTTTTTTTCACTCAAGTCCCTGCACCGCACCAAAGACCGCTCTCTAAACAATAAATCGCTGATGCATGGAGGCCTTTCACGTCCAAATTATCATATGGTGTTTGTTACATCTCTGTAGATCTCGACGGTATCCATAGCAACTATGAGATGAGAATGTATATATGATACCAAGCATGTAAGACAACCATTGTGACATTTTTTGTTTGACTATCCTACTAAACACCATGATATTCTTCAAACAACAAAGTCTTCTTATTTTTTGCTCACCAATCTCTTGAATGTCTCCATCTACTATTAAACTGTACCCATCACTGCGAGATTAAGGGGAGTAGTTCTTGTATGTGATCATCTAAAGCACCTATACTCTCAACTGTATCTTTGTCGTGAAATACAAGGGAGAGATTACATTTTAAAAAAAATTGTGCTGTCTATTGCTATTTTATTCCGTGTTCTGGAAGTCAACACTCCATTCCTTGGGCTTTGGATATTTTTTATATGCCTTTTTATATCCTCTGCACATGAAGGGGCCGCCATCCTCCTCTACATATGGCTACAGTATGGGTATTGAGAATCGACACTGGTGTAGCCTTGCGATTCATTGTTTCCCTGAAGTCATCACCTCCTCCCCGTCGTCCTCCATCCTGAGCGACTGGTACCACCACATTTGTCTCATCGCTCGTTGCTGCTGGGTGACTGAGGTCCATATCTCAAACGTCATTTTGTTTCCTCCCGTGTGTTTTGTAGCTTGGTAAGTCGAAAAGTAAAGACGTGGGGTGGGTGGGGAGGGTTTTGCTGTTGTTGTTACAAGTCACGTCGTGCTCCTTCTCCTTGTCCTCGAGAAAGAAAGCGGGTGTCGAAAAAATTTACACGCGACCTGTGCGTTCAGCTACACCGTGCGCTTTTTTTGCTTTGTGGGATAAGCGGCGTGGGAATGTTTGAAATGGAAGACAAAAAAAAAAATCGCCAAAGAAAAATGTGGGGGAAGAAAGAAATAGTCATGGGAGGGATGCGAGATGAGAGGGAGGGCGAAGAAGCAAAGAGGACCCAACAGGACACACAGCAGAACTGATTTTTGCTCTCTTTTATGACATTTTGCTGTAAACAGTCACACTCATTTGCCCACTCAAGCTCTGTGGACAATTGCCGCCATGTTCCTCCAGCTTGAAGATCCCCCTACTTCTTGTTGTCGTATGCGCTGCACCTTTGGATGTGAATGCTCCTTATGGGCTATAAACCTCGTACGCCAATAATGGTCACAATCGAGTTGGTGTTGCATGCCTTAGACAGCGCCTGAGCTCCGTTGTCCCCGATCGAGTTGCCCTCCAACTTCAAAGTGGTTAGAGTCGAGTTGGTCTTGAGTGCCTCAGTCAGCGCAACAGCTCCGTTGTCCCCGATCGAGTTGCCCTCCAAATCCAAAGTGGTCAGAGTCGAGTTGGTCTTGAGTGCCTCAGACAGCGCAACAGCTCCGTTGGCCCCGATCGAGTTGGCCCCCAAGTACAAAGTGGTCAGGGTCGAGTTGGTCTTGAGTGCCTCAGACAGCGCAACAGCTCCGTTGGCCCCGATCGAGTTGCCCTCCAAGTCCAAAGTGTTCAGAGTCGAGTTGGTCTTGAGTGCCTCAGACAGCGCCACAGCTCCGTTGTCCCCGATCGAGTTGTCCCACAAGTCCAAAGTGGTCAGAGTCGAGTTGGTCTTGAGTGCCTCAGACAGCGCAACAGCTCCATTGTCTCCGATCGAGTTGTCTCCCAAGTCTAAAGAGGTCAGAGTGGAGTTGGTCTTGAGTGCCTCAGACAGCGCAACGGCTCCGTTGTCCCCAACCGAGTTGCCCTCCAACTTCAAAGTGGTCAGAGTGGAGTTGGTCCTGAGTGCCTCAGACAGCGCCACAGCTCCGTTGGCCCCGATCGGGTCGTCCAGCAAGTCCAAAGTGGTCAGAGTCGAGTTGGACTTGAGAGCCTCAAACATCGCCTTAGCTCCATCGTTCCCGATCGAGTCGTTCAGCAAGTCCAAAGTGGTCAGAGTCGAGTTGGACTTGAGAGCCTCAAACATCGCCTGCAACCCTTTGAACCAGATCGAGTTGCCCCTCAAATTCAAAGTGGTGAGAGTCGAGTTGGTCTTGAGTGCCTCAGACAGCGCAACAGCTCCGTTGTCTCTGATCGAGTTGTCGTTCAAGTTCAAAGTGGTCAGAGTCGAGTTGGTCTTGAGTGCCTCAGAGAACGCCACAGCTCCGTTGGCCCCGATCGAGTTGGCCTCCAACTTCAAAGTGGTTAGAGTTGAGTTGGTCTTGAGTGCCTCAGACAGCGCCACAGTTCCGTTGTCCCCGATCGAGTTGCCCTCCAAGTCCAAAGTGGTCAGAGTCGAGTTGGTCTTGAGTACCTCAGACAGCGCCTGAGCTCCATTGTCTCCGATCGAGTTGTGCCTCAAGTTCAAAGTGGTGAGAGTCGAGTTGGTCTTGAGTACCTCAGACAGCGCCTGAGCTCCGTTGTCCCCGATCGAGTTGTCGTTCAAGTCCAAAGTGGTTAGAGTCGAGTTGGTCTTGAGTGCCTCAGACAGCGCAACAGCTCCATTGTCTCCGATCGAGTTGTCTCCCAAGTCTAAAGAGGTCAGAGTGGAGTTGGTCCTGAGTGCCTCAGACAGCACAACAGCTCCGTTGTCCCCGATCGAGTTGTCGTTCAAGTTCAAAGTGGTCAGAGTGGAGTTGGTCTTGAGTGCCTCAGACAACGCCTGAGCTCCGTTGGCCCCGATCGAGTTGGCCCCCAAGTCCAAAGTGGTCAGAGTCGAGTTGGTCTTGAGTACCTCAGACAGCGCAACAGCTTCGTTATCCCCGATCGAGTTGTCGTTCAAGTTCAAAGTGGTCAGAGTGGAGTTGGTCTTGAGTGCCTCAGACAGCGCCACAGCTCCGTTGTCCCCGATCGAGTCGCAACCCAAGTACAAAGTGGTCAGAGTCGAGTTGGTCTTGAGTGCCTCAGACAGCGCAACAGCTCCGTTGTCCTCGATCGAGTTGTCCCACAAGTCCAAAGTGGTCAGAGTCGAGTTGGTCTTGAGTGCCTCAGAGAGCGCCACAGCTCCGTTGGCCCCGATTGAGTTGGCCCCCAAGTACAAAGTGGTCAGAGTCGAGTTGGTCTTGAGTGCCTCAGACAGCGCAACAGCTCCGTTGTCCCCGATCGAGTTGTCGTTCAAGTCCAAAGTGGTCAGAGTCGAGTTGGCCATGATGCTAGAAATTACTTTGTTTCGTGCAGATGGTAATAATAGTTTTTCATAGGCAGAGCTCCGAATCGTTAGGCGTTGTATAAGGTGCTTGTTTCTCTCAACAGATTCCATGCTCGGGCCATGTTTCGACAACACGACAGAGTTATAGAGTGACGGTGTAAATGAGTTGTTCCAATCCTGACTCACACGCGCACAAGACGCGAGGTCTTGAAGGCCAAGACTGCTGGCAATTATTGAGCGAATCTCATATAGATCGAGAGGATGTATCCAAAATGTCTTAATCATAACGATGAAAAGTGTGACAAGCGTGACGGGGATAATGACGAGGATGGTGATGATGGGGTTGTAAGAAGGTGCGATAACGAAGGAGAAGTGAGGAAAGAAAGAGATAAGGAAGAAGGAATGAAATGAAGAGGATGAGCAAGATGACGGTGATGTTGTAAAGTAGTCAATGACGTGGATAAAGATATGAAGGATAACAGACACTAATTGTAATAGCAACAGAGCAAGAGAGTGTGAATGAGGGAATGAACAAGAGAACGAAGCAAGAGAGAGACAAGAAAGAGACAAAAGTATTAAGGGAAAGTGGAAGAGGCTAGAGGAAAATCCCGTTTTATGGTACAAGAAGACTGGGGTATTTATACTAATGTACAGAAGGGTCGGAGGCGTGGTAAGTAGTGGCGCAGTAGCGGGAGCTGGTGGAGTCATAGGAAGATGAAGCAGAAGAACATTCTAAAATACTGTGACACTTAATTTTAATAACTCTTTGAAGAAGACCCACATCCCTAATATACACTTTACAAAACAGATCCCCTTACACCCATCTTAAACGCTTTTTACAACAAATACAACTCCCCACACCTGTGGCATCGCCCACGGGCAACCTTTCTAGTCTTATCCATCAATATCTTTCAGGTGAGAAAGCATGACATGTAGTTCATGCAATTCATATGATTTGGCATCTTCTGTGAGGTCTCCTTTCCTTTCAGAGCATATGGATCCTATTAGCAGAGACCTGGGTGGATATTGGTTTTTAACTTTTTTGGTTTAGTTTTCATTAGATCTTGTCATCACAGGTAACCGGCTTGTGGTAGCCAAGCATTCATAGCGACGTTGCTTTTTGATCCTTCGATGTCGGCTCTTCCTATCATACTGAAGCAGAATTCAGTAAGCGTTGGATTGTTCACCCACTAATAGGGAACGTGAGCTGGGTTTAGACCGTCGTGAGACAGGTTAGTTTTACCCTACTGTTGAAATGTTGTTGCAATAGTAATTGAACTTAGTACGAGAAGAACCGTTCATCGGATAATTGGTATTTGGGCCTGCCTGAGCAGGCAATGGCCCGAAGCTATCATCCGTTGGGTTATGGCTGAACGCCTCTAAGTCAGAACCCGTGCTAGAATGCGACGATTACCGCCTTGTGCCATTTTTAGTTGAATACGAATATACCCACGGTCCTGAATCATATGAACGTAGGATTATCTTGCAGAGCGGAGAGGCTTTGTGAGGTTCCTGCTAATGTTAATTTCAAATATTGGAAGAGATAAATCCATTGCAGACGACTTTAATTGAACGGGGTATTGTAAGCAGTAGAGTAGCCTTGTTGCTACGATCTGCTGAGATTAAGCCCATTGTTCTATAGATTTGTTCGTTAGAACAACGTCTCCTCTCTTCCTTTTCTCTTTTTTTCTTTCACGCGCTCGAATTAAGGGCTGTTCAACATTTGCCTTGGAGGTTGTGTTGGTTGATTTCTAGTGGGTTGAGCCTCTTGCGCGTATCTGTGTTGAATGGGCCGGTTGCAGGTTCTATCACTCTTAACGTCACCCCCTATTCTTAACGTCACCCCCCCTCACTCAAATCTTGGATAACAGGCTTGTGGCAGCGAAGCGTTCATAGCGACGTTGCTTTTTGATCCTTCGATGTCAGCTCTTTCAATCCTTGCTTTGTTCACTACCAACAATTTGATCCGAGTTTGATGCGTACTTAAATGTTATCATCTTAGATGGAGAGGTTCACGAAGTTTCGCTAGGCCCAGAGTGGTCTGGTGAGAGGACGCAGAAAGGGGGACCGAGACCGACCGCCGACGTTGCATCAGTGGCTCGGTTCGTCTCTCAGGCGATGCCAACCTAACTGGACGACCTGTGGGCGCATCGCCTTGAAGACACGGGGTAAAAAACGATATATACACCTGAAGCCGACGCCTTATGGTATGGGAGGGGCTGTAGTCCAACCGCCGAGTCCGGGGGAGTGTTTTAGTGGAATGACCACACTACCAGCGTTTAAACGTTGGTGCCTATCCGTTACAGTGACTCACCTAAGCTACCATGCAGAAAATCAATGTGACACTGTAACCAGAGTGCGAGGGTAGAAGAGGCTAATCAGCTTGGAAACCCGAGAACCGCGCCTACCACTCCAAGTGGACCCTAGAAGGCAGACTGCTCTGTACCCGCACCTGGATCGAAAGGCCTTTGGGCTATAAGATTGGAAGAGGTTTCACTTCCCTGGACTTTGTGCCCAAAAAAAAAAAAAAAAAAAAAAACTTACATGTTGTCTGTGCCTACGTGCGTTAAAGTGTTATGGTTTCTGTCTGATGAAGCAAATTAAGGTGAAAAACAATGGAGCGTGTTTCGCCTTGTTCGTCCAACAAGTTACAAGATGAGGCATTCCTGCAGACACGCGATCTTATCGTAATTTGTTACATGTAAAAAATTCTAGCAATGGCTGCGAATCGCACCACTTTTTTTTTATTTGTAGAGTAACAAGTGCAAATGGAGAGTAGCAAAAGAAACGGTCATTATGGGGAGGGAAATGTAGTGTTGAACAGAGAAGAGTGCAATAAAGAACAAAGAAACGATAAAAACAAAAGAAGGATTGACTAAGAAAAAAAAAGAGAAGACAAAGCAAGACAGAAAAAAAGCTCAGAATATACATAGATCATGCCCATCCTTGTGCGCACTTAAAAGGTGGCAACGGCGACGCCCTCCTTCTCCTGAACATCAATCTTCTCCTCCGTGGCTCCGGCAGCGGCGGCGGCAGACTTCTTCTTGTTCTTCTTCTTCTTCTTCTTCTTCTTCTCGCCGTTGGGCACATTGACATCACCCTCAACAGAGTCGTTCTCCTCACCATCCTCGTTATTGTTGTCCTCCTCCACAGACTCGACCTCCTCAACAACAACCTTGTCGCTGGCAGCGGCGGCACCGTTGCTGGTAGTGGCACCGTTGGTGGTGGCAGCAGCAATGTTGACCTTCTTGGCCTGAACCTGGGCCTGGCTCAACTCGGACTCCAACTGGGCAACGCGGGCAGACAACACGGCCTGCTCGGCCTCCAACTCGCCCTTGGTGACCTCCGAGGCCTCGATCAAAGTCTCCAACTCGGCATCGACAGTCTTCTTGGCCTCAATAGCAACAGAGAGCTCAGCAGTCAAAGCATCTTTCTCGGCAGCGAGGGCCTCCTTCTCCTTGGACAAGGTCTCGACCTCGGCGACCTTAGTAGCAACAGCGGCAGAGAGGGTTTCCTTCTCCTTGTTCAAAGCATCGGTCGACTCGGACTTGGAAGAGTGCTCCTTGGCAAGAGTTTCCTTCTCCTTGGCGAGGGTCTCCTTCTCCTTGATCAAGGCCTCAACCTCGGCAGTCTTGGCAGCGACAGCGGCCTCGAGATCGGCCTTCTCCTTGTGGACGGCATCGTGAGCCTTCTTGGCAGTCTCGTGCGAGGCAGCAACAGTAGCCAACTCGGCGGCAAGGGTCTCCTTCTCGGTGATGACAGTCTTATGGCTGGTCTCCTTGGTGGCAACCTCCTTCTGCAACTCCTCAATGCGCTTGTTCAAGGTAGAAGACTGCTCTTCGGCCTTCTTGGTGTTCTCGGTGGCCCTCTCGGTCAACTCGACAATGCGAGCGTTGAGGGTCTGCTGCTTCTCGACCAATGAGGCGATCTGGGTGTTGGAGGTCTCCAACTCCTTGGTCAAATGGTCAAACTGCTCCTGCTGGGTGCTGACGGTGGAGGCATGGTTGCCCTGAAGCTCCTTGATCAGGGCATCCTTGGCCGCGACCTCGCTCTTGGCTTTGGTCAAACCGCTCTCGACGGTGGTAATCTTCTCGTAGGCGGCAGTCAACTCGGCAACCTTGACCGTGAGCTCGGTCTCCTTGGCGGCCAGCTCGGCAACCTTGGTCGAAAGCTCGGCCTCCTTGGCAGAGAGAGAGGACTCTTTAGTCGAAAGAACGGCGATGTGCTTCTCGTGCTTAGACGACAAGGCCTTGTGCTCATCCTGAGCACGCTTGACTTCAACCTCCTTCTGTGCAACCTTATCCGACTCCTGGGCAAGCTGACCGCGAAGCATATCAATCTCTTCGATCAAGGAGTGCTTCTCGCCCTCGAACGACTCGGCTTGGCTGCGGGCAACCTCCTCAGCGTGGCTGACAGCATCAGCGTACTGCTCGACCTGCAACTTTGAGTTCTCGAGCTCACTCTCCAACGATCTGTAGTCAGCCTCAAGTCCGGCAATCCTGGAATCCTTCTCTGTCAAAATCATCGAGCACTTGTGGTGAATCTCGTTGCGTTCTCTCAAGGCAGCCTCGGCGCGGTGCTCAGCATCCATGACATTGCGCGACATCTGCTGGGCATCGTTCTCGACGCGAGCAAGCTGCTGCTTCAAGTCGTGGTTGATCTCGTTCATACGGTCCATCTGGGCGCCAAGATGGACGCGGTTCTGTTGAAGATCCTGAATTTGCTGCTCCAACTCGGCGGCGCGTCCAGACTTTTCCGAAGCCTTGGCAGCCTGCTCTTGAGCGGCTTTGATGTTCTGCTTCTCGACGGCGAGCTGCTTGACCAAAAGAGAGTTGGTAAAGTTGAGCGACTCGATCTTGGAGTCGACGGACTGGGCACGGCTCTCGATCTTCTTGGCAGCCTTGACGACGTCGCTATTGGCATCCAACTGCTTTTGAAGAGTCTCGACCTGGGCCTTGACCTTCTCGGCCTGGACAGTGACAGCAGCAACCTCCTTGTCTTTGGCAGCCAAAGCAGCGCGAAGAGCCTCGAACTCCTCGTTGGGGACAACCTTCTCAACAACAACAGTCTTCTCAACAACTTTGGGCTCCTCCTTGACAGCCTTGGCCTTGACAGGCTGGGCGACCTTGACGGGCTCGGCAACCTTGACTGGCTCGGCAACCTTGACGGGTTCAACGACCTTGACAGGCTCGACGATCTTGACGGGCTCAGTAACCTTGACGGGCTCGGCGACGGCGGCGGCAGCAGCCTTGGCAGCCTTCTTAGCCTTCTTGGCAGACACCCTGGGCTCCTCAACCTTGGTATCTTCGACCTTGGTCTGGACGATATCGACAGAAGCGGTCACGGGGGTGACAACGGGGCTCAAGACCTTGGCAGGGGCAGGAATGTCAACCTCGATCTTCTCGGTCTTCTCAACAACGGGGGCAGGGGCAGGAGCAGGAGCAGCAGCAGCCTTGGCAGCGGCAGCGGCCTTCTTGGCGGCCTTCTTGCTCACGGTCGGGGCAGGGGTGGCATCGAGGAGATCGTAAGGGTTGGAGGAGATGACTCTCTCGTCGACGACCTCATCCGCGCTGTTGGTGTCGTTGTCCTCGGCAATCTTCTTGGGGCGAGCTCCTGCCTGGACAGGTCTAAGGTTCAAGACGGACAAGTGGGAAAATAAAAGAAATGGTTGGTTAGATCAAATGGACATACCAGGAGGAAGATGGATGTGGGTGAAGGAAAAAACAAGGTTCTTCCCGTGAGTATCTTGTCGAATGCATATTCTTCCCATGGGGACACAAAAGGCTCTCCCAACAACATTTTCTTTGGTACTCCCATTGAAACACTTCCTGGAAGTACAAAGAACAAAAGCATCATCCTATTTCCATGTCCTTTGTTTCTCCTTTGTTTTCGACGGGAACATCTGTTTGTGAAAATGCAGGAATGGCAGGAATATTGACAATCGTCGTTTTCCCATGGTATAGTTGCCTTTGTAACTCTTTGTCCTTGTCTTGTCGCACAACATCGCCTTCGTTTGCCTCTCACCCACATTCATCACCAACAACAACAAAGAATAAAAAAAAGAAAGGCTGTTGTGGTTGTTCCTTGACACCAAAAGGCTTTTTACACAAAAGTGCACAATCCTGACCATTTGCTCTGTCCAGTGAAAAAAAGGAACAAACAACGAAATGGCCTTCTTTCGTAACAATGACCCCTTCGTTATCCTTCAATACGGGTTAAACGCATAGCTGCTTTTTGTTCCTGCTGTGGGGTTACAGAAAAGGGGAAGGGGAGGTGGAAGAGGAAAGACAAACAAATCCCGGAGAGTCCAACAATGAAAGAAAAGGCGTAATTGTGTCCCCTTTTCCTCTCTCTCTTTCTCCCTGTTAACGACATAACAATAGTAGAGTTCAAGAATTAAAAGGAAAAAAAGCTTTCTTCTCACGTTAACACACAACAAAAGCGTCCAAGTATGAACAAGTAAAATGGCGCTATTGTTTACTCTTTGTCTCCTCTCGTTTAACTCCTACCAACGATCATAAGTGCCACCGTAGACAACGAATGAAAATAACTCGTCTCCTCAAACAACAAGAAAACAAACAAGAGAGAACAACAAGAAAACAATCAAGAGAGAACAAAAGAAAAATGCTTACCTCTTCTTTGGCTGCTTCTTGGATCCACGCTTGGCAGCCTCGGACTCGTGCTCCTCCAAAAGTTCCTTCTGAGCCTGCTCGGCCAAGACGGCTCGCTGAAGCTTTGTCTGGGGCTCGACCACGTTCTGGTAGACGTAGGCGGCTCCTGCTCCTGCGACCACCAGACCGATGGTGATGGTGGTGGGGTTGACGATGTTATCCATTGTAAGTTTGATGTGTTGATCTGATGACCGATCCGAGATGACAAACGGGGGAGAAGAGAGATCTATGGAATGAGAGGAGATGGCAAGAAGGACACAGAGTGATGTTAATCTAGACTGGTCTGCCATTTGTTCCGTTGGTTCCTTCTTCCTGGTGGTTCAAAGGTGCCGTCAAGATGAGTCTGTTGTTGTTCGTTTGTTTCTTGCTGTGTCCAGTGTTACAAAAAAAAGGAGGTGTGGTGTCTGTGTTGCTCGTGTGTGTTAGTGGGTGTCCTTTGTCCTGCAGATGACACGTCCTTGCTCTGGTTTGCCTTATTGCCTGATCCAGTCGAGGTGATCAGCCCAGCAGTGGAATGAATGAGCGAGGTAGTCCTTTTTGCTGTTCTGTTGTCGAGGTGTGAGTGTGAGTGATATTATATACCTGTTGTATGCGCTCTTTTTGCTCAATGGGTTGGCGACCAGACAAGAAAAGAGGAGGCAAGCAAGGAAGACGATAAGAAGACGGGAAGGGAAGGGGTGAGAGAAGGGTTAAAGAAGGAAAGAAGGAAAAAAGAAGGGAAGGGAAAGAACGTCAGAGAAATACTTCTTCAGTTGATCATTGGCCCTGTCTGTCTGTTCTGCTCTGTCGACTTCTTTCCAGATAGTCTTGCATTCTTCGTTTCTTCGTTTCTTCCCGTTTGTTGACGTGCTTTTCTACTGCATAGCCCTATTCCCGTCGTTTTTGTTCTTGGGTAGAGATAGATAGATACATGCAGTCTATGCTGTTGCTCTGCAGGTCTACATCACTCTACATCACACGATCAACTTGTACACATCATCACCATCATCACTCACCACAACACACTCTCTCCTCTCTCTCTCAATTGCTCCAGGGATAGGGTGGGTTCCTTCTGTCTGATCAAATCAGGGTCGTTGTCTGAAATTCAAATCACTACTGATCGCCGGATTGGAGGATAATGGCTGATGAAGGAAGTGTCCATCACGTACACATATAGTATCACTAAATCGTACGTGGACACTTCTGAGAGAGAGGAACCGCGATCTTTTCTTTCGAAGCGGACGTTGGCTACTCGACCGCTGCCTCTTGGCTATTGTCCCATGGTTGCCTTTCTATTTCTGCGAGCAACGGTTGTTCTCACTCTCTCCTTGTCTGTGCACTCCTTCCCTTAATAATTTTCCCTTTACGCGTCCCTTCACTCCTTACTTCTCATTTTCCCAAGAAGGATCAACAGGGAAGAAGTGGAATTTAGGATTCAATTGATCCTGAAAAGAAGCATTTGTCAACGATATCGACATTGCTGCATGGGCCGATTAAAACGGTGCGATCGTAGGAATAAAGCAGGTCCTCTCTCTCTGCATCTTGGCACCAACGGGAATTGGAAAAAAAACGTCCATCTGCACCATACAAGTTTTCTTTGTGCATGTCATGCTTCTTTTCATACTCTTGTCTTTTCTTCACACATTTATTATCCTTTCTTTTCTTCATTTTCTTCAACTCCATCTCCACCAGATCATATACCCCCTCCCCTCCTCCTCCTCTACATATCACCACCCCTCCAACGGCACCCTTCCCCTTCCTTCTTACCCCTCCTTACCCTATACCCTCTCTATACCCTACCATCAGCTCATCCCACACAACACAATGGTCCATCTCCGCCACAAGCGCGGCACAATCCTCTCCCTAGGCCAAGCAACAACTCAAATCCTCTTAGGCGCTCTCCTCATCCTCTCCTCTTCACCTTCCCCATCACAATCATCAAGATCCTTGGTCGTCGCCGCGGATGCTTCTTTATTCGACTCGCTCACCAATTTCGTTAGGATCAATAATGACAACAACCGGCACCACTTTCGAGGGAGTGATGAGAACCAGGAGCAGCAGGAGCAGCTTGCAAATTTCAATATCGTAATGGAGGAGGAAGAGCAAGCAGGGGAGCATTTGCAAGAGGAGGAAGGACAGGACGATACTCAAAAGGGAGCACTGGCTTCTATCCTGGAAAGCGTCTACTCCTTTGCCGCCAATAAAGTCGGCGCCAAACCAGTAGTAGTAAAAAAAAAACCTCCAAAAGCAGGAAACAAAGGCGACGACGACGACGACGACGGCGACGACGGCGCACAACTCCGTTTTCAATACGAAGGAACGAGCCGCCACCTCGGCCAATGGGACCTCGTCGGCGTATCTGGTGTCAGCGCCATGCATGCAACGTTGATCCCCAACACCAACAAGATTGTACTCTTGGAAAAAGTCGAGAAGAACACCCATGCGTTCTTGACGGAGAATGCGGAACAGTTTTCGTTTTCGGTCGAGTATGATATTGACGAGTCGACGTTTAGACCGCTGCATACAAAGACGAACCAATTCTGTTCTGCGGGTGGATACCGTCCCGATGGTGTAAGACTTTTTTGTTGTTTTTTGTCGCTCTGTTTATTCGTTTATGGTGTGTGGGTATGTTGTGTATGTATGTCTAATTGAACAATAGTCTGGTGCAGAACGACATGAATTGTCTTCATATTGACAACAAAAGTATGCATATCCCAGCTTATCCTGCCCTCATCCTAACCAACTTCATTTCTTTCCCTCCAATCAACCAAAACGAAAATTAGACGATCATCTCACTAGGCGGTGCAGAAGCACAGGCAAACATAGCCGAAGGCTGGAACTCTCTCCGTTTCCTCTCCTCCTGCAACGCAACCCACTCCCGCTGCGACTGGGACACTCGCAACGACATCACCCTCAAAGCCGGACGTTGGTACCCCACCGTCGAGGCCCTCGCCGATGGACGACTCTTTATTATGGGTGGTTCTACCAAGGGTGCTTCAGTGAATGATAAAGAGATTGGGGTCCCTTCCTGGGAGTTGTATCCGCCTTTGGAAAGTAATCCCACTCATTTTGCGTTCTTGGAAGAAACCCTGCCTTATAACTTGTATCCAGTAAGTTTTTCTTCCTTCCTTGTGTCCGTCTGTAGTTGACGAATGTAGTTTTTTCACGTTTACTTGGTTCTTGATAAAACTAACCCCTTGTCTGTGCGTTTTGTTTACATTTCCTATATGACAAAAAAAAAGATGGCGCATCTGCTCCCGGACGGTAACCTGTTCATCTTTGCAAACACCCGGGGAATCATCTTCTCCACAAAAACCTGGTCCATCCTCAAAAACCTCCCCGAACTCCCCGGCCCACCACGCAACTACCCCCTCTCCGGTGGCTCTGTCCTCCTCCCCCTCCGCCCCGAATCCAACTACGAACCAGAAGTTCTCATCTGTGGAGGCGCCACCGAATTCTCCTCCCAGGCGAAAGGACAAGACCAATGCGGACGGATTAAACCTCTGGCCAAGGATGCGGATTGGGTCATGGAGGATATGCCGATGGGACGGATGATGCCTGATTTGACGCTCCTCCCAGACGGGTCGGTGATGATGTTTAATGGTGCCAATCGCGGCACCGCAGGATACGGACGCGCCAAGGATCCTGTATTGAGACCCATCCGGTACCAACCCTGGGACACCTCCGAAACCATCCAGGCAAACTCACGCTTCACGATCCAGAACCCCTCCTACATCCCCCGCCTCTACCACTCGATCGCCATGCCAGTCCTCGACGGCCGCGTCATGGTCGCCGGGTCGAACCCCAACGCAAACACTCTCGAATGGTCCGAGTTCCCAGTCGAATACCGCGTCGAGATGTTCTCCCCCGGATACATGTTCACCGACACCCCTCGCCCACTCCTCGCAGCAGGACGCACCATCGGTCGTACCATCAAACGTCCCGAAGCGCTCTCCATCCAAACCCTTCAAGAAACCAACGCAAACCCAGAACGCGGTCAGGGCGATGGTCCCGCGACCGAGAACATAATCTCGTTCAACACCGTCTTTGAGATCGAGGTCCAATTTTACAGCGGGCTCGTTACCTCCGAGGCCCAGGTCCTTACACCCAAAGAAGGCAATGCTGGTGGAAAACCGTCGAGGGTGCAGGTGAACCTGTTGAATGGCGGGTTTGTGACACACTCGACACATATGAGCCAGCGGTTGGTGGGGTTGGAGGTTGTTGGGTATGTGGTGAATAGGGAGGGTGGGTTGGATAAGTTGAAGGTCAAGGGACCCAGGGATGGGGCGTTGACGCCTCCTGGATGGTACCAGATGACTGTTGTTGAGAACGGTATTCCTTCCGAAGGCACCTGGGTTCGTGTCCAATAACCCTCTCACCTACGCGAAAAATAAACTAAGAAAGCAGTCCATTTTTCTGTGCCCCATGGGTTCAGTTTGATAAAAAAAACCCCCCGTTCACACGCGGGCAAAAAGATCTCTTCCCTTTTTTCTTTGCTTCATTCGTTTCTCTACAACCGTCAACAGATTTCAGGACACCCCTTCAAGCGCAACAGGAATCAAGCGAAACAACACCCACTCTCCACTCCACTCATCACCCACCCCCACAAACACCATGGCAACACGCGCAATGCACGCGTCAAAGGCCGCTGCTCCCACCCTGTCACTCATGTCGCGCCGAACAATGACTCTTCACAACCCCATCACCCGTTCTCTTGCCAGACCTATGACCACAAAGTCCTTCCAACATACAGCAATAGTGACAGGAGCAACAGTCTCACAAAAGAGACACCTGTCCTCCTCGGCCTGGGAAGGAAGCAGTGGGTTCAAGGACCTGACCCGTGCAACAGCACTCGTCTATTCCGAATACGGTCGTCCCACCGAAGTCCTCAAGTAACGACCCCCCTCCCTCTCTTCCCTCCTTCTTTTGTTCACATTCGCGATGTTGATACAACCCAAGCTGCCAAATCCCCAAGACCACAGGATCCTAATCAGCCACCTACTTCTTTTTGTTTTTGTACCTTTGTCGTGTAGGGTGCTGAAGCATACGTTGACACCTCCAGGAGACGACGCCGTCCAGGTCCAATTCCTGGCATCCCCCATCAACCCGGCAGACATCAACCAAATCGAAGGAGTCTACCCCCTCAAACCTCCCATGACCACCCACCTCTACTCCTCCCCTTCCGCCACCACCTCTGCCCCCACCCTCACGCCAGTAGCAGTCGCCGGTAATGAGGGCGTCGCCAAAGTAACAAAAGTCGGATCCAAGGCCTCATCTCATTTCAAAGTCGGCGATTGGGTGGTCATGGGATCTGCAGGGTTGGGGACTTGGCGGTCGCATGGGAATTTTCTGGCCAAGGATTTGACAAAGGTTAGGTCGGTCGAGAAGATGACAGAGGGTGGAGATTCGAGTAGTTTGGACATTGTGCAGTTGGCGACTCTGACGGTTAATCCGTGTACTGCATATCGAATGCTCAGGGATTTTAGGACGCTTTCTCCAGGTAAGCAACTAGAGGGAAGAGAAAGTTGGCAAAGAAAAATCTAAATTATGGATCAGTTCTGCTCCTCGGAAGCAGCAAGAAAGAAAAAAAATGACTCCTAAACAACCTAACGCTTCTCCTGTCTTCCGCAAACAAAATAGGCGACTATGTGATCCAGAACGGCGCTAACTCGGGTGTAGGTGAGGCAGTCATCCAGCTCGCAAGACCTCTGGGCGTCAAGACCATTAACATCATCCGCAACCGACCGGGCCACGAAAAAGTCGCCGAACGATTGACAAAACTCGGAGCAACTCATATCCTGACGGACGACCAGTTGGGTAAACTTGAGACCAAGGAACTTGTCAAGTCATGGACGAAGGGCCATGAAGTCAAGTTAGCTTTTAATTGTGTTGGCGGTAAACCTACCACCGAGATGGCTCGCTTACTCAGGTACTTGGAAAAGAATTTAGATTATTTACTTTTGTAATTATTGTCTTTTCTGTGCATGTACTTTAACTGCATTCTAACACCAATCCCTTCACAAACAAAACAAACAAACAAAAACAAATACAGCAAGAGCGGCCACCTGGTAACATACGGCGCCATGTCGCGCCAACCCCTAATCCTCCCTGCATCCCTCCAAATCTTCAAAAACGTCCATGCCTCAGGGTTTTGGCTCACCGCCTGGAACGACTCCCACTCTCCCACAGAGCGACAGGAAATGATTGATCGTGTGGTGGAGGTGATGAAGACGGGACAGTTTGAGGAGGTCGAGTGTACGAGGAACCAGTGGAATATTACTGCGACCGATATGGGGGTCTTGGAGGAGAGGCTGCGGGATGCTGTTGGACGGGCTGCGAGCGGTGGACATGGGAAGCAAGTTTTCCTTATGGAATAGAGTAGACATACAGTTGAGGATAGAAAGAACAAATGAACAAATCATATATGAAACGTCAATTGTGGTTTCAAATGCTGTTTATTCATGGCTACCATCTTTTATACCACTCACACCTTGATGTCTCCCTCCCCAATGCGTATGAATGTGAACTACTAGACAAGGGTCAGTTTTCTCCTTCCACTTGTTCTTTCTCGTCTACAGAATTCACTATCTCTTCAATCTCTCTCGATGATCCAACCGCAGGACATGTCGCTTGCTTGCCATTTGACAATCAAACAACCCAGATAGAGAGAAACAAAAGACTAAGCAAACGTGCAGGACAAACAAGAGAAAAAAAACAAGTTTCACGAAAGACCGGAGCCCCATCGAACACACAAACAACACCATAACCCCCCCCCCCACATCTCCCTCCATTTGAAGCATTCGCAAAAAGATGAATAGTTTGTGTATGTTTGAGAGGTCAGCCAGTGTGAAATACAAAATAACCACATGGGTTTTCTCGGTAAGTGATAAGCTGTCATCATACCTCTCAAACAATACAACACTAAACAAACTTTGCAACCATGCATGCATCAACACATAGCACCCCCCCTCTTTTCACGCGCCATGTCCATGAAAACTCCTCTTGAAATCGACTATCCATTTGTTCAGTCGTCCGCAACGAATGATCATAATCCACTTGAAAACGCTTGCCAGGAGAGGAAGGAGCCCATCTGTTGATTTTTCAGTTTTATTGAAATGCGCGCGACCAAGACAAGACGAAGGCTGTGTCCAAGTGCCCAGCAGATTATTGTTCGAGAACAATAATTTAGGCAACGAGGGCGGAGGCGGTGGCGGACTCGCTATTAGGTTGCAAAAGCAAATAGGAAAAAAGACGAATGATTAATATAGTACAGCAGTTGTGTTGCAAAAGTAGAAAGGAAATCCACAGACCAATACCGAGCAGAGATTGAGCCCAAGTCTGAAGCAAACACTACACTGGCTTTCCGCAAAGAGAGACAGAAAACATCCTAAAGTACCCTGACTCGAAAGACGAGGGCACTCGTAGTTTCCCATTTCTCAATGTAAAAGAGCAAGTGTAGTTGACTCCCGACAAAGGTCGCACTCCATTAGCACTCTGCGTACTGTCCGAAAGGAAACGTCTCCATCTTGTCCGAAAACAAGATGAAAAAAGAGAACGTTTGTCAAGAAAAAGGGTATAGGGAAGGCGAGAGGGGTAGGAGGGTAAACGAGGAAAGAAAAAACAGCAGAAAAACGCAAACATATCATGAGCAAAGCATAAAAACCGTGGGGAGGAATGGAACGACATGGTACTATTTCCAGGTAGGAGGGAGCTGGCCAGCGGTCTTGTAGTAACGGGCAAGACGGTGAATACGGGACTCGATCAAAATGAGGCGGAACTTTCCATCGCAATCCTTGCGGTTACGCTCGAGATGCTTGCGGACGGCGACGGCCTTCTTGATCAAGTGGTAGAGATCCTCGGGGATCTCGGGGGCGAGGCCGTTGGACTTCAAGATACGGAGGATCTTGTTACCGGTGACGCTCTTGACCTGGGCGATACCCTGGGAGTCGCGGAGGATGACACCGATCTGGGAGGGGGTCATACCCTTCTTGGCGAGCTTGAAGATCGAGTCGCAGACATCCTCGGGGGAGGTCTTCAACCAGGAAGGAGGAGAACGCTTGTAGGGGAGAGCGGAGCTCGAGATACCCTTACCACTGCTGTGCATGCGACCCATTTTGAATAATTCTATTCATTGAATGATTAAAAAAAAGTTGTTGGTGAGTTGATCTGGATTGACACTGGTAAGGTCGAGGTGCTGTTATCATTGCCTCCTGCTATTATAGTTGTTGCTTTGTCTTTTTGTCGATTCTAGATCCAAGAACGCTAGTTGTAATCGGATTCCAGGCGAGTCATCCTTTTCTCTGTGATGAGCCCTCTTTTCTTCCCGTTCCCTTTACTTGTTGCTGAAGGTGATGTCAAACAGTATCGTTGTTGTGTTCAGGTGTTGATCCTTGCAAGGTATGCCCTGGATCCCGATGACGAGATGCGAATTGACCATCCTGGTAGTCTACCTTTGTGGAATGTGCGAGAGAGAAGGAAACAACAAACTCCAAGGACGAACTGGCCTTTTGTGCAAAAAAAACAATCAGGATTCGCGGATTGAAAATTTTGCAAGGGTGACGGCATGGAAGTAATATTGATCGCTGATTCTATTTCATTTTAATTGATCACATGATGACTCGATGAATGAAGAATGAAGGTATGTGAGGACAGGACCTCTGTTGGTCGAGCTCGCAAAGAACGTGAAAGGAGGAAGAAAGAGACCTACTGAGCTGTGGATAACCAAGCGTAGATGGCAGGAAACCACAGCAGATCCTTTGAGGCAGGTGAAGCGGGCACTACAGGAGTGCTGCCAGTTCCTTTTCGTCCTCTTTGCCTACTTCTTGTCTCTTCCTCCCAACCGTCGTTCCTAACGTTCAAAAGATAACACCGAACCTCTCCAACGGCTGACCGTTTGGTGATTATTTTGATCAAGACGTATGTAAGTTCTAGATAACGCCCTCTTCTTTGCCCTTCAATGTCTCACTCACATCGCTGGATTACTCCATTGCTCTATCGAGCATTTTATCTCCAATGCACCCTCCTCCTCTCGTTCTCCTTTGCTAAAGATTAAGGATCAAAGTTCATGCGTTTTAGTCTACCTGACCGCCTGCTTCTCTCATATATTTACTATCGCACACAGCTCTCTCTCTCGTGCTCTCCAGCTCATTTGGACATGAATCATCGGGTCTTTCTATATGATCTCACTCGTTCTTCTGAACATACGATGATGAGCAAGGAACGCCATGCTGCCTGGGCTTAGGACATAGAACTGGGTTGCACAGGAGAGAAAACGTAGGCTAGTTGTCCGCATAGTTTTTAGTCAATGCAAATTGGACATAAAAGGATATATCCGACAAGTCGGAGGGGCGTCGTTTGTCGCTGTGATGTGCATTATCCGATACAGCAGCTGCAAAAGAATGAGAGAGGAGATTCAATTGATAGCCTAGAGGATGCATTGCATGCAGTGTCTCTGAGGCGCCAGTAGAAGGATGTGTAGGATGTCTACGAGTGTGAGTGGACCGCCGTCGTGTGTGGAAACATAGCATTGAGATTGGCATTTGTCAACATGGAGGAGAACCGGTTGAGTATGTTTAAACCAGTTTGTCGAATATCTGTCCACTCGGCTTTCTTCCTCGTCTCTTTGCTCGACCAATCCGGAGAATCTCAAATCATCACTTTTCACTTCAACCTTACATTTTTACTTCTTTTTTTCCTTTTTCCTTAATTCACTTTCTCCTCCTTTCCTTACCTCCGTCCTTGCTCTTCACTCATTAACCTTTACTTCTTCTCATTCCGACATTCACCTCGTCCTTTATTCCTCGCTCATTCACCTTCTTACTTCGTGCTCACTCCTGTACTCCTGTCCACTCACACTACCAATTCAAACACAAAACACAAACAGAAACACAAAACTGAAAAATAATACAACCTCATAATCAAAACACCCCTTTGTTCCACCATGTACAACCAATACCGCGACCCTCACCCTCAAAGCGAACACCACCAATCGCCTCTCCCTCCTCCGCAATCAAAAAGCGGTGTTACCGTCATCATCGTCGGCGGCGGGATCGGCGGTTTGTCCCTCGCCAACATGTTTGAGCGCGCAGGCATCAGTTATCTGATCCTCGAAAAGGCCACCACCATTCGTGCCCTTGGTTCTTCTTTGGGCTTGGATGCTAGCTCTTTGCCTGTTATGGAGCAGTTAGGGTTGCTTGAGGACTTTATAAAGGTTTCCAAGCCTGTGAGACACTTTAACTTTTATAATGAAGGTGTCAAGCCAATTGGAATGGTGGATTTCTCGGATCTCGAGGAGATGTAAGTTCCTTTACTTTTTGTTCGTTTGCATTGAAGGGAGGAAGGGAGGAAGGAGAAGAATGGTGGAGGAAGTAAGAGGGAGTTAAATGGAACATTAAGAGGAACGGAGAAACACAAGCAAAAGAAACCCTCTTTCACTTTATCCTGACTCTGCCTTCTTCCAACAAAACAGCGGTGGGTATCCGGCGATTATCCTGGACAGGCCAGCGTTCTACAACATCCTTACGAAGAACATCCCCAAAGAAAAGATCAAGTACAACAAGCGTGTCCTCACCATCACTCAAGACGAGGACGGCGCCACCGCTAACTGCTCCGACGGCAGGTAAGAAGACTCTTTTTCATTTGGTTCACACCTTTGATTCTTTCGGTCTCTCATTCCCAAACAAAGAAAAAAAGAGAGAGGATGCGATTGACTGTTCATTTCGGGGTTTTTTGTTCCTTTTTCGCTTTCAACCACCGGAGGGTAACGATCGTACCTCTGTCCTTGATGAACGAATCACTCATATCCACCCTTCACTCAACACGCCCTACTCCAATTGCACGCCCCTCCGTTCATTCAGTACATCATAACAGATACCTCCATATCCCATAACACCCCAATCACACCCAATTACCATCAGCTTTCCTTGCGCATGCCAGCTCCGGGAGAGGCCCCTCGAAGGTCTTCGCCCGGGCCCAGGTGCACCGTCCTTGTCGCTTTCTCATTCTTTCATTCACTCTCCGCCTCCTTTCTATTCCCTATCCATCGCCATCATTCAGAGCATTAGTAGAAGAAGAACATCCAAGAAGGATACTAGCCTTTGTTTCTCATGCACGCCTTTTGCTCTCACAGATACATATTGTTTTGTTGTTATCATGCGATTTCACAGTCAGTGTTGTTTGCTCCTTCTTCTACCTTCTTACCAGTCGTCCTTTTTGCAAACACATTGTTGATGTACTTCTCTCACTCGTTGTCCTTGCTTGTTCGTCAACCAATTACGTCTATATTGTCGGCTCATGAAATATTAACCCTCAACCTTTCACCTTCGCTCTCTCCTCTCTCGTGCTCCTTCGTCCCTGCCTTCTCTTCTCTTCCTCCATCTCTTTTTATTTTTGTTAACGTATCCAGCGCATACTTGAGCACGATTATCATTGGAGCCGATGGCGCGTACAGCGCAGTCCGGCAGAACATTTACAAGAGTCTTAAGGCCAAGGGCAAATTGTCGTCCAACGATGCCAAACCCCTTGGATACAACCAGCACTGTCTCGGTACGTTACAACTTGTGAACGAGAACATTATCTGCAGGTGTTTTGTTTGTTTGTTAGTTTGCTTAAACTGGATTGCATATTTGTTTATTTGTTTGTTTGGATCGATATGGTGCGGCGGAAGGATTAGGCAGTAGTGGGATAATGCAAGCTGACATTGATGCATGATTGTATGCATATGCAATCTCTCAACAAGCACAATATCAAGGAAGTACACTCATCTCGTCCCCGTTCCCCTTCCTTTATTTTATTACGTGCATGGCACACGCCATCTCCTCTCCCTTTCTTCATGTTTCCTTCCGTATCCATCGAATCCGATATCTTTTCTGCCTATGTCTTTGTCCGGCAAATAACTACATCCAGTCGGCGTTAGCAAGCCATTCGACCCGGAATTGTACCCTATTCTCAAGAACGATTACACCGACTTTGAGATTGTCATCCCCAAAAACGATCCCTTCTATGTAAGTGTTGTTTCGGTCTTTTTTGTTTTGATGTTGGTTGATTATATGGGTTATGCCTCTCTACAATATCGCTTCGTACTTGTCACGCCAATGAAAGAGGTGTCTTGAGTCTAGACTAAAATGTTGATCTTCTAGGCCTTGTGCTCCCACAACTCACATTCATTCTATCTGATTTTGTTCTTTTTTAATTTCACCGCAAACAATCCCCCCGCTCCAAAAAAAAAAAAAAAAAAAAAAAAGGCGGTTTACATGCCCCTTCCTAACAACAGGATCTCGTGGGCCATCATCCAGAACGTCCCTCGCGCCGACGAATCCTCCGGCGACTCATTCCGGTTCTCTGAATGGGGTCCCCACGCTGCTCAAGAAATGGCTGATTTCGTCCGACATCTTTCAAACCCGTTCGCGGAAGGTGGGACTCTAGGCGATATTATTGATAATACCCCGATGGATTTGATATCCAAGATCATGCTGGAGGAGAAGTTTTTTGAGAGCTGGTTTGAGGATCGTGTTGTCCTCCTTGGTGATGGTATGGTCCTTTGTTCTTTGTTCGTTTGTTCGTTTGTTTGTTTGTTTGTTTGTTTGTTTGTTTGTTTGTTGGTGATAGGTTGGTGTATGGTCAAAGGTGGAGGGTTACCAGATGGATTTTACTAACCATGGATCCCCATCCATCTCCTTTTTTTTTTGATTCCCAGCCTGCCACAAGGTAAAAATAATACGAACGCACAGACACACCTTACCCCCTTGCTCCTCACCATCTTCCTCACCTTCTCCCTCCGTTTTTCCTCTCTCTCTCTCTCTCTCTCTCCGCCACAAATAGGTTGTCCCAAGTGCAGGACTAGGTGCCAACCTAGCAGTCCTAGAAGGCGTGCATCTCTGCAATCTCCTCGTCGACATGCCATCGACTGACCAAAAGGATATCACTCGTGTCTTTACGGCCTATTACCGCCAACGCGCCAAGATCGCTCGTCTCGCCCTCGGCAACTCGCGTCAGTTTGGAAAAGTCATGGGTGATCGGGTAAATTTATTTATTTATTTATTTATCTATCATGCCGCTGACCGTTGTACGTTTTGTCAAAAACGCGAAGCAAAGTGGAGAGGGAAAAAAATATATATTAACCATTTTCAACCCATTCTTCAAACTACCAAAAAAAAATCCACAACATAAACAGGGCCCGATTTCACAAGTGGTACGCAAGTTGTTCCTGAACCATGTCCCAGCATGGATGTCAAAACAGGCAAACACCCAACGGGTCCAATACCGCCCACAATTACATTTCCTTCCACCTGCTCCTACAGAGACAAAGGGAAAAATCCCCGCACGACCTCAGGAACCTAGGTTGGATTGGGGGAGTAGAGGCCTTCAGAAGGGGTCTTTGCTTCCTCATTAAAGATGAATGTGGGATGATGAAGGGAGGGACATAGACATAATATATCATAATACCCGCGTGATCATTACCACGCGAATCACAAAGAAAAAGAATATACATCATTATTGCTAATACGTGAAGAGAACTGTGCACTTTATTTTATTTTTTTTGTTCGAGGATATACAAAAAGTAGAAATGAATATGCAATGGCGTGTCATTAATGTAGCGGAAGATTATCAAAGCAAATGGTCGTTAAAAAAAAGTGAAGAGGAAGAAGTGGGAAAAAAAGGAGGTCGTTCGTTCTTGATTTCTAGCGCCCAAAATTCTTCAGCGCCAGTCTGGGCGATTATTGTAAAAAAAAAATATGGGGCGTATATTAGGCGCCATGTGTGAGAATGACAGGAACGACGCCCTACGACCGTCTGACAGACGAGGGGGGGTTTAGGACTATGGAGGATCTTCAGTCATCCATATCGAGACCAAAGTTCTCGTATTGCGTCTTGATAGTCGTCCCTTCCAACTCCGCGCACTAAACAAATTCCAGATGAACAAAGAGCAATGCAGAAGAAAGATTAAGTTAGAACAAAAGAAAGAGACGATGCATCTTGCCTCTCAGAAAAGTGAAGAAGGGAAGGGTTATTGGTGTTCGCCATACCTTGCCGAGGATGACCTGGCCAACATCCTTGATCTCATTGTACTCGTGCAACTCTTGGATGTGTCGCGAAACCATCTCCCTTGGTGTACCCATACCCCTACAATCAGCCAACCAAATAATCCAATGGAACAAGGTTAGATATACGGTTTCAGTGCAATTAATGAACCACTGATATCGAGGGATGGCGCGTTTGTTTGTGAGCCATCATGGATGAAGAAAGAGGAGGAGAAAAAGCAGGGGTGAAAGAAAGGAAGGAGGAAAGGGAGAATGAGGGGTGAAGGGGGAAGGGTATGTCTTTAGAATTCGCACCTTAACAAACGGATGATGTCCTGTTCCTGCTGTTGGAGGTCGGCGATCGTCTTTTTCAATTCCTCGATCTTGGCGTCCTCCTGTGCCTAGTAGAGAGAAGTAGCACGTGATGGTGGGTGGTGGTCAGTTCACAAAAGTTGTTTTTCGCACTAGAACCAACCATTATTGTGTGTGCTCTCGCCATAGCAATAAAAAACAACAAAGGAAAAAAGAGAGGAGCGAAACAAGAGAAAGTTTTCCCGATGTTTGTTGCGTTGCTCTCAAATCATGCCATGTTGCTTTTTGAGTTGTTGGGTTGAGTTTTAGGTGCATTAATTGAGCCGAACGATATGTTAAAATTAAAAATATAAACAAGAGACAAAGGAGAGAAGGCATACCTTGAGTGCATCATGGTGTTCCTTCGAGTCCTGTTTTCTCTTGTCAGAATCCAAAGCCTTGTTGGTGATCGACAATGATATCGCTGACACAGTAGAAGTAGAGGCAACGCCAACAGGGGTCGAATAGGTCGTCTCTAGAGGATAAGCGGTCGTCATGGGTTGTGTCATTTCTTCTTCCCCCAATGATGTTGATGGAACTGCAATTTCTCTGGTTGTCGCCGCTGTTGACGAAGGTGCATGTACATGGACATGATGTTCTTCAGTCTCCATATCTGTATCATGCTGACGGTACTCTTGCGAGTACTGTTCTTTCTCCTGATGGTGGGGAGGGTACTGCTGAGTCGGTACCGAGGAAAGAGGGCTCTGCGAATGTGTCTCTTCCTCATCAACGACACCTGGATAAACTCCTCCTGCCTTCTCCTGCATTCGGTGTTGTTGTTCCTCCTGCATCATCCTGTCTGACTCGAATGTGTCTCGTCTGATAGACACTGGCGATGCTGACCGTGATGCAGCGGCTGCTGTTGCCACTCCCTCTCCCCCTCCTGGTGCTGCTGGTTCTGCTGTGGATGGCACTGGTGGAATATGGAACTCGACCTCATCTGCCACCTCCTCCTCAACATCGTCAATAACCTCAGTCTCTTCAAACATCACCAGATCTGGTTTCGTCACATTCGCACTCGAACTCGTAGCTGGCGTCACCGCTGGAGTGGCAGCTGCAGAAGTAGTCGATGACCTGTTGGACATCAACACATCCTCCATCCCAGGGAACTCTACACCCCCACCAAAACGACTACGCTCCCCTCCACGTTCCGACACCGGAGACCGCTCTCCACTCGGACGGCCCGATCGCTCAGAAAACATAGACTGCTGGGGCTGTTGCTGAGGAAAATGGTGATGAGGCTGTTGACGAGGCGAGAGGAGTAAAGGCGACGTTGGTCCGCTTGCACTCCCACCAGCAGATGCATCGTACTGACGCCGTCTAGAGGAAGGAGAGGCAGGGGCCCGGATCCGTTCCGAGACAGGACTGTACTCCCGCGAACTGTACCCCGAAGACGAAGGGTCCGGCGACATCACCATGTCCCCCCTCTCTCCTTCCCCCACCCTTGTCCTCTCCCGTTCCCGTTCACGGTCCCGCTGCTCACGTCTCGAAGAAGAACTTCCAGATCCTGATCTCGAGCTAGTGCTAACAGGAGGTTCTCCTCCAAGAGAGGCAGCAGCAGCGGCGGCGGCGGCAGCCTGTCGAGCCTCACGACGCAGTTCTCGTTCACGGTCTCGATCTCGGTCAGTTCTCTCCCCTCTATCTCCCCTATCACTACGTTCACGGTCGGGACGTTCGGTACGTTCGCTTCGTTCGCTTCGTTCACGGGGACGGTCACTACGGTCGGATCGTTCCCGGTTTCTGTCTTTGTCTCGGTCAGATCGATCCCGTTCCCGGTCTCTGTCGGTGCGCTCTCGACGGTCTCCAGCTCTGCGATGTGACCTGTCCTGTGAGGAGGAGTTGGAAGAAGGAGGACTCTGTGATGGTTGTTGTGCGAGGTCCTGCTCTGTGTCCATGGTTGTGGTGATGTTTGCTGTAAAGATGGAAGCAAAAAGGTAAGTTGTGGTTGTTGTTTTTGTGTGGGGGGTTCCTCCTTTGTGTAGGCGAATGAGAGGAAGAAAAGGTTGGAAGTGTCAAAGAAAAAAAGAATGAATGACTAAAGAGGGGGAAGGAATGAATGCCATTAAGCACGAAGATGGGTGTGGCCCTTTTGTTCTTTCTCTCTAGAGTCTCATAATTAATTTTCGACTGTGTCCATGTCCAGAATTAGAACGAGCAAATTGGAACGACGCCACCGCCACTACAAACCAACCATTGTTACAACCATGGAGCACCGCATCCGAAGAGCATCGCACTAATAAAAAGAGACAACAGACATATGGCGCATTCAAACAGGACATAGGCAGACAAATAGGTAACAAAGAGCGAAAGGAGCGGTATATATTTTAGTGTTTTTGTACATGGTCGAAAGGTGAAAAGGAGATCATTCTAGTAAGAGAGACTAAAGGTAATTTACAAAGCCCAGACACTGCCCTCGGTAGCATGGAGCTCACTCTCGTCACCCAAGGAAACCTCGACCAGAGAATCAAAGACAGCCTTTCCAGCAAGGGGCTCGACACGGGCAACATCCTCCTTGGAGATAAACTCGTTCGACTTGCGCTGAGCGAAAACCATCATGCAAGCACCCGCACGAATCGAATGCTTGTTCGAAGTCGCAGCAGCCTTCACCTTCGACTCCTCCTTCAGGGGTGCAACAGTCGATGTCCTGGCCAAATGGTACAACAAGAACGTCTCCATCTCCAATGTAAGGGTTCCGGGCTCATACTTGACCAACTCAGTAAACAGCTCCTGGTTGTTGTCGACAAAGTTCTCGTCCTGGCGACCCTGGGAGGAATAGAACGAATCAGCAGTGGCGTTGATGCCATTCCAGACGTGGTTGTCGCCCAACTGTGCGCTCATGTTCTTGACAAGTGTCGCAGTGACTTCGGGGTCGGCATCGAACTTCTTTGAGAGGATATAAGGCGATGCAGAGGAGGCAGAGGAATCCTCGGCAAAGTAGTCGTAGTTGCGCTGGACGAGGTAGGAGGAGGAAGGGACACAGATGTCACCGACCTTGGCGTCGGAAAGGGAACCGCAGGAACCCAGACGGATGATAGTCATGGGTCCGTCAACCACAGCTCTGCACTCGCGCACGAAAAAGTCCATCATCGACACTCCCATTCCTATTGGTAAGATGTATCCATGTGAAAGAAGGAAGAAGAAATGTCAGAAACAAACAATTCAAGCTACCCCCCTATTGTTCTTTTCCTTCCAAATGATAAAAAAAAGCAAACACAGAGCCGCTGATCAACAACATTTCCTTCTTGCTTGATTCTTAAAAAAAAGAAGACGCGTAGCCTTGGAACGAAATGATCCCAGCAACCAGGAAAAGTGTAGGCACTTCCTTCTCTCTCCTCTTCCACAAATATAATAACACCACAGATCAACATCGCACAAACAAATAAACCAAACAAACAAACGTAACGTACCGATAGCAACAATGGAGACGGGGGTACCCTTATAGCGTCCAGTGATAGTCAAGAACCCACGGTGAGAGGCATGGCTGAACAAGTTGGCCGAGATAGATTTGACAGGGGCGGAGGGATCGACACCATCAAGGGTGCGGGAGAGGACAATGGCGCGGGCGGGGTCTCCGACTGTGATGATCCTGTTGGCGAGCTCTCCACGCTTGACTCCGACGTGGCTATTAGTTAGAAGGTGAAGAGGTAGGGGATGGGTGTGAGCAGGTGAGGGGAAGACCGGAGGAGTTGAGCAAATGGTTCAATTGATCCAGGCAGGAGAGTAGATGATTGGTATGCGCAACATACAGAAAGCAAGGACGAGTGTGGAGAAATAAACTGAAAAAAAAATGACTTACTAGGTACGACCTTCGGCGTCCATAGGGAAGTTGGCGTTAGACATAGACATGTTGGGTAGAGTGTGTTTTAGGGATGAAAAGGGGAATGGGAATGTGGTTGTTGTTGTTGATGAATGGAGTGGAGGAGTGGATGGAGTGTGAAGAAAAGAAAGAAAAAAAAAATGAACGAGCAACCTCCTTTTTATACCTGTTCCTCTAAGAAATGGAATGCCTGGTTAGGACGGTGAGTCCGTGATAGCGTCACAAAGGAACCATTGTCCGTGGGAGTATTTGATGAAGAAGGTTCGCCGTTGGATTGCCCTTTGGAGTGGACTGTTGAAGAACACACCACTTTCTTTCGTCCGTTGAAACTGCGGTTGTTTGTTAAGTGTTGGTTGGCTGGTGGAGTGGAGTGGAGAGTGGAGAGTACAAAAACGAGGTATTCTGGGACATGTATGACGCGGTGCTAGTGAGAGATGAATGACCTCTCGGGATGGATGGACACAGAAAAGAGGGCACACAGGAACAGGCACAAGGAAAGACAGAAAACTGGGGCTCTTGCCCTGCTCAAACTGGGACATGCGAGAATGCGGGGCAATTGGAAGAAGGTGGAAACATCCAAGGCGGCGGTCATGTGATTCAATGAACAACCCTTAATATTTTTGATACGAAATTAACGCCTGCTCTTGTCTTTTTTTTTTTTTTTTTCAACCCCAGCTGCTGCTCAGTCAGTTCAAACAAACTCTGCATATCACCTGTGAAAGGATTTTTCTGGATAACAGGGTTCTCTGCCTTTGTTTTGTCATTGTTTTTGCCTTCTGGTAACTCCACTTTGTTTCTTGACCCCTTTGCTTCCCCCTTTCACTCTATCACAAGCTACTCACCCCTCTCTTTCATTTCATTATCATCATCTCCTATTCTTACTTTTGTTATTACTATCCTTTCTCTACCCCTTGACCCTGTCCTCTTTTTTTATTCTCACTTCCTTCCTCTTCAACTCCTTCGTTCTTCTCCTTCTCCCACAAACACATACCCAACCTCTCCCTCCAATCGATCTCGACCAAGCCAACTCCACCTCCGTCCGCATTCCAAGAGACACTCCTCTGTCTGTTACTTATATGACCATCCGGACAAACACCAACCAACATCAACACCACACCATCACCAATGGACCCAATACCCCACAACAACCCGCCGTCGCAAGTCCCAATCTAACCTCTCCTGCCGTCACTCCTGTCTCCTCTCAGCATCCCTCCCTCGCTACCTCCGAGGCCGGGCATGGACATGGACACACTCATGCACAAGGAGGACAGCCAAACAACAACAACAACAACAACAACAACAACAACAACAACAACAACAACAACAACAACAGCAACAACAACAACCCCACACTTACAGCGCCGACTGCGGACATAGGAGAGACGCCCGAACAGGTCCTGCTGGCATCATTCAAGGCTGCGGCATTGTCGGTGACGCAGCTCTACAAGGACTCTCTCAAAAACCAACGTGCAGAACATGCCAAGGGATACGAGGCCGCCCTCCAGGATTTATTGGCTTTTATTACGACCCACCCTGTTGTTCAGGAAAAGAAAGACCTAGGGATGAGTGAGGATGAGATTCGACAGACAACCAGCTTGTCAATCGATGATGTTGTTCGGTTCATCGCGAACGCTCGGGCCATGAACTGCAATTCTGCGGCTGCTGTTGCTGGTGTTGCCACCGGAAATGAGTTGCACCTTCACCAACAGCAGCAACAGCAACAGCAGTTGCAAGCCCAGCAGGCACATGAACAGCAACAGCAGCAATTGCATCAACAACAGCTTTTGCACCAGCAGCAGCAGCAGCAGGAGCAGCAACACCAACAGGAACAGCAGCAGCAGCAGCAGTTCCTTCAGCAACAACAACAACAGCAGACAATGGAACAGCAGCAGCACCTCCAACAACAACAGCAACTCCATCATCAACAACAACAGCAACAGCTCCAACAGCAGCAGCAGCAGCATGCTCTTGTCAGCAATGGGGGCGGAGGCGGTGGTCCCAGGTTGTCGTCATCAATTGCATCACCGAGCTCGATTTTTCCAAGTGATGCGTTTACATTCACAGCACCGATCTTCCACCCTGGAGTGGGAGCTGGTCAAGTAGGAGCAGGAGCCTTCCAGAGCATCTTTCCAGGACAGGAAGGTGGAATAGGTCATCAGATGGCAGTCGATTCTTTGAAAAGACGATATGCCTTGCAGGACATTAACATGGCTGCAAATCGAATGATCACTGGAACCAACAACAATAACAACAACATCAACAATAACATGGTCGGCAACAATGGTCGCATGATGGTCAATCAGCCCCTCAACCTCAACCTCATGGACTCTTTCGGCGCCTTTCACGACCAGCCTCCCTTCAAGCGTGGCCGTCGACATGAAGGCGAGTAGTTCGTCGCTCTGCTGATAGGAAGTTTCCATCTGAATCGGCATTCCAATATACATTCGGGAGCTTTTGTCGTCTGAGTGATATTGCCAGTTCCATCACAGAGGATACACCGAAGCGGGATTGACCATCTTTCGCCCTACCACCACCACCATCTTTTTTTTTCTCTTCCGTTTATTTCTTTTGCTTTTTTCCGTGTAGATCATAATTTCGTTTTTTTTCATGCTTTTCCTTCCTTTCAGCCTCCTCCATTGTACAACTTGCAACATTCCAACATCAAAGCCCCCCTCTTTCTCTCCACTCCTTTCATTTCTACCTCTTTCTTGCATCATTTTGCGTTCCTTGCATTTTCAACCAAAAATAATCCCCCTCAACTCTTGGCCTCTTCTATTTCTTATCCTATGCCTTATTTTCCTTTCCTTCATGAATCATACCATTGGTCATCTTCTCCCTCTCTCTGTAGTAACAGCCTTTTTAAACCACAAAAAAAATAAAACCCCTTCAACTATAATTTATATTATTGATATTAATTGTCTACAAAGTCTTTACAACCCCACCTCTATCTCCCTCTCTCTCTCTCTCTATGCAAACCAAGACTCAACCTCAACAGCAACCCCATCCTCCGCATTCGTCCCAATAACCCGATCCGCCAACATCTTCATATCCTCATGTCCATTCTCCATACACAACCCTAAGCCCGCAAACTGTAACATTTCGGCATCGTTCAACAAGTCCCCAAACGCCACTACTTCTTCCCGGGGAATGTTGTGCAGGGCGCAGTAGGCAGAGAGGCCGAGACCTTTGTTGACACCCGCGGCCGAGATCTCGAGGAAATAGGGGCCTGAGTAGGTTAGCGTCAGACCTGGACGCTGGTTTCCTGTGGAGGAGGTGATGGTGGTGGTGGTGGTGGTGGTGGTGGTGGTGGTGGGGGAGTTAAGAGGGGAAGGGAGGGACTCGTAGACGGCAGGGGCGGAACGGTTGCGATCGAGAGCCATCAACTTTACGATTCCTCCTCGACCATGTAAAGACTGGACGAACTGTTCGAAAGAGTCGATGGAGGTGTAGTCGTAATAGATGCTGTGCTTCCGTTCGGATTCCCAGGTCTTGTCGCAGACAAAGGTCGTGTCTTGGGCGTATTGGGGTGTCCAGCCTGTTGGGGGCTGTGGACCGGTGTAGGGGTTAAGGAAGTAGATCGCTTCACACGAGAAGCCTGGTCGTCCTTGCATTCCTCCTTGGTTGTTTGTGGTGGGGTCCTGGTTCTGGTCCTGGAGGAGGTACTGGTCTGGGTTCAAGAGAGACTTTTCTGGGACCTTCTCCCTGAGCGTTACGAACCCGCGGATCTGAGCACGAAGAGTCTGGACCATCTCCAGAGCTTGATCGAGGGGCATGAACTGGGGGACAGAGATCTGGCGGGTCCGCGGGTTATAGTTCAGGGCGCCGTTACAACAGATGACGGCGTCGGGGATCATTAGGCCGTGGAAGAGATCGATGACTTTTTGGATTGAGCGCGGCGAGCGGCCGGAGGCTATCATTATCTGCATGTGTTGCGGTGCGGTAGTAGAAGGAGAAGTGGATTGGGCGAGGGAAAGGGCTTTGATAGACCGGGGGGAGATGGTGTGTTGCGGGTTGAGGAGTGTTCCGTCAAGGTCTGTGACTAGGAGGGTTGGAAGCTTTTTAGAGCGGTGGAAGGTGATTATGGGAGCTGGCATCCTGGAGATTTTTTGATTGTTGGTGAGAGATTATGGAGTTGAGTGAATGTAAGATGAAGGAGAGGATGGTGATTCGTTATCATCCCTTTCTGACATGTCACAATTGTTGAGCAGAAAAGGGGGAAGAGGGAGGAGATAAGATATTTTTTTGGTGGCGTCCAGATGTGACTGCTTACTCGAAAAGATATGCATGTGCAAAAAAGCCACCCATTACTAAGTCAAGAAGGGAGAGGCGAACCAAGGACAGCGGACAATCCGGTTCTCTCAGGGAGACTTGCATATGTCTTTTTGTAATTTTGTGGTATGATACATAATTGGTTATGCAAGAAGAGAGGGTCAGAGAAACTACACCAGTGGGAATAAATAAGGAGGACGGACAAAGAGAAAAGTAAGGCGAAAGGAAGAGTTAAGGTAAAAGCGTGGTGTGGGTGTGAAGTTGCTTGAAACTGAGTAGAGTAGTGTCGGAGGAGCAAGTTGGTGCCTCATTTTTTTTGTGCTTGTGGCAATTGCGGTTTAACATAATTAAGCGTAAGGGTGGAAGTATGACAAGAAGGGAAAGAGAGGGAGGAAAAAAAAGGTGTGTGAGTGATGCGACGAAGGGAAGTGAAAGAGGTGAAGAAAGACGAAAAACAGGAAATCCATAAATGATTTTTTTTTTGGATGGAGAAACGCCTTCTGATTTGTCCTTTCGTGTTTATTGTTTGTGCTTCTGCTCTCCCCCATTTCACTGTGGACAATCCTTACTCTTACTCAATCTGGAAATCTGAGGGAATGAGGGGAGGACCCATAAAACACGGATGCACGGGGACCGCCTTCATATCATTGACGTATTGACACTGGTTGAGGGCACAGTGGAGGGGATACTCATAGTCGAGCTTGTCCGAAGCAAGGAATAGTTGAGATCACGACGTTCTCTCTGCATCCGTTTACGATTGCTGGCAGCGGTGCGTCTGCGAACAGCCGACTCTCTCCTCTCTGACTCTAATCTGGCGAGGAGCTGGTCGATGGCTCTGGACGCCTCGTCACGGTTCATAAGTGGCAACTGATTGAGAGCCTTCTTACGTCTTGCCGCAATCCGGGAGTACTCCGCCGTCTTTTCGTTCTCCAACTGCATCTTGTCTCTGATGATCTTCCCCAGTCTGCAATAACATCGACTGACGATGTGTCGCCATCAACGTCCATCGCGTTGTCGTCTTGGATTTGTGCGGGACTATTGAAGCTCGGTGTTGCTCACCTCGTCCGTAGATGTGGTTGCCTGGTCGGCTTGTAGGCCTGAGCCAGTGATGTCCTCTTGAGTGAAGGGCTGAAGCTGCCCGACAATGGTGTCTAAGGCAGTATCTTCAGTTGAAGAGAGGTGATTCTCATTAATAGGGATTTGAGTGTTTGACATTTCATGGTATGTGTAGGGTGTGTGGCTTGCTTTGTGAGGGAATGAGTTCTATCTTGTAGGCGTTAAGGAGGCGAACTCACAGAGAGAATCGCATCTATCCATCACATATACCCAACTTACACACATCCAACATATATATCGACTGTCAGACACACACTCACACACTCAAATGCCTCATTTTACTTTACCCTCTCCTTCTGTGTGGGGTACATGCTAACATGGGCGTAACTTAAAATGTGGCCTGACCATGTCGAGGGTCTGACAATCCGTCCCAACGTATATTTTACTGTTGTTATTGATCCCTCACCACTCCCACACGGTTATTCTTCGCAATAAAAACCAAAAAAAATAACGCTACAAAGTTATTGCCAAAAAACTGGGACCTTTTTGCCTTATAAGCCATCCTCGCCTCGCTAAAAAGGTTTCTCTGATTCAGAGGACGTTGCTTGGATAGTGAGATACGTTCGTGCAAGGCAACAGAGACTGACAAAGTTGTCCATGATTTTCATCATCCGCCAAAATGCAAGTAGATCGTCGAACTACACAGCGTTGCGTGTCGTATTCCCCAGCACCCTGTATGCGAGGATACAACCCTCCTGCATTGACCTGTGCAAGTCGAGGCACTATCTTCAATGATCATTGGCGTCATTGATGAGATTGAAACTACTGCTAGCAGGACCGCCGTTTGGTAGTCGCCCTGTAAACAAGGGCCTCCACTGTCAATCGTTTGGTGGGCTTAGGCCGCGTCCTCTTGGGAATAAGATAATTTGATATTGGATGTCAGAATATCTTCGTCTGTTCACCATGTTGGATTTCGGTTTCAAAAAAAAAAGAAACGCAAGCAAAATGAAACCATTGATCGCTCGATGAGCGGATTCAATGATCTAGAGCGAGAACTCTATTGAGATGAACTACGCAGGGGTCGAACCTGCAATCTCCTGATTCGTAGTCAGACGCCTTTCCATTGGGCCAGCAGTCCATTTTCAGATATTGGTTGTGTTTTTTGGATGTTCTTGATCCAAAAACTTCACAGGATATCTAGTCATGTGATACATAAAATAACCGTACACGTGATATATGCTTTAGCTTTCAGAACCATTTTTGGGTTGTTGAGTCCCACAGAGAGAATAACTAGACATTTCATAGTAAAATGTGCATTATCTTGCAAAAAGAAGTGTAGAGGTGGAGAGAAGCTAGCGGCGATGTATGTACAGTCAGGGCCACGAAGTATGGTACTAAGGATTTAGAACAGGGAAACAATTCATTTGAGACATGATAGCCGTGCGGGCACTAAGGGATTATAGTACCAGCACCTTGGACCTGTGCTTTTGAAGTAGTTCTTTTGAATTGGTAACATGACCCAATTCAATCATATTCTATTCCTTAGTACCATACTTCGTGGCCCTGACTGTACATCAGTTCTCCAAGGTAGCTCATCTGAGAGCCAGGAATTTGAAGGATGATCTGCAGAAATCGATCAGGGTGAGCGGCCGTCTTTTCATTTGTAGTTTTTTTGAATGTCCATCTTTCTTGCTTCTCTTGCACACACACATTCACGGCACACACACACACCCACGGACGTTAATTCTGCTATCAGTAGTGCTCATTTATATACCTTGAGACAGGCTAGCATTATTATCATCATCATCATCGTCATTATCATATCGCCACGGGCATCCCCAGCAACGGACACTACATCCAACGCCTCCACCTCACCACCCCATCATCCATCCACCACTTTGACCACCCTTCCGTCCCTCGCCTCCAAGAACTCTCCTGTGTCGCCCCTTCCACATCACCCAGCAGTCCAACCTTTCAAGCGGCGGAGGATATCATGGCCAGAAATCTATGCCATCAACTCCAATGACTCGAAAGCGGTGACGACAGCAGGAGCAGGGTTGTGGCGATCAAGGGCCAGCGGGCGGTCAGGGTCCTACTCCTACTCCTCCCACACAGCAGCAACACCAACAACCACACACACCCACAGCACAAAACCCATACACACGACCAACAAACCCTCCTTCCAGTGTCACCACTGACTCGCCCTCACTCCTCTCGGTCCTAGAGTCTTGCCCATCCCTCCTCATCGCCGACTGTCACCTCCCAATCCCCCTCCGATCCGTTATTGCCTCCTTCCCGAACTGGTCTTACAATTCTCGACTCCAGGTCCTGCGTTTAGAGTTGGAGGAGTTGTCCGGTGCCGGCGCTATGGATACGGATGAGGAGATCGTTATGGAGATGTTCGTCAAGAGTATGTTCATTGGATCGCAGGCCTCTGTGCCTGTGGATGTTGATGTGGAGGATGAGGTGGAGATGAGTGAGGTCTCGTCGGGAGTAGGAGAGTTGCCGTCCCTACCTCATTCGCACTCGCCTACCTCTTCTGGATCGACCATGCCAGGGACGATGGTGTCGTCTTCTTCGTCTGAAGGGTCGACGACCGCACTGCCTGTGCATGACACTCTGAGGGAACCTTCTCTGTTAGACGAGACGAGTTTTGAGTCGGTTTCACAGTCTCCCTCGTCTTCACTGCCGTCTTGGACTACCGGGTCTGCATCCTCCGGCCATCAATCTCCTTCTACTAAATCTACAGAATCTACGTCTTTGAGTGGATCGGTGCAGGATGTGGGGCAGAGTCAGAGACGGGAAGAGAAGCAGCAGAGGGTTCTGGGACAGGCGTTCGCTATGACAGATCCCCCTTTGTCTTTGGCGTCTGCCTCTGCCGTTTCGACGGCTTCGACGGTTTCTTCGTCCGCGAGTGCCAAGGCAGGAGGCTCCTATTTCTCCCCTCCAACCCTCACCACCAACACCCCTTCCCCTTCTTCCTCATACATCACCACCTCCTCCTCCTCCGCATCAACACCATCCGTCTCCACACCCACACCCTCCTCGAACCAGAGCCAGGACCAGAGGAGCGAGAACGAAAGAAAGAGCCGAGAAGCAGCCTCATTCCTGTTGTCATACTCGAATTATCAAGTCGATGTGGTGGGGAAACTGACGGCGTTACAGTTCTTGGTGGAGCATCAGCTTGCGACGATGCCGCGGTTGGAGTGCTTTTGGTTGGGGGGCAAGATGTTCCAGGTTCCTAAACGGCGGTCCGCATCTTCACCTTTGTCGTCGGTGTAGGTGTGGGTTGGTGGATGGGTTTTTTTGTTTTATTGATTAAATTACAAAAAATGAATTATGAGTAAAAACGAAGGATTGTTGTGTGTGTGTGTGTGTGTGTGTGTGTGTGTGTGTGTGCAGATTTTTTTTTTTGAGGAAGGAAGAGGAGGAAGGTTTGGTGGGAACTATGTGTGGGAATTGGGTGGGTGATGGTTCATGCCAGGCTCAGTTCACCTTGCTTCGCCCTTATTATTTTTCGACGCGTCTGAGTTCTGGCTCGCGAGATGTAGGGAGCAGAGAGAGAGAGAGAGAGAGAGAAATGAGGAATAAGAGGAACTATGAGGGAAGGTGAAGGGGAAAAAATAAACTAAAAAAACGGGTTGGGAGAAGTGAGGAATATGTGACAAGGAACGAAAAGGAGGGGTGAGTGTAATATTATTTCACTACTGTAGTCCGTTGTCTCTATCTCTTTTCCATGTGTTCTTCTGTTTACGAGAAAAAGAGGTAGGAAGGAGGGAGGGAAGATGAAAAATGGGTATTCCATACCGTGGGAACCAGACTGTTCAACAAAGAGGTAAGCAGAGGTGTGTTCGTTCCGCTGTGAAAGTTGCTTTGTGCTGTAGTGTGGTGTGCTCCTTGTGTGTGTGCATTGTCAGTGTGATTTTTTGTGTCGTTGTGAGTGGCATAGAGAAAAAACGCAAAGGAAAGAGAGGGAGGGGTATCGACAAAAATTGAAGGAGGGTATCATGGAAGTATGCTACTGTGTACTTGCAGCGAAGTGGAGAAACAGGCTCTGTGAGCATATCTGTGTGTTTTTTTTGTTATTGTTTGTCTATCCGTACGGCGCGAAGAACTGTTAGAGTTGTCTCGTAGCTTGTCTCCTCCTTACTCTCTTCCCTCTCCCTGCTAATTGCATTCCACTCCTCTCTCTCTCTCTCTCTCTCTCTCTCTCCCACTCTTTTTTTTTTCTTTTTTTCTTTCACTTTGCATACCTCTCTCGGCCCCTTCCTTGCCTTTTTTTTTTGTTTGTTATTTTGTGGACCCCAACCACCTCCATCGTCTCCCCATCTCTCTCCCTCTCTCTCCTTTTGCTCACACCTCTAAGCAACCCCAAACACATCCCAACACACAAGCAAACAGAGATACCCAGACAAGGAAACACACACACGCACAAACAAATTACGAAGCGTCCAATTGACAAAATCGGCATCATTCCGTTTTATTGCTGCCCTGCAAGGACACTGAGAACACTTGCTAATCATAAAGACAACAGCAATGGCAAAGTATCATTCATACCTTCGTTTGGACTCCAGCCAATTGTGGTATCATTAGCACTTTCTTTTCGAATGGGGCAGGAATTTCGTCTTTCTCTATTCTTTTCTCTTCTTCCTCCTCCCGTCCTTCCTCTCTCCTGCCTCCAACACCTCTCCCTCGAGACGCTTTAGCTTCATCCTCAGCTTCTTCATATCTCTTTCGACCATCCTTATTGCCTCGTCTGTCTGCTTTGGTGTCATTGTTATAACCTGATCGGTCATTCCCTTTGACCAACTCGACAACAATCTAGCCCGTCTCTTGTCCTGCTTGGCACTCTGTGTGGTGTAAACAGGTGGCGGCGGGAACAATTCCTGGAGATCCGACTGGAGAGAGTTCGTTAATGGTAGGAAGGTTGGTATCGACTTGAGTGCTCGAGAAGTGTTGGCTGAGACCATCGCTTGGCTGGTGAGGAATGCCTTGACCTCTGGAGAGTCCTGGGCGGTCTCAGCGTACCACCGTCGCAGGATCAACCGCGGATGAAAGAGGGTGCGTCCATCGGTCGATATAACTTGAAAAGAATGCCTAGGCATTCAGAAGGGCCATATTTTCGTACAAAAGCAGACCTTTCAAAACCTTTTTTCACAGGCATATCTTCAACTGACAAAAAAATAATACTTATGTTACCTTCCTGCAGCTTCCACCGTTGTGATATTAACTGGCCTCCCGGACCTCACACTGTCCACCTTGCTCAACGACATGAACGCCACATTTTCGAATACCATAGCAGCTGGCCTGTGATGTTTAGAATCTCGGGTTCACGCGCAACGAACCATTCCCCTCTTAGGGAAGTCTTTTACCGTTCAAGCAGCACTTCAATGGACTTTGTCTGTTTTTGTGGCGCCTCGTCCACCGGCCGCACGCTTATGATGATGCACTGTTGGAGTTGTCTCGAACCAAGCCCAGAACAGATTGGTACCTCCCCTTTCATCCCTGAACAAGAAGCCCAACTGGAGATCGATTAGAGCGATCTCATACATGCTCCTGTGCCCAATTCCGGAGAGGACACTTCCTATCCGCCGACCGATTGCTCAAGTGATGAATCCGCATAATCGTCCGCCTTGTCTTCAACAATCCAACCCTAGAGTTCAAGTGCAGTGTGCGTGTTTTTGCTCCAAAAGAAGGTGTGAAGGGAAATGTATAATCATTTTCGAAGGCCCTTTCAAGTCACAAATACTTTCTTGTCTTCTTCATGCCCCACCATTTTTAAAGCTGTTTTATTCCCTTCACTCATTAATAAAGCCTTGCTTTGTGAATACGGCGATACTAGTTTTACAGCGATAGGACCACGGTTGTTGAAAGTGTTTTGAGATATGTAGGAAGCGAGTGAAATTATACCATATTTTTGTAATATCTTCCTCACCCTGTGGACCTTTGTAGAGACGCAATGGACTTTGACTTGCTAATAGATATCCTTAGAGAGGCATCCTGAACGTGTTTGCAATCTAAAGTGGGTTGATCTGATTACGAATGGCAATGCTACGCCCGTCACAAGACAGGTGCCTCGCGATAAGTAATTAAACCATGTTAGTCACACTCCAAACCATTTCTCTCTAGGATATCTTTCAGTGGCTTTATGTCGTGTTGCTTCTATCTACCAATACCCTAGGCTATGGAAAAATGGAACAGTGGCAACTACTATCAGACAAGATGTTCCGTACTGCTGCTGAGGTTACATTTACCGTTCTTCAAGCCTGCTTCGAGGACAATGATGGCGGTAACATTGGAACTCCGATGTCCTTTTCTACTTCGTGGTTTGACGCATTCAAGAAACGCCCTCAGATCGCCTATTGCCAGCTCCGGGGTGAGGCCGGTTCCGTTAACCTGGAGGCGATTGAACTAGAACTTGCCGAGATCCGCCAGCTCTGTACCATGTATGATCCCCAGAACATCTACAACTGCGATGAGACGGGCCTGTACTTGAGGGAGCTAAATTCCAAGCCGTACACCACGATTGGGAATATAGCTGGAGGCAAGGCTGATCGAACTGCCCGAATTTCCATTTACCAGCGCAACTCACTCGCCATCAATATTGCAACAACAATGGCGAGCCATGTAGCTCTCCTATCGATCCGAGCGACTTAGACGATTACTTCAATTGCCTGGACGACAATGCAGGAGGATACAAACCGATAAGTCCTGATGGCTTAATAATTGTGAGACAAACGTTGTAGGACGACGGATCGCAGGACAGTTTGGAGATTCGAAAACTGCTCGAGCAAGTCGCGCGTTCTGCTTCTAGGCTCAAAAGGTCTAAAGAGGGAGGTAACAGAGATAACGAGGGCGAGGATGACGAGGACGCGAGATCAGATACTCCACTCCTCAACCGGTCCAGATTTCATTTTCTTTGTTTTTTTGTGTCAGTGGACAGTCGCAACGGCCGGTCATGTGACTGAATAAATGTGGTTGTCTGAGGGGTGAGACGCCTGGGTCGAAGTGTCATGGCAGATACCATCGAGAGGAGGCGAAGGGAGGACTGTCCCTTCTCGCAAAGGTGCGGACGACCCGGTGTCTCCAGTGTCTTGATCGCTCATGGAAAGGAAAAAAAGACGTATTTGTGTGGGTATGTGTATATAGGTGTGCGTAGGTGTGGTAGGTGTGTGTAGATATGTATGTATGTGTGTATGTGACTCAAAAGATGTATAAAGGGGAAACGACTGTAAACTCTGACACTTTCAACGTTGCTGCTCGATATCAAGAAAGAAAGGTGCTAATGTTAGGACTACGTTATGTCAAACGCTCCCATCAATACTGCTAAGAACAAAGAATGTTCTCTTGACCTCGAGCAGGCTTCTTCTATACTACTCGGCTCGGCTTAAGGGGTCTCAAGCCACCAACAATTCCAGCGCACCACATAAATCGTCTCTATTACGTACAGAGGTGCAGTATCATATGGCAAAAACAAAAAATTTGGTGTACAGAACCAAGGAAATGGATCAGCGGACAATCCGGGGGGGAGACTTGCATGTGCCTTTTTGAACTTTGTGGTGTGATACATAATTGGTTATGCAAGGAGAGTGGGTCAGAGAAACAACACCAGTGGGAATAAAGAAGGAGGACGGACAAATGTGAAGTTGTTTGGGACTGAGTGAGTGGAGTAGTATGTCGGAGGAGCAAGTTGGCGCCTCTTTTTTTTTATGTTTGTGGCAATTGTGGCTTAACATAATTGAGAAAAAAAAGGTGAAAGAGGTGAAGAAAGACGAAAAACAGGAAATCCATAAACGACTTTTTTTTTTTTTTTTTTTTTTTTTTGGATGGGAGAAACGCCTTCTGATTCGTCCTTTCGTTTTTATTGTTTGTGCTTCTGCTCTCTCCCATTCCACTGCGGACAATCCCTCACTCTTACTCAATCTGGAAACCTGAGGGAATAAGGGAGGAACCATAAACCACGGCTGGTCACCCTTGCTTTAACCCCTGTTTGCGTGTTGTACGACGCTACAAGAAAAAAAATGGGCTAATTATCGTCCAGATAATTCAATGCGGAAAGTCCGATAGATATAGTTTTATTCTCCTAGGTCCAGATCTGAAAGGAGCAACCCATTCATGAGGCATGATTGGGGTCAAAGATGTGGGAAGGTGGGTACGTTGAATTGAGTAAATGCATTTGCATTGCATCGCCCCTCCGCCTCCGATCTGAGAAGGATACGTGATTTGCTTACGGTGGTTCCTTCTTGTTGAGAGCGAAGATCAGACTACAAAGTACTAAAGAAGAAGGGACGGTGCAGGAGGGACGGGAGAGAGAAAGAAGAAAGGGTCACCAAGGCAAGGCTTGGCGAAAAAAAGTCTTGGAATATGACCGGAATATGACCATGACCCATTGGGGAGATACGCTGCGCAAACCATTTCATTGTACTGCGTACGTTCTTTTTTCTCTCTTGTTGTTGTAAAAGAAAAGGGGAAAGAAGGCCGTTGTGTGGCACTACTCCAGTTAGACGGGAGCAGGATGACGCGTAAAGGAAAAGCAGTTAGACCGGAACCAAGAGGTTGGTTCTGTTTGAAAAAAGGAAGGACGTTCAAGATGGATGGATGAGAGTAATCATGGGTTGTCTGTGACGGAAATGAGAATGAACGTAGAGGAAGAGAGAACCTAGCGGCCATGTGTGTACATGTAAATCAATCTTCCAAGGTAACTCATCTGAGAGCCAGGTAATTTGAAGGATGATCTGCAGAAATCGATCGGGGTGAGCGGACGAAGAAACGTTTAAATAGCCCTTGGATCGGTGCGCATAATTCTTCTCATTTGCATTTTGTTGTAGTTTTTTGAATTTCTCCAACACTCACATCTTTCTTCATCTTTCTTGCACACACATTCACGGCACGCACACACCCACGGACGTTATATGCTGCAACCAGATTATATTCTACGTGAGACAGGCTAGCCATCATCGTGTCACGCCCTTCTTTTCGTTTTATTCATCCACCAACCATATCCACCCAATCCGACGGACAAAGCATCCAAACACAGACAAGGAAATGTCTTTTATCACATAGGACCAATTCTACTTCACCAAGCGCCGGACATTTTTGTTCTTATTCCTCTACCCATTGATCGCCCCCATTTTTCAAAACCATCCTAGCCATTCCTGGTTACCCCTCAATTTTGTTTTACTCCCTTTTGTCTCTACTTTCCCTCTCTTCACTTCAACGTTCATTCTCGGTCATCAGCAACGACAGCAAAGAACCGCGACAACCCTCCTTCCTTTTTTATTTTTAAGCTATCTGTCTCTCTCTCTCTTTCGCATTGTAGAAGAGGACCCTGCAAGGGACCAATTGGCTATCCTCTGAGGCGGGCTGTGCACACTCCCCCAAACAGCTTTGCGGTCATCATTCCCGACGCCTAGCCTGTTCTGAAACTGACGACTATAAAAGAGACCAACAACCGACAGCTCTCTTTTCTCAACCCGTTAAAGCATACTCTGGCAACTGCAAATCGTATGGCACATAGACATATGTTATTCTGATTTGAATTCTTTTGAGCTCCTTCCCCTTTTTCTTTTGCCATTGTTGTTTATTTTGTCTTGTTTTGACACGGATTCTTACAGCCTTACCCCTTACTGGTATACATACAACCTTTGCAACCACTTTTCTACGCATGTCCTCATACACGCAAAACTACCGCAATATCCTTGTTTTGGACATTCTTCTGCTCTCATTCCTCTTCACCCTTTTGATTCGTTCACACTCCCTTCGCTCTTCTACTCCCCACCATCCAACCTCCTTTTCATCCTCCAAACAGAGAACGGTACTTTCCTCCTCTCTTCTACAAGATCGACAAAAAACAAAACGACAAGTGACTGATATACCAAATCTTGCCTTTTTCTTTGTCTCGTACTCACTCATCAACATCTCCTTCTCCGACTCCTTCTGCATCTGCTGCAACCTCGCCTCAACCTCAACCTTCTCCTTTGTTCATTCCAGAACTTGTCCGCCGCATCATTTACTTTCTCCACTGCGACGATCATCATCACGGTGCATCTCTTCAATCTCGACTATCCCTTCCTGCACATCAGCGTCATCAAAACCAACAACAAGTCATCATCGCACATCTCGACATCCGGCAGTAGTTGATAGAGATCAACTTTCCTACAACAGTCGAGAGCACATTCGATACAAACAACAACTGCAACAACAACAAAGCGGATTGACAAGAATATCGAAAGCAAGAACAAGCACATCCGTATAGGTATGATTTCTTCTTTTGTCGCTCACAAGAAAAGATATGTTGTTTTGTTAGGTGGCTATTGTCAAGGGGAGGAAAAGAGATGATAATGTTGGTTTCTTGTTCTTGTTTCCCTTTTCTTTTTGTTATCTATTGGGGTTGAAGTTGTCATTCAATGGTTGCTTCATCCTGCTTTCATTCCCCCCATTGTAATTGCTATTTTACGCGTGAACCCATTCATCAGTTTCGATTTTCTTTTATTTTGTATTCAACCCATTCCCCCCCTCTCTCCTTGAATAAATAACAGTGAGCAGCCAAAACCTGTTCATGATGAGAAATCATTGGCCAGGGGTACCCTGCAAACCTGAATTCTAAATATCAGAGACCTACCAACTACACACTTGTTATGCGCTTTTTCTATTATTTATAACTGATATTTTTTTTTATCAAAAATGCTTCCGAATTACGGGCAAACCCCCTCTCCCACTCCCTCTTCCAACCCTCTCCCTCCGCCTCACCCTCTCTTTCGTCTTCCTCTTTTTCATCCTCGTCGGCTCCTCCCTTCTACTCGCATCCATCGACGACATCGACATCATCCTACTTCAGAAATCATTCGAGCGCAGCATTATCTCCGTCCTTAGCACCGCCCTCATCATTATCCTCCGCTGCCAAAAGGAAGAGCAAGGACAAGAACAAGACCTCCCAGCATACATCCCCTCACCACCACCACCACCAACGACATAACTGTCGGTCTCCAGGGACAACAACAGTAATCTGCGCAAGTCCTGGTCCGAACAAGTCCTGGTCCGAACAAGTCCTGCCGCTACTCTGGAACTGCCATCTTTCTCCCTCCTCCCCTCCCTCCCTCCCTTCTTCGTACCCTTATCCTCAACATCCTCAACATTATCCCCATTTTTCTCATCCTCAATTCTACCTTTATCCCCAATCCAATAACACGTCCCAGACCTAATCGCATTTCGAGATGCCTGGGTCCCCAGTTGCATCTCAAGGACTTGCTTACAACTCGCAATTTTCATCATCCTCTTTTTCTTTTCCTTCTTCTTCTTCTTCTTCTTCTTCTTCTTCTTCTTCTTCTTCTTCTCCTTCTTCTTCTCCTCCTCCTTCTTCTTCTTCTCCTTCTTCTTCTTCTTCTCCTTCTTCTTCTTCTTCTTCTCCTTCTTCTTCTCCTTCTTCTTCTTCTTCTTCTTCTTCTTCTTCTTCTCTCCATTCTTTCCCTCCTCCTCCACAATCTTCTCATTTTTTTTCTTCTCATCCTTCGTCGTCACCCTTCCCACCTTGTCACTACCCTCTCCAACAACAACAACAACAACAACATCATCATCATCATCATCATCATCATATCGCCAGGGGCATCCCCAGCAACGGACACTACATCCAACGCCTCCACATCACCACCCCATCATCCATCCATCACTTTGACCACCCTTCCGTCCCTCACCTCCAAGAACTCTCCTGTGTCGCCCCTTCAACACCCCCTAGCAACCCAACCTTCCAAGCGGCGGAGGACATCATGGCCAGAAAACTGTGCCATCAACTCCAACGACTCGAAATCGGCGGCGACAACAACGCCAACGACGGTGACTATCTGCATCCTCAATTGCAACAGCAACAGCAACAGCAGCAGAGGGCAGCGAGTGTCGAATTCATAGAGGACGATAGCAACTGCCTTGCAGGGGGACCATTCTCGCACCTGGATCCTTTCGGTCAGTACTGCGTCACTCACACTAATCCCACTGCAGTTACTTCTGGCAGTGTAACTCCTGCTGGTGGTGTTAGTGTCGACCATCGACCGGATTCGAGTTCAGGGGGCCATTCTTCAGCAGATCGAATGAGTCGGAGTCGCAGTCGTAGTCGTCGTCGCCGTTGTTTCCCACCCTCTTCCTCTTCAACTGCAGCAACAACCAACAATGGTCCTCCATCTCGTCCTCGCCGACACTTTAACAACCTTCGTTATCGGTACGACCAGCAGCAGGACCATCCCAAAAAAAAAGTCTTGAATCATCATTATTCTTCTCGTTACCTCCCTCTTACCAACAGCAACAGTAGCAATAACGGTGCCTATGCTTCTTATCTGCCTTCTTATCATCATTCCTCCACCTCGTCACCATACCTCCTTGCCAACGAACGCAACAATATTGCACAACAGCAGCAGCAGCAACAGCAACAGACGTTGCCGCTCTCAACCTCCAGCTCGATTTACAACAATCATGGCCATTCACCCTCGTCGATATCGTCTTCCACAGTTCTACCACCACCACCACTACCACCACCACCGACCGGCTTCTTCCCCCCTCCTCCTCCCCCTCCTCCTCCTCCCCCTCTTCGCCGGGACCTGATCCTTAGCCAGCAGCCTGTTCACCTCACACAGCTGTCGTTGTATCAGTACACGTTCGTACTCGAGGAGTGGGTCAAGATGATGAGGTTGATGCCTTCTCTTCAACTCCTCGACCTCGAGATCGTCTCTGCCCATCCCTCTCCTTCCTTTTCTCCCTTGGCGTCTGGAACGGCAGTGGATTCAGCTCGATCGTCGAGTTCACTGCTGTCGTCGCAGTCCTTCAGGAACGTCCATCCATCATCTTCCTCCCTTCTTTCGTCTTCTCCTTCCCCTCCTTCGCTTTCTAGTGGTTCTTCGCCTACGTTTGGGAATCGGGTGTACCGCCGGAGACAAACGACACTTGGTGCTCCCAGTTTCACCAGCAGCTGTGGTGAGAGTGAAGGCGGTCTGGATACCAGCACCACTAGCTCCAACGACAATGGCGACGATGAGGAAGACGAAGGGTTGGATATGAGTGGTCTTGTTATTGATGATGGTCAGGTGGAGGAGAATAGACTAGGGCACCCACAACAGCAACATCAACAACAAGTAAAACAGCATCAACATTCTGGAGGAGTACAAGGCGGAAGAGTAGGTATCCCCGGTGTAGTTGCAGCGACAGCATTATTCTTGGCGAGCGAAAGTGACGACGGCGATCTGTCTCTCTCCCCCCCTCCTCCAATTATCCCTTCACGTCCTTCGACCCACCATCAGCGCAAACCTCAAATTGACATTAACAGACATATCATCCCCAATGTTGGTGCCCCTTCTTCCCAGCGACAGAGGAGACAGCAACATGGATACCAGCAACATCAATTTAACCCTCGGACAAGTACAAGTGCCAGCACAAGTACTCGCTCCCGTCGACAACACTTGCGCCACCCTGTGAGTGAAAATTCAAGCGAGTATGACCACCATCAAGAGGAGATAATGACACCACTAGACCCGTCGCTCGTGTTCCAGTTCCCTGCGGTCCGCTCACTCATCCTCCGCGGACCCTGTGTCCTCCTGGGGGTACTTGAGTTCTTGCCCAATCTCGACATGCTCTCCTTCCTACCCTCTCCTTCTTTCGGGTACGGCCGTCCTACCCCTTATACGCCTTTGCCTATCAAGTCCAGGATATCGTCTCGCTCATTCTCTTCGGCATCCAACTCGTCGTCGGTGTCGAGGTCATCGTTGTTCCTGGAGCTGTCACAGATCCTGCAGGACAAGTGCCCTCACATCACTCGTCTTGTACTGACAGAACCCTCGATCATGGCCGACTTGGCGACAGTGGGACAGTTACCTACCTTGTTGCATACCATGCCTGCGCGGTTGGTCCACGTCGAGTGGTCGCTGCGCGGTCGTAGTGGCGAGATCGAGAGGGAGGTTATCCAGGCGCTGGTGGAGTCACATAGAGATTCGTTGCAATCGTTTGTTGTTCTTCCGCTGGACAACACTTATTCTGAGTTGGATGCTAACTTATTTCCACAAGTCCGGCATGAGAATATGCAGCAGCAGCAACAACGACAGCAGGAGCAGGGTTGTAGCGATCAAGGGCCAACGGGCGGTCAGGGTCCTACTCCTACTCCTTCTACACAACAGCAACACCAACAACCACACACACCCACAGCACAAACACCATACACACGACCAACAAACCCTCCTTCCAGTGTCACCACTGACTCGCCCCCACTCCTCTCGGTCCTAGAGTCTTGCCCATCCCTCCTCATCGCCGACTGTCACCTCCCAATCCCCCTCCGATCCGTTATTGCCTCCTTCCCGAACTGGTCTTGCCATTCTCGACTCCAGGTTCTGCGTTTAGAGTTGGAGGAGTTGTCCGGTGCCGGCGCTATGGATGCGGATGAGGAGATCGTTATGGAGATGTTCGTCAAGAGTATGTTCATTGGATCGCAGGCCTCTGTGCCTGTGGATGTTGATGTGGAGGATGAGGTGGAGATGAGTGAGGTCTCGTCGGGAGTAGGAGAGTTGCCGTCCCTACCTCATTCGCACTCGCCTACCTCTTCTGGATCGACCATGCCAGGGACGATGGTGTCGTCTTCTTCGTCTGAAGGGTCGACGACCGCACTGCCTGTGCATGACACTCTGTGGGAACCTTCTCTGTTAGACGAGACGAGTCTTGCGTCAGCTCCACTGTCTCCCTCGTCTTCATTGTCGTCTTGGACTACCGGGTCTGCATCCTTCGGCCATCAATCTCCTTCTACTACGTCTACAGAATCTACGTCTTTGAGTGGATCGGTGCAGGATGTGGGGCAGAGTCAGAGACGGGAAGAGAAGCAGCAGAGGGTTCTGGGACAGGCGTTCGCTATGACAGATCCCCCTTTGTCTTTGGCGTCCGCCTCTGCCGTTTCGACGGCTTCGACGGTTTCTTCGTCCGCGAGTGCCAAGGCAGGAGACTCCTATTTCTCCCCTCCAACCCTCACCACCAGTACCCTTTCCTCTTCTTGCTCATACACCACCACCACCACCTCCTCCTCCGCATCAACACCATCCGTCTCCACACCCACACCCTCCTCAAACCAGAGCCAGGACCAGAGGAGTGAGAACGAAAGAAAGAGCCGAGAAGCAGCCTCATTCCTGTTGTCATGCTCGAATTATCAAGTCGATGTGGTGGGGAAACTGACGGCGTTACAGTTCTTGGTGGAGCATCAGCTTGCGACGATGCCGCGGTTGGAGTGCTTTTGGTTAGGGGGCAAGATGTTCCAGGTTCCTAAACGGCGGTCCGCATCTTTGCCTTTGTCGTAGGTGTAGGTGTGGGTTGGTGGGTGGGGGGTTTTTTTTTGTTTTGTAGAATAAAATTAGAAATGAGGGATTATTCTTGTGTGTGTGGTGTGTGTGTGTGTGTGTGTGTGTGTGTGTGTGTGTGTGGTGTGTGTGTGTGTGTGTGTGTGTGTGTGTGTGTATGTGTGTATGTGTGTATGTGTGTATGTGTGTCGATTTTTTTTTTGAGGGGGAAGGTTTGGTGGGAAATGTGCGTGGGAATTGGGTGGGTGATGGTCCTTGCCAGGCGTGGTTTGATCAGTTCACCTTGCTTCGCCCTTATTTTTTCTCGACGCGTCTGAGTTCTGGCTCGCGAGATGTAGGGAGCAGAGAGAGAGAGAGAGAGAGAGAGAGAATGAGGAATAAGAGGAACTATGAGGGAAGGTGAAGGGGAAAAAATAAACTAAAAAAACGGGTTGGGAGAAGTGAGGAATATGTGACAAGGAACGAAAAGGAGGGGTGAGTGTAATATTATTTCACTACTGTAGTCCGTTGTCTCTATCTCTTTTCCATGTGTTCTTCTGTTTACGAGAAAAAGAGGTAGGAAGGAGGGAGGGAAGATGAAAAATGGGTATTCCATACCGTGGGAACCAGACTGTTCAACAAAGAGGTAAGCAGAGGTGTGTTCGTTCCGCTGTGAAAGTTGCTTTGTGCTGTAGTGTGGTGTTGTGTGCTCCTTGTATGTGTGCATCGTCAGTGTGCTTTTTGTGTCGTTGTGAGTGACATAGAGAAAAAACGTTTAACACTCTGCACTGGTGAGGAGGGGGTGAAGGAAAGAGAAGGAGCTCGGGTATCGACAAAAATTGAAGTGTGTGTGCTGTCTATCCGTCGTCGCGAAAAATGTGCACGTGACAGAAATGAAAATTATTGTATTTTTTACGGCGCGAAGAGATGGCCACGAACTGTTAGAGTTCCCCCTCCACTCACTCATTCATTCCTCTCCCTGCTAATTGCATTCCACTCCTGCATATCTCTCTCTCTCTCTTTCTGCACTCCCCCCCCCTCCATTCTTAACAAAGACTCACAAGAGCAATCACAAACAGCTAATCATTGCCCTTTTCTTCCTCAGTGCTGTCGCACCGTCGCACCAAGTACCGTACAACCTTCTAACCCTACTCCTCTACCCCACTCCATCCCTCTTACACCCTATTGCCCTTGCACACAAACACTCTCTCCTCCTCCTGCAACACTCACTTGAACGAAGCAGCTGTGCTCGCCCGTACTACCTCTACGCTCACCTTCCATACGCTCAGACCATGAGCTTCTGTCTGTTTGTTCTCAGTCAAGTTCTTTGTGTGTCGTGTTCTGTACACCTACGCACATAACAACCCTGCCTTTTATTTGTTTGTCATTGTTTTATTCTTTGTATTCGCCTGTTTTGCGTGTGTATCTGTTAGTTATTCTTACTCCCCTGCCTGCTTTTTCCTTCTCTTATCCACTTTCTCTCTTTCCCCTCGGCTACAGATAGTACAACCGTACGTTCTTCTTTGTTGTTCTCCACTTTTTGTGCACAGGCTTATCCGTTTACTGTTTGTCTCTTTCTCTCCTCTTCCTCCTCACCTTCCCTCCTTCACCTTCCCTCCTTCACCTTCCCTCCTTCACCTTCCCTCCTTCACATCCCCAACCTCACCTTCCCCCCCTCACTTCCTCAACCTCGCTGTTATCACTGATAATGGTCAAAAACAGCGTCGAGCTTTTTTCCCTACTCTTTTGGTGCTTGTAAACTTTGCTGTTGCAGTGCTGCTGAAGGCGAAGAAAAACTAACAAAAATAATAAAGGGGACTAACAAGCACCGATTGGTGGCGCAATTATTTCTGCGACTAACTTTATTTGTTTCCCCATCCAGTCCATCCACTCTTCCTCCTCTCCTTCCTTCTTCGCTCAGTTGTGCTCTCTACACTCATATTATCTTTCTTGTTTCACGCTTTACCTTCCATTTAGTTTACTGCGAGAATAACAAGATCTTCTCTACACCCCGTTAAATCATACACTCAAAACAACACCCAGCAATGACAATGTCTTCACCAACACCAACACCACACTAGCCACAGCAACCCACCCACCAGCACAACACCCGCTTCAAGGCCAAATTGATGCGTACTCAAAAAACTAGCATGGAGCCAGAGGCTACCAAGATTCCCGATCAACCCGCACAGGAACATCCTCCCCGAGTCTTGAAAAAGGCATCCCTCCCATGAATCGCGTCGCTAAGTAAGCGCACAGTCTACTCTATTTTTTAATATTAGTTGCGTCCTTCCTATTATGCATCAAGCTGTGCTGTAATCGCTTAATCTCTCTACCCTCTTTGTCTATTTATTCGAATAATGAGCATCTTGGAAAGCGTCCGTCGCAAGATTGCCAAGGCTGGAGCTACAGTAAAGGCATAAGAGGAAAAGAAACCGAGGTCCGGCCGAGAGCTCGGAGAGGTGATGTTCGGTCGGGGCCGCAGGACTGTAGTAGCACAATAGCAACAGCAGCAACAGAACGATTCCTTGGGTCGACCAGTGGAAAACGGACGATTCGAATGCTTGCCGCAGTCGGGCAAGGAGCTTCGGATGCAGAGATTCGGGCCATTCAAGTCAGCAGGATCCCGCCAGAACCTGAAACACATCTAAAGCCACCAGAAGTAGTCAGCACAGTCACTGAAGACTCACAGCATTGAGCTATCCCAACCTCATATAGTCTCCCCTGGTGATTCGCCCGCATAGAACGCTCCTATCCAGCAGCGATATTCCGGCTCTCTCAGCCTCACTGACCCCTCTGCACTCGCAACTGGGCACTACCCTCAATCGTCATCCCTAGAGCCTAACGGAATCGCATCTCCTGACCCGTATGGCTCTGCATCTCTCACCTCTACCTAAGAGTCGATCAAGCAGACTCACGAGTACGCTTCCCTGTCGAGAACCCATAGCTGATCATCGTCCTCCACGCGTCATCGCCACCAGCAGACACGCGAGCCAACCCCCATTGCCACCACCGTCACAAGCCGCCGTGGTACTTCCTACAGTTTTTCTGCACGCTCCCTCTTTCCTAGGTCCTAAGATTCGTCGTGCTTGGAAAAGTTGTCCGACTGTCACTACTGCGCGCAGCAAGATCGCCGGGAACAGCAGCAGCCGGAGCAGGGAATTGAGCGCCATCGACGGCGGTGTATGTGTGTACGAGAAGATAAGGTATCTTGCCATATTGCCACTGAGTACGCAAAAAAATCCACGTCCACCCCTAAGAGCTCACGCCTACTTTCTTCCAAGACAAAACTTCCTCTATACGTTGCAGCTGACTATCGTTGGGTAAGGTTGAAGTGGCGAAGTGGCGGACAAAAATTCTAAACGTGATATGTTCTTTGCCAGATCTTCTGTCACGGGGCCCATCGCAAGTGAGTTAGTGATGCAAACATGGTTAACGATTCGAATGGATGTGCCGGGCGTGTATATCCGCTATTAAAAGCGTAAGGTGAAGATAGGTTTCCGATCGTCTTTTGCTGAAGACATAAAAGAGGACAGAAAAAAGGTCAAGAACAGAGACTTTGAGAATAGCATCCGAACAACAGGTCATCCATAATGGTATTGAATCAAACAGAGAGATCCCATGGCGCCCATTGGAGTACATGCCACGCAAGACCTTCTGAAGACCACCATTATCGCTGCCACTCCTCGCCCGGCAGAGCTCAGAAGTATATCTGCCAAGCTAAAGAAGCGCGGTCGCAAGTGACAAGGGATTTTGCATGGGCTACATTAAGAATCAGGTGATTACCACTCATAAATCCAAAGATGGTCGAGAAGGTAAAGGAAGTTAAGCGGAAGTGAAATATGAGGCGAAAAGGTAAAGAGTTGATGGTGAAAGAAAAAGGAGCTGAAGGTGCAGGAGCAGCAGGGATGATCAAAGGGAGAGGAAACAGTGGCAATATGCTAGGGATAATAATACAAAAAAAAAAGACGGAAAAAGGCCCATATTCAAAAACTGATTGGTGGTCGACTGCGGCTGTCTGTTGCTCAAGACTCTTGGCAAGACGATGAGCTGATTCGGCATCCACTGACTTGCGGAACCCTGGAGACGAAAGCGTCCGTATGGCTGCGTCGCTGCTGAAGTTACTGCGGAAGCTGCACCGGATTGCGTGCTGGACTGGTGGACTGGATATTGAACAAAGCGACTCCGAGACGGCGGCAACACGTTCTTCCTCTAGTTTGGTCGTAGCCTCACTGCCAGACTGTAACGTCGATGTGGTTGCAAGTGTGACCATAAAGGTGGAAGCTGACGTGACAGGGGGACAGTAGATAAGGCCTTGCTCTGCGGTGGATGGCTGGGTATGTTGCGTTTACCATGTGTATACCTGCAAAAAGAGCATCAGGCTGAGATGTTGGTCGACTATATAACTAATGGTGCGAACAGAAAAATTAAATACGTGCTATTGAGCAGCATTGCAAGCGTATTGACGAAGAGCTAGAAGTTGGAAGAGCTAGAAGTTGGAAGGATCAGACCCAGATACTACACCTGGAGTGCACCTGCCGCTGGCCCAGTGCACCTGATGGACATCTCTTCCTGCTTTCAAACCCAGAAGAGTACGGGGATAGGAGTTACCTGACACCGGCCGAAACAACGCCTGCAATTTGCCCAGCGTGACAACGATAGGCTTCAAGCAACTTCATCACACCCCCACTAAGTCCATCATGACAAAATCGCAGCACCCAGACAAGGTATGAGGCATGCGACATGTTGCTTGCTGCTGGTTAGCAATTCAAAAGTTGTTAGTTTGCATTATGGGAACAGGATATCAAAACGCGAAGTAAGAGAAGAGAGTGATGGACTAGAGATTAAGTTAATGTGAGGAAAAGATGTGCGATGAATGGGCCGAGTTAATTAAGGAAGGGGTTACGTTACTACGGTGATCTAATTTCTGCATTCGTCATCGTTAGGACAGTTTTTCCCTTGCCCAGCCACCGCTCTTCTCTGCATTCATCACCACTTTCATACATCTCTACTCGTTCACTATTCCTCCCTCCCCATTCAACCTTCCCACTCCTACTTCTCCATTCGCAATCAACGCGAAATGTCCAATTCCTGCATCCAATGTACGACGGGGAGACCGAGACTTTGCCCGAGCATGAGTAGATCAACGGATACTTCAAGTCCGATATCTCGCGCTCGGACCTTGGTGACTACTTGATTTGTAGCGGACAATCAGATACTGCGTTTTTAAATGACCTTGCCGACCTGCAAAATATCAAGCGCTTGCCAGGAGACATCTCTATGTTTGCACACGCGCTGTACAAGTACTACGAGGGTGACTTAGGAAAGGAAAAGGTCGAACTGGTCAGGGTCAATGCCCACAAGGAGCTCGGCACACCTATGCTCAACAGTATGGAACTTATCAGTTTGAAAATGGCCGCTGGGAACGAGTTGGACCTCGAGATCGCTGGAGGGTGCTCGCCGCAAATAGAGCCATGCAACCCTTTCTTGGTGCCTCCGCCTATCACGACATCGTCCTCTGCCCTATCTCCGCGTAATTCTACAGCACGCCCTGCAGTCTCTTCTATCCTCAGCAATGCATCATTATCCACGAGCACAAGCAGTATCTCAGGAGTCACGACCGCAAAGGAATCCACGGGTAAGATCACCACTCGACTCTACAGACCTTTTACACGTTTGCGCAAAATTCATATAATTTCTATGATTAAACCTTATTCTTGACAAACAGAAGACGAGGATGAAAGCCATCAAATGTCAAGCGCGCAGATTGAAACACCGACCACGGCAGCAACAGCACCAGCCGCCACCAAAAGCTCCCACTCTCCGCGCAAGAAGCGCTACACTATAGAGGAGCCGTAGCACTCCCTGCTGGTCGTCCTCCAACAAATTGTAAGTACTTCGGAGTATTTTAAGGGACAATATGGCTCCAGTGGCGAGACGTATAGCGGCTAACACTTGTTGTGCGTGTAACCTCTTGCGTCTGTAGATCAACGGTGAGCCAAGGGTTGTATTCCCTGTGGCGCCAGCAGAGATGGTCCCTGTTCATAAGCTGCTATTTGATCACGCAGCTGATGCGATGAAGAGCTACTTACCCCAGCCCATCTCATCGACGCGCGAGACACTCTCATACTGAAGGACGCCCAGTAAGGCAAGCTTGTTTATTATGCGGTTGCTGCAGTAGAATCATATGTCTACTCTATCCTATGTTTATTTGCATATATACACATGCTAGGTGTCCAATGTCATGCGTCTTGAACACGATGTTGAGCCATGTGAATATGTTTTTTTTGGAGAATCGGATGAGGAGGGGTTCACGGTGCCGCTAAGGATCACTGCCTGGTAGCAGGTTTTGAGGATCACGCATGCAACACGATCCTTGTCGTGTACTTGCCTGTCATGCACGAGAAGGGGGCCGAGTACCTACATCGTAGGCTAATCACAGATAGAGGAAAGTTCGCTAGCGATTATCTTGATGGTCCCTCCTTGTCCCCGACGGCCGTGCTGCGAGACCAAGTTCTTCACATCCTTCTCGAGATGTAAGTGTACGGTGCTCAGTAGAGGATGGATCATACTACTCTGGTTTTCATATATGTGGTCATATGCACTCGATGCCCACCTACTGTACTTCTCTCAAAATCAACAACATAGGCGTGATCATATCTTCCGTCCTCCATATGGCAAGGTCACACCATCCGAAAACGATTGTCGTCATTACTGGGTGCGCATCTTTTCGATTCTCACCAACAAAGTTACAATCCAGACATAAGTTACGAGTTGATTTAGACCATTTTCTTTAAACATCCGTATAAAGGCGAATCTAACCTAGCACGTCAATTTTTGATAGTGGTGAGAAAGTATTGGAGGCTTCTAAGGTCGTTCGTCGGTAGCAAGCTGCTATGGCGAGATCTCAGAGGCTTACCGGAAGGTCGACTTCCTTCTCGCATTTGAGAGTATTGAGCTGTCCAATGTTGAGTTCAAGCTCCGGGACGCCTTGGACAAGGAGATTGCGATCCTTAATCGCAAGAATATTCGCCTTGCCCACGCGTTGCAGGAAGCCCACGGCAGACACGGCGCCGGTGACGTGTCTGTGTATATGGCCGATGTGATAGGTAAGTAAACACTGACATCTGACATCGATTCATATACGACGTGAACATTAATCGAACACTCCGTCTCTAATGGTGCTGTTCGAAACCGTGCATGACGTTGGAGAGATGCAGTCGAAAGTCGCTATCGTCAAGTTTTTATCAGAAAAGGGTGAGCATACTTCGTCATCTCTGCCTTGTAACACTACTAGTGGTAGCTCTGTCAGCCTTTTACTATGGCCTATCTCCTGCGTGATTTTTGTTGATGTTCTTTTCTTCGTTAATATTACCTTTCAGCACGGAATGAAGCTGAATACAAAGATAGGCAAGCGGTAGCTATTTTCTTTAGCACTTTATTACCTTTTATATTACTAATGGCTTGTCTTGCTTTATTTCGATGTATAATAGAGTCTGAACGAGCTCCTACTTCTACCGCGTCACCTCAGAGCTCAAAGAAGAGAGAAACAGCTGCTAATACAACGGAAAGGCCCAGGAGATCACAAACATCATAGTTGACGAAACATGTAAGTTCATGGTCAACAGTCCAAAATAGCAACTTACATGTGTTTAAAAGATGTACTCATTTAGCAACCGTGTAATGGATGTACAGCGAAAATGATGTGTACCTGAGATTTGCAACTTCTAACTCGTTGCCTTTAGGTCAATGGTCAAAAAACATATTTTCCCTCGTCCACGCTAAATATGACGCGTACAGCAACAGTGTTGTTCAACCATGCTGTTGATTTATTCGATGAGTACCAACAGCAAATTCCGGATAAGAAAGATACCTCTCTCGTCAAGGACACACAGTATATATATCTGAAGCAAGGACGGTATGGAGATTACGCCATAAGAATACTTTTTTACCATATGTTGCTAACACATTAAGGTTGCTATATATTGTTCGCTAAAAACCATGTCCCCAAGAGCCGTGGACCACTTCACGCTTGCGAAGGAGGATGGGCTGATTGCTGATGCGACAGACAGCACTACGCTACCCTACTTCTAAGAGCATGAATGTTCTCAAGTATGCACGGGCCTATTGCGCGGTACTGGAGGAATACGACCTTGAGTATCTCATCAGAAAACTGGCCATTGACCGTGGTCAATTATTGTCGTCCCATCCTCTAGATGAAAACCTAACAAAGGCCGTGGTCACCAAGGAAAAGGTCCTTCGAGTATTGGAGAAGCTGTAGGTGGGGAGGATGGGGATAAGAGTGTTGTTTCGGTTTAAAAAATACTACTTCAGAATACTGATATTGATTCTTTGCTATAGGTACCACTTCGCTCAGCGTCCTCCATTTGGATCCTCGCCTCCTTTAGAGAACGATTGCCTACAACTGTGGCTGGAGATATTTGGCATAATAACTGATAAATCCACTATTCCCAGGTATGTGTAAGCTTTCTGTTATTTTCTTTGCCCTCAAAGGGTAGACTGTAGCCCTCGCTGCAAGATTCAGGGGAGTAGTTCTTGTATGTGATCATCTAAGGCACTTGTACTATCAACTGTATCTTTGCTGTGAAATACAGGGGAAAGATTACACTTTAAAAAAATCTTGTGCTGTCTGTTGCTATCTCACCCTTAGTTCTGTTGCTGATTGTGAAGAGATATATCAGCTATGGAAGTCTACAGTGCATTCCTTGGGGTTTGGACATTTTTTATGTGCTTTTTTTAATATCCTTTGCACATGGAGAGGCCGCTTACTCAAATCCAAAAATATCAAGATCGGTCGATTACAGCATCTTACGGATCGCACCAACGTCCACTTTCATTGCACGCATGGGCTTGCCACCCAAACACTTGCAAATATATTGGGCTCCTTGTTCTGTGTTTCAAATCGGATCGTTTAAAATCATTATGTCAACATCCTAAGTGTGGAAGAGCCGAGTCGAGCGAATATGAAAAAGACACGACGCAAAATGCATGCATTGTACGCCGAACGATCCCGTAGCACCCAGTCACCCTTGCCTGAGAGCACACACTGCGAAACCTCAGTACACTTCACTGTACCGCCCCAGAGCTATAACACAGTCTAAGCTGCCACCTTTCCTTGAGGGGGTGGGTTGTCCAGCAAAGCAAACTGATGTTGACCAGCAAATGAAAAAATGCATCACTTACAATAAAGATGAAGCAAACGCCAGCCTTGCGGTCTGAAACGCCCACAGCTCCCCCGACTCTTTAAAGACATATAACATAGTAGCATGCACTGAGTCAAAGATGGGATTCTCACCCTCTATGATACCCTATTGCAAAGGACGTATACCCGGGCTGTCAGCGGAAACGCTTTTATGAACTACAATTCAGACTAATGAACCAGCCAGACTTTGAATTTGAGCTCATCCCGCTCCATTCGCCGTTATTAGGGGAATCCTTGTTAGTTTCTTTTCCTCCGCTTATTGGTATTCTTAAGTTCAGCGGGTAGTCTTGACTTGAGATCGAGTGTAACAAGAATCGTTGCCAACCCATATGGAATTCCTCGCGAGTTTTTTTTTGGGTATAGAAAAAAAATAGAGAAGAGGGGTATAAAAAGGGGGGAAGGAAAGTGGATATTGGGCAAAAATAACATAAAATATCTCATAGCCACCGATTGCAAAAAGTCACTCCTCTCTTCCTACAATCGCCCTGAAATAAGTGCCACTCACACAATCATGCAACTAGTCCTAAATCACCAAATCACCATTCGTTTTTGCTGACCCTCACCGTTATTTAACTAACCATACCTCTTTCTCTCTCTCTCTTTTACTACTTTTTCCAACTGGAAGCACCGCCCTCAATCTGAACTGAGCAATGCATACCCGCGGTCTCTCCCTCTTTGCGACAGCCCTCGCCGGCTCCAAGACAAAAAAAAAAAAGTGGCTGTCGAGGTCAAGATATATCCTTTTGTTTTCTTTGTTTGTAGCCCATCTTTTTGTTTTGTATACTTTTTTGGATGAGAACATGAAATGATTAAGATTCTCCTGTTTAACTGTTTAACTGTCATGCTGTATGGTTGCTTGTTCTTTTTGTCCAAACGAGTTTTCAACCTCCCTTTCATTTTTCTCGTACTCTTTGCGACCACGATTACTGGTCACTTCCCTTCTTTGGTTAAGACATAACTTTTTTGTGGGATGAACATCTCCAGTCTCTGTTTATTGCCTGGTATGGCCCATCGATATATGTAAGAGAGAGAGAGAGAGAGAGAGAGAGAGAGAGAGAGTGTGTGTGTGTGAGAGAGAGAGATGCTGAATGGATGTGTCGATCCTGGATGAGTAAAAGGGGTATGTCTGCAAGTATGTAAACGCTTTACGTTCCAGAGCAGTCGCGAATCAGCGCAACTTATCCATGTTTGCGCGGCCGCCCACGACCTCTCCGTGGCCCTCTAGAAGAACTGGTACTCCTTGCGGCGGTGGCGGCGGTTTTGGTGTTTATCTTCGCATTGATACCCTTGTTGTTGACCCTGGTCGCTTTTCCGCTCTGGAGCCGTATCACCCTCCGATCGTGCCTCACGCCTCGTGAACCGGCTTTGGTGCTGCCTTTCGTGCTGGAGGCGCTCTTACTGCCTGACTGAGCTGAAGTTCGAGTTTTCGTGGACAAGCCATGCTGACTCCTGAGAAAGGCAAACACCGCTTGCAGAGCGAATCCCGGCACCAATTCGTGTTCTTCAGCAGCTACAAGGTCAAGGATGATACAAGGTGAAATATTAACGACCGAAACGGTGTCTCCGTCATGACATGGCTCAGAGAAGGTTACGGATATAACACCGTGCAGCTATTGCCATAACTCACCATTGACTTTGATCCCGTTTCGACCTGGCGATGATCCGTTCTTGGCCATGAACGAACGCGCATGCTAATTATTGGACAATCGCCAAAATTAAAGTTTCCATCATAAAAAGGGGAAGGAGTAGGAAGGCAGACATGATTATAATGCGCGGGTGACAATCACAAAACGAGTAGATATTATATCCTCTCTGGCCTAACTTACTTTGTTCAGCCATGCACGGTCCAGTTTCTCTTCCCGTTTGTCTCCTGTAGTTCCATCCAGTAGCACAGCAGCCTTGACTCGTTCCCTGAACTCCGCCGCGCCTAAATATGGATAAGATCGTAGCATGGATTAGTATAGTGCGCACGCAAAGGCTGACACTATGCAAAGGGGCATGGACACTTATATGATCAAATGAACTTACGGGAGCTGTCGAGGATAGACAATACTGCATCGGTTCCTTCACCAAAGGCAACATACATCACACACGTCGCCTTCGAGGGTCTATCATGCCATGTGGATGGAACAAATGGACAGCTAAATATTAGTAACAACACATGAAGACTTTGAGGATCGAATTCGCCCCAAAAAGTCCGCCAAGCACAAGCCAGGTCATACTTACTGGACAATGTCGTCCCAGACGTACTGCACATGCGCCTCGCGGTACTCGTCCGAATCATAAAGGTCGCCTCCGTTAGGGTCACACAGCACCACACCCCATCCTTGCTCCAGCGCCAAGTCGATATAAGGAAACTGGGATGCAAACAAAAAGTTTCCCTTTTCTCCTGTCGTGAACAAGTCCTTGTCCCACTGCCCAGGTGACTCTCCGCCCATCTTTGGTACCAGCACCAACATAGTTGGGTTTGTACGTGCACCAGACCTATTTGACATGAAAGTACCTTGGTCAATAAGAAAAAGATGTAATTGAACGCAAAGTCTGATGAATGTGCGAGGTGGAGTATTAATACCTCTATGAGTTCACTTTCACTTACGAAATGAATATCCGTGGGAATCGGTGATGATCGCCTCCGCCGGGTGCAGATGTACCCTTGTTCTGAGCAACAGCAATCTGTTCAAATCCATATTTGTTCTTCAATCGGTCATACACCAGGCTCTGGATCTTGTCTACCACAGGAGAGGGAAATAAAAATTTACGATCCGCGTTAATTATTTCACACCCAAACCTAAACGAGAATCTTCGTGACAAACAAGAAAGATCCGCATTGACACTCGTTACCTTGGATAAACTCGAACCGGTCAAAGTGGTTTTCATAGTTATATAACTTGCCTATTTGTTTTTTTAGCACGCAAAGCAAGTAGAATCAGTCCCCCCCGCCTACAAAAAAAAAAAAAAAAACGACCCACCACACGAAGGAGTTACGAATTGAGAGAAATGAATAGCTTCTTACCATGCTTGTCAACAAAGTCATGATCTTTATTCTCCGAAAAATGCCATCCCATCAACGAGAACCATTCCTCATCCGTATGTCCCTTGAGGTTGTCAGCTTCGTCGTCGATTGGTTGCTTTGGGGATTCCTCAGATCCTGATGCGGACGCGGATGCGGGCGGTGTGAAAGGAAGGGTCTGATCCATACCCTGGCTGTTCTTGGCGTTTAGAGTGGGTGTGATAATCCGTACGCTGTTCTCAGCAATGTGCTTGTCCTTCTTCATAGGCGGTGCTGATACGATCTTCTTGTTTTTCTTTTTTGACGCGGTCGCGGTCGCTGTGGTGGCGATAGTAAGTTCTGTGGCGATGTCGTCATTACTACTCGTCATAGTGTGATATGCGTCGGTGTCGTTGTCATTGTCGTCGTTGTAGGGGGTTGCGGCGGTTTTGCATTCCCCACTACTCCTCTTTGTCGTCGTCGCGCTTGTGGTCGTGGGTTTAGCGGTGGCGTTGTCGTCGTCAGTGCCGTTCGTCGTGGTTGGAGTATGAGGTAACTCTTGCACTACTCCCTCTTCCTCCTTTTTCTCCTCGTCGTCGTCGTTTTTGGCGGTATCGTTGGTAGTCTTGCACTTCTTGGTGGTAGTCGCGGTAACGAGTTCCTGGAATGCGTCTCGTTTGTTGCTATTACTGCAAGTGGGAATGGTGTTTTTGGGATTGCCACTTTCCTGGCTTGTGATCTCCATGACTGATTCAGGGTTAGATGTGTGCGTTGGAGGCGAGGGTAGGGAGGGTGAGAGTGAGGTGTGAATGAATGAAGAGGAGAGGTGTAAAAAAAGGAGCTGAATGGTCTGCACACCTTTACGCCCTTCTCCTCGGTGCCCATCCTTCGAAAAACAAGTCACATTTTGTCTACATTCTTGCACGGAGCATGGAGAGATAATTTGGATCATGTTTATTCATCTTCATCCTCGTTCTATCTTTCCAACCCAATCCAACCCTCCCTCCCTCCCCGTCCTCACCTCCCCTTCAGAGCCGCTCATCGCCATTCTTGAGCCCATACCGCATCCCAAACGGCGAAATATACCGGCTCTCAAAGATCCGCTCCAACATCAATTCCTTAGTATAATACCCGCCAGCCGCTGCAAGTGTCGATCGATCCCCCGCAACCTGGATCGTCGCCCGGATCTGACCTATCATCATTGTATGCCCCGGGTCCAGATATGCGCAAATCGCCTCGAAGATCTCGTACGGCATGTTGGCGAGGTTCGCCAGGACCTTGTGCGCGTTGTAAGGGGATTCCTCAGTGACGATGACCGCGGGGTAGGCGGTGGAGATTGTCGACGTTGTGGACGAGGGGCATCCTTTTGTTGAGGGTGTGGGGGACGATGATCCGCCGAGGAGGAGGCCTTGGATTGGTTGTTGTTGGTAATAAGGGAGGTGGTCTCGTCGGATACTAATGTTACTGCTACTGTTACTGCTGCCGAGTCCAAGCCCTTCTCCAAGATCTAGGTCGAGTCCAAGACCAGGTGTACTCAATGAGACTGACGTGGAGGGGCGATTCCCATGGGCGAGATTCTGGAAAGATCCCGATCCTGCTTCGCGCTCGTCCTGTGATACCGCTACTTCTGGTGCCACTCGACTCATATTCCCGACCGCCAGCAACAATGGAGATGCGTTACCGCTGCCATGGACGTCATGACTCGAACGAAGCTTGCTGAGCGATGAGTACGAGTTTGACGAGTTAGTCCTGACCAGGCCGACCTTCTTCTTCAGCAGACTCCACGCACTTTTACTCTGCGACGCTTGTTGCTGTTGCTGTTGCTGTATCTGCGTCTGAAGCAACCTCTGATTGGCTGGGCGACCCAACAAGACCACCCGCGACAAGACCAAAATCCTGCACGCCGCTGCATAGATCGCCTGCTGCCAAATAAAGTTCCTCGTCAACAGATGCTGAATCGCCTCATACAACACATGTCGATCCTCTGAGTTGTAATCCAACTGGATTCCCTTCATCGAGTGGTTCTTGGCCAAATTGTTCGACAGAGCCCAGTACCCCTCCACCGCAATATCCGGGTTCGACGTCAACCCCAGATTCTGGAGCCCCCTGGCCGACGGCAAGACCTCTGCAATCGCCAACGCTCCCTCGGTCGAGATCCCACAGTTGGTGAAGTTGATGCTCTCTAGTGTCGAGTTCATAGCCACGCCCTTCATCAACTCGCTGACCGCGTCTCCCGAAAACAGGTTGTAGGCCAAGTTGATCTCCCGCAGCGTCCGGTTGGTCCTGAGAACCTCGCCCAACGCCGCCATACCCACAACAATCTGCCCATTCCCAATATTGTTCAGCTCCAGATCCAGACTGATCAACGACTTGTTACGCTTCAGACTCTCACAAATCTCCACCAGTCCTTCGTCGCCAATGTTGTTGTGGGGCAAGTAGAGGTAGGTCAAGTGTCGGTTCGAAACCAGGGCTGCAGCCATAGATGTCGCACCTTTAGGCCCCATCTCGTTCATATCCAAACTCAGCGAGTTGAGCGTCCTGTTGAACCGGACCGCATCAGCAACCATGATACAGCCCTCAGGGACCAACCCATTCGACCCCACGTTCAGATGCCGAAGCACCCTGTTCTTGGTTAGCAGCTGCGCCAGGAAGGGTGCCCCCGCCAGCTTGATATTATTGGACTGGAGACAAAGTCGAACTAACGCCCGGTTATAGAACAACTCCTCCGCAAGGAGCTCCATCCCAGGGGCTGTAATCCTGTTATTTGACAAATCCAGCTCCTGAAGCGTCCCATTCTTGCCCAACATCTTGGCGACATACTTGACAGTCTTGTCATTAATCCCCGACCGAGCGAGCGAGAGCACCGTAATCGTCTGATTATACTTCCATGCCTCAAAGATGTACTTGAGCGCCTGTTGGCTGATCGCATTCTGGGCCAGCTTGAGGATCTTGATATTTGCCGCCTCCGAGGATCGAATCAGCCTCGCTAGGAGTTTCGCATCCGCCGCCGAGATGGCTGCCCCGCTGATGTTGATGGTCTCCAGCGCAGTCGAGTTCTTGCCGGCCATGGAGACGAGGAGGATGTTGAGGATGGGTTCTGAGAGCGCCAAAAAGTTGCCTCGCTGGATCGCTGATATAATAGGTGCCATGGGGATAGTCGTTGTTCCTGCCCCCCCGGTCGTTGACGTTGCTGTGGCCGTACCAGATGCTGCGTTGGATGACGAACGGGTCCTGACGTTGAGGTTGGATAAGTCGGTGACGACATGCCCAATCCCATCAAGACTCTTGTTACTCATGGTTTTTGGTAGCGTGATAGTCCCATACGCGAGCGAGGTGGTGTAGTTGTTACTATTGCTATTCCTGCGACCCGACGAGGAGGGCATGGGCATGGTGTGATTCCGGGCAAGTTCGACCATTCTCTTTAGAAAACTGGTATCTCCCTTCGTAGAGTCTGTTGATGTTGTAGTGTTGTCGTTGGAGAACGAAAAGGACCGGATACGCTGTTTGAAGGATGAGCTGCGGAGGGGTAAAGAGAGGGATGGAGAGGGTAAGGGTGGGCTGTTGTTGTTGGTGGTAGGAGGCTCGATGCTGGAGGAGCTGATGAAGCTAATAGAGCTGAGGTTGGCGGCAGAGACGGAGGAGAAGGTGTTCGAGGCGTTTGTTAACTTGAGTTTCCTGAACGGATGCAGCCACGAAGGTGAGGACGAGGAAGAAGAGGAGGATTTAGAGAGCCCTGTCAAGGGAAGGTTGTTGTGGAGGGATGAAGCTTTGTCCGCACGAGGGTGAACAGCACGATGGATAGTAGTGACAGTAGGAGGAGGAGGAAGTGGTGGCTCTGGGAAGGTGGCAGTAGGGACGATTGTTGGCAATGAGGATGGACAGAGTGGAGGAGAGGAAGGAGGAGAGGAGTCAGAGAGAGGAGGGGAGGGATAGAGAGAGAAGGTGACAGAGTGAGGTGTCGATGAGTCGAGAGGATGGATAGGAGTAGGAGGAGCTGTGAATTGAAGAGGAGAAGAAGAAGAAGAGTCGTGTGTAGTGGTCGAAGATAAAGACGCGGTCGTGGTTTGGGGGACGATGACAAGATTCGGCACTTGGACAAAAGAGGAAGCAGTCGGGTGAGTTGGACACTTTGTTGACAGTGTGGTGGTTGTTGTGGTTGTTGTACTCGTATCTGTCGAAGGTACAGATTGAGGTGCAGGTGGATGAAGGGGGAGGGAGAAAAAGTTCGGGTTGATGTTGTTGTTGTCGCCTGGTATGTCTCCTGCCTTGTCGTCCGTGTTCTCGTTGCTGTTGTTGCTCAGACAACTGGTACTATCGTTACCCGTGCCAGTCCTTTTACCAATGCTTTTGTCAGTTGTGGTGGCGCCAGTGAGAGAGCGAGACGACGATGGGGCGGGAGGAAAGGATGACGATGGGTCCGATGGGTCGCCGGGGAAGATAGACAGTGCGCTTTTCCGGGAGGGATTAGCCGGGTCTAGACAGGTGTTTTGTGTCGTATGTGCGTGTGTGTGAAAGGAGGGAATACAACGAGGGATTTAACGTTATTAGAAGTGCCAATGGATAATAATGCCTCAGAGGAAGGAGAACAGGGCCGTTGTGGGCTATGTTTGTGTTCAACGCATTGGGAGCCAGGGGGGGAGAGAAAGGCGAAGAAGTGTGTAAAGAGAGGTTGACGGACAGAGCACAGTAAGAAAAGAAGTAAAGGGAAGAGGTAGCTTGCACCAGCAAAGGGTGAATGAATGAATGAATGAAAAAAGAGGAAAGGGTCAAGGTGAATGGAGAGGTCAAGTGCAGAGAGAAGGAAAGCAAACGAATGAAAGGGGAAGTGAGGTTCGAATGACGGCAGTGGACATAAAAAAAAGTGACAAAGTGCGCACTAGAAGAGAGCCGCAAGAGACATGCCATCATGCCATAATGCATTATTCAACCCACACAATATTTTGCGAGTAAAAAAGGGGTGTGGGAGGACACGATCTTCCTTCCTTCTCATTGTTTGTTGCAATGGCTGTTTGTCCTACCTTGGTCATGACAATGCATCGATCCATACTCTTCCTCACAAGATCGATCCCTAAACAAGGAAACTCCAGTGCACGAGGACAGCGACATCGCTGAACCTTGTCCTACTTGTGCGTCTTCCAGTCTAGTCTCGGGATCATGGTGTTGTCGCTTTTTGTCCGTCGATGTTGTTGCAGCGAGTAAAGAGTTGTCTGATCCGGCCATTGGTAGTAACGTTCTCAACGAAGTAGCCGCATCCTCTGAAGGTGAGGTATCAGGAATAGAAAGAAGAGAGGAGGAAAAAGAAAGAGGATCTTGTAGGTTCAGATCTGCGGCTGATGACGATGACGCTTGTTGTCTAGTTGATGCAAGGGGAGCAGGTGAAGACGATAGAGGTGTAGTAGATCGAGAGACGAGGGAATTGGTGGAAGAGGACAAGGGCAAGGAGGAAAGGCGGATAGGAGTTGTGGAGGAGAGAGAAGAGAGAGAGGTGGCCGAGCGGATCGTCAGGGTGGATCGGAATGGTAGTGTCAGTTGTGAAAAACCGTCTTCCGGTGTCACGTCTTTGCTTTCCAATTGTCCAAGCGAGTTGCAGAGAGTGTTGCAGTTGTTGCTGTTATTGTTGTCGTCGTCGTCGTTGCAGCGCAGGAAAGGGTCGTAATCATCATGGTTGTCTTTATCGCTGTCGTTGTTTGCATTTGGAACAGGTGTGCTCGGGCCAATGCCATTGGCGCAACTGCAGCTGTTGTTGTCGAGATAGGTGCGACTCCGGATCATGTCTCCCTTCCTATTCGAGGGTCCAGTAGCAGCAGCAGCGCTCATGATGCCTACTGTCTCGGATTATTTCTCGCGTTTTTGTTTCTTTTTAGATCGACTGAAAAGAAAGACGAGACACTACGAGGACGGGAGAGGGTGTGGAGCGATTGCTGAAGAATAATGAAAGGAAGGGTAATGCAAAGAAGGAAAAAGAAAAGGAGAAAGAGAGAGAATCACGGCATTGGTGGGAAAGGTCGAGGTAGGGCAAGCACCATCGTTCTAGGGCCCTTGCTGTCAAGATTGGTTATGGTTAGAGACGCAGTAGTGGTCATGCAGAGGATGTTCAAGAGCAAGCAGTTAGAAAAGACTGTGCGAGAGGTAGAAAGAGAGAGAGAGAGAAAGAAAGAAGCGAGAGGTGTATGCGAAAAGTAGTACAGCAATGAAGGAAGAAAGAGGAAAAAAAGGAAGACAAAAAAAAAGGGAGGGGAAGACAACAAAGCATCGACAAAAATGAACAAGCATGTCTGTTCTCTCGCCCCGCACAGACATTGGGGAATAATGCCAAAAATGAATGCAGTTTGCCTTTCTATTGTCTCCCTTCTTTACACCTCCTTACTAACCCTTGTCTTTTCTTCCCTCCTTCTCTCTCTCATGAACACCAAATCACTCCGCCCTGCTTGGTACTGTCCAGCTGCTCAGAACATTCCCCTTTCGATAAAGTCTCGCTCTTCCACAACAAGAGCAGCATCTCGAAAATATAAAACAAGAACGAGCCCTCCTCTTTGTATCACCAAGGAGCTCCCCTTTGGGCACCTCCTTTTTTTTTTTTTTTTTTTTTTTTTTTTTTTTTTTGCCGATGGGCGATCGGAAAATAGTAAGGACTCGGTGTGGAAAGCACAAGAGAAGAACGAATGTGGAGGAGCAATTGGATGAGCTAAGAAAAGTTCAACCTTGATATCTAGTTCTCGTGAATCCAGACTAAAGCAAGGCAGAGTGATCTTTCCTTAGACAAGACCGTGGGCAAGAGTGGGGAAGGGATACGTACACGGGAAGAAGGTGAGTCAAAGGCACGAAGCGACAAAGGGTTCAAGGTGGCAATGGTGTATATATTCTAGTCACTACAGTGCTCCAAATAAGTGATTCATGAAAAGGCGGATTCGACTTTCATTTTGAATTGCTCATCCCCCATCGTTGCATTCATCCCCCGGATCTCTCTCTGACATTCATATGCCTTTTCTTGATGCCCTTGTCCAATCCGTAGCCGTTCTGGAGATGACTTCTGAATTGAATAAGTTAATGAATTGTTTAATGGATATCGATTGATGGGGTCCATTTACCTTTCTCCTGTCCTCCTCCTTGCGCTTTGTTTTATGTGGGTTCTGATAGTTCAGGCTGCATGTCAGATCTGTTAACGATCGTAAGCGAAGGTACTGTTAAGCGCACAGGGACTTTGTCAGCTGCAGGTACACAAAGTAAAAAGAGGTTACTAGTTCATAAGCCCGAGGCTCTCATTCGCGGCTAGGTCACCAGGGACATCGAGCTCTAGTGGCGACTCTGAATTGTCTAACTGTCTCGTTCTCGTTGCAGAAGCTGCGGAATATGTTGAGTACTCATCCTGTACTTCTTGCAGTCCAGCTTCACGGCAGCCCTCTTTGCAACTGTTTTTAACGTGTACTGACTCCTAATAGGGAGGTTCAAACTTTGACATTTGATGTCGTGTAACCAAATGCGCCGTCAAGCAAATCCGCGAAGGAAATACGCATTGATTTGAATGTCGCATTGTTGGTCTTAAAAGCCTCATATTCTTGCAGGATGGACTGCCGCCGAGCTACCAGGATTCCTGGGGACCGGAGGACCGAAATCGTTTTGCGAGAGTCGTCATTCTCACACGCTCCACATCGTTTTTCGAAGGCTCCAGCGCCCACTCGAGTTGCGTTTGAAACGCACGGTCTGCTTCCATCTACAATCGGCTGAGTCTCGTGGGCAATAATGGAGTCAGTATCAACTCTCAAACGTAGTTAATTAGCATGATAGAACAAATAAAAAGCAAAAAACGCGCTGTGGGTAATCAAAATTCTCCAGTCCCAGAGCTACTCCGTCCCTGGGCATGTTTAATTTTGACCTTCACGTCCGCATCCGCAACTGAGCAGGCGATCCGATTCCTGAGAATGGTAAATCGCCCGGGTCGAGAAGGTAATGCATTGGAAAAGATGTTTTGTACCACTCTTGTACACATCAACTGTCATCATTCACAGGTCGACCAATGGACTGAGCCTGAAGAACAGTTGATTTTCAAACAGCACCCCAACTGCGCAGGCGATCCGATTCCTAAGGAATGGTAAAATCGCCCGGGTCGAGAAGGGAATGCATCCGAATGAAATTGTGCACAAGCCAATAATTGCACAATCTCTTTCTTACCTGACTCTGTGGAACGACGATGAAAAGGGCGAGGTGGTGGCAATGTGCCGTGATGAAGAGAATAGGGGTGTGCGACGATAGGAGAGGCGTGTGGTGATGAGGATGGTGTGGGCGTGTTGGCAACTGTGGGCGTAAGATGTTGCAACAGTGATGAAGTCAACGTGGCTTAGACAAGGTCAGGAAGGCTAGAAGGCGGTCAGGCGCGTGTCAAGAGGAAAATTTATTAAAAAGCTGGATGAACACGGTCGCATTATTGACTCGGTCATTCCTCATATCTCTTTCTTTGTTTTTCTCTCTTTTTTCCCTCTCAGGTGCTCACCTACTCACTCACACACCTTTCTATTTTCTCTCCTTTTTCTTTTCTTCTCTCTTCCTCCTTCACTACCACTCATACGCGCACTATCTCTCTCTCTCTCAATGCAAAAAATACAATGACGCCATGTGCATCCAGCCTTTTCGTTTACTGAGTGTAATTGTTGAACTTTATTATTTAGAACCGATAGGATTTTCCCTTGACCACGTCTGACCGCTTCCTCTGACGGCACCTCTGGCCGCTTCTCTAACCGCCTTTCTCGACCAGGTCAGGGCCTGGAACTTCAACTACACCATCCTACCGCGCAAGTACTGCCATCCACCCTGACCACCTCGGGTCCCAGACCACAGTTCATTTCTAGGCAACATTGCAGCCTATCGTGTCACCTTAGGATCCTCATCCACCTCAATGTCCATCATCATCAACCTATCTCCAATTTTCATCCTTGCGAACCCGCCTTTCAAATCGTTCCCATTTAGACTTGATGGCGATTTGTCAATACTAGCATCTCTCATCGCACCCATGTTCAAGAACTGGCTCATATCGTTCATGCCATTGTTTTGCTGGCCACTCACTGAAAAATAGGGAGTAGGAGCGATAGTAGCTTGCCCAGGCAAAATACCTTGAAACCCCATAGTAGGCTCCGCCGGATGGGAAGAATAATACTGAGCCAAGAGCGCACCCGGAGTAAGCAAAGAGTTAAGTGATTGGGACTGCGCGACAGTGGGGGTGGCGGCGGCGGCAGCAGTGGAAACCAAATCCTGTTTTTGAGCCGCATTATTGTCCACTGGGATAAACTCGTAACTTCCGCCACTTTGCATATACTGATTGTAAATCTCCCAAAAGTCGGCCTTGGGGTTGGTGAGGTTGGAAATAAAATTGTCCACATTTGTTGCATGGATGCCACAAGCGCTGGCGAAAGGTCCCGCTGACTCCATCAGTCCTGCGACAGTATTGATATAGGTGTTGGTCGATGGGAAAGTGTTGAGGTTGGTCGATGGGAATGTCGTGGAAGGAGGCTCTACTGTCACCATTTTTCTTGCGACAGTATTGACCCTGGACGATGGTAAAGTGGTGGGAGGTTTCGCTGATGTCGTCATAGGTCCTGCTCCTGTACTGAAGTTAGCCAACGAAAAAGTAGTGGGAAGTCCTGTTGCAACCGCCATAGGTCTTGCGACAGTATTGACATTGGTGTTGGTGTTGGTCGATGGGATTACTGTCATGAAATGTGGCTGGACTGAATTTAGCTGCGTTCGAGGACTTGAGGTGCTGATAGCGGTCGTACCAGGCGTACGGACCTGGTAATGCTGTGGCTGCGATGGTTGCTGCTGACCTCGTCCCGACCTAGTGCTGGGTTCCCATGGCGGCACTGCACGGGCTCTGGAAGTGCTGGTAGTGGTCATCTCAACATCCATGTCCATGTCCTGAACTTGGCTCTGATTCCTAACTGGTGCCGCTGCCACTGTTGACCTGGCAGTCCTCACCGATCTAGTGACTGGTCGATATCGATCGGTGGTGGAAGTCGAAGGGGAATAATCGATATCCATATAGGCTCCCCTCCTGTTGACAGTCCTAACTCTCGCCTGCCTTGTCTTTGCTGGTGGTAGTTTGGTTGTTGCCCTTGCCGGAGTCCTGGTTTGCGCCACCAAAGTCTCAGTTTCCTCCTCCTTTTCTACAGCCGACTTGTCCACCTCAAACACCAACTTGCCAGCAACCATCTCTAACATTCCCGCCGGCCACCTCCGGACTCTTGCAAACTCTGGCAACATAAATCCCAACTTCTTCCTCTGAACCTCCGCATCCCTATTCCACCACTCCTTCACCTCCCTCTTCAACCTGTCCAATGCATCCGCGCGCTCTGGTCGTGTCCAGGCCGTGTTCTGGAATCGGGGGATTTCTTCTACAGGGTACCACTCGTCTGGCTCGAAATACAGTTTCCCGCCCTTTTCGACTAACGTCCGGTCGTTGGCTGTGAAGATGTGGATCGATCCCGGGTATGTTGGATTTTTTTCAAAGTGGGTGATGTGTGGTGCCGCCGGTGTTGTTGCTGCTGTATGCCCGAGATCTTGGCCCAGATCCTGATTCTGTCCCAGATCCTGACTCTGATGCTGACGGAGCCGTGGCCCAAACACCCATCCCCACCGAACCTGCCGGGCTACACGAGTATATTCTTCCAGGCTCCGGTTTCTGATCGTCCGGATCACGCCATGGTTACTCAACCCACGCTCGAAACTGGTCGTGAACCGGGTTTCCATCTGGGTTTGCCGCTTGTATTCGATGTATGCTGGTGTTAGAGGTGGCTCTGGAGCTTTTGGGGCCATTGGAAGTTTCTGTTTCCGTTTGGAGGCACTCTTGCTACCGTTCTTCTTTGTCTCGAGTTTCCTCAACGCCGCCTCAAGTCGTTTCTTCTTCTTGATTTCAAAGATATTTCCGTTCTCGACCTGCTTCTCTTGCTCCGTCACCTCATCATCCTCATCCCGTAACAGGAACAAGGGCCACAACTCCTCGTACCCTCGTCGAATCGTGATCGCCTGAAAGTCGCAATCGAACCAGGGGTGCCAAACGAAATAGGTGAACAATTTTCGGAGATCGTTGGTGGTGAGATCCAGGTCTCGTGGGAGGAGGTGGCAAAAGGAGGCCATCAGGGACCGGGATGGATAGTAGGTATGTGGTCTTGAGTGCGGGTGTTGTTGGTGTTGAGGTGGAGGAGTGCCCGAGCCTGGCTTTGGTGTTCGAGGTGGTGAGGATCTTGGAGATGGCGATGGGGTTGGCATTCCAGGTGGCGCCAAAGAATGACAGTGAGGTTGAGGAGGGCAAGGTGATGGTGGTGGTGGTGGAGGGGCGGTGCGTTGCGGATTAGGGAACCTCGGAACACCAGAATGCTGATACCCCACAGCCAAGTCCCATCCAAAGTGCAGCTTTGTCGCCTTCTCCGAAGTCGAATAAAAGTTCGTCGGACAATCCACATGATGCCCCTCCTCCTTCAACCCAAAATGATCAAGATTCCCATCATAATCATCCTCCTGCCGATTATTGTTAAAGATATCGTCCACATCTTGCGGGGTAAGATGACTGTTCCAGTAGTGAATCCCGGCGCCCGGAAACCGGTCCTGATAATACTTGCGCAAGAACGTCGCAGAAATCAACGCCCTCTCCTTAGCCGCCGCCCTCGTATTCTTACTACCACGTCCCTGCTTCTTATTATCCACCGCTCTTTTCTCATTATCCACCTTCCGCACCGTTGCCGGAGGTGCAAACACGGGCGTCTTCTCGAACTTGAACCCACAATCGACACACGTCGCCAGCAGGGTGCTCTCTCGAGGACGAGGGTTCTTGGGCTGTTTCCGTGCGAATCGGTTGAGGTGTTTGTTCTTGGCGCGGTAGAGCCAGAACTGAGGGAGGTATGTCCTGACAAGGAGATCCATCAAGTCTGAGACAGTATTCAGCGATCGGCCGGCGAGAGAGAGTGCCTGCGAGAGGGCGAGGATTCGTGATGCCGACAATGGTGACGTTGGTGAAGATGGTGGTGTCTCATCCAAAAAGTTCTCGTTGTGCGCCAGGAGCCGGTACATGTCGTTGATCCGCTCACGGACGATAAAATGCTCAGGGTGGTATCGCACTCTGGGGGCCTCCTCTTCGCCATTTTCGGATGGTGGCAGAGAGTCAATCTCGATCAGGCATGTCTGCAAAGTCCCAGGGAGAGGTTCCTGAATCGTATGGTTCCTGAACTGTTCACCACCACCCGCAAGCCCACTGGTATACCTCGACCGGACCTTTGGTGTCGATGCCGATGATGACAACGATGACGACGCAGAGACACCATTGCCATAACGGCCGTTGTCGTCTCTCCTATCGTTGTCGCTGCTGCTGCTCCTAGAACTACTATTGGTGCTTCCTGCGCCGCCCATAGCCGAACTCGAGTCATCTCCATCAAAATCGCCATGTGAATAAAACCGCTGGTAATTCTCCTCAACAGTCTCCAACATCTCTGGCTCCTCCCCATCCTCCACCTCCTCCTCATCAATCACTGTCACTGGCGCCGTCGCCGCCGCCGCAGGGTGTCCCTGACTCGGACTCCCCTGACTCGAATCTTCCTGACTTGAGGCTTCATCGTCCGCATGAACGTCGCTCTCCCCTTCTTGCTCGCGTTGCCGATGGAGCATGTCGTTCTCGTACTCCCTGCGGTTCTTGTCGAAATCTTTTCGCCTCTTGCAGTTGTCCTCGTTATCCTCTTCGTCCTCGTAGTCTTCGTCCTGGCTGTCATCCTGTTCCTCACTCTCGGTCCCATCCTCCTCCTCCTCCTCCTCCTCCTCCTCATCATCATCATCATTGTCATCATCCTCGTCGCCTTCATCCTCCTCCACGTCCTCTTCATCGGTTTCACCCTCCTGCTCCTCGTCCTCATCCATGCTCAAAGCGGTGTAAACAACTTGTTGGGTCACAGCTACAGCTGCAGGGACACCGATTGGAAGTGCAGGAGCGGGGCCTTGAGCTGGATGAGTGTTGAGTCGACCTGCATACATAGTGGCAGTGGTAATGATGGTGGGTCGAGTCCTGGAACGAGTCACCGGTCGAGTGAGAACTTTCTTCCCTCCTGTACGTGGGCGCTTCGAGGGCTGCTGCTGCTGGGTAGGAGAAGGAGGACGCGATGATGACTCTTCTGAGAGAGGAGCGGACGACCTTTTCCTGAGTCTGGTGTTGTTCGACATTGTTCAAAAGTTTATTTTTAGTTTTCGTCGTGGGTTGTTGTTGTTGTTGTTATTGTCGTAGGTTGTAAGTGTCGATGGTTGGTTAGTTGGTGGGTGTGTGGGTTGTGTATAATATGTTTTTGGGGTCAATAAAGCGTTCTGAATCTCAAAATCGTGGCCAGGAAGAGGGAGGGGTGGTGGTGTTTAAATACAAAAGGCGAGCAATTGAATGCCATTGTGGTATGTATACGCGTTTTTACTTACCACGAAGCCATTGTCGTCTGCGTCAGTATACGCTTTAATCCTCATCAAAGGACCGGCTAGTCGGCTCAGGGGTGGTGTTGAAAGAATATCGCTCCTTCTGGCTTGGGTGCACGTAGGGACTCGATGAATGCTGTCATAGGTACACATGGTGGTATGAAAGACTGCTTCCTCCTCCTCCTCCTGCAGATCGATGATCGACGGCATGTTGTCATAAGGATCCACGGGTATGAAGCAATTGAAGTGAGGTGCCTGAAAGAGTGGTGTGTCAAAGAGGGTTATGTGAGAGAGGGGTGTATGAATGATGACGATGACCGAGCTTTTGTCCACCATGCTCATCCACCGTGGAAGCCATTGCGCTCTTGGCGAACCATGTCGTCACTGACTGACTGTGGTCAAAGAGCCGCGTATGTTGTGTGCTGTGTGTGGCATCCCGTCTGTCGAATTGTGTTTGTTCCATGCGGCAGCAAAGGTTCCTTGAGGCTGATTCCGTGAAAGAGGCAAGAGAAGAAAAAGGACGACCATGTGGTCCCCTTGCCTTTTTTCAAGGACCGCAGAAAATTAAGCTATATGCGTGTGTTTATCGAAACTTAAACCGTGTCCCTCCCATGTCCACATCCAACTCATCCTCTCCATTCATCCTCTCCACATTCCTTACTTCCGTACTCACCGCTTCCGCACTTGCCGCTTTCGTACTTACCGCCAGCACACTTACAGTCCAACTGTGTGAGATGTAAGTAGTCTCTTGCTCCACGTCCTGTCCCTTTGAGCGGGTTGAAAACACTCTTGTCACTATGCGGCTTGACTCTTGTCCGTGGTGCAAGGTAACGTCCTGCACCAGCCCCTGAGTTGGTCGCGACGAGCGGTGATCCTACTGGCACCGGTCATGGAAGTGCTCAATAGCGCCATGGGGTAGTCTTTGGGGATGGATACCTCCTGTCTTTTTTCCTTTGTTGAAAACACTCTACTGTAGTGATCATGATGGTTGTACATGTTTTATTACTTTAGTTGTAAGGACTAACCCTACTTTTTATTCTTTTTTGCACATCTAACCCGTCGATGTATGGGTGCGCGGCGGGAGGCATAAATGGAGCAAGACGACTCTGGCGACCAGACTTGATGCCAATAAGCTCTACGGACCAACGATGTGGATAAGTTTACGCAGAAGTGCAAAGGGTTCGCCTCTCAATAAACAACATTCTCAACCTTTATGAACTGCAGCACGTACTTCATGATAGATGCGAGAGAGAGAGTGTGAATGTGCAAGAAATGTCTCTACTTTAGTACGTCTATGTCAGACAAATTCACTGATAAAAAATCGCGTACTATTCTTGTGATAATAAATCGCCAGCTTCCGCCCACCCTCCTCCTTCTCCACCGCCCTTCCACCTAAACTACGCAAAGTAATCGTCCCCATCATAAAACCTCTCCAATACCTCCTCCATGAAATCAGCTGCCTCCAGAATCCGAAACCGCCGATCCTTGATCTGCGCCACGGCCCACACAAGATCCTCCATCCCATTCTTGGTCCCCTGCTGTAGCCTCACCCGGTATTCTGTCGGCTGCTGCTGCTGACTACTCGATCCACCAACCCTTCGCCGTGTTGCCGCCAATTCTCCCGCCGCTGTTGCTGCTGCTGTTGCTGCTGCTGTTGTTGATAATGGTGATGATAGGCCATTGGACAAGTCCGCCATATCCTCCGGGAACAAGATCGTTCCTGCAGTGTCGTCCCAGCTGCTGCCAGTCGAGAATCGAGAATGATGACTCTGGATCGACAGCCGCTTATTGTGTCCTCCCACAACACTGCTGGCGCTACTATGATTGTGACGTCTGCGATCTATGCCATACGTAGGTGTAGAAACATTTGAGGTCGTCGGCGACGATCCCAGAGCAAGCGGAGGAGGTGGCGTTGACATGATAGTCCTCTTGACAATACCCAGCGGCGAAGAAGCCAACGCAGGCAACAAAGCCATCGTCATCGCTGCCGCACCCGCAGCAGATCCACCCTTGTGCACCGAGACACCAACAGTAGGAGGGGCCGCAAAGACAATAGCATAGTCCTTGTTCTTGGCCGGCAACTGAGAAAGAGCCTCGATCAGCATCGTACTCACATCCCTACTCTCATGCTTCCCGCCACTACCACCGCCACCAGGTGCTGCTGAGGACCCATCGCCAAGACTCTGTACGCTACTCAGCCGTCCCTTTCGCCAGGCCAGAACACCCCCACCGCCTCCAGCATGACCAGTATCTGTTCCATGATGAATTGAGAGCCCCTTGTCTGCGAGTCGGACCACCAAGTAGGTGTAAATAATCCTAACCACCATTCGGAACTTGGCATCCAACGTGGACCGTGTGCCCATCCCGATAGAACTGAGCATTCCCTTGGTCGAATCCCGATCCTGGAACCACAACTCCAATGTCCGGCATACGTGCATCACAGAGCTCAAAAATCTACTCTGCAAAACACTATTGATTAAAAACAAAAAAGGCAAAGTGGAAAAAGGTTACATCGAATGCTCCATGTATGCTTATTATACAAAACACATAGACAGATGACACGAACCGTACCTGTGGACGGACTCTTTGGCAACCAAGGTGAGGAACATCCTCAGCAGCAAGAGACTCTGGTATGCCTTCCAGGGCTCAATCGCCTGCAAGTTCACCTTCGAAATGACCTCAGCCAGCTCCTGCCCCAACTCCAAGACCTCATCAAATTCCTGACTCTGCTCACACTCCTCCAGTAACTGCAAGAATCGACCATAGATCGTGAGAATCGCGCCTTGCTTGAACGCCTGGTCCAAGAACTCGTCCTCTGTCAGTTCCGGTGCCTCGATCTGCGCCTTGACCTTGCTCCAAGAATTTCGTCCGTCACCGCTGTTTGTCCTGTGATGCTCCGGTGTGTGTGACGTGTTTGACCGGGTGTGACCAATCCAAGGCATCGGGGATATCGTTTGTTGTAGAGGCGTGTCTTCAAGTCCAAAGACGGATCCAGACATACTCATCGCGCTTGCTGACTGTATTCGGTCAAATCGACTGCCCTGCTCCCCTGCCCACAGGTCAAACTCGCGCTCAATCGCCTCCTCCAAGAGGTTGACCATTACCGGGATCGAGTTAATACGCTGACATATCACCCTGATGACATCCAGCTGGATGACCTCTACATCCGAAATCATGCGCTTCAGTCCTTGAAGAACCATGTCGTACACGGGCGAGGACAGGGATGAAGGCGAAGATGTCGGTTGTGCAGCTGGTCCTGGTCCACACTGATTCAAGAAACTGACCAGTGTCAACAATGACCGATGAATGTCGGGGTGCCTGACCTGGTGCCGACTTCCTGCGATCCTGTCAAGGACTTGACCAAGATGAACGACCACATGGGGTATAGCGTCCGCGCGAAAGTTGACGTTCTGGGAATCCTCCGCGGACGATGCGAGTCGGACCTGCAGCAGTCGAGTCGTGTAACCAAAGTAAATCAACACTCGTTCAACGCTCAATCGTCTGCCTTCCATGCCATAGACCATGTTGTCGTTCTGATCCAGCTCCGTCAGATCCGTGCTCTCCAGTCCGACAGCAATCCTCATCCAGTAGAGCAACAGTCCCAATGGACTGTTCAGGTCATCCCACATGCCAGCACGATCCCACTGAACCTTGAGCCCTTCGACCTGACTCCCGAGTTCCTCCGTTGACAGTAGCGCCCAATCTCCAGCATCCAACATAGTAGACCAGATCCGGTTCAAAAGCTGCTGACGAACGTCCAGGTCTTCCCCACAAATGAGATCCGCGTCCTGTAAGATCGCGGTGCCGAGTTTTAGAAACGCCGCCTCTGTCTGGTGCCACTCAGCAGTGCCTTTGGCCTCCAGACGCTTCAGGTGGCGGGGTCGCAAGTCCGAGTCAGCGTTCTCCATGAGCACCGTCACCAAATAAGTCCAAAAGTCGACACGAATCTCGACGCTCAGCTTGGTTTTGACCTCCAAGATCCTCTCAACCCGCTCCTTGGATAGCTCGAGTCCAGTCCAGTCCAGTCGGTGAAAGTGTTGGTGAAGCAGCATGATCTGGTTGATCGATCCCTGACCCAGAGTACTCTGATCCATCAACTCCAGCCAAAAATCAAACAGCTCCTGCAGCATAAGACTCGCATCGCCAAAGTGGGCTTGAAGCGCGGTTATCATTTTGGACACAATTCCGACAAAGGTGAAAAGCAGACGACTCGCTCCGCCCTGCTGGCGCTGGAACCGAATCTCATCCACTGCACGATCGGTCAAACAAGACAGCCACGGTTGAAAGACCATCAGCGTATCGTGCCACATGCGGCATTGTGTTGGACTGACAAGGGTTCCCGCCTGTCGGTATCCTCCTGAATCGCCGGTGTCTGTTGGGGGTGAGTGGCCATAGACAGAGGTCGAGTATCCAATGCTCTCGGGGAATGACTTGATCCACTTTGTGAAATATCGCTCGTCGCACAAAACGGCGGTCAAGAGCGAGGCAATCGAGACGGCATATCCGCTGTACCGATCCAACAGGTTTCCCCGAGCCAGCTTCTCCTGGCACTCCACGAAGTAATCTGCCAAGAACTGGACAAGACGACCCAAATCGTAGTCGGACAGTCCAACTCGCGTCAAGGCCTTCCCTCCAGTCCCAAGACGCTCGTCTGAGGCGTCAGCGCCGTCCAACAGGGCCGGAATCAACGTTGGCTCGACTCCCAAGATGCGGATGAAATCCTCCAGAACCTCAGGCTCCAAACACATGATTCCGCAAGTGTCGAAAAGGATTCGGAGATACTCGACATAGTCCTGCTGCAGAAAGTTCAAGAATAACGTTCCTGCAAGTTCCCGGTGCGACTTGATGATAGCCAGTCGATCGCGGGTGCTGAGCTCAGTTGCTTCTTGGATCCGATCGTCCTGCTTCTGAAGCTGCTGCTGTGCCACCATCGCAGTAAAGGCAACCTCGTAGAACGCCAATCTGTCCAGCACCGAAGGTCCACTGATCTTGCTTTGTTGATCTGAATCGCCACCAGGAGCATTGGTAATCGGCTCAACAGCCCAAGCTTGGACGTCAAACTGCCTCAGCAATCGGTCCTTTGATACGAGCCCATATTCCTTGCAGGCGGCGATCCGATTATAAAGCCTCACAAAGTCTGACGGTATGGCTGCGGGGTAAAACGTCTTGAAGAGTAGCGAGATCGTAAAGTCATCCGTCTTCATCAGGTCCAGAATCGGCTCTGTCTGACTGGGATCCTTTGCCACCACTTCCATCCCGAGAGTCTCGACGATCGAGGTGAGAAGAACGAATGCTGGAGGATAGGTCGACGCGTCTCCCAAGAGCTCGTTGCAGAGATAGTAAAAGGACCGGACGGACAGTTCCTGAAGGTTGGTGTTGCTTGGGTCGAGCTCCAAACGGTCCAGAAGAGTGCTGATGGTCTTTGATATCTCCAGGGCCGCTAGACATAGTCCTTGTTCAACGCTTCCTAGCCGAAGCTCCCGCGCCCGCTGACGGTTCTCAACGATCGAGTTCTTGACCTTGTCATTGACGATAATCTCCTCGTACTTGAGCTCTATTACAGCCGCGCGGACACAATGAGTGTTGGGAGTGGTGTCGCAGGCTATATCGATCCTTTTAGCCCTGACTTCATTGTGGTAGAGAGCTCCCAGTTCAGACAGGTAGACAACATCGAGATTCGTGTACGCCTCGTTCGTTGTCTCGTAGTTCCTGTAATAGTCTCGCACAGATCGGACTGTTTGGCTGAAGAGGTGCTGAGGCGTTGACTGCGCGCCGATGACCGCGGCTGGTGCCAATACACGCGGGACAAAGAACTCTGGACCAGCCCTCGACTGCTTGGCGATACAGTTGACGATCTTTTGTTCCTGCCAGGCATGACTATGCTTCCGAACCGCGCGAGATCGACCTGTGTCCGCGTTCCTGGATCGAGGCGGGCTGCTGATTTCTTGAAACGACGACGTTGATCGACCAGGGCATGTCTCCGAGAAGGTGGACTTGGCCTCATCCTGCTCAGTCAAAAGAAAGCTCTTCCAGAGGTCCGAGTTGCTCTCCAGCGGATCAGGCAAACGGCAGGTGGTAAGAAGCTCAGGCATCAAGTCCTTGCGGATCCTCCGAAGATCGATTTCAGGTGTCAAAAGTAATGGTTCGCTGATCCACCCGTAAAGAGCAATATACATCTCGTGCAGCGTCGTCAAAGGCCCCGCTCTCTTAAGATCCTGCACCTGAACTGCCTTGCGCGCCTCCTGTCCAAAATGAGTATAGGTCGTCTGGAGTCGTTCCTTTAGCTGCTCCACGATCTCTGGGCTGGTCTCCAAGAATTTGCAGCCATAAAAGGTTGTCGGGTGCTCAGCATGTCCAAAGTAGAGGGAGAAGAACATTTGCCAGAACAGAGGAAGCAGAAAAGTATCCACCGGAAGGGCGAGCAGGTGTTGGGTCCAGCGCCAGATCGCAAAGTTCTGTAGAGTCTTGCGCGACGTAATCCCCAGCGTCTTGACGACCGTCTTGATGTTTCCGTGGACCTTGACCTCGGCTGGGTGTTGGCGGTAGTAGTTGCCGACTTTGATCCGCATGTCCCGCTCCAGTCCAGTCTCAACCGAGAGTGCATAGTAGGCAAACCAGACAGATGTCGACTCCACCATCGCCTGCTGAGTAAACAGGTTGGTCGCAAACGCCTTGACGGACCATGTTCCCATCAGTAAACTAGGGTCGCTCGACCCTTGTGGTACAGAAAGCGGCAGCGCCTTGACAAACCTCTCCGGCAACATATCCATGACCTTGTCCAGTCCTGGTTGCGCAAGACCCATCAGTTCGGCCGAAACTCCTGGTGCTCGACGATATCCGATCGACAGTAGAATTTGCTGCTCCAAGAGTGCGTCCTTGACGAGCGTGTGGAGTCCGTGCTCGAATGCGACATGACACACAACGTCCAGTACCTGCACACATTCCTGATGAAGCATCCATTCCTTCTGTGAAAAGATTGCTGTCATCCAAAACTGAATCACAGAAATCGTTCCTCCATCGCCTCGCACACGTCCCTGCTCCAGATGGGCTCGCAAGAGTGACCAGAGTCCCCTCAACTCCTTGGCCACATTATGTGGAGCCGTCCAGCCCTTGTTCGATTGTTGTAATGCAGCGGAACGGGCGAGCATGGGGTCCTGTTTCCATCCTCCAACATCACGCAGGAGCTGGCCAAACTTGGCAGCATGAGGCTTCAAGTCTAAACCGGAGAAAATGATGGGTGGTACAAGTTTGCCAACCAGATCCAGAAACACCGACCCAACTCCAGCATGCAGTACCGCCGTCAGTGTTGTCCAGCCTTCCTGCAGAAACTGGTCGACATCTCGGCTCGCTTCCGTCAGCAGCAAATGGACAGCCTTGACAAAGGTCAGTTGGCCCTGGCTAAACAACGCAAATTTCGCCAATCCAGGATCCTGCACATGAAGTCGAGATGCTTCAAGGAGGCTGAGGGTCCGCACATCCGTGAGCTCCAGTTTGACGAGGATGATCCAACACCAATCCATGAATGCTTTGGTGGCTGTCTGCTCCGCTGTGTGGTGCAGTCCAGAGTGAGCCGCCAGGTGGGTGATCGCATGAGGCAAGTTTGACGCAAGCGACCCCACGAATGTGTGCTCAGTCGATTTGACTCGTGCAGGACTGTTGGGTCGGTCGTCTTTGGTGATTTTGGTGTCCTCCTTGACTGCGGCATTCTCAGCTTCGGCGGTGATATTGGTGATTTGTTGGATGCAAATGTCGGTCAATGTTAACGCCAGCTCCTTCCTGAAGTGTTCGGGTACAGCCATGCGATACTGACCATTGTTGTCATCCATGTCTCCTATTTGAAGAAGGAAGAGTACCATTTGTGAGCAAAAGAGGGTCTGAAACAGGTGCCAAACGAGTAGCAAATACGTCCTGAACCAGCTATTACCTCGAGTCCACGGGAGAGAACCCAATATGGAACGCGCAAAGAGCGACTGTTGGCTGCTTAGAGGCGGAGTCTCGAGGAACTTTTGAAGAGTCGCAAAGTCACTGTTGGACATTTGCCATTCGTCAAAGGAGAGTTCCCTGAACAAGTACTGAGCCATGTCGCCCATCTCCCCAAAATGTACTGCCACGAAGCGCAAGACAAACGATATCACCGCCGCGTGAGAATCGCAGATTGATCTCAGAATCTCGCGCACCGGCTTTGCGAGCTCGCCGCGGATGTCCCTGTCCAGAAAGCCAACGTCCAACAGCAAAAAAGCGACAATTGACGCAATGCTATCATGAACGGTTGGCCCTAGTCCATCCTGAACCTGTGCCAATCCAACCTGGGATCGACTCGTCGCTAACGCTGCTATTGCGGTCAACAGAAACACTGCTTCCCCAGGATTACAACCAAGGCTGTACCGCAATTTGTTGGATTCGGAGGCGATCGACAATAGCCCCGAGGGATGTGCGATCCACTCCTGAATGTTGTCCAGAGCGACTTCCTCCAACATCAGCGCGACTGTCGCATCGGACATGAACTTGAAGGGGACTGAGGGTAGAAACGTCCAGAGTCCGAGATTAGGAAGAGCCAGGAGCGCCTTTGTAACATCCGTCAAGATGTGATCCACCTCCAACTGCAGCGTTGTTGTTGTATGGTTGTATCTATTACAACAACGAAAACTTTACTTTAGTAAACGTGGGCAAAACATTTGTATTTCAAACGACAAGTTGGTATCACTTGGCTGAGGACTGTACCTATCAATTGTTATCGAAAAAGTCTCGTCTGAAAGCGCCTTGGATTTGATCGGCCCAAGTACGAGTAGATGATCGCCAAGGATCTGGGCGAGCTGGCACAGTGTTTGAGACAACCGCTTTGGGACTACAGTTAACCCAATGCGCTTCTCCAGTCCGCGGAGGAGGATGTCAAATATGCGGCGCGTCGTCGTCAAGGCTTGCAGCGCTTCCCGCTCTGATAGATCCTTCTGGTACAATGTGCCGTCATTGTTGTGCATCCCGCTGTGCTCATCCAGCATACGGTTGAAGAAGACGGCGACGTCCATTTGATCCAGAAGTGCCGAACAGTCATCCTCATCCAGCGTCGATCCGATATCAAGAGACATGTTCGAGAGGGACTCCTTGGTTGCCTCGTGATCGAGCGAAGCAGATCCGCAGAGGACCAGTTGCAACTGTGTCAGGTAAAACTCTTCAAAGTCCTGAGACCATATTGTTGGTGGGTTGCATTGGACATAGTTGGTGGCCCAGTTAGCCACCTGCCGTGACCGGAGAACCTGAACGATCAAGTGCTCACGCTCCTTGAAACCTCCAAAGGCCAGGACAGCCCCCGCCAAAAGATCGGTCCAACTGTGAATCGAGCGCAGAATAGAGTTTGTAGCCGCGGACGAAACTGACTGGTCTGCCCCCATGACCGCCTCGTCTGGAGAAGATACCGACGCGTCTGATCCTGCGGCACTAGCTTGCCGCTCCTCTGCCGCCGTGTCAAAGTCGGGTTGCCTCCGAACTGACCGCTCGAAATGGAACAGAATGTCAAGATAGTTCCTTGCTCTCAGCAATCCTGCCTCGCTGTCAGATTTCCAATGGACACTATTCAGGAACTCGGCAATATGGTCCTGGATCCAAAGTCGACTAGACGACTCCTCGAACTGCATCCGCAACAGGCTCTTTGTCCTCTGCTTATGAAGTCGGGACAACGACTTTTTCAGCTTCTCGGCAACCTTGGGCTCATGCTGTCCGACTTGGTAGCTGTAGTTGTGGGCGATCGTCGCGCCGTCTCCACAAATGGCCTTGGCAATCTCTGTTTTCGTCTGGACCGCCCATAGCTTGCTCGCATACCCCTTGGCCTTTTGTTGGAGGTTGAAGATGGCGAGGTGGGATTGCTGGACGGCCTCGTATGCAACCTCATATGATTTCAGATAGTGGAAGAACGCGTCGTTGTTGCTGTCATCGACTGAGTGCGTCACCGAGGACCTCTCATAATCCGACAATCGTCGAGGAAGGTCCTGTAAGAACCTGTTACTGTAGAGCTCTCGAAGTCGCTGTGCTGAGACCTTGGAACTGGGGTGTTGAATGAAGAAGGTAGAGTCCAGTCGAGGATAACTCGGTGTCTGGTCGTGATCGGCATTTTGCCCATCCCAGGCACTGTGTGGATATTGGCGTCCTTGATGCTGGTCTTGGTGATGAAAGTTGTGGTAATTTGATTCAATAGGAAGGACCGGGTAGATGGGCGGTGCAGAAGGTTCAGGGTATAGGGGCAGCTCTGGCTGGAGGTCCTCTTTGGTGGGACTGTGTGAGGGTGCGTGCCAAGGATTTGTCGCCGAGTCATAAGCCGTGTAATCTTCGGCTTGGTGGTTGGTTGTGTAGTCGACTGGATAGGATGGTGTGTATGTTGTTGGCGAGTAACTGTGTGAGTCGGTGGAGGGATAGACAGGAGCAGAGGCCCAAGGAGACGATGTCGAGGGTGGTGCCGATGGGGGTGCGGAGGGCTGGAAGGTATAGGAATACTTGCTGGAGAGAGGTAGTGGTAAGGGAGGGATAAGAGGGTACAGCGCTGACGTGGAAGACTGGTTGTTGTTGTTGATGTCCCATTCGCCTGTGCTACCGTTGTTGTCGTAGTAATGAATGTCGCTCGTGTGGCTGTTTGGGTCTGCCATGGCCCAGAGAAGCTCGAAGGGGATGAATGTGTGGGTGAGTGAGTGAGTGAGTGAGTGTGGTTGATGGAAGTAATTAGGCGAAGTAGGAGTAAAGAGTAAAGAAGGAAGGAACAAAGGAGAGTGAAAGGACAAAAGGGAAGTACGACAGCAAAGAAGGTTCGGCAACGAAAAATCAAAGGCGACCCATGGGCATTTCGCCAGGGGGATAGCATGCCTTGGCTGCACATGGTCAGCTGACAAGTGACCATTCTTTATCATTTCTCGACTTTACACGCGGGAACAAGACAGACCATTTTTGTTTCTCCACCTCACCCTGAACCTGCCTGCCGAACTGTCATGTCACGCACAGCATACATCCACAGCAACGACTATGCCGAGCTCGTCTCAAGGCTGCCCTCCAACATCGACAGGGTACAGCACCACATGCACATTTTCCCCACTCACCCTCGCCCATGCAATGCCATCTCTCACCTTCAGATTCATGACAGCAATGCAAACAAAAAAAAAATAAACAATGCTCATTCTTCTCCCTTCTTTCGTCATTATTCTGCTGGCATATAATAGTCCAAGATGGTGCACGCGTTAATTGAAGCGTACGGCTTGCTGCGTCTACGAGATCTGACCATTGTCTCGCCGCGCAAGGCAACCGTCAAGGAGCTTTGTCGCTTCCACTCTCGCGACTATATTGGTACCTTTCTATTCGTTCCTGACCCATGGCTTTCTTTCTGTCCGTGAGCCGGTTTGTGCTAAAATTTTGGTGGCGCTCGCTAAATCGCCTCGCCTTGTTATTCCGTCGTAGAATTCCTGAACAAGGCCGAGGAGTACGACAGTGGAGAAGATAGCGACGAGGACAACGACAGTAACGACGACAACGAAAACCCTCACGCCACTCGTGCTTCAACACACAATAAAGAAGACAAGTTAGAAGTGTATGGACTCCGCTTCGACTGCAGTGTCTTTGAGGGTCTTGCTGACTATGCCGCCTATGTAGCTGGGTCCACCCTCGAAGCAGCCACCCTTCTCTGCGACGACGCCTTTGATATTGCCATTCACTGGGATGGCGGCAGGTACTTACTACTTTACTGATGGATCAATGAGAAGATGCCTTGCGATAATGTTTTGTTGTTTTAATTGCTCCTTGAACGCCACATAATATGAATAGACACCATGCGCGGAAAGATGCAGCTGCAGGGTTCTGCATCGTCAACGATATTGTCCTCGGTATCATGGAGCTCCAAAAGACCTTTGACCGTGTCCTCTATCTCGATCTTGACGTCCACCACGGTGATGGTATGTCATCCTTCCTTTGCTATTCTTGGACCTGTATCGTCATCGTCCAAACTAGACGACCCTTCTAACATATATTTTCTTTGACATGCTAGGAGTGGAGAGTGCATTTCAATTCACAGACAAGGTACTGACAGTATCGATACACCACTACGCAGAAGGACTCTACCCAGGCACTGGATCTGGAACCTCCACATCAACCCGTATAAAGTCGGTTGTGAACATCCCCATGAAGGCTGGCCTCTCTAATGGGACGCTAAGCAAGGTCTTTGACGAGATGATTGCGCCCCTTGTCGAACAGTTCAACCCGGATGCTGTTGTTCTACAGTGTGGTGTCGATGGTGAGTGTCACTGCGGATTTTCATGTGGATCGTGTGTGATATGGGGTCAATTGAAAAGAGTACCAACCTTAATCGACTCTTCCTCGTACACAGGCATGGCGGGCGACCCGCTAGGCAAATGGAACTTGACCATGGCTGGATACAGCGACTGCCTGAAAAAGGTCATGGCGTGGAAGAAACCCCTCCTAGTCCTCGGTGGTGGTGAGTCTTGTTCGTCTGCCTTCTTCTTCCTCTAATGAATCGTTATCCCATACGAACCAGACGCAAACTAACACGCGCACCTTCATAGGCGGATACAACACGGTGTCGACAGCACGATGCTACGCCTACCTAACAAGCCAAATACTCGATCGCACCATCTCGGATGAGATCCCCGAACACGCTTACTTTGAAGAGTACCAACCCGATTTCTTACTCTTTATCGATCCAGGATACCAAGCGGACAGCAATACCGAGGAGCACCTTGATCATGTCCGTAGGTTAGTTGACACCCAGTCCAAGTCCCTTACGTCCCAACGCTAGGCCTATGCCTAGGACAATCCAATACGCCCTTTTTTCACACTGCACAACCGGAAACACAAGGTCGTTTGCTATTGCTACACTCGTTCGTTCTTTGAATGAATGACTCCTACCGCAATAGTCCGAGAGTCGACAGGTGTTCTCCAAACCAGCAAATATGCTCCAGTTCCCCCCTCTTTTCCCCTCTTTTCCCCTCGCCTTCTCTTCCCCTCATTCTTTACCTCGGCTTGTGGAGAGAAAACAGCGCACTGCTGAAGGATCTGCAGCTCATTAAGCAGAAATGGGCTGAACTCTTTCTCGATACTGTCAAGACGGGAGTAAGAGAAGAGAAAAGTGAAAGCACAATAAGCATTTTAGACTTTTTGGTGTGGATGCGCACAACAAAAGTGGGTCTTTTGTTTGTCGCTTGTTCTCGTTAGTTGCTTGTTGTTTGGTTAAGATGGTTGTGGCGGTAATAGTGGGTATTGGATCATCTGTCTGGGGTCTGCAGCTACTCTATTTCCGCCCCTCTTAGTACCATTCCAATGGCTCCTTGAAAACAGACTTGCGGCTATTGTCACCCAAGCCCAACCTTCACCAGGATCCATACATGGATGCGATATAGAAGCGACGCCGAAGGAAGAAAACCGTGTTGGAGAGCACCCAACATGAACATATACAAACAATGAAGAAAAAATAGGAAAATATTCATGTGCCTCCTCCAGAAGTGACCAACGGGTGTTCTTTTTTCTGCTTTTGCGTTTTGTCTAAAGTAACCTTCCGCCTCTCTCTGCCCTATCCCTTTGTTTATACCACAAAAGCGAACAGTGTTGATGTCCCTTCTTCCGAATCTCCCAATGTCCGAGCTGGGTTTCTCTGTGTTTACCCCGCATTTTGCTATGATCCATTTTCAGCAGACAAAACAAATCAACAAAACAGCATTACACAAAAACAAACATATGGTTCAGCTCTTGTCCTCTCGTCGAATGACAATCGCAGCGTTCATCTCTCTTTCTTCATTCTTTCTGTTGGTTCTGTGTAACGACATCTTTGTTTACATACGCCTCTTTCTTAGGTGTAAAGGAAGAACGGAAAGAAGAAAGAAAAACATGGAGTCGTTCGTCACTTTCACTTCTTCTCTTGCCGTGTGTATCTCTCGGACCGTCCACATGCATGTCTGGACCCTCTCTCTGTCTTCTTTTACACAGTTGAGCCTCACATGCCAAGAGGAAGAGGGGAGTCTCTATCATTCCCATTTTTTATCTCCACTTTTCTTTGTTCATGTCTTACTCTGCTGTGTCATCCATTGCCATCAGGTACCGCCCCCAGTCTACAATACACATGTCTAGTAGAACAACGCCATCCCTTTTTATTATCGTGTTGACTCCAATCAAAACGCGAAAGACTCAGCAAACATGCGGGGGAGGAGCAACAACGGCACAGGGAGCCACCAAGGGCCGACTCCGGAGCGACTTTTTTGATCCTCCAATGGCATTGAACCTCTTTTCCTCCTATCCTTCCCTCCTTGCCCTCCTTTGTCACTTTCTCAGCCAACTACATATTCCCTTTGTACACAACACAGATCCAGGACGAAACAACCATAACTACAACAACACCGACCTGACCAACAACAAGCAATAAATGCAACAAAAACACAACAACAAATAAACAAGAATAAAAAAAAGTGGATGTGGAGAGAAGAGGAACACAACCAGTCTCAAGCATCCAAAATCGCTCTTAACACAGACCTATCCTTCTACCTTCTCCCCTCACCCCCTTTCCCCGCAAAAAATCAACCAAACAGACCATTGCAAATTGCATAAACCAAAGTCAGGCACGAGAGAGAGAGAGAGCACAACCCTCTTACCCCGCTCTTCATCCAAAACTGGGGTCTGTTTGTTTATCTCGCATTGTGCATCTTGATCACGCACATGCCTTCCCCCTCCTCACTAAAAACAGGTTTGGTCCTTGATACTCTGATGCCCCTAACCCCATGTGCTCTGCACTGGCCTCCCTCCCCACACTCTCTTCCTTCCTCACACTCACACCTTTAACCCTCTTTCAACCTTACACTCCGCTTGAAAAACTACACCGATATGGTAAACAGAAAACCTGGGGTAAAGGACCTTTGAAAAAAAAAGTGGGTGTTGAAACACAAAAGGGTGGTTGAAGGACTTGAGCGATGCTGAGAAAGGAAAAATGTAAAATGCGGGGTCCAGCTCAGCTCGGTATATGCTTTTTAGCATTCAGGAGGGCGTATTATCTGTCATTACCCAGTTCGGTGTGGGGTTAAAAGGGGGGAATGATGGTAGTGGTGGTGGTGGTAGTAGTAGTGGTGAGTATGGTCAGTGTTTTTTGATCGAGGAACACAAGGTGTTTAGCATAGAGAAAGAAGGGAAGGGAGAAATAGTCCGGGGTTAACCAGGTGAATGGTAAAAATGGGAAAAAATGGGTGATCAATGGCCTGAAGCGGGGGAGTTGGGTCACGTCTTTTCATTATGCTTTTCGCGTTTGTGTCCTGCCAAGAGGGAGAGGGAGAGAGACACGTAGTAAGAGGCAATGAACTAGCAAGGCAAGTCGTAGCCGACTAGGGAAGAAAAAGTCAAAAGAAATATTAGCACTCCGAGTTGGCGACTCGCTCTCTCTCTAGACAGTTGTAAGCCCTCTTCTCGTCAACATCCAGTCGGCCGTTGTTGCTCCTGTCGTCTACTTAAATTAGCCATTAATAATTAATAGACCTGCCATACTTTCCAACTCGATCGTCGCCTTCTTCTGTCGGTTGTCCATTACGTTACGATGGGAAACGATTACTCTACATATTCAGACTACATACAGTATCAATTGCCTTTCTCTCTACAATTAAGGGTGAGCAATCAGGTTTGTTGTTCCCGCTTCATGATCGTTAAGGTTTTTCTGTTTAACACCTTCGTCGCTGACTACGGAAGGAGTCTATGTTATCTCTGGTACGGGTTCGGTTCAATCGATGTACCGCTGCCTATGCTCTCTGTCTCCGTCACAGGAGTACATATTTTGGAGTGTCGTGGTTTGAATGCTAATCAGAGGCAACAACAATCAACAACAACAGATATTGTTATCAAGGAACAGCGAAAGAGGAAAGCTACAGCTGTCATTCAGTCGGCGGGCATAGATTACGGCGACAGCAGGTAGAATAAGCGGCGATAAAGAAAAGATGATCATCATAGCAGAATAAAAAGGAAACCATAGGACATGGAACCATGAAGGAATAACACCTACGGCTGGGCATGTGATTACATTTCCCCCTTTATTGCTATGCCCGCTCACCCGCTCACCCACTCTCTCTCTCCCTCTCTCTCTGTTACCCTCCCCTTTTTCCCCTCCTCCTTCATATATCCCATGTACACCCTTCCTGGATTGAATCGAGAAATAAAAGTGAAAGAGATGCGAGCTTCGAGTTGCGAGAAGGAGTTGAAAGGATGGCTCTTCCACAATCGCCCGAAAATATCTGTGTTCAGCCAATGCCCCGTTGTGCGACGTTGGACAAACCATGGAGAAATGAGGAACCGTAAGCAATCAACACCAATCCCAAGGGCATTCATTCATCAAAGTACACGGAAGCGCAGGAAGGATAGCAAAGGGAGGGGAAGAGAGAGAGAATGATGCTCAATTCAATCCCGAACAAAGTCTTTTGCGTGTTTGGTCCTTGAGCCGACCATTAGTGTGTTTTTCACTTTCCCGTTATTATTGTTGTTTTGATGAGTATGTGAGAGGTTATAAAAAGATACATAGTAGAGTAAGTAAGGTTTTCGTCTTGGTTGGGTAATGAATGCTCGACCGAAGGAGAAGGAAAGAGCGTCTATCTCTCGCACTCTGTAACATGCTCTCAAGGCTACGTATGAATTGGAAAAGCATACAGCCAAAGACCAAGGCGAAGAAGAGGGGAAAGGACTGCCCATTCATTCAATATGAAATAAAAGGCCCGCTTTGTCGGCGGATGGTCAGGAAGACGAAAAACAGCAATGTGAACCTGTAATTAGACAGGTGAGTGACTATCAATCGAGGAACAGGACGTGGAACGGAAGGTTCAGCTTCCTTGGGGGTGAAAGAAGGAACAACGTCGGCCATTTCCCCAAGCAAACAAGAGATAACCACGTCAACCCCCGCTTGCACTATCCTTACCAGTCGACATTGAACTGAGACGGATCCCGAATATTGCATTATCTGCTCTCCTCCCTTCCGGGATGAGACGGACGCAAGGGGTTGTTCCTAAGGATCCATTCATTGTCTTGCTCTCACCTTGCATGCTTGTTATTTGTCTTTTTATTTATTTTCGAAGCATGTATGCATCCATGCTCTTCTTCTTCTCTTTCCTCTTGGCAATGAAATCCATCCTGTTTTGTTCTTTCGGCGTACCCATGGGTTATAGCATTGGTACCTGTTTGTTTTTTGTTTCTGTGGCTCAGTCCCAAGTCAAAGAATGACCATCCCCCTTTTTCCCTTTTTCCAATCCGAACAGTGCCGTGTGCGATAAACATTTGATCCTCCTCGCCCTGGATCGTAAACAAACAGATACACCTTCCATGTTCCATAACTAATCCTATCAAACAGAAGCACTGCAACTATCCTACCCACATGCTTATTGTTCTACCACCCATATCCTCGTCTTCGCGCCAACCTAGGCAACTATTACAACGTCAAAGTACCTCACCATCCTGGCTGCTTGCCCAATCCTTTCACAACAAAATAGCTGGGGTTTCCCTCTCAATGTATTCCTTCGTGAAGGAGGAGGTACTGTATCCAAAAAAAATATTACGAGAGCGCAAAAAAATGCAGTGAACTTACCACATCCTCCGTCCCCCTCCTCTTCTCCTTCCTTGACATTAATCTTGACGTTCGGATGCTGATGCTGCCCGAAAAAAGATGTTGGGAATTGAAGGTTGACACTCAGTTTTTTCCTGTCCGCAAAAAACTCAAATTTGCATTTGTTGCAGACGCACACATACACAAAGAGTCGATCAAGAGTAAGCTGGGGCCTTGACTTTTATGTTTTGAGCAGTGCAAATAATGCAAATTAAAATAATCAAGCCTCGCCGCATAGGCCATTTTCTTTCTCTTCCTCTACGTTTTTCTGGAATGTCGTTGTCATAAGAGGAGCTAGAAGGCCCAGGGGAAGGACAATGATCTGCATGGCAGGGAGGATGTAATGCTCATGCTCTCTGTTTTCGCTCGTTCTTTTCCCCATGGCTCTAGGAATAGACTGCACTGGGTAGCTGGCGAAAGGGCTATTTTCCCAGCAGCTACAGTAGCAAGTAGTATGAGCGGCTACCAGAGCGGATTACGCTGCTTTGGTGAGGTACATGTCATGTCATTGTTCAGGTGTGAGCAAAATAGCACGCACTATTGGTCATTTTCTCATCCGATCGCACACTTTTGCTTACAGCTCTGGTGCGCTCATTTCAATTGTGAGAAATACACTAGACCAAGCTCGTTGCTCGTTCATATTCTTTGTCGCTGTGTACGAGTGACGAAGTATCGGGGTGCGTCAACCTTGACGCGGATGGGTATATAGGTCGTGGGTGCGTTGCTTGTAGCCATTGAAGCCCTGTGGGATTGCTTTGTGGGGTGAAAAAAACAAAGGCAGTTGCGCTGATGTATCGTTGCTTGGATGCTGTACCCTGTTTTTGACTACCCTCATTCCCTCGTTCACACGCATTCACAACATCGCTGTTCCCTCTCTGCATTCAAAACATATTCTGTACAAACTACAAAATAAAAGGGTAACAACGTCGCCCATTATCATTGTTGTTGTTATTGTTGTTGTTGTTGCTTAATTGTGTTATTTTTGAAAGACAGCCAGAAACGCCAAGGTGGGAAAGTAGTAGCTAATCCCTCCTCCATCTCTCACCTCACACGACCTCAGCGGAGCCGTCCGCCTCTTTGCCTCCCACATAACATTTCTCATGCAACAGAGCCCTCTCTTATTGTCTTTCTCTTTTCAACCGATTGGCACTTTGTAACCTTTCAGTTTTGACGAGATAGAGACGGTCTCCAGTTTTTGAAAGAGATGTCTGCTAGAAAGAGAGGATCCGTCTCACGGTGTATCTTTTTTTGGATGTGTAGAAAAATGAGAAAAAAGAGTAGCCGTAACTGCAGTGTAACATTGCCCACGTTATCTCCCCATCCGGTTCCCACGCTTGTTGTGAATTATGTATTACCAAGTTGTGTTTTTGGAGACGGGCTTTTCCCTTTCCATGAAGGAAGGGACGCACTAGAAGCAACTTTGAAAGGGCGGGAGCCATGGGGGAGCGGAGGAAGAAGGGGCTGACAATAAAAAGGCAACGCTCTGTCCTCTCTCTTTTTATTGTAAAAAAAGGGGACTATTGAACACAATGATAAACGACGAAGCTGCCGTGAATAGAACATATGGAGAGCTTGCAAGGAGAAGGAGCGGGGACCAGGAGGTCCCTACGATGCGTGATAAAAAAGAGGGAAATAAGGAAGATTAGGGTGAAGGAGGGAAGGTTTTGAGCAGAGGGTACCTAGGCCTTACTCAACTCTTCTTTTTTTTTCTGTTAGCAGAAGGCAATCGCTCTCGTCTTTTTCTTTTTGGCCTCGAATGGCGTAGTGTAATAAGTCTTCGGGCCTTCCCTCTTTTCCTTGATAAAAATGCGAGTCAGAGACATATCGAAAACAGAGAGAGATATAGAGAGCAAGACGAGAAAGAGGGAGTACCGGTACCTTTTCTTCCGTACCACCAGCATTTCCCCGCAATTTTCCTTTATGAACGATATTGGGCAGATGAAGAGGAACAGAAGGAAAGAAAGATGGTGGCCCTCGCTCGCTCTTTAAAAAAAAAACTATGAGGTCTATTGTCTAAAATAAAATCCGCTTCCTGGTTCGAATGTCCGCTCCACCTCTATCTTGGATGTGTAGTGCAATAGGATGCATTTCTCTGAACTAGAACTATGGGAGAAAGGAGTAGAGATAGAGACGGAGGAGAGGCAGAAGGAAGTGTGCACAGATGGGGTAATGGAGAGAATAAGAGAGACGTACAGACAGACGGATAGAGAGTCTCCACTTTCTTTCTTTTTTTTTTTTTTTTTTTTTTTTTGGACTTCTTCACCACCCTACAACAGCTACAACGATGAACGATGCGATAAATGGCACAGGCACAACCGCCAATGAGTTCGATATGATAGCAGATGGAGGAGAAAAAAAAAGCAGGGTAAAATGAGGGGTAAAGATGACCAAGGGAACACGGAGTATCCACTTTTTTTGTGCTTACTTGTTTGTTTATTTGTTGGTTTGCATGGTTGGTTGTTCCTTATTTGTTTGTTAGTGTGTGTCCGGTTGCATGTTTACCTTCCTGTTATCTCGGGTTGGTTTGCTTCGTCCAGGAAGTCCATGTTGTAGCGTGGTGAGCCGTTAGGGTTCTTCCCCTGCCTTCCCTAAAATGCCCTTTGCCATTGGCGCAAAAAGAGAGGTCAAAAAGGCAAAGGGACGAATAGGACCCGTTGTTGTTCATTCAATGAATACCGTTTCTATTAAATTCGGATTAAATTCAAATGGTATTCAATTAAAACCGATTTTTAATTTCTGGTGGTGGTTGTTTATTGGTTTAGACTGCTGATTGCACTGCTAGGAAGGGCTTTTGCGTTATTCATTCGTGAGATGTTCTCTTTCTTTTTCGTTCATTCATTATCACCGTCGATGTTGTCGTCGTTGTTGTTGTGTTGTTGTTGCAGCAGCAGCAGCAGCAGCAGCAGTTGTCAATGCTTCTTCCTCTTTGCCTTGTGCCCTTCTTCCGAAGAAAGCATTAACAGCTTCCCCTTTTTCCTTTTCATTTTTTGGATATAAAAGCGTTCGCCCTTTTTCCTTTTTTTTTAAAATATTCTTTCTCCGCTCAACTGCCTTTCTACCCCGCCTGCTGCACCCTCTCATATCTCTCCTCCTCTTTCCTTCCTTTTCTCCGCCCCTCTATCTCCTTTGCTCTTTTTCATATAAAGGATCCCTTCTTTACTTTTCTTTTTCCTCTTTTCACCTTTCGTTCTTTTCCTCTTCTCGTTCAACCGAGTTCACACATCCTTCGAGGTCCCATTCCTCTCTTTAACCAACCCCCCACCCCCTCCCCCATTCCTCCTTCCTTCACAGGACATTTCGTGGTAGAGCTCCAAATTTGAAAGCACCTCTAACACCGTCTCTGCTTCCCGACCTTCCTTACTTCCTCTCTTTCCGTCTCTCTCCCACCAACCAAAACCAACTCCCAAACCAACAACAACGACAATGACTTTCTTTGACAGACTCAACCACAGCGTTGCTACCTCCAAGGCCGGAAAGTACTTCCGCTTGGATGGTTCTGGTGCTCGTCGTGAGCGTGCCGGCTCCAAGTTCACGACCGAAGTCCGTGCCGGTCTGACCACCTTCGTCGCCATGGTAATACGCCTCTTCATTTCCCCTCTCTCATTCTCCCTCAGCAACGATAACCACAGCGGCAACAATAACAACAACAACAGCAACAAGTCAGTCAACCAACCAAATAAGCGTTCATTTATCCTGAATTTGGATGAATGAAACCAGAAGGGTCTCTTTCCCCTTTGCACTTCTTCCGCTTCTGTTCCACTCGACAGCAACAACCACGTTTTTTCTCTTCCTTTGTCACATTCCCTTCCTTTCCTCCTTCTCCCACTCGCCCGCCTCACCCTTTGCTCCCCGTTTGCTTCAGTGCTCACTTTGATCGAACCCGATACTTTACCATGTATCTTTGTCATCGTTGTGGGCGCTCTCTTTTTTTAATATTTGCACAACACTCAACAACAACGACAATCTCCCAACCCTGCATTGTTGTACTACTGCTACTCTCGGATCATTATTTTTTTGGACATCCGCCCGCCTGTTGCTTCATGTCTCTGGCCGTTTAGCTGCTATGCGGCAAAAAAAAAAAAAAAAAAAAAAGGATCCTGTTAATGCTCGTATGAACCGTTAAACTAACCTTGCTTTCTCTTTCCCTTTACTTCTCACCCCTATTTCTCACAACGCACAATGACGACTAAAAGGCCTACATTATCTCGGTTAACTCCCTCATTGTGACGGATTCCGGCGGAACCTGTGTCTGCACCAGCACCACTGACCCCGTCTGTTTGACAGATGAGGCCTACAATGATTGTCTTGCCGTCTTGAAGCTCGACATGGTCACCGCCACGGCAGCCATTGCCTGCTTCTCCACTCTGTTGATGGGTCTGTTCGCCAACTTGCCCATTGGTCTTGCCCCCGGTATGGGTCTTAACGCCTACTTTGCCTACACTGTCGTCGGTTTCCACGGTTCCAACAAAATCAAGTATGAGACTGCTGTTGCTGCCGTCTTTATCGAGGGTATCCTCTTCATCCTCCTCTCGCTCTTTGGTGTCCGTCAGTGGCTCGCCCGCTTGATCCCCCAGTCCATCAAGATCGCCACCGGAGCCGGTATTGGTCTCTACCTCTGCTTCATCGGTCTCCAGTCCTCCGCCGGTATCGGTTTGATCGGTAAAGACGACGCCACCTTGGTTGGATTGGCTGGATGTGCCTTGAAGGACGCGAATGGCATCTGTCTTCCCGGCACCCGAATGGAATCAGCCACCACCTGGATCGGTCTCTTTGGTTTCGTCATCATCGCTGTCTGCTTGCTCTTCCGTGTCAAGGGTGCTGTCCTCATCGGAATCTTGGTCGTTTCGATCATGTCCTGGTTCCGCAACACCTCCTTCACCTACTTCCCCAACACCCCTGCTGGCGATGCCAAGTTTGACTTCTTCAAGAAGGTCGTCACCTTCCACCCCATCGAGACCACCATGGCCAAGATGGACTTTAATCTCGACAACTCTGAGATCTGGATCGCCTTGATCACCTTCTTGTACGTCGATATCATGGATACCACCGGTACTCTCTACTCCATGGCCAAGTTCGGAGGCTACATGTACAAGAACGGTGACTTTGACGGCTCGACTGCTGCCTTCCTCTGCGATGCCACCTCCATCACTGTTGGTGCCGTCTTTGGTGTCCCCCCTGTCACTGCCTTTGTCGAGTCCGGCGCCGGTATCACTGAGGGTGGTCGCACTGGTATCACCTCGATCACCACCGCCTTCTTCTTCTTCGTCTCCCTCTTCTTCGCCCCCATCTTTGCCTCCTTCCCCCCATGGGCCACCGGTCCCGCCCTGATGGTTGTCGGTTCGATGATGGTCAAGTCTGTCCGCTCCATCAACTGGGACTATGTCGGAGACGCCATCCCCGCCTTCTTGACCATCGCCCTCATGCCCCTCTCGTACTCGATCGCCTACGGTCTCATTGCCGGTATCGGCTCCTATGCCGCCATCAATGGAATCGTCTACTTCCTCGAGCTCATCTCTGGAGGCCGTATCGCCCCTGAGGACAAGGATCTCCGTGAGCCCTGGATCACCGAGGGCTTCACCTGGTCCAACGTCGTCCCCGGCTGGATCCAGAAGCTCGTCTGCAAGGTCCGTGGCGAGATCTATGTTGACCCCCTTGATGTCATCGAGGAGGAGGAGCGTCTTGAGCGTGAGGCCGCTGCTGCTGCCGAGCACACTGATGCCAAGATCGATGTTGACCACTTCCACGGTGGCCATGACATTCCCAAGTACTAAATAACGAGATCTTTGTTTATTTGTGCTTTCACTTCAGTTACCATCTTTCTATCAATTTAAAAGAAACCCCCCCCCCCCCCCAACTTGTAATTATTAAAACGTGCTTTTTGGCCACGATAATAAAATCCAGAAAACCCCATTATAAAACCATTTTTGTTTCTTGATGTTGAGTGTTGAGTGTTGGGATTGCGACAATGCTGCCCTGTGCTCGATTCTAAATGCTCTCTTTGAACTACACTTGGGCTTGGTACCACGTCCTTTGGATGAACACTTCATGTGGCAAGCGAGTCTAAAAACTTTTGGTGGCGCACGAGAATACTCTAGACTTCCAGACTACCAATTTTTTTTCCCTTCTAAAGCAATGTAGAATTAGATAAGGAGTTTATGCGTCGTCAAATGCGCGGCGATCAAGGCATGAACTTTTTTTTAACGGTTGCCAAATCTGGATCTCCCGGCTTTTACCTACGATGAAGAATGGGGTCTTTGGGGTTGTGGAGAAGTGAAAGGATTTGTCTTTGGGTCGAGATGCATTTTGAGGTTGTCAAATGAAGACGAACATTGAAGATACATTTTCAATTCAAAAGGGATCGCTTCATTCTGTTCTTTTCCATTTCGATTCTATTATTGTTTAGTTGAGGATGCCGATGTGATTTATCGTCCACCTTTCTTTTTGACAAACCTTTCGTGCTCAACTGATACAACAGGCGGAGAGCTCGGACTGAATAGTTCTTTATCTCATTTTTATGCACTCGTCATGGCTTTTATGATCGATGTGGTCTCAGGGAATTGAACTGTGAGAACGATCCCGGCCCCTTCTTTTTCATTTCTTGTGGCGAGGACGCGATTCCGCGGGGAAAAGCCGTCGTCCCTTTATTTTTTGAGCCTCTCTAACGACCACTCAATTTAGTGTTCTGTTCCTCTTTCGCATACTATTAGCAGGATGGGGAACCGATTCATAGACCATATCACTGCAACGCCTCAATCATTCAGTGCAAGGGGCGCTAACATGTAATAAAGGCAGTGGATAGATAGAAGTGTTTTCGCGCTTTCTTTTCTTCATTATTCGACACAGTTTAGTGGCTATATACATTTGTTAGCCATTGAGCTCTGAAGCTCTGAAAAGAACAATCGACTGTTGGCGACGGCGATACTCCTTTCTCTCGAACGCGAAGGTGCGACATTTTATTTTGGAGCATGCTTACATCTTTACCTATTTTGTTTTTGGGTGCTCATCTTCCTCGCTTTGATATCTGATTGCGATTCAAGGGTTTTGTGCAGTCAGCGCTACCTCCTCAAGTCCTTTCTTTCGTGGGACTCCTCGTTGACACTAAGGCTCCATGGCTAGACCTTTTAATTTTTTCTGTTTCGAGTAGGTGGAGGATACACGAGGCCTTTGGATGTATCGTTTTTATTGCTGTCGTTCTTTCCTATGGTTTTCAGGAATGAGGGTATCCTCTAGTAGGCAAACGTTTTTCAAATAACATGAACGCTTGGGCTGCACAGTTCATATTTGTCGCGATGACATGTTTCGCATGCAAAGCCTCGTTTTCTTTTCTTCGATATTGTTCCGTGAGGGTAAGGTAGGTCATGGTTATGAACATTACTTTGACATTGACCTACTCCAGGAATGATGCTTTCCGATCGTTCCAATCGATAGCCTAACTGGTCGCAGGTGTACGCACTACGTTCTTGATGTAGTTGGTCATTAGGAATGGAGCACGCTATCTGCAAGAAGGGAAAGATGCAAGTATCGAATGAATATCTGAACAGTGCGGTAGACAACAAAGAAAGAATACAAGTGAGGAAGTAAAGAAGGAAAAGAGAAGCGCCAAGAAGTGAGGTGTGTGTACCCATTTCGAAAATGATTATCACTAGGGACCATGGGGTGCATGCGACCGTGTATGTATCTTGATCGTGCTCTGATTCTCTACGCGCAGTCCCTTGGGCTAGATGCGAAAAGCAGTCTCGCAATTTCGATTGTTTGTCAAATGAATAGACAACATAACAAAAGCGAGAGCGCGTTTCGCTCTTTGTTGTTCGTTTCTTTGTCCACCACCAACTCCTTCCCTCGCCCATTCACACGACAAGACATTCACTCACCCCTCTCAACCACAGGGAACAGCAACAGGCGACATAAACAGAAGGGATAGCGACGCTCAACTGGCAAGGACCCTAACCCTGCCAATCCCTCACATCCCATTGCATTCACACCTCTCTCGTTTTCTTCTCGCTCTACCATGACGAACGTGCTCAAACGAAAGGCCAATGCCCCCGCAGGAGGGAACGCATCCAATGGACAGGGAGCCATAAAGAAGACCGGGAATGTGAAGTCGGCTGCTCCCAGCGCGGACTCTCGATTTAGTCAGGCAAGTTACCTCACATCCCTTTTTGCCTTTCGCGAGGCCAGCTGATTCCGAAAGAACGTTCATTGACCTAGGGCCTATTATTTTTCGCTGTAACAATAGTCGAGTTTGAGCTCATTCTTTGGAAAGGCGCGTACGCAGGATTCAACACCCAAGGACTCTTTGGCCGTGGCACCCTCGTCTGTCACCTCGTCCTCGTCCACCTCCGCATCGAAAACGTCGTCCGGTGTGCAGACAAAGGCAGGTGCCCCTAAACCGCCACGGAGGGTCATCATCTACAGCGACGAGGAGGAAGTGCCGGAGCCCCAGCGGAAACCAATCAAGACTACAGTGTCTCTGAAGACAATTGTCGCCAACCGGACCAAGGCTGTCGTCCCACCAACGAGGCCACCCGTGAAGGAGACTGTTCCCTTTGAGAAACGCATGCCAAGTAATGTACTTTGAGTATTCAACATCAACGTTTTGTGTATGTTATCGTTGGACAATTGGCTAATGAATGATGTTCTTCTTCCACAGTTTCACTTCCTTCTAGTCCCGAGCCAGCGCCAGTTGCGCGACCTGAACCAAGGACGGCCGAAACGGTCAAGATGGAACCGGCGGAGATTAGGCCAAGAAAAAGCAATTCAACTAAGAGCGCGTCAGAGAAGAGCAGTACGGGCAGGATCAAGCCTATGAAAGGTGATCTTGAGCCACCTCAAGGGTTGGAGACACCTCTTCTTGGACAGACGACTCCTCAGAAACGGAATTTTCCAATAACCACACCTCCTCGTCCTGAATCCAAGGGAAGCCCGTTCAGGACACCCACAGGAAAGTCTCGCCATTCCGTCTCTACTATCGAATCACTTGGACTCTCGCCACAAGACTCTGTCTTTTGGGCCAAGACACCTCCCTCCGAGGCATTGAAGAAGCTAGAGCGCATGAACACCGGTCGCTCTCATGAAGAAGGTATTTAGCCACTGATACTGTCCCGATTGCGGAGCAAGTTGTTTTACATGGCTGTTACGTGTGCAATCGTCCTCACACTTTCGTATTGACACACCTGTTAGAGATTGCGTCGATCGTTGGAAGACTGTATGAAACATCCTCGGCTGGCACAGCCCTCCGCGCAATGGTGAGTTCGGACACAAGATACTACTTTCGTGCGCCAAATAATTGGTTACAACTTGTGCTGACTCTTCTACATTTTCATTCTCACCTCTTACAAGCCTCGTGGACCCAAGGATCGCATCAAGGATATGTTGAATACAATTCGCGGATCGACAGCGCAATCTGATCAGGAACTTGAGGACGACATGGACCGACCCGACCCGGCCTCACCGACAAAGGATCTTGTTGAACGACACCGTCTCCAATCTCGGCAGGGCTTCTCACGACACCACAGTGCGCACGAGCTAGGAGGAAGTGTCCGGAGGAGAGGGAGGACCGCTCCCCCTATGGCGAATTTTGGCGCTGTTAATGCCCCTGTGTGGCCTGTATCGCCTACTCAGCACCGCAACGATGTCTTGAAGATGATTGAACAGATCAACGCCAACATGTCAGGAAAAGCAGATTCTTTGAAGACACCTCCTCGTCTAGGATTTTTATCGAACGAAGCAACCTCCAGCAGTTCGATGGCAAACCTATCGGAGCGGCCCTCTGCTGCGGACACTATGGTGCGGACGCCAATACGGGACCGTATTTCTCATACGCAGCCTTCACCCGGAGACTTTGACAGGTTCTTCACCGACCTGGAGATGGACGATAACGACTTTGCGGAGCTTACCCAACTGGATGAGTCGTCTACCTCTATGTCATCAGCCAGCGCCGTGTCTGCCAATATGTCATATATTTCCAATTCTTTAGGATCTGTATCGGACAAGGCGGTTTCCAATGTTCGACAGGAATTTGTGGACATGGCTGTTGGCTCCGATGTGGCGAAGGATGAGCCTGGGCATGGTGACGCAAGAGATCGTTGTGGTACGGTGGCTACAGTTGCTGATGATAAAGACGATCCATTCACAGACGACTTTGATGACCTGGGCGATCTTGGCGATCTGGAAGATGTCTTTGAGCTGGATGATGACGAGGTCAATGTCAAGCCCTATATCGAAACTGCCAAGTACAAGCGGTATTCTGTTCAAGATATACAGGATGATGTCGTCGATTCAAGGTGGCCTGGATTGTGCAAGGTCCTCCTAGCACTGGAGCATCAAGTCGGTGTGCCTGTCAAGATTTTCCTCCGCGGGTTATGGAGACCTACGGCGGTCTCTGTTGGTAAGGGTTTAGCTTATTTGGACATTTAAGCAGTATTATTTAATTTCAAACTCACTCTGACATTTGGCCTGGTTTTATACCTCACTCTATAGGTGACATTATCCATGTCATTGCGCCACATGTGTACCCCAACGCAACTCAGGAGCTGATGTTGGAGGATGCACAAGGGCTGCTCATTGTGAAACCAGACTACTTGGTGCCCACTTCTCTTTTGGCTGAGAGTTTCACCTGCATTCGGAGACCCATCGTGGATACACGTGCCAGGAAGCCAGATGAGTCGACAATACCGCTAGTTCACGGCACCATTCTCCATGAGCTGTTTCAGCTCTCCCTCCGAAACAACGACTTTTCGACCGAAGGCATGCAAGCAAGGATTGAGGATCTTATCCAAGCACATCTGAATGATCTCTGCCTTGTGAACGAATCGCTAGAAACAGCTCGGGAGGCTTTTTCTCAATGGATCACATCCTGTCAAGACTGGGCCAGGCGCTATCTGCGGTCCACACCTTCTGTAAGTCAACATGTTCATTATCTAGCGTTACATATGTGCAACATAAGTTGCAATTGAAAACTAATCAACGTTTTGTTACTGTGACAATAGTACGAAGGAACAATGGAGGAGATGACGAATCAAGGAAGCCATGGAGGGACAAACTTGGTATGCATCGATAAGCTACTGGATATCGAGGAGAACATCTGGTCGCCCATGTTTGGCTTGAAGGGCAAGATCGACGCGAGTATCCAAGTGGTTCTCAAGACAGTCAACAGCAACAATGCGGTCTCTGATGCCCCCGCACAGACTCTCGTTGTCCCATTCGAGTTGAAAACCGGCAAGAAATCCAACGTCCTCTCGCATCGTGCCCAGACGATGCTCTATACCCTTTTAATGACCGATCGCTATGGTAAGGATAAACGTAAGCGGTGAGCGGTATAAACCCAAGTGAAAAAGACATATTACTAACGCAAATGTTAATTCGTCTTCCATTGTAGACGTTGATGTACAGTGGGGACTGTTGTTATACCTCAAAACTGGCGAGTTCATTCGAGTGCCGGCGCCTCGGGACGAGATCAGGACGATTTTGATGCAAAGGAACGATATGGCGATCCATGAACAGGCCAAGTTGACACTGCCACCTATGCTTCAGCGGAAGCAGTTTTGCGGTCGGTGCTTTTCGCAGTCGTCTTGCACTGTGCTTCACAAGCTACTGGAGGGCGGTACGACAGAGACTGCTGGTATTGGACCTCTCTTTGATGAAGTGACCGATCATCTGAACGACACACACGCGGCTTTCTTCAAGCATTGGGATCGACTTTTATCCTTGGAACAAGGCGACGTAACAAAGTTTCAGAGCCAGATCTGGTCCATGCTCTCGGCTGATCGACAGGCGACTGGAAACTGCTTCAGCAACCTTGTTCTCTTGGAAAACCGACCCAACAGCGCCATCGATCCAGTTGGTTCACGCGACGACCCTCCAGTGGTATCTGAACGGTTCGCGAAATATCGGTATCGGTTCAAAATCGGGACGCCTTTTCTCTCGGTCAGTCAACAGTCGCTCTCCCAGACGCTTCGCGTAGGAAACTCTCTTTTGAGCTCCAATATATCTGTCGGAGATCCCATTGTGTTGTCGTCAGAGGGCCAACACTACGCACTGGCGATCGGTCAGGTTCTGGATCTCTCGCTGAGCGAAGTATCTGTGGGTTTGGACCGTCCATTGCAGGGACCACCGATAAGGCTGGACAAGTACGACAGTGAGCGGAACCAGTTGTACAGGGGTCTGATTGAATATGAAGAACCAGCCTCGTCGTCGACTTCATCGGCTCTGAGTCATCAAGGAGACTATCATGAGGCATTGTCCAAGGGCAAGATCACCTTCAGGATTGACAAGGACGAGATGGCGGCTGGTCTAAATCGAGCAAGGGGCAATCTGGTGCAACTCTTCCGTGCGGACAGGGATGGAGGAGACGCCAAGCGGAGACATCTTGTGGTGGAACTGGAGCGACCCAAGTTCATGCCAGTGAACGACTATCACTGCGACAACTTGTCATTGAACGACAACCAGAAGAATGCGATCGAAACAGTGTTGGCAGCCACGGACTATGCTTTGATTCTCGGAATGCCAGGAACAGGAAAGACGACCACGATTGCAGAGATCATTCATACGTTGGTTAAGCGCGGCAAGACGGTGTTGCTGACCTCCTACACGCACTCAGCTGTCGACAATGTCCTTCTGAAACTGGCGCCAGAGATCAAAACTGTCCGACTCGGAAACAAGGACAAGGTTCACCGTGACATCCAGAAGCTGGTTCCCGACTTTTCTGAGGCGCCTCTGAACACCGTTCAGGGTATCCATTTCTTTTACGAGCAGTGTCAAGTTGTTGGCACCACCTGTCTCGGCATTGGCGAGTAAGTTTCTTGATCTCGGCCTGATGTTTCAATGTGGTATAAAGGCTATCGTGACACTCGTTTGCTGACGACGACGTATTTGTCAACATCTCTAAATAGTCCACTGTTTACTGAGAAGCGCTTCGACTATTGCATTGTGGACGAGGCATCGCAGATTACACTGCCTGCCTGCATTGGACCCATTCGATATGCGGACGTGTTTGTTCTGGTTGGAGACCACAACCAGCTCCCGCCTCTGGTAAGAGTCGACGTTTCAGTGCGCCTGTCGTTCGGTATTGCCTATCTACGCGATCCTTTAGATCTTGTCTAATATTTTCTATCAAACCTTGTTGTCCAATAGGTCAAGAATGTCGAGGCAAAGAAGGATGGATTTGATATCAGTTTGTTTAAGATACTGTCGGATGCTCACCCGGAGGCAGTGGTCAGCTTGACATACCAGTACCGTATGAACAAGGATGTGATGCTCCTCTCCAACATGCTCGTATACGACAACAGGCTTAAATGCGCCAACGATGAAGTGGCGAACAAGGTCTTGGAGATCCCAGACATGGACAAGTTCAGGAAACACTGCCATCTGGAGGTATTTCAGGACCAGCAAGAGGATCAGCAACAGCCACAGCCTGATAATTCGCATCTGACGCACCCACAATGTCTTGGTCACTCGACGGATACCCCTTGCTGGCTAGAGCAGGCCCTGGATCCACAACGGTCCGTCATATTTATTGATACGGATCTTGTCCCGGCACATGAGGTCCAGGTGGGCAACTCGACTCAGAACCCGACCGAGGCGCTATTTATCCAGCAATTGACCGAGGCACTCATCAGTGGTGGAGTCTCCGAGGATGATATCGGTATCATCTCTGTCCTTCGCGCGCAGCTCAAGATCTTGTCGCGGTTGCTGAGATCGCGGCCACAGCTCGACATTCATACGGTGGATCGATACCAGGGCAAGGACAAGGAGTGCGTGATTGTGTCGTTGGTGCGGTCGAATGCTGAGCAGCATGTGGGCGAGCTGTTGAAGGACTGGCGTCGCATCAACGTGGCATTTACGCGTGCAAAGAGAAAGCTGGTGGTCTTTGGGTCGAGACATACTCTGCAGGGATCGCCTATCTTTGCACAGTTTCTCGAGTTGATGGAGCAGCAGGACTGGATTATGTCGTTGACACCGATGACACAGTATCAGCATGCCAACCTCTTGCACCGAAACCAGATGTCAACCATCACGAGCCCGAGGGGCAAGTCGCGTCGCGGTCGGCACCAACACCAGCACCTTGAGGATGTGGATGAAGAGAACAAGGAGAATGTCGATATTTTAACTAGAGCAGGTAGCATGACCGCTGCTAGTTCTGGTATTGATGGCAATGTGGCAGCATTGCCACAGTCACCAGTATCTCCACAGCGCAAGGTGTTCCGAGCCAAGGCCAACGTTGCGCTCAAGGGCATGCCCGTTACCCAGAACATACTAGACAGCGTGTAGCCCCCCAGCGATAGTGACGTAGCAGAATTATTTTTTGTGGTTCCTTTGAGTGTAAGCTGTGTGGTGTGTGTCTGTCCCATGTGCGTGCGCTTTTCTTCGTGGTCTTTTTGTTCTTTGACACTTCTCTTTGTCAATTCCTCCTCCTCTTCCTCCTCCTCTCCTTCCCCCCCTTCCTTTGTCATCAACACACACACACACACACGCACACATATTCATATATACCTCTCACACTCGACACTCCCACCTCGACTCAGCGCCACGTTGTGCTTTCACTTACTTTTCTCCTCCTCTCGACACTCACAACTTCAAAGAAAACTTAACAATAGCCACACACGATCGGCAGCCAGACGAACACCCTTCAAACACTTCCCATAACTCAACAAAAACTCGACCCTCTTACATCAACAACACAGACACCACCACAATGAACAAGTCAGCGCGCAAAGCAGTGAACCTGAACGTGCTTCAACGCCACGACCCGCACATCTCCGACATCCTAGACAGCTCCAGCTACGTCGTCGTCTACAAGTTTGACGAGGACTCTCAAGCATGGGTGCGTCTTTTTTCCATGTTCTGCCGAGAGTCATTGTTGGCTTGTAAAGAAGCAGATCCGTGTTCATCGCAAAGGAGTATTAACGGTTGCCATATCAATACTCTTCTTCCTTTCTTTTTTATTGGTTTCATTCTTCATCTCTGTGACATTCGTTCGCGTTGTTCTTCCGTCTTCGCCAATCGCCTCGCCTGTTCATTCAATGCCGCCTTTCTACGTCTCCCGCCGCTGTTGTACCTCGCTCCCTCCTCTCTCTCTATCTCTATCGCTTTCGCTCTGTGTGGTTTCCTATCTTGTAGACAAAGAAGGGTGTAGAAGGCACGATGTTTGTCTTCAGGAGGTGCGTCTTACTTTTTCTCCTTTAGCTTTGCATGTTTGACAGACTGCCTCTGTCTTCCCAAGCTGCCTTACAGCACATTACTGTTTCAGTCGAGTCGTTTCTTTTGACACATTATTCCTCACACAAATTGCTCCTTTCTTGCTTCCTGCACTTGGAATAGGTCCACTCTGCCCTCGTACGGATTCTTCATCATGAACCGCCTCGGGATCGATAACATGATGGCCGACTTGACCGGCGATATGGCCCTGCAGCTCACATCCGACTACATCATTTACCGCGACGAGCACGGTATGCTGCAGTTCAACTATCACGTTCACTTTGAATCGCTACTCGTATTTTTTTTACTTTGGACGGTGTGCGAGAGAGTGAATAAGGGTCATTGAAGAAGGGCACAACAGGATAGGGACCATTACCGCCCACCCGACTCAACCAATGACTAATTCACATCATGCTCATTGTCCATTGGTAGATATCCACGGCATCTGGGTGTATGAACCCGCAGATCGCGACCGGATTGGTGAAAAACTTATGGAGTAGGTTCACCCCAGCGCTTTTTCCTTCCTCCTTTGCTTCCCCGCGTCTCCACCAGCAACAACCAGCACCGGCCAGTCGGAGTAAAATGATCCTGTCGCCGAAATGGATCCTATTTCACAGTGCGCTCACAACTGTGCCCTTTCTTTTGTCTCCTTCACATGAACTCCTCCCTCAGATGCTGCAAGAAAGCCAAAGACGATGGATCCCATGCACCCAACGGCGTGGCAGGAAAGGCTTCTCCATCTGCCTCAAGCGACCACTCCTTGGTCCACCAGACTCATGAACAACCATCAGCACCTCCCGCATCAACAGACGGTGCTGCATCTACCGATTCACTTTCAAGGATGCTGAGTGACGCTATGTCAAGAGCCAGGGTATCAGAGAGTTCAGGAGTGCCATCCACACCTCAGACGGCCCAGCGCCAATTGGCAGAAGCGAATTCCGCACATGCCCAGGCTTCCACACCTACAATGTCGGCACAAGGAATTAGTTCCTCGAGTCGGAGCCGGTCATCAGTGTCACAGCAAGGATCTCTTGAACACCGACGCGACACCACCTCCCCTCCCGCACTCTCGTCGTCTTCACCAAACAAGAACGAGATTCCTTCCTTTCTACTGGCCATTATCTCACAGGACAACAAGGATGCGCATTCAGGATCCCAAGCAGGATCGCCTCATTTGCGTCGGGAGAGTTTGAAGGATCCCGCTATTGTCGAGTCTTCGTCCACGCAGGCAATGTTGCTCAACTCTTTGACTGGAGCAGGAAAAGCTGCCAACGGCGACCGTCCAGGAAGCAGCAATCGTCCCCATGGACCACCCCTTTCTGCCGAGTTTTTGCCTGCCTCGGTGATGCCAAGTGGTCTCTACTCGTCATCCAGCAATAGCAACGGTCGACCCAACGGAGTCAACCAGGGATCACCTGTACCCTCTGGCCAGCACCAGCGCCCGTCACCTCCATCAGGCATGCCAAACCCCAACTTGATGAATCGACCCCCCAACGGAATGGCAGTACACGGATCACCTCTGCAGGCGCCCGCCTTTGCTTACTCGCCAGGAATGATGCCTTCGCCCCTGGCGATGCCTCCAATGCAGGTTGGACCTATGATGCACCCTCCTCCTCACCCTGCGGCAATGAACGGCGGTGGTGGACCTCATCTTCACCACCCACCTCAACCTCCTCTGCCATTCCCTCCCATGGGACTTCCTCTTCCTGGCCAGGGAGCGCAGCCTAGTTTCCCGGCGGATGCGATGCATGCGGCGATGGGTGCCGTCGGCTTTATGCATCAACAGCAGCGTGGATTTGTGAACCGTGGACCACCTGGCGAAGTGATGCCTAAGGCTGAGTTTACGCAGCAGTTCATGGGGCTTTTGCAGAACGACCCTCAGTTCATGGACGTCCTCTACACCAACTATACTGCGGTCTTTGCCAGACGAGGATAAGGAAGTTGACGAGCGTCCGGTTGCTCTGTCATGGATTCTATATTATTCGATATCTATCTATCTAGATGACGTTTGTTTTAGATCCCCCTCCCTTCCTTTTCTTCCTTTGAGTCGTCGTAGCGCATGAAGGTGATGATGGTTCTTTCATTTTCTTCTGAGGCTACATGACAGATTGGATCTTATCTTTTTTATTTCGGAGAGGACGGACAGTCCTAATGCGTCGTGTTCTTTTTGTGGGTTACTAAAGAATAAAAAGAAGCGATGAGTTCGTCTCTTGTTCTGAAAATCATGAATGTTCGTGAGTGTGGTAATGTAGTGTGAAAAAGACGCGATTTTAGCGTATGCAAGGCGAAGTCGTGTTTCGCCTCCAGAAAATTTTAATGCATCCGGGCGGCACAGCAGCTTCGCTTTTTCTGAAACGTGAGGCGAAGAGGATGAATACAGGCGTCATGGAAAATGTGAAGGTGGAAATGCTGACTGATGAATACATCTGTGCGCATGGGACCATGGACAAGACATCACCTCCATCCTTTCTGCCTTTCCCCCCTTTTTTTTCTTATGTGGGGGCTGTCCAATCGCTTTTTTTTATTTCTCTCATCTTCTTCTTCTTCCACCCTTTTTTTTTTGTTGTTCACTTTGGCTCCAAGGTGTCCGCCATACTACTTCCTGTATCCGAGATGCAGGTTTTTGAAACAAAAAGTACATCAAAATGGACCATAAAATGATTATATAAATCATGGAATAGCAATAGATGGCTGTAAGAATTGGGAAAAAGATCCATAATAGAGTTGGTCATCTAGCTATGTTGGGCAAAAAACAAAAAGCGGGAAAAGAATGTTAACATAATCCATGGCTCGAACAGAAGAAATCTCTTGTAAAAAAAAAAAAAAAAATGGCTTTTAATCAAGTTCGTCGTCCCCATTAGCCATCAGATGTTGGGCAAGCTTTGATCGTGCACTAGCTGGGAAGTGAGGAAAAAAAAAGGGGGGGGTGGGGATTCGCAGAGTTTCCAAAGCTCATCTGTGACACTATTATATTGGTGTATGTACAACTATGCAGATGAAACGACTAAAGGGTCGGCGGATAGAGAAATACATTACTGAAACTGCGAGATTGCATTCAACCAAACGGATTTAGATGTAAATCCGTAAAACAGGCCCGCTCTGACTGAACGATAAATATTTCTCAGAACATATGTGCAGGACGCCATAGAAAGGCCGTTTAAAGGATAAAAGGTTCAAAAAGATTGCTGTACCAATTCTGGCCAATATGCTGCCTCTTTTACACTGGAGCTCTATCGCATGCATAGCATAGATTTTGCACATGGTTGGAAGTATATTACAACTCGAGGACAATTGTATGGATATCTTTTAGTCGCTGATGAAGGGATAGTTGTAGATAGTGCACGAAAAGTTGGGAACCATGGCATATCATGGGAAGCTCTACCCAAGAAACCCAAAAAAAATATCCGATACAAGGTGCATAACAAACTCGCGCAAATTATGGAGAGTGCCGAAGTGCGAAAGAGCCTTGGTTCTCGTATGGAGGCACTTGTTGGAGAAGGAAACAACATTTGTACGACGAGTTAAACGATGTAAGAAGAATGGGTTATACTCGTGTTGGGCTTACATTTTATGGTTCATCTTTGAGACCCCTTTGAGGATACCAAGACGAAATGGATAAGGAGAAAACGGTCTTGGAATACTACCCTGCATATAGATGTTCTTTTGAAATGCAGTGACAGGAATGAGCAAAATGCATTACATCGATGGTGTCTATACATTCTCCAGACGAGGAACCGTTTGCGTAATGCTATTGGTGGAACTCACTGACCTTCAAGAAATACGGATACATATGGAAAAACGTTAAGCCTGCAATTATCCCACTATTGCTGGCTAATGATTCCTTTAACGATAGACCTATATTCTGTGTGGAAGGACGTGTAGACGAGAAAGAGGATGTTGTCATTGTAAAGGTACAATGAAAAGGAAATACGAGAATGCGTATAGAGCATGTAAGAAGAGCGGGGGTCTTCACCAACTAAAATGCACAATCGTACCGCACCTTCGGGTTCGTTGGTTGATAAAAGGAATACGAGAGCAGTTCGCTCTACTCCTTCCACGCGAATATAGAAGCAACAAAGTATACGACTATGGCACATTCGCACAAGTCCTGGATTGACCGAGTGGAACAGTTCCAGAATGATCTGGGTGCTCTCATCGCATTTCGGAGGAAGATGCAAGACCTAGAATCTCTCGTAGATTGGTGTGTATCTCAGAGAGCACCCTTTCCACAAAGCAATGGTCCATTTCCTATTCCACACCAGAAGGAGAATGTGCTAAATACCGCCTACAGGCGTCCTGCGTCCTTATCTTTAAACATGCACTATCCCTCGAATAATCTCATCCAAAACCGACTAGAGTCTACGACCCGGGACTACATGTTGTCCAATTTCAAAGTAGGGATAGGAACCACAGCAACGTATATCTGAATCTGGTTTTGGTTGGACAATAATGACCCCTGAAAACTAAATGTCGAGAACGAGAGGGACCTGTCCATCGCTCAAAGTATTTCTCAATAGCCTAGTACTCTCCAAAACATGGGACAGAACATCATGGTCATGTCGTTCGAAAAATAAAAATGTAGAAAAGTCCTCCTGGGTGTGAGTGCATCGTGTGGAGGAGGAAGAGGGGTATTCTTGTTTATTCTCCATCCCACAAAACACCAGCGAGCAAAGAGCACCGCCTACCCCACCATACATGAGCCTCAAACAAAACATGTCAAGAAATCGATCCATCGTCATCCATGAGTATTCTCTAAATGCTCAGTCTTTTTATCGTTTCTAGTAGTGTTTTTTTTTAAGTGTAAATAGTACCAGTTACATCACCCAACCTTATCCCTGTACAATGCGGCAGTTGGATGCCCGCCTCTGCTTCATCCACCTCACCACGCGGGTCAGCACCATTCGCACACCCATCGCCCCCTGTCAGTGTCCAGAAAGAAGCTCCAGTCCAAAGGGCTACTGCATGAGCCTCCCCCATCGACAATAGACTGGCTCATCACGAAACAAGGGGTCAAAAATAATTAAGGACTCAGCCGCCGTTGGCAAGGGTCAATCTCTCGATGCCTTGATCACTTCATCCGAACGGATCGCCACTCAAACAGAATCCATATGGGTACGGAAAATGATCATCGTTCATAACATCCCCACACCTGGTGGGCGCTTGGAGCAAGAAGCGAGGGCGATTTACTGGCCACGATATAACCATGACATATTTGCTTTTTGCTGACTGATTCGGCTCTCCACGACGACGTTCAAAAAGATGATTACGTGTGATTGATTGCACACAAGAAAGAACTGACACCAATAAGGTCATCACCGATCAAACTGCCTCCTTCGTTCCTGAAAAAAAAATATCGTTGGCGGCGCCGATGTGTGTCGTGACAATTCCCTCCTGTTGCATCCAGGCCAACAAACAACACAGACTGCCAACTGTTACCTGTTAACTAATCCCGAGCAGGTCCTGGTTGAGCTTCGACTGTTTGACGAAAAACCTGAGTTGACCATCTTGTGCCTGCTTTCAGCTTCCAGGCAGAGTCCCCCTGTGTTGACCAATTACTCCTGACAGCTCCCACTATTTTACGCTTGCCCTACGTTCCGTCCCATTCCTGTCGATTCCTCATGTCTGCGAAAGGCGATCGCTTCCTTTTGTCTGTCCTGGCCTCTCTTCATCTGGGGGGGGGGGGGGGGGGGGAAGTGCTCGTATGCCTAATCCTGCAAAGATGGTGCTCAGCAGCGTGTACGCTTCTGACTTCATACTTGCTACGTACAATAACGGTGCCAGAATTGTGTCCACCTCTTGGTCGTTCAAAGGCAATTGTGACCCATTTTCGTCCTTGTCTGCCTCGATTTTCGACTCCCTTGAGTGTATTTCCGTCCAGAAATCCTGATATATCGACTGCCCTGCAAAAACTGTCCTGACTCTGCAACAGACCCAACCACACAATCCTTGTCTTCAAGAGAAAAGAGAAAAGCAGGCGTGTGTGTCTGTGAGAGAGAGAGAGATGTTGTGAAGAAAAAACAAAATACTTTATAAGATTCCCTTGTGTATTGGTTGGTGGGAAGGGGTAGTTAGAAACGATTACAAAGAAGACCCTCATGCCTCGTGGATGGCCTCGTAGAGAGAAACGACAGCAAAGATCTCAAATACGATAGCACCAGCCAGGGTGACTATTACAAGTGCAACGAAAAATAAGAGAACGTGGTTAGTGTCGAGTCCATGAGAGCCACGACGATCTGCTTCCTGATAAAACCACAATAGGTTCCCGCCTCGGTGCGACGGGTCGGTCCAAGTGCTTACCTGTACGAACAGAGATCCGCGATGCCAGCATCCTGCCTCCGATGACGGCTACTCCTGTACAGAGCGAGTGCCCAAAGACACCTCCGATCGAGACCCAGATCATGTTCTATGGGAATGAAATTGAATCATAATGGGTCAAAAGGCGAAGAGGGTGAGAAAAAAACAATCAAAGTGAAAAGTGGGCGATGAGAGCGAGAGATAACGGAAAATAAAAAGGGCTGAATGGGCTGTTAAGAATAGAGAGAGCGAAAAGGGAGAAAGGAGAGAAAGGATGGCAACAGCAGCGATAACCATAATAAAAAAAGAAAGTGAGCCCATCTCTCTTTTTTTCTCTCAAGTTTGTCTGTCTGTCTGTCGTTGTGGCAGTGAAGAAGGCCATTTGTTGGACAGAACAATCGAACAAACGCACACTATTCCCCAGATAGACATGCGAACAGTAATGAGAGTTGCTGTAGCATAGTGCATGTGTGTGTTTGTGTATACGTGTGTGGGGTAAACAGGTGCAAGCACAAAAATAACCCAAGAAGGCGAGAGCAAACAAAAACGTGAGGCTAGTCAGGGGTAAAAGCTCCAACAAACAAGATGAAAAAGAACGATGAAATCAACTTACATGTGCTGCCGCCAGGGCAATCGTCGCAATCTGGGATCTGTCACCCCACTCGGCCAAGAAGGTCATCACAAAAGTCTGGACAAACACAGGAGAGAACAAGAGCTGGAAGAGGTTGACGACCCCCGAGGCCTCGTTCTTGCTGTGAGGAGCAGAGCTACGGCCGACAAGGCCGCTTGTGTCCCCAGAGTTCTCGTCCATATTGGCTTCAGAGTCGGCAGCGGATCCAGCCTCTGCCCTCTGAAGCATCTCCAGATCTTCCTTGTCCTGCAGTTCCTGGGTGACCTCCTCGAGCTCATGCTTGGCGTCCTCTTCGGTCATATGGTATCCATCGTAGAACATGCGGATTCCAAAGCAGAAGAAGAGAATGGCAGCGAGGTAGTTGGTGTAGGTCCTAGGGATCAGGTTGGGCACTGCATGACCAAAGGCGGCTGAGAGGAAGGTCATGACGGCGAGGGCTGAGATGGCTGCAGAGAAGACGAGGAGACGGGGGTGCTTCATCGCCATGATAGCAGCGATCAGGAAGGTTTTGTCGCCAATCTCGGAGACGACGATCATGGCGAGGGAGAGGAAGAAGGACTTGCTCTCCTCCGAACTGACCTCGATCCCGGCGAAAGTCTCTTGGTCCGGGGATGATGTATCCACATAGTTGTTGAACTCGTCAACGTTCTTGGGATCGGCCATGGTGTGGTATGTTCCCTCTGCATCCTCAAAGTCGCTCCCCAGATCAACCGCGTACTATTTTTTCACATCAGTTGGTCGCAGTTAGAGATGTGAAGGGTCAGGGTCCAGTCAAGTCAAGTCAAATCAGGGCAGTAAGCAAAGGTTCAGTCCCTTTGGCCATTGAATAAAGTCCGGTTGTCTCCCACTGGTTGTTGTTTGATAAGGATGGCAGGTTCGGAAAAGTAAAAAAAAAAAAGAGAGGTATCCAGGTTCGGACATAAATAAACGCTGCTGTCGGAGTCGACCAGATTGTCCGAAGCAGTTGGCAAAGAGAGAAATAGAAACCCACTCAGACAACCACAACCACAACCACAACCACAACCACAACCACAACCACAACAACAACACACCAAAGATAAAGAAAGAGAGCACAAAGGAATGTATATCTCTTTCCATGGGATCACAGGATGAAGAACAGGAAGTAACTGCTTTTGCCTTTTGGTCCACAGACACTAATCGATTCGACACAAGCGCCACCACTAATCCACCTGCAAAACTTGCACACACAGACAGCAAACATGTCTTTGTACCCCCCACGGTCTCATCCTGTGTCCGTTTGACTCAGAATGTGATGAAAGAGCACCGATGTAGATGATGGACTTACTTTCTCGATGTCCTCTCCTGGATGGGCAAGGGCAACAGCGTCGACGGTGTGGCGGGTAGAGATGGCGAGACAGGCAGCCAGGGTGATGGCGATGACGATGGCCAATCTCATTCTAAATCGAGCCATTGGTATGAATTGTGGTTATTCGATGTTTTGTTGTTGATGTTGTGGATGGGAGTTGTAGGTGTTGAGGAGTTGTTGCTGTGTGTGGTGGTCCTGCGAGAGTTGAATAAGGTGTCCTGCAGAAGAGCGATAGGGGGTGGTTGACTGAAAGAGAAAGAGAGATAGCGATATGAAGAGTAGAAGTAGAAGAGGAAGGAAGAGAAGAAAGTGCGAGTGGGAAGAAGGGGAAGGAAACAAACAAGCAGCAGAGTGCAGAGTGAGGAAAAGTAAAAAGAAAGAAGGGACTGAACCTTAGATATAGGATTTGTCCTATCTAATTGAACGAGTATCTGTAATTGACCATTGGTATGCGTTATCCTTGGATCCACGTGAGTCTTTGCTTTAACTATAGCGTTCTATTCTTTCATTCTTCTTTCTACATCCCGTCGGGGGCTGTACTGTTCCTGTTTGTGTTTATGTTGTTCAGGTTGGGCTGAAGTGTTGCAGCTCGGGCGGAGGTCGTTCCGTCAGGGTCCCCCCTCTCTCTTTCCTCGAAATACATTCTTGCGCGAAAAAATAAAATAAAATAAAATAAAAAAAAGGAAGGAAGGAAGGAAGCGAGTTCACCGGACTGACAAATAAAGAACAGCGCAAAGACATGCTGCAATGCATTGATCGTGAGCGCCAATAATGTTGCTCGATAATAAAAAACAAGAGAGGAAAATAAGGGAGTGTGAGAGAAGACACAGCAACGACTTTGTTTCTATGCATCATCATCACTGTCTTCGAGACATGATCGTCTGCTATTCTTAGCACCCTTCTTGGATTCAAACTTGTTTGTGGCCATTGTCACATAATCACACCATAAGAAACAAACACGAATCGAATCGTGCTACGCCATGCCTCTTTTTTTATTTTTTATTTTGTTTCTTCGTTATCTTTTTCTTTTTTCTTTTTTCCTTGGAGCAATGCTCGGTAGACAAACTTTCTCTTTGTCGTCCCTTCTTGGTCTCATGGTGAAGGAACAAACAAAGTGCACGGAAAAAAAGAAACATGGCCTGTTTCTAGCAGGAAAAGTCATGTAGACTAGCTCTCTCGGATGATTAATTGCATTAATGAAAGGTATCAAAATTGAAACGTGTGGAGTAAGTAAGGGACCCTGGTCCCTGTCCCATCTCACCACTCTACCTTTATTATTTCTTTTTTCCTCTCCTCTCCGAGAGAGACGCCAATGTGATAAAAGATTCAGAGAGTCAGCCCCTCCCCCTTCTCCTTGCCCCTCGGAGATGCTTTTTATTGTTGTTTGTTTGTCATCCCTGGTGTTTCCTTGTTCCTTTGCGTTGGAATCAGATTTCTTCCCGATGCTATGCTTGTTGGAGTACTGTAGGGCCACAATGGCCTGGAACTGCCTGTAAGACTGATTGAGTGGCAACAGAGAGTGTTGGAGAAGAGGGTGGTTTTGTTCTCTCTTATATCAACTCTCCAGCCTGGATACAGATCTCGCCTCTCCATTGAAAAAAATAAATAAAGAGATCGACGTTCCCGCCTTTGTTGCATGTCTATTGTTCATAAGGTGGTGCATATCATGATGGTCTGATTCAGCTGCCATCTCTGCAGTCAACAGGAGCATAAAGGAGTAAAGACAGGGAAAGTAGGGTGAGATGGATGCATGAGTTCTTGGGTTGTCAGTCTCTTTTGTTGTTTTTTTCAGTGCAAGGTGAGAGCGATGTTTGTTGCAAGGTGTATGTGTGTATGTAACGATGGCTACCTACTTCGACTTCCAACTGTCTGATGTGCATAGCGTAATGTGGACAGCTGTTGGGGTGGGGCGCTTGTTTCCTTTGGTTCTTCCTTTCCTCCTTACTTATCGTTTCATACGTTATATTTTACTGCCTGTCTGGACACTGAGTGGCCCTTCCAATTGTTGGCTGTTCGTAATTGCCTGCAGCACCAAACGGGTGTTTCTTTTTGCTCTTTTACTCCGAGAGGGTGCCTCTCCCCCCACCTTCCCCACGCTACTTTGTGGACGACCGATGTTAGAAGAGTGACAAGCCAACGACAGATAATGTTCGTTCATTAGCACGAGTGAGTGTGAAGCCAATAGTTATTCGTGCACCAAAAGGCACAAAAGGGCGGGTCTTCAATTCGTCAATTCGATCCGTTCCTTCTTTTCTACTCTTTCTTCCTTTTCTCTCTCTCTCTCTTCTCTCTCTCTTCTCCCTTCTCTTTTCTCTTCTTTCTCCACCCCTCCTCCCTCATTCCTCCCCTCCTTTTCTCCACCCATCCCTCTCTTCCTTTTCCTTTCATCTCTTGTTTTTTATTCCTCCTCTCTCTCTCTCTCTCTCTCTCTCTCTCTCTCTCTCTCTCTCACTCTCACTCTCCCTAACTCTCTCTCTCTCACACACACACACTCTCCAGTAACGACCTTCCTTTTCTTTATCTGTACACACACTCTCTCTGTCTCTCTCTCCTTTTACGCCAAAAAGTATTATTATTAGAACCGAACACCCTTCTTCTTCTTTTCTGTGCACTCTCCACCGTCACCTACTCCTTCACTCATTCCCCCCCCTCCCTTCCCTCCACACACATCCAACATCATGTCAAGTACAGACGACGCCAATATGGCCGCATCTCTTGACGCACAGCACGACAAATACGTCGGCCTCATGCTCGCCGTCTCCTCCTCTCTCATGATCGGAATCTCCTTCGTCATCACCAAGAAGGGCCTCATCGACTCCACTGCAAGGCACGGCGGACACGGCTCGGCATCCGACCAATACCTCTTCTTAAAGAACCCCATCTGGCTCCTCGGCATGCTCACCAGTAACGTCTTTCAGCTCCTTTTCACGCTTCGCTCTTTTCTATTGCTCAAAAGAAAAGTAATAGGCTCAAGTGCCTTGTTTCTTTTTTATTCACTGAAACAACTACAGAGACACACACGAGGATGAAGGAACGAAAACGATGAGACTGACAGCCACACCTTACCCTTTCTTGAACGATGAACTAATTAGTGGCGGCGGGAGAGATTGCCAACTTTGCTGCATATTCGTTTGCACCAGCTATTCTGGTCACCCCACTAGGCGCACTCTCTGTCATTATCGGGTAAGAAAGGAGAAGAGAAGGGTGTCCCGACAAGAGACAATTGCAAAACAAGACGAGGCGAGACAACAGAAAAAAAAAGGGTCTCGAATCACTACAGCAGCATAGACACAGCCCGTGGTGTTGGAAGGGAAGAGGCGGCACAGCAACAGGACACGTTCAACAAAACGACAACAGCCCCAGCCAGCAGGACGTTGAGCAACAGCCAGCAAGCACATCGACCACGACGAACAACATACAGCAACCACACAGTCGCATACACGCTCAATTGAGTTGGCAAACAACCAACAACCACTGAAAACAGAGAAAATCAGGACACCACATTCAACATATCGTCTCTACGACCAACAGCAGAAAACAGACACACAGAGACAGATACAACGAGTCGGTGAAATATGGATAACGACTGACTGGAATAATAGAATCCTTCTTCGCCCACTCACCCGCCATTCAACAAACAACAAACAGCATACAACAACGAAAAGAAAAGGCAGTTCGCGATATATCCCGCCCATATGGGAATTCAACAAACAGCACGAAGAATTGCTTTCCTCATTGTCGCATCTATGATACAGTCGACCCAAGGCAGGGATTGACAGACACAAAAAGGAATCTTGACCGACCTTCGTTCCGTGAACCACACATGTTGTGTTTGTTCTCTTTTGGACGAACAGAAAAGAGACATAGAGACAAACCAGGTTACTGACCAACCACCCCCTCACTTTCCTACCCCTCCTTCTCACTCCCTCTCTCTTCATTCCTGCACATGCCTCCTTGGATTCTTGTCTCTAGGGCTATTCTTGCTTCATTTTTCCTCCATGACAAGCTTGGAGTTGTCGGCAAGGTTGGATGCGCCCTTTGTCTAATTGGATCGGTCGTCATCGTCCTCCACGCCCCAGAAGACAAGAACATCGAGTCGGTCGATGAGATTTTGAACTATGCCCTGCAGCCTGGTAAGACCCCCCTCTACTTTTTTTCTTTCTTTCTCCATCAACCCCTTCCTTCTTTCCATCATGCTGCCCGCATGGTCTGCCATTTTTGATGCATGATACAGTTATATATCAGGAGACGACCAGGCAACCCCAACATGAGGCAGGGATGACAAAGGAGACAGTGAAGCGGGAGATCATAATGATACCATCCTCCTTCAATCCTCCTATACGGCCAATTTTGCGGACAGTATTCAGGATGATCAAGCAGGAATCGTCCAAATGAGTGTGTGACCCCAACTCCAAACACTTTCCTACGAATTGGGCATTTACGGTTCATTTATCATTATTATTACAAGAGCGGGTACCGTTAGTTCAGGACCCACACCGTTTTTAGTGTGTTGTTGTTATTGTTTGTGTGGGCAGTGGTGGAAGTGCTCTCGGCCATGGGCTCGTTCTCTTTAGGTTGGGTTGCACAAATGTTGTTTGGGCAGCATCTAAACACATTCGAGACTGACCAAGGTTGACAGCACTAAAACAAAAAACAAATATACACGGGCGCATGTGCAAATCTCACTCCCTCCACATGTACTTCTATCAACAACAACAAAGCAACCTCGACAGCCACAAGGACGCAATGATCAACAGCAGGTCATCCAATTACAGAACATCGTGCGTAATGCAACGCCTAGACCTTGCTGGTCTCGGAGGAATGGTACAGCACTGAGAGCGCATTACGCCCAGAAGGATCTTTTGATACAGGCACGCACAGGAATGACAGGACAGCATGAAAGCAAGGACCACAGCCTACACTGGGCTCAGACGTCGAGAAGACCTCATGGCTAACATCAGCCCTCTCTTTCTTTCCCCCTTTTTTTGCGTATCTCCCTATCTACTAGCATTCATGGCGTACAGTCTGTTTGTGCTGGCATTCTCGACATTTATGATCTACAGGGTCGTGCCAAAGTGGGGCAACAAATCGCCAATTGTCAACATCTCCATCTGCTCGTTTGTCGGATCGATCACCGTCATGGCGTCCAAGGGCTTCGGAATCGCGCTCAAGCTGACCTTTGCTGGCTCAAATCAGCTGACGCACCCCTCCACCTATGTCTTCGCCCTCCTTGTCGGTATCTGCATCGTCGTTCAGATGAACTATTTCAACAAGGCCCTCGACACATTCTCCACCAACGTGTAAGTCCTTTTTCTGGTGTTTCTTTGTCATGCATCAGTCGATATTTGTCGGTCCGATGATGATAAGTAAGACACTGTCGCTAATTATTTTCTCCGACCGTTTTTTTTTGTTCTATTTTTTCCCGCCACATAACAGTGTGATGCCTATCTACTACGTGATGTTCACAACGGCGACGATTACGGCATCTATTATCCTATTCCAGGGTTTCAACACCACCTCGACCGTCAATATCGTCTCCATCTTCTGCGGATTCGGTACCATCTTTTCAGGAGTCTTGCTGTTGAACAATGCTCAACACTCCTCATCCGAGTCGCATAGCAAGTCAGGGTCGATCACCAACGGACCTGGAGGACACGGATTTGCGGATAGACGGTCATCTCGTGAATCGACGCTGTTGAATGCGTATGATGAGGAGAGTCTGGGATTGACGCAGTTGCGGGAGGAGGAAGATGACGATGAGGATTTGACAGAGGATGAGGATAGGCGGGTACGTATGAGTAATGGTGGCCACTCACATCACCGCTAGAGAGAGAGAGAGAGAGAGATCTCTGAGGCGGGGAGCAAATGGGGGTCGTTTTTTTTTCTTTCTTTCATTTCGGCAACACTCTATTACAACCATCAAAAAAGGGATACCCTGGACCCTCACATCCATTAAAAACCTGAACCAATCCCCCCCTTTACAGGACCTTTTTTCTTCACTTTTCCTTTTACTTTTTTTTTTTTTTTTTTTTGTTTTTTCTTTCTGTTTTGATGACTTTGACAAAACAAAAAGGGTTGGATGTAACCCTACGCAGCTGTATATTTCTTTTCATGTCCATGACCTTTCCATCAACGAATACATATCACGAAATGATGAATAAAAACTACCCACATTTCAACGACATGTAGCATTTTATTCTCTCATTCATTTTGGACCGTCAATGCAGTGCGGGTGGTGGATAGGATATGTGTTCTTTTTTTTATGGTACAGTTGACAAACTATGAAGTATTATGAATGAAAGTGCAAAAGTGTGGGGGTGAAAGAGGAGGAGGAGGAGGAGGAGGAGGAAGAGGGGGTAAATGAAGACTAATTATTTACCTAAGCTTGTTACGAGTGGGAGAAATCGGCAAAAGGGGAATACCTCCACCAAAAACTCCCTTCTCATCTCATTCCAAATCCTCATCCTTCTCCGCCAAGGCATTCTGACGGTACCTCTCCCTATCCAACTGTCGACTCGTATAATCCTCATCTCCACACAGTTCCTCCAAGGTCTTGCCCTTTGTCTCGGGGACGAGGTAGGTGAAGAGGAGGCCGATGAACATGAAGAGGGCAAAGATTTGGAGGAGTTGTGGGATACCGGCGTTCTTGCCGCCCTTGTCCTTCAAGGATGAGAACCCAATCTGGGCGACGATGGCTCCTAACTTGCCCATGCCGGCCGAGATGCCGTGACCTGTGGATCGGTACCGGGTTGGGAAGACTTCTCCGGGGATGATGAACGTTGTGGCGTTTGGACCAAAGTTCTGGAAGAATTGGGTGAGTGCGAACAGGAAGATGAAGAGGACTGGGGATTGGTTGTGGATGGGTGCGTAGGCGAAGCCGAGGATACAGAAGAGGATGCAAGACATGACGAAGCCCATGACTTGGATCTTGATGCGTCCGAGACGTTCGATCAGGAAAACGGTGAACCAGTAACCGGGGATGGCTCCCAGGAGGACGATAATGGCCTGGCCGACAGTTGCGTTCCAGATGGTCTCGTAGGCGTTTCCGGTGATGGGCGAGAAGTGGATGGAGGAGAGGATGAAGGTATTGTTGAGACCGATGCCGTAGAAGGCTACGTCGAGGGAGAACCAGGTCACGGAGGTGCCGAGCAGGACTTTGAAGGTTTCCCATCGAGAAAAGTAACGGACGAATTCGCGGAAGGTCCCGCCGTTGGGGTTGACGGTATTCTCTTTCGAGGATGCGGAGAAGAGAGAGTTATACCCGCCCGCGACAGAGGCAGAGTTGGAGGTGTTCTTTTGGTAGCCGCCGGATTTTTGACCGATGGGGCCGTCGTCGCCACCACCACCACCGAGAGCGTTGTTGTTTCGACGAGGGTGGACTCTAGATTGGGAGGCACGCGCATCGACCTCATCCCTATCAGACTGCAACGCGTTCCTGGTCGTCGGGATGACTCGGTTGACATCATTCTCGGCCTTGAACAGGTTATTCTCCACATCCAAGACATACCTCGGCGTCTCTGGAATCGTCATTCGGAAATACACCGCGACCAACGCCGGGATACACCCCAACCCAATCAACAGCCTCCACACATAATCCAAATTCCTCGCATCCTCCTCAATCATCCCCTTGAACCCCAACAACAGCAAAATAGCAACAAGCGCCGTGGTAAGGTATCCGAATCCTTGCATCGCAAAGACTGCGGCCATCATGGCACCACGGCGGTTGGTCGTTGCGAATTCTGAGGTGATGACGGCTGAGAGGGGGTAGTCACCTCCGACACCGATGCCGAGGATGAACCGCCAGACCATGATTGCCCAGGGGAGGGATAGGCCGTAGGCGTTTCCGCAGAGCGCTTGGCCGAATGTTGCGACGATGATGATCACGAGTTCCACACCGTACATCTATTGTGTAAGTCACAGAGGTAAGGTAGAGGAGGAGGAGGGAGGGAGGGAGAGAAGGAGAGATAAAAACGTGGGAGGAAATGAATCAATTAGAGGACTGTGATGAGCATACATGCATGAATCCCCAAATTGTGAGCACCCTTTTCCTTCCTTTCCTTCCATCTTTCGCCCCTTCCCACACACCAATGCAGAAACTCCTCAACCCACATTTACCCAAAAAAAACCACCAACTCAAAAGACAAAGAAGAGCAAGTAGCAAAAACGGAAAAAAAAAAAAAAAAAAAGAACCTACCCGCTTACGACCAAGCCTATCCGCCAAATAGCCAAACCCAATCTGTCCGATAAACGTCCCCACACTCGCCGCAATCTTCAAGCCTGCATCAATGTCTGCAGGAACTGTGTTCTGTTGATCCGCAAAGTAAACAAAGCCAAGCATAGGCGAGACCAAGTTAATGGCAAACAAGTCATAGGCGTCGGTGAAGAAGCCCACACCGGCGACCATACAGGCTCGGACGTGGAACCAGCCGAAATCCGCGTTATCGATCTTTTCGAGGGTGTCGAGGCGACGGTTGCGGGGGTCGTCTTGGTAGAGTCCGCCGCGGGAGAAGTCTGTGGAGGTTGGTTGTTGGTTGTTGTTGTTGTCGTTGATGTTATTGTTGTTGGTATTGTTCAATGTGTTGTTGGTGTTGGCGTTGTTGGTGATGGAAGAAGAGTTATGACGGGGCCCAGAGCCAGGTGTAGGACTACCGGGAAGCCCATCATAGTATCCATCACTCAACCCATTATTGCTCATTAACGGCCTCGCTGCAGAATGAATCGGGTAATTGGAAGAAGAAGAAGTAGGGGAGAAGGAAGTAGGAGGGTAGGTGGGGGATTGAGGTCTGTTATTGGAGGAGGATGAGGGGTGGGGGATTGCGCTGCTGCCGCGTCTTGGTGGAGGTTCCAGGGATTGGGGGAAGGACTGCATGGCATATTCTTGCGGGCGGCGTTGCGGTTGGTTGTGCTGGTAGTTGTTGCTCATGTTTGCTGGTTGTGTTTGTTTATGTTGGTGACAGAGGGGGAAGGGTGAGAGTTGGGGGGAGAGAGAGAATCGATGGGTGAAGGATAAATAGTGTTACAAAAGGTGTAAGTAAGGAAGAAGTAAAGAGAGGACGAAGGATTGTACAAAGAGGAAGAAGGAACGTAGTGAAAGGTTCGGAGGATACCAAGAACAAAAGAAAATGAAAAAAGGGGGAAGGAGGAAAAGGAAGAATAGGTTCCTTTATGGAGAAGAAAACAGAGGGACAACGCCAGCGATGGCAAGAGGGGTAAATACCTTTCAGCAAGCAACAATGAACAACGACCAGACCATTAAACACCTGTTCACAATCCCATCGGAAGGATAATGAATCGAAAGAACGAACAAGGTCCCTCAGCTTTGTTGCACAAGAAAACTAGTCATACCGACATATTTTTCCTTTCAACAGCAACAAACAAACAAAAGAAAAAGGAGATGCGTCCAGAACAAATAAGATTTTTGAATGACCGCAGCGGGCGTGTGCACGTTGCGGCCTCCCGGGAATCCACTGGTTGCTCTCTCCTTCCTCACTCTCACACAAATCTTTGTCTTTGCAATACGCCCACACACACACACCGCACCCACACACCTCGTACAAACACATACACACACGCACACTGCATGAAGGGCTGACAATGCAAGGTGTAATACAAGAAAGAAGAGAGTCGACTTTTTTTGCTCACAAGCAACAACAAACTTGCACCTTTTCTCATTTTGCTCCTCTCCTTGACACTACCCTCATGCATACACTTCCAACTCACGCGGCGTAGATGTAAGGGGGCCCCCTGTTGAAATGAAAATCGAAAGAGGGCCAAATAACAACTTGCTCATGCATTAACCATGTAATCAGGCAACCAGGCAACGCGGGCGACCTCGCAAGGATGTGCGAGAGGGTAACTGAGAGGGAGACGGCGCGCGGTAAGACGGTTGGGGGATCGAGGAGAGTAGAAATCGGCAGATCGATAAGGCAGGGGGATCTCTCTGCTTTTACTCGATGGAAAGGGGACATGATAAATTTCCCCTTTTTTTCTTTATTGTCATGACCAATTGAGGCGAAATGCCTCTTCGAGTCCAGACAAGAAAGAAAAAGACGAGGAAAAAAATAGATGTCTGTGTTGACAAGCGGATCCTTTGTTCCTTTCTTTCTGGGCGTTAGTAATATGATTAGGTGTGCAAGCAAAACAAGAATGTCGGTCCACGATGCCGCTATGACTGGCAATGAACATCTCCATCCCTCCTTCTCTCCCCTTCCCCCACGACCCACGAGAGCGTCTTGTCATACAATTGCAAGCAAAGACGAGCGTGTCAGTCGACGAAAAAGCAAAGTCCTTTCTAGACTGACCCACACTACGATCTTAACCCCAACTCTACCGACGATGTGTACAGGAGACCCTTGTGGTCAAGCAATCTAAACAAGGAAAGAAAAGAAATCAATGGACCCCTATCGGCTCCTCACGTTGCTCGGATGCTCGATTGCGATTGGACCAAACGCGCCTTCAAGGCAATTTTGTGTTTACCAGGGATTGTGATGTTTTTTTTTGAGAGGGGGAGGGCTCGAACCACAATCGGAGGCAACCAACCTTCTTTTTTTCATTTTTGAGCAGGGAAGGAGAGGAAACAAGGGAAACAGGGGAAGCGAAAGGGCGACTAGTGAGGGTGGAGGGAGGGAGGGCGTTGATGAAGCCGGCGGTTGTCCGTTATTTTCTCCGGCTCATACCAAACAAATTTGAGAGACACGATGAAGCAGATAGAACGACGGGACGTCCATTTCAATGTTAATTATGACCTTTGTGAGCCAAGGCGGAGATAGATGGTAGCACTGGGTAGGTGTGAAAGGGTAAAAGGTGTAAAGGAAGCCAACGAAAAAAGAAAAAAAAGAGGTGGTGGTGAGGAGGGAGAGTGCTCGCAGTTCCAGCCAATGATCGAGCAATACCGAGGCTGCACAACAATTTTTAGGACAAGAGCGAGCGAGAAAGTGAGAAGGAGCTTGGCCTTAACCTTATTTTTTTAGAAAGAGATACATGTGCTAAAATGACAGGGGGATAAGGTGAGGCAGGGTGGATGGTCTTTTCTTTCGGTTCTTTTCGTGGCTGGAACAAGAAGAGCGCTGCCGAAGGTTTACCTAGGATTTATTTGTTGTTGACCCTCGTTCAGGATCTATGCATGCTATTTCGTCCTCAAAGGCGCAGGTGACCAAATGAAAAAAAAAAAAAAGCAAGGGGGGTGTAAGCGATCAATGCGAAAACCGTTATTAGGGGCACGTCCATTCGCATTCGTGCTAACGACAATGAGGAAACGTGGGCAATTTTTCTGACTTTTCCCTGTGCTTTGCTTCGTGGTTGTACAAGATTCATAGCGCCCAGATCCCTTCCCCTCCCGCACTTTTTTCGTTACTGTTGTTCGAGAAGCAAGGAGAGATGGATCCAGATGATGATGATGGATAATTGGTTCTTTAATGACATGTCTAGAGTTTTCTTTTTCTTTTTTTTCCTGCAACGTTCCCGTAATAGTAACCTTTGGCTAATTCATACAAAGAGGTCAAAGTCAATCACGTTTACTATACGTTGCTGAGCTGAATGAAAAAAAGGTGAGGACCGCATCGGTCAAATATTTCTGGCGCACCCTAGAACATGCAGCTCATGGAATTGATAGTGGTGTCTTCGTAGAGTGTAGGACATAGACCAGACTCGGGGCATTCTTCTTCACACTCATCTTCACTTATATTGATCAAGTAACAAACAGCTACCAGTAAGCAAACAAAGGATGCGGGGTTTTTTTTGTTTATTTGATCAGCAGATGAAGAATGGCGAGATAAAAGAACCAACGAAAGAGAGAAAAAGGTGTGTAAAGCGGATGATTGATCAGCGTGTGAGACGAATAAGAATTGAAACATCCTTGATGTTGATCAGGTATTTTGTTGTTATGTACCTGAGCTGAAAGTAACAGGCGGCAGGAGGCAGGCCATAAGGTCGAGGGAGTTGGAGAAAAGTAACCTTTATGCCATGGCTTCGTCGTTTCAGCAGTCTTCTTGGCTCTCCTGTGTTAACATCCAAGATGTACGCCTCTCGTGTTGTATCATGGCACGCTTTATTGTTTTTAACGAAATAACATCCTTCTTCATCGCCTTCCTCCCTTTGCTCTCTTCTCAATCGCCTTCCTTCCTTCCTCTTTCCTTAGTGTCATTTCACGTCCTCAAGAAGGCAGTTCATGATAGTTAAGTCACAGCAAAGATAACCCTTCCCTCTTGCGCCCTTAAGACGACTAAAGGAATAAATTCAAAGGCACTGAACAACAATGGAGAGAATAATATGGGTTGCAGTGGAATGGGTTAGATACGCACACTGAAAGACACTCCGTCCAACCCACGCAAACCACATCCACACTCATCACCTCACCCTCCCTTGCTCAACCCTCCGCCCACAAAGCATCCATTGCAACTCAAACAACAACAAGAAGAGGAAAAAAAAGACTATTCATCCCCACCCCCACAGATGGACAACCCGCTTCTGCTGCCTAAGATGCTTCTGCTGCCTAAGATCCTCCTTTACATCACCCCCTACCTGGCTCATCGGGACGTCGTCGTCTGCCTCAAGGTCTGCCGCCAGTGGAACCAGTCATTCATCCCTCTCATATTCCCCACCATCACTGCGCAGGAAAATTGGGTCTCAAGGACTTCCCCCCCTCCCCCCTCCCCCATCAAGAATGCCTTCTGGGTTAGGTCTGTTACCCTCGAAACCACTGTCGGACTTGCTCCCTTTCTCGATTAGTGCACCTGCCTCAAGACCCTGGTTGTCCATGGAGACATCTTTTCCAAGCAACAGGATACTATCTGGGACCGAGCTCACCAGCCTTGTGCGTCACAACTCCCTTGATCAAACGCATCTTTCTTGGCTTCGATCGTCAGAACTCTCTCTCGACAGAATTTCTCCGAGCAGTGTCCGAGGCATGTCCGAGTTTGAACCGATGCGAGTCGAGCCAGGGCAAGTACGAGAATCAGGAGCCCTTTTGCCTTGATAACAGCTTGCATCCGTCCAGGCATACTCCGAATCAGATGACCCTCTAAACGTTATGGCCACCGAGGATATGGCGAACATTATTCAAGGCTATCTTCTTAGCCAAGAACACCCAAATTAACTGCAGCCACTTGCCAGTAATGGTTCCTTTCCCTGGAAAAGCAAACGCGATGATCCAGCTCCAGCAACGCCGCGACCGCCGCCACATTTTCTACCGCCTCCTGAAGTACTACCAGAGGAAAGGAAAGGTACCGCAAGATGATAGCGACTACCACGAGTGCGGTTTGAGAGCGGCGTGGAAAGGCATTCAAGACTTAGGCTAGTTAACTCCATCATGTTCGTAAGTATTCAAGTTCATTAGTGCTAGTAGAGCACAGTGGATGCTATGATGAGTTGCCTCGGTGACGTATTTATGGAGTCCATTGACGACCAGCCAGATAAAATATGTTTTTGCCACTCTCTTCTGCGCTCCACTAGTTAAATACCCCTCACTCCCTGTACAATAAAACGACATCTTTCCTTTGCTTTCTCCCTTCTTCCTTATCCTTCTTTGCTCCCCTTCTTGCTGCCCTTCTTGCTCTTCTTCCTCCCCTCCTCTTCTTCCACTGCTTAACATTATCGCACCCGATCACCTCATCACTGCCCTCATCATCTTCGTTATCCCCGTCAATCCCGCCACCCTCTTCATTTTTCAAACAACAATGTTCCAGACACATCCGCTCGAGCTGCCTGAGCTTCGCTCTATAATTGCTAGCTATCTTGGCCACAAAGACCTCGCGTCCTGTGCGCGTGTGAGTCAAGATTGGAACGATGCCTTTACACCAGCTCTCTACAAGATTGTCGTTGTGTCGGAACAAGGCCCCAGCTTGGAATCTCTCGAGAGAAACAAGCACCTAATCAAAAGCTTGAAGGCTGAGAGGGTTATATACCAAAACCAATCATCGACATCTGCAAGAACCGAAGTGCTTTCTAGCATCCTGACCAGCTCATCGCTGACTACTTTGGGCTTGCGCAGAAACCTGATCAGAGAAACTGGAGCTCATGAACTGGCTGAAGCGCTCAAGACCAACCCCACACTGACCACGTTGGACTTGGGCGACAACCTTATCAGAGAAAATGGAGCTCAGGCGCTGTCTGAGGCTCTCAAGACAAACTCCACGCTGACCAGTTTGGACTTGCGCCTCAACGTGATCAAAGACAACGGAACTCGGGCGCTAGCTAAAGCACTTGAGACCAACGCAACCCTCGCCACTTTGAACTTGAGCGGCAACATGATCGAATTCAACGGAGCTCAGGCACTGGCTGAAGCTCTCAAGGCCAATTCGACGCTGACCATCTTGGACTTGAGCAGCAACCTGATCAGAGAAAATGGAGCTCAGGAGCTGGCTGAAGCACTCAAGACCAACTCCACACTGACCACGTTGGACTTGCACGGCGGCTCGATCAGAGAAAATGGAGCCCAGGCGCTGGCTGAAGCACTCAAGGCCAACTCCACTCTGAACATCTTGGACTTGCGCAACAACTTGATCAGAGAAAATGGGGCTCAGGCGCTGGTTGAAGCACTCAAGACCAATTCGGCGCTAACCACTTTGAACTTGGGCCTCAACACCATCGGAGAAAACAAAGCTCAGGCGCTGGCTGAGGTACTCAAGGTCAATTCCACTCTGACCACATTGGACTTGAGCAAAAACTCGATCGGATCCAACGGAGCTAAGGCGCTTGCTCAAGCACTCAAGAACGAATCAACGCTTACTACTTTGGACTTGAGCTGCAACTCGATCGAATTCAGCGGAGCTCAGGCGCTGGCTCAAGCACTCAAGACCAACTCCAGTCTGGCTACTTTGGACTTGAGCAGCAACTCAATCGGATCCAACGGAATTCAGACGCTGGCTCAGGCGCTCAAGGCCAACTCGATTCTAAAAAATCTAAACTTGAGCAAAAACTCGATTGGAGAAAGTGGAGGTCAGGAGCTGGCTGAGGCGCTCAAGGTTAATTCGACTCTCACCAGTTTGGACTTGAACAAGAATTCAATTGGAGAAAATGGAGCTCTGGCGCTGGCTGAAGCGCTCAAGATCAACTCCAGTCTAGCCACGTTGGACTTGTGGCGCAACTTGATCGGACAAAACGGAGCTCGGGCGCTGACAGAGGCACTCAAAGTCAACTCGACTGTGCGTATTTTAGGTTTGGTAAAATGATGTAATAAAAAAAACCTTCAAGCGACGGCACTGATGTACTGTAATAGTGAGCCACAAAACTGGACAAGTATTTTGAACCTCTGTCTTCTATAATCTTTAAATCAAGAACTGCATTGACATCCACATCTTTATAGTTCTCATTAAACTTGTATTCCATTGATATATCTACTGGTGCAATTGAGATAATTGTTGTGCCCTTTGTACTGGTTTTGTTGAAAGACCTACCATGAGTCATTTGTATAGTGTAACCATTATTTTTATTTGTATATCAAATTCGTGTGCTGCCTCCTTTTGCCTTGACGATAGCTTGCATCTGTTCACACATACTCCGAATCAGATTGCGGCAGATCTCCATTGGCGTCTCCTCTTCCCAAATCTCGCTCACTCGTTTCCACAAGTCAAGCATGCCTTCAGGAATAAACCCACGCTCGTGAACCTTTCATTTAACTGTTGCCACAAGTACTCTATAGGACTGAGGTATGGCGAATTGGAAGGCCATGTGAGTAATCTTCCATTCGCTGTTGCGCCCTAGCACCTAGTCCCCAAACCTCACACTCGGCAATCTCAAAATCGACCTCGAATCCAGACTGTCGAACGCCTCCTGCACTCATGTATACGTTGCTTGCCGCCTGCGAATTCCTGTCTGTAGCTGTCTTATCGCATGTGAAGAATTTAGCTTATTCTGAGGACAGAGAAGTCAAGATGAGTAAAGGGTTGGTTGTATTAGGGCCCTGGTCTGGCCCTTCTGTTATAGCCGAGCCAGACCAGAAGTGACTACTATTACGACTATCTGCTTTTATGAATGAAAAGGGAGGTGTGGATATTCCACTCCCTCATAACATAACACAGGTTGTCGTCCATGTAGAGCGTGCAGCTCTAGGATTCCTGCTCACCAAAACGGATCCCTGCGTTTTTGAGAAAGTGAATGTGGATGATACTCCGCTACGAATTGTTCTGGTGCGCGTTGTACGACCACTCGGTATTGACGGAGCTGTAATGGTGCGCTTGCTGTAGTCAATCCTGTGCTTGATGACTTCTTCACAAGAACGACCTCGAAACACGGTGAGAGTCCGAAAAGAGTAAATGAGTCGTCACCCCATCCTAACTTGGATACCTTCCAGTCTCGGTCATTTACGATCATCACCTCCTATTGCGCTTTTCTGCGCGTGACTTTGGACGGGCTCGTTTCGGTGTCGTTCCCTTGAGCGTTTGGTGCAGCCTCTGCTTAAGGTTGATGCACGATGTTGTTGAGAATGCTTCCTGGATATAATGGTGTGTTAAGAGTGCGACTCGTCAGTTTATCAAATGAAGATCTGCGACCGCTCAACTCCCATAGCGAGTTATAGCCCTCGAATGCTTCGCGTAAAGAACTAACAAGATCACATCCTTCTAGGCGTGCGCATACAGATCCTGGAGTTGTTCTGGATCTCCTATTTCCTCAACAAAATATTCGCGCACGAACTTCGCGTTCAATCCAGCGAGCACGCCCCGGTCAAAGAACAACGTCCGCAGTGTATCTATTTGTACTTTCGCCTCGCCGATGAGGGGACGTCCCCCCTCTACTCTTCCATGCGCTGACCATGCCTCCACACCGATATCACCGCTATGAATCTGGCGGGCCATTTCCAAAATAGCCTGCACAAGGGGACGGTCTGGCGTCAAGGAAATATGAGGCAACAGGATGGTGAGGCAATATTCCTTTCGCGCCTCGCTTGTTGTGACACTCGGAACGACATGACGGCCATCCTCCAGATCTCGCTCCCATACACCTATGGGGACAGGCTCGGGATAGTTTATGAAGTGATGTTGGCGGCATGGGAGACAGCGACGAGGCACTACCGGATCTGGGTCGTGGATCAAGACAGGAAGCAGACGACTAGATCCTACTTGGGCCGTGATGGTGTCTAGACATTCAAAGCAAACGTTCTCCATGTTGACGTGTGAGTGTATGCGAATATGTCAAGTGCGTGTTTTTTTGTGAAATGAAAGGAGTCTTGTAGAAGGGCAAGGAAAAGAGAACAAGGATAACGAGGTCAATATATATTGCTCCGTGGTTTTATTATAATGGCTTTCTCGCATTGTAGGACCATCAGTCGCACATAGAGTGGTTGATAATTTGGTGGGCCATCGTCGTCGCAAGGCATCTCTTTCCTTGGTTCAAGCTTTTTTCCTGCAAAACTAACTGGAATAAAACACTACTCTTACTGCACACAAACATGTACGCGTTGAGTGGGAGAAAAGTACTGCCAAGATACGACAACGGTATCGACACAAGGAACCAAACAAGAACGCCCATAATGGTTGTCATAAAAAATACTCGTTTTATTTGCATTTTAACAATGACAACCACACACATACACTCTCACGTCCATGCAACTCTACATACATCATAAAAAAGAGCTTGTTAGTAACCCACATATGCTGTTATAAACCATGCCCTCTATCGAATTGGATATCTATCGTCCTTGTTTGTCCACCTGTTCTGTCTGATCATCTCTCCAATCGACTCCTGCTCGGTATCGATCTAGCAGTATTGTTGCCAAGTGCCTATACTCCCCTTACTTGCAGAAGCCATGATTATTCTTCCTATCTCCATGTTGGCGTCATTGACCAAAGACCAATTGAAGATAGAAAACGAAAAATGGTTAGACTTTAATAAAGACTAAGCAAGCATCCACGATAGATTATTGTCGCGCCCAGAACCATAGACTAATGCTATCCCAAGAACGGTTGATGCTGTGCCTAGCAGTGACGGAGACCCGGCTGCAGTAAAGCGCCCTGCTAGAACACACATACGACTCCGGAGAGGTATATGCTTGCACCAACCGTTCCAGTCATCACACAGCCAGTGGTTCTAAGCACCAGCACACATACACTTTGAACAAAACCAACCCTAAGGCCACATACAGAAGAGAAGTGTAGAACATTGAGCCTCAAGGGCAGTTTGACGCTGCGCCATTTCAGTAGTAAACGCTCCCTCCGCTGAAGGGAGAACTACATCTTTCTCGATCCTAGAGAGAACACCACCGCTCGCCGCGTACCTGGCTGTTACCACTGTCAAAGAAAACACGCCTGTTGCTACCACACTCAATTATGCCGGCCCCCCTGGGCCCAGTGTGATGTTCTCAAAACAAAACAGCCTTCCCACGGCCATAAAAGAACGCAATAGCCACAGGATGCGACTTCACTTCCCTCTTGGCCCAATGTCCTGCAACCCTCTTGCTCCATGTGAACCCGAGAGGTTGATGATCAATCGAGGATACTTGCCTTTTGCGCCAGAAGAGACTCCTATATTCGGGTTTGAGTCTTGATTCCTGCTCTCGTTTAAGTCTTGATTCCAGCTCGGCATCGATATAGCAGTCCTGTTGCCAAGTGCCTATACTCCCCTTACTCGTAGAAGCCATGATTATTCTTCCTATCTCCATGTTGGCGTCATTGACAAAAGACCAATTGAAGATAGAAAACGAAATACGGTTAGTCTTTAATAAAGACTAAGCAAGCATTCACGATAGATTATTGTCGCACCTAGAACCATAGACTAATGCTATCCCAAGAACGGTTGATGCTGTGCCTAGCAGTGACGGAGACCCGGCTGCAGTAAAGCGCCCTGCTAGAACACACATACGACTCCGGAGAGGCATATGCCTGCACCAACCGTTCCAGTCGTCGCACAGCCAGTGGTTCTAAGCACCAGCACACATACACTTTGAACAAAACCAACCCTAAGGCCACACACAGAAGAGAAGTGTAGATCATTGAGCCTCAAGAGCAGTTTGACGCTGCGCCATTTCAGTAGTAAACACTCCCCCCCCTGAAAAGCCAATTTACTCAACCTGGAGAGAGCACCATCGCTCGCCGCGTACCTGGCTGTTACTACTGTCAAAGAAAACACGCCTGTTGCTACCACACTCAATTATGCCGGTCCCCTTGGGCCCAGTGTGATGTTCTCAAAACAAAACAGCCTTCCCACGGCCATAAAAGAACGCAATAGCCACAGGCTGCGACTTCACTTCCCTCTTGGCCCAATGTCCTGAAACCCTCCTGCTCCATGTGAACCCGAGAGGTTGATGATCAGTCGAGGATACTTGCCTTTTTGCGCCAGAAGAGACTCCAGCATTCGGGCTTGAGCCTTGATTCCTGTTCTCGTTGGATTGTTGATTCCTGCTCTCGTGAGTCTTGATTCCTGCTCTCGTTTGATAAAGCTATGCCCTGCATTCCCTTGTTCGTGAGCGCATCGGTTGTTTGTTTGACGAGAGGGGGAGAGACGCTCATTCCAAACTGATAGAAGAAATAAACAAACAGCGTCAGCTCAACGGCAATCAAAAAAAAAAACAAAGAGATGTATAAAAAGGTGGAAGAGCAAGGATGTGTAATCCCGAAGAGGCGCAAGTGTTGGCGGCAACGAAGAGGGTGACTGTGTTGTGGAATGAAGGAATTAACCGAGGGACGGAAAGAGGGAATCAACCGAGGGAGAGAATGGACGAGAATGGACGAGTAAGGGTGTGGTGGTGGTGGTGAGTTGAGTGAAGAGGAAAGAAAAAGGCAGCGTGATATTTGCAAGAGAAAGGAGGCAACAAGTGCGTCTTCCTCGTCTGACAACTCGAAGTTGTGGCTTGGATTAGTCCGAACTGAAGGGGATGTATTTTCACTCCACCTACTTGCAACTTTATCTGGCCGAGACACCGCCAGTCGTGTATTTTATTTTCACCCTTAACCACGTTCACACACATGGCGTCTACCATTCCAATGAAGAAAATGTGACAGCACACCAAACAACGATGATATCCTAGTTCACTATCGAAACAAACTATCAATGCTTGACCACTGGGCGCTGGCATCATGAAGCAACCAAATGTCATCTTGTCAATCATCTTTTCAGGCTTAGCATCCCTGACCCTCTTGTGCTTTATGTATACACATCCTATCCATTCCATTTAAAGGTCAAGTCAAAAAAGGTCGGCGACTGGTGAACGACATCACAACAGCTAAACGGCAATAGCAATAGCCTATTACACATTGTATCATTTGCAAAGCGTGCCATTCTGCACACGAATCTAAATGTAACGGTTTCCGGGGCGTGCTGTGCTATTCGAGTGTTTAATAAAAGAGTGAGTTATGAGCTAAAGAACTAACCTAGGCATTTACCATCTGTGTTTATGTGTGTTATGGGGACCAGCTTACTAATCATGGTTCCCGTGGACTAGGCGTGCGACCCTAGTCAGCTAGACAGCTTGACCTATCCTAGAGTTCGAAGTAGGTTAAGTCAGCATGACATGACCTGGTCAAGTACCCAATCCAATGGACCGTAGGCGGTGTTCATGGTCACGTACACCCAAGTGGACCATAGGCGGTGGCCCATAGTCATGCGTATCCAGAGTGGAACTTTGACACTAAATCGACATTGCTTGAGAGCGCTAAGTGCGGGAGTTAGGGGGTACCCGAGTCGTAGAAGAAGCCGAAGAGCGAGTTCGAATTCGTTTGAATGCAGGTTCAATAACACTTGCGGCGGATGGACTCTCGCATATCGACCACGAGAGGTATTGTTCGTATTTTTCTTACACCGGTTGACCTTGTTCTCCGTTTTTTCAGCCACTTCCTCGCTTGATCGAATGTCTTCTGCGGCTTTCTCTGCAACGCAGCTCGGTCATCCATGTGGATAGGGGTAAGGAATGATGGTACCGAGGACTGGGGCATAAAGGGATGAGGAATGGAGCATAAAGGTGTGAGGTATATATGCACAATGATAATACATAGCAAGAGATGAGAAGAGGTGATTTTGATGATCCTATTTCCGCAAAGAGGTTGGAGAGGATCTGGAGGATGAATGCAACGGTTGCGGATGAGCTATTCGAAATTGCGATTAGATGATTCATTTATTTAGAGCACTTTATCAAATGGACTCAGACCTATGTCTCTTGGTCCGACCCTTTGAAGGCGAAGCTGTCGTGCTCTCAATTGCACTTGCTGCATCCTCCAGCTTAATACGCTTTTCGTAGTCAATAACTGACACGTCTTCTAAGCGAGCCTCAATCTCCTCCCCGACTCGAAGTGCCAGCTCCAAGCACCTCGTCACAGCCGCTTTTACCTTAATGCCGAACTCCTGCTTCTTCAAAGGCACGAGAAATGCATCGAACTGCACTAGGCGGAAAACACCACTGAAGTCGAGTCGCCACAGCTTCGTCTCGTCCTGGAAGGAGATTGACCCAAAAAACTGCCATCCCCTGCCGCGGTACAGTTTCCCGACAAGTTGATCGTACTTGGTTTATCCACGAGTCTCGCATGGCCCTTGCCAGCTTGAACTCATCCCGTACACATTTGTCGGCCTTCGGGTTGTGGATTGTCGATGCCTCGGACAAATACAACTGAGAAGAGCCACAGAAGGTCACTCCATCAGCATACTGACCAACCTGTTTAGCCTCAATGAGGGGATCCTTATCGTGGTTCTTTCTCTCCTGCACGCCCGTGATAAGGACCTCCAGGGACCTGGTCTCGATCCTCGCTAAAGTCATAGCCCCCCTTATGAATGTCCAGACGAGGTCTATGAACCCCTCTCGTTCATTTAAGTCACTGGGTATTTCATCATGGAAGGTGAAGTAGTTCAGGCTAAGATTGATAAAAAAAAGTGGCAAATGAAATAGTTAGAACAGGAGGCGCCTTCAAAGAACTAACATTTCATACTATATGATACACTTGCTAAGAGAGGACAATGTAGAGAATGTAGCCAACAACGGGATCGTGAGAATCCTCATCCTTCACAGCTTTTGACACATCCTCGTAATGACTTTTTGCGAAAACTCGGGTAAGGATGCCTTGTAATGTTGGCCACTTCTCATGAATGGTGGTCGTCATGGGTTCAACCTTCCCTGCGGCTCTGCGATATGACGCGCTAAACATTTCCTGAACTTGGAACCAGGTCTCATGTCTGCGATCCCATCTCGAGCCAAGGAGAAATCATGGAGGTGCTGTGGCCTGAACGCACGAAAATGCTCCATTAGATCAACGCTTTCCACAACCCAAGTCAACTCCTGGTTCAATACTCTATAATGCTCCAGATCGGTAGTGGGGTCAACATAATCTATCCAAACAAAGTAACGAAAGCAGGCTACGGCGTAGACAATGAAGTGCCTGACGCTAATAAACCTACAACAAGAAGTGCAACGGATTCAAGTAAACAATGTGTCCACATGGTATAGTGTGCAACCTGGAAGCATTACACATACTATGCATGATTCTCCTGGCCCAATGGCGCTAAGACCAACGACGAGTGAAGTACAAACAGAGAAATCACGTCATTCAACATACTCTGAGCGAGGTTGTGCTTGGGTAAATACAAGAAAAAAATTCGGAGTCAGAGTAGCCCAAAACATGGCCAGAGAACAGTCAGATTATTGATATTGAAATTCTTACCTGGTGTTCCTCGAATGTAGATCGCAAATCTTCCTGGACCTCTCGGTGTTCGTATCCTTGCAGAGTGAGCCGGTTCCGAGTTTCTTCAACTTGATTTGTCGCAATGATGACATGTTGTTCAACGTTGAAGGGTTTCAATAGAGACCATGCGTACCTCCGTATGTCTCTATCAACAGTTTTCATGGCATTGATACGCTCGAGAGTGCTCGCGAATGACTCAACATCCTTGCCGGATAGTATGTAAGCGGCGAGATCCCAATCAACCACTGCGGTCTTGGTAAAATAACTGGGAAACCAAGCTTCTGCGTCAATGAAGGGTACACTTCCGAGATATTTTGGTCGCTCCGTGACTATAAAGTAGCAGGAAACGGGGAGGTGACGATTTGGTTAGCTACTGTTCACCTTCATCAGGGATGTGAATATGATACATTCCTCACCCCACACAAGATCACATGGAAATGGAGAAAAAATGATGCATCCGCCAGAATGGGGCCGCAATGCATCTGGAGGTCATCTGTTCTCACCAGAATGGGGCCGCAGAAGAGTACGAGGATAGGAGACCGAAATCTCCACGACACCTTAGCTAAGACCATCCCAACATCTGCAAGTATTATTTTCTGAGACGATGGATTGGCAGACAGATATGTCACCAAATGACGATATTAAAAAGATCAGAGTAAAAGGAATGAGAGAGTAAGAGGATAAGAGAGTAAGGATGATGAGGGTGAGAAGCGCGTGGGTAATGGCAAGAGTGAAGGTAATGAGAGTGGCAATGGCGAGTAAGGAAAAGGGTGTGTGTGACGATGAGAAGAGAGAAGAGCGTGGTGGTGGGAAACAGGACAATGGACGCGAGAATTACGTCACCAAAGTGAGTAAATCGCCCGCCCATCTAAATACTAAAATTGACTTGACTGTGCTTTCTCGCTCCCCATTCGCTTGATCCCCTTCTGCCTACCATACCCTCCGGGGCGTGGCCTGGAACTATGCTTGTCCTGCATCCAGGGATAATTTTCGTCACTGCCCTGGGGCTGAAGGTAGAGTGGCCGCTGTTGCTCGAGCAAGTGTCCTCGAATGGCATTACACATGTTGTGGCCGGCCATGATGTCGCGGTGCATGTACTTTTGACACTTTAAACAATACAGGCGGCGGAGGTCAACTTGGCCAACGAACTCTCTACAAGTCGGGAATTTCTTCGAATTGTAATACCCATTGACGCCAAGGACGATGAATCTAAGAGATCGGCCTGAAAAATAAGGGGGAGTAAAAAGAGCCAAAAAAAAAAAAAAAAAAAAAAAAAAGTTAACAAGTGTCTCTTTCAGCGCGTCCGGAGCAAACACTTGGCTACAATTTACACACTTACTTTTGAACAAGGTACGACTGGAAGGACTCATGCAAAGATGACAATCCAGTCTTGGAAGAAAACTTCCCGAGACCCACGCCAATAACGACCTTGTTGTCCTCGTCTCCCTTGGCCCCTGTCGACCCTCCAACAATATGTACAAGATGATCGGCGATCAATCTATACTCCTCTGCTCGAGTCTCCCTAGCGTTCCACTTGTGCTTCTTCAGGACCACATTGCCATAGAACGAATCGAGACGACCCTCCACTTCCTGCTCTCTCTGTATGTAGTCGCTGATACTCGCGTCTGGGCCATGACGAGGAGGTTGGCCGGTCTCGATTTGGCTGATGGAAGCTCCCTCCTCAACTGTCTGCCTCCTACTTTTACCTTATTGCGAAGATCGATCGGTCCATTCCTGTAGTGCTTTTTTAGTTCGACGAATAACTGCAAGGCGGCAGATCTCAGAAACGAAGACGCAGAATACTCCTCCCTAGTCCTACCCTCCGTAAAGTTGGGCAAGAAGTCCTGCACCTGTTCGATGAATCTCCGAACATGCACACCCATCCCGCTATTTTTGGGAAGCTTGTTGGAATGTATAGCTGTAAGAAGCGACATGAGAAACAATAGCGCCTCGTTTTTCTTGTCGAGACTGTTACCAAGTTCCTCGAGTCCCTCGGGCTTGTCGGGCACTTGGTCTGTTCCCTCCTTGGTGCTTTCGACCAAATCCTTATAGGAGTAGCCAGGGCAAAGAATGTCGAGAAGTCTACAGTCAACGCTATCAATTTTCTTAGCGTTAGTAGTGTTAGTGGCATTGGTAGTGTTAGTGGTATCGGTGGTGTTATTGCTAGGGCTGTTCTTATTGGCGCCATTGATTTTTCTTGCTTGGATGTGTTTCTGACGTTGTGCTAGGTGCTGTGTTTGTTTGTTGAAACATGAGGGTGTGCTAGAGTGTGTTTCTATGTGAGAGTGCTTATGAGAAGGGAGGAGATCAATGTTTTGTAGGTGAATGAAAAGACATCGAAAAAAGGCGGCAAGCCGAGGGAGGGGGGTTATGGACGCGTATTATGGGTCTGTCAAAGAAACCCTCACAAAGAGGAGAGGGCATAAGATATGATGACAGAAGCGGTCAGGTTGAGGTATGTGGATTGCCATGACGATATGTGTATGGTGCCACTGATTTCGTAGAACCGTGGTTCTTCCGCTTCGCGTCATGAGGATGACACACAGGGAGAGGAGAATGACACTACGCGTGTGTGCAGATCAAAAAAGAAAAAAAACATTGTGTTTTCTTAGACAAAGGAATCGAGAACGATTTAACATGAGCGCGTTTGGTCTTTGATGGATTACAGTGACGAATGTCTTTTTCATGACAACGGTACGAGAATTGAAGGAACGGGGATTGGCGAAAAGAAGAATGAAAATACCCTTGGCGCAAAAAAGAAAACAGAGGGAGCCTTTGTTGATAAGAGGATGACGGATGTCATGAGAGCGAAAAGGGCTGAAATTTTATTTTTTCGTATGGTCCAAGGTAGCGAAGGGGCAAGTTGTGGGAGGAGTGTTGTGGCACTGCTCCACTGTGCATTCGCTCGCTCCACTGCGGCTCTAATTTCGAAGACGGAAAGTGAGGAAAGAGGAGATGCAAATATGCTTGTTGCCACCAATTTTTAGAGTACACCTTGCATTGTGTTCATGAAAGACACCATGGATCGAACTGCTCGAAAGATCTGTGGGCCCATCCACAGGCACGTTCTGGATGTGTGGATCACCTGATCCTAAGAAATGCATACTTAATGTTAAGGAGTGAAGGTGCAGGTCCAATCGACACAGCTCTTTACATGGTTCTCATGGGCTAAGTGGTTAACCAAAGAGGAAAAAAAAGTACACACAAGCCACAATCCGACCATGCGCACAGTCAATTCAATCTGAACCATTTGTCCTTTACTTTCCCGCACTGGCGTCACTGACTTTCTCCTAACCAGGTGTGTACGATGCAAGGATAAGGGAAAGGGGCCTCTTCTTTGTTTCTTTTGTTGACACAATTTCCCTCAATTTGACACTCGAGTGTACCTAGATTCACCTGTTAGAATCTGGCTATATTTTTTGCATATCATCCTAGCGGGCTAGCGATGCGGCAAAAGGTGAAGAAAGGAAGGAGAACGATGGACGTTGTGGTTGTCATAGCCAGAGGTGACAAGGCGGATGACTCGAAAAGCGAGATGGTTCGAGAGGCGGGCGTATTAGCCAATACTTCATCTTCATACACATACAATTATGTTGTTTCAAGGCATGTTGTTTATTGTGTTGAAGGTATGGAGATTATGAATAATCCGCAACCTTGCCGTTGGGCACCCGTCGGGCAACCAAATACGTCAATGCCATCTCAGGGAGCACCAAAAACCCTAACACCATTGACGCCACAATCTCAGCAAACTCGATCGTACAAGTCATCTCGCCATCACACCCCTCCCACCCACTGGGAACCAGCACTCGAAACTTGACCACCAACACCGCCAGCGAAAGCATTGCCAATGTGACGATTCTAGATTCCTTGCCGAGCAAGGAAGGAAAGAAGAGGGAATAGGAGTATCCAAGTCCGAGGGCAAAGACGCAGGCGTAGGAGAGGATTGTAGACCAGGGGTAGTCTTCGACTTGGTACCGAAGGTGGGACATAAAGTACCAGTATAGAGAGAGGAGGATCATGTTGATGAGGCCGGTTGTGAAAGTTAAGAAGCGGAGGGTTGGGAGGAACTTTTGGGAGAGGGGTGTTCGTTCCATGGTGGTGGCGGTGGTGGTGGTGGTGTGTTTTGTTCGTGGTTTTCCCATTGCTTTGGTATTGTTGTTGTTTGGATGTATGTGCGAGGGCGGCAGAGGAAATGATCGGTTTGAGTGGGAGGGTACGTGGAGTAGTGTAGGTATCGAGAGAGCGTGAATGTCGTGAGAGTGGTGGTGCCAACGGAGATCGTGAGTTGAGTTGAGTAGGAGAATGTGAGCAGGTGTGCAAAGAAGGTGGAGGTCGTTCAAGAGAGAAGAGGAAGTAGTGGACGTCAAATGAGCAGGATGTGCTTGCCGGTGAGGAGGGGAAAGGGAGGAATGAAATGGTAAAGGAGGGTGGGATGCAAGTACCAACTTGCATTAGTGGCTGACCCCACCGTCTTTATATGAATTGCAGAATTAGCTGACCAATTATCATGGACTATGAACCATACCAGTCCATTTGCTCCGACTGGCAAGAGAATAATAACAGTGGGGAGGCGAACCACTGGAAACAAAAGAAAAAAGAGAAATGCATTTGACAAGACATCCTTTTTCCGCCTCTTCCTTTTCCCCTCGTCTCTCTTGTTTATGTGGACTCTCTCTCTTTTCTTTCATATCCTTTCTGAGCCCATTCATACCATGCCGCTCCTTGACTTTTTCGCTCCTCGTCCCTATCTGTTCACGACCCTGGAAATGCCTCATGCGCCCATCCTTCACCGAGAATAAAGTAACTGACAGTCGGAGGTTATTCATTGATTGCTCTCAAACAGAGTGAGACATGTACGTGAGACTGTACTGGTACTATCAGTGTATGATGTCTGATGGATCAAAACCCATCTCTGACCACTCTTTCCCCCCTGAAGAAACATGTCCTTGAACCACACCAAGAGCACCTAACAAGTACGTGCCCAAGGCGGCAAGAAAAGAAAAGAGCATTGGTGAACGCCCCTGTCTCCTCTCTGTTTTTATTTCTTTCCATAGTTGTTGCCTCCCTTAAGCAGATACTGTACTGACTAGATTCTAATTTCGTTTCAGAGCCCGCACACTCTAGAAGGATGTCCAATGAACCTATTCGTCCCAACACAACGGGGACACAACGCCAACAATAGCCAGGGCAACAATTAGACACAACATCTCTTGCTTCATCTGGTCATGGCACGAACAACGAGAGTGAATTCACATGAAGAGGGACCCCCACCCTCCTGATGCCTTAAATAGAAGCAGGGGTCCCCAGCTAAAACTTGCCTCTTTTTTGTCACTCCCATTCAACTGATTTCCCAACACACCCTCATCTCAGCCATACTCATATCCAGCACACATACAGCCATGGTCAGCACACTCTTCACAAGCACAGGCAAGAGATATTGCAAACCCAAACATAACAATGTCGAATGTAAGTCCATGCCTAGCCCAGAGAATAACACTTCTTTTATATTTCTTAACCCGTTAGGACCAAGAGACGCTTGGACCAACACACTAGTATTTTTCGCCATCACAGTCTTGTCCCTGGGGACACCGACCACTTTATCTGATCCCACAACATTCGCCCCCAACGCTACGCTTGAGTTTGGCACAAACGACAATATCGTCACCAACGTCACTGTAGACTTTGGTGTAAGCGACAGGATCTCACCACTTCTCTCCAACCTCCAACAGTCATACCAAGCCATCAAGATCACCACACGATCCACATCTGTCCGTGCCAACGTCGGCGTCTCTAGAACCATCGATGCGGGAGGATCGTCACTTGGGGTGTGCTATTATGGCGAGGGCGACGACTATTCGGGATGTACGGAGGTATCAACAGATAACAAAGGATGCCTTGTCTCCGGGAGGACATCAACAGTGACAAAACGCGTGCCCAAGGGATACGTCAACAGACAGATCGAGATCCACGCCAACAAGGACGCTCTCTGCCTCGACTATGTCGGATTCTCGTATGGATCCGGAGACATGCACCCCGGGAGCGCCAAGATTGCAGTGACTGGAGATATGACATTCGAATGTGGACACCCCTGGGCGTACAGTGGTCGGGACACGAATGGGTTCCAGCACAAGTGTCTGTCCATCGGCAACGTCGAGAACCTAAACTATACCAACACATATAGCTTCAGAGTCGAGGAACTATGGTTGTCGACCGAGGCCCTTCGTCAGACGGATGACTTGAAGAGCGTGCCGAATACGGTCCGGTATGCGTGTAATTACATGTATAGCTGGAGACGTCAGGACCTGCCAAAGACGAACCCTGACTGTGGACAGTATGATAACAGGTTTGGCCAGGGGGCGGATGGGCCGGGGAGGAAGAAGTATATTTCGGAGGAGGTGCATCTGGCGAACCTGCGTGTCAACCCCAACTATGTTGGAAACCCCGTTGTCAATGGTACTGTTGAGATCGACACCAACTATGTGTAATAAAAACAACCTTTTCGCTCTCTGCTGCTCTGTGTGCTTCCCTTGTGTTGAACGAATATTTTCTTGGGCCTCCCTACTTTTATCCAGCCTGTCCTGCTCTCAGAACCTTTTCGATTCCCTCTTGCCCTCCACGTTGATTTTTTTCATGAACAAAGGCCACAGCTTGCAGCATGCAGACCATTCCTTACCGACACTCTCATCAGAGCAGCACATGCAAAAAGTCACACATGTGTCCATGGCTCGCACATCCCACCACCCTCATTCTATAACTCACCCCTGATCTGAATGCAAACCCAAATGTACTTTCCACGGCAAACCTTCAACAACAAGACGCCACCAATTCAATACGTTCCAGAAGGCAAGCATCGCTACTTCCTTTTTTCGTGGCAATCGATTCAGAGCACGAAACAGTGTCTACACATCCATACATCCACATATGCCTGGGGAACCCAAAAATTGGCATCAAGCGCTTAACAAGATCATGGACACCTATGGAGTATGTGTACTCTACTAGACGGCGAGTTGGGTGTGAGAAGGCCAGCCAGTCAGTCAAACGAGGCAAAGTGCACTGGCCAGGGGGGAAAAAGAATGAGTACGCGGGTGTGGGTCAGACAGTTGCAGGAGGGTGAGAATAATTGTTAAAGCGAGTGCATCTTGTGGGTACTTTGTACCCACACAACCTGTCGTCCACTGCTCTATCTTGGTACTTGACATCACGATCATTCATAACCACATAAACCAATGTCTGCTTGACTTGTCAATGACATAAGGCCCATTCATTTTGCTGCCACTCGTTTTTCTCTTATCATTCTGTAACCTAATGCACAACTCATTTCTTTCTTCATTCTATTGCTTCTTGCATATTCATTCCCTCCCCTGTACTTCAACCACCTTTGCATTACCACCTATGCAATAAGTAAACCAGCTCAAAAGAAAGATACAAAGACTAGATACCGAGAATCAAGGGAATGAAAAAAATGAGAGCTTCGTTTCTGAACAGACAAAGAAAAAACGGAAGCAACACTTGGCTAAGCCTACGGAGCGTCGCCAGTTTCGCGTTCATGCACGTGGCTTTGTCTTTGCCCTGGCCCACTTTCATACAACTACCTTGCATTCGTTTCTCCTCTATCTTGTTCTACCTACTCAATTCCCACTCCTCTTCATTTAACGCTAACCCTTTCTCCTCTCACTTGATGAGCAAGAACCTCCAACTATACTTGCGTCTACCATACATCCCTAACTCACTCTGATGCGGGAGAAACAAAAGAAAGCACAAAGAGAAAAGCACGTCTGCTTCGGTTGCCAAAGCATTGTGTACAAAATAAAATGGATCCTAGCTTGACATTGCACCTTTGGGGTATATATCCAGATGGGACAGTATTTGGGCCATTGTGGAGTTGAAAGGTATGGATAGCATAATCTCAAGTCTGCTCACCTCATTATCATTGAGGAATCTTTGCGCCAATGGTCCATCGGGGACCTCTTTTAGCACTGCTTACCACATGCATGCCTTCGGCACGCTTGCTTTCCAGCAATTGACCCAAGGCGAACAAAGGATGGAGTGCTTTTATGAATACTTGCCTTAGTAATTGCTTTTGTGTAGTCGTCCACGGTCCACTCAACACGCGTTCCACAGTTGTTGTTTCTCTCGTTTCGTTACTCTCTTTGGTGCAGAAGGTGCAAAATTGGTTCGTTCGGTTCAAGGCAAGGGTGGTGGTTAGTGATCAGTCCAAGCCTCTTCCCTCAGCTATTTGCATGGATGCATAGCACAAAAAGGTGTGCGTTTTGTTTGTCCGTTCGTCAAATAGTCTTTGGTTGAGAGCGCTGTGCAGAAGACAACAAAGGGAAATTTTTCTTGTGCCCCAAACTTCCTCTCTTTTCTCACACCGACACTTCCATCGCGCATTTTCCTTTTCCCTTTGGCATTGCGTTGACATTCCTTCTTTCATTCCACTTCGTTCTCTCTCCTCCCTTTCTTTCTTGATCATTCCTCTCCCCTTCTTCCTCATTACAACCACCAACGGCATTCAGAAGCAAACAGCGATGTTCAACAGACACAATCACCTGATCCGCTCCTCCCTCAGAGAAGTCAACATCACCCCTCGCGCCTCATGGGCTCCCTCAACAACCCGTGCCTTCCACGTCTCAGCCCTCAACAAGACCCTCAACCCTTCCCTCACAGGCAAAGACCCTACCTCGGCCACCCCAACCTCCGAACAAGCCCACATCGAACGTCTCTTCGCCTACAGCGACTCCCAATCCACCCCGCTCCCCGAAAAATTCGACCGTCTCCACGCCCATTCCCTCCAAGTCTACCCCACCACCGCCAGAAAGACTGTCTCTGCCCTCCAGGGCCATTTCCAACAGATGCTCATGCGTCTTACGAAACCCAAATCCGTGCTCGAATTGGGAACCTTTATGGGCTACAGTGCGATGGCGATGGCGGATGGGATGCCCAAGGGGGGTGTTGTGTATACTTGTGAGAAGGATCCTAAGGCTGCGAAGCTGTCGAGAGAGCTGTTTGAGGAGCATGCGTACAGTCCTTCGACTAAGAATGAGAGTGTAAAAAGGAAAGATACGACGATTGAGGTTATTGAGGGTGATGGGCTTTCGAGTCTGGCCTTGCTTCTCGAGCGCAACCTCCGCTTTGATGCCGTCTTCCTTGGTAAGGTTCTCCTTCTTTCAATTGAGTTTAGACATTGTTCACGTTGTCCCATTTTATCCTCACAAAAAAAAAAGGAGCGTTGACCACGAACTTCTTGTTCCTTTCTTTTATAACAACAATAGACGCGGACAAGGGAGGCTATGTGAACTACTACAACTTCATCCTCGACAACGACATGCTGACCGACGAAGGATACATCCTCGCCGACAATGTCCTCTTCAACGGACTGGTCCTCAACTCTGAAGAGCGCCAGCGTAACGCCGCTGCTGGTAACCCTTCCTCCTCTTCAAAGGGTAAGGGCAAGAAGAAAATGGCGGGTGATGGAGAAAGGAACAGTGAGGCTTACCAAAAGTTTGCTGATCATATCCATACCTTCAACAAGCATGTCCGGAACGATCCCCGTGTAGATGTTGTGGTTCTGCCGGTTTTTGATGGTCTCTCATTGATTATGAAGAAGAGGCAGTAGACGAAGGCTTGTTGGTTTTTTTGAGTTTTGTTCCAAATGCAATAAAGCATGGATAAAAAAACGAAAAAGGTGGGTGTAATCAGTATGCAAGCTGCGTCTAATTTCTCGCGATTGAGTGCATGTTCCTTTCTTCTTCTTTGGTCACTTATTGCTTTCTCTTCGTGTGTCCACTTTAACGAACATCGACAAAGAAGCAAAAAGATGGCCGTGCTTATACCACGCATGTGTTCCTATTTTCCACAAAGAACCATATCTTATCTCGCTCACAACCACAACTTTACCACGCAAGGGCATGCATACAAATACGCGCCTCCCTGAAGGGAGTAGACACTTTTTTTCTTGCACCTACCCATACATCTACCATTGACTCGCTCCCTTTTTTCCTGCCCTCTACCTTGAACCTTCAAAGAACAAAACATCAACTGCAAAACGAAAATGAACCCACGAAAGCGCTCGACAAGGGTATCCTTCGCCCTGATACTCTTCCGAGCACTCGCGACATTCATCTGCATCATGTCCACCGTCGTATGCATCGCCGCCATCGCCCACGGCGCCCTCTTCCAATCCCAGGTTTCTCTTTCCCTCCCTTTCTTCTTCGGTCATTATTTCCCTTTGGATCATACATGCTTCTTCTCATACTTCTTGAATATTGCTTTCACCCTCTTCTCTACTACCCTTGATGTTAGCACGTTCGTTATCCAATTTCCCTACTAACCCGTAAGGCGCAACCATTTTTTTTCCAAAAACAGGGAGGAACGACAACTCCACCAACCACCCTCCAGTCCGGAAGCAATCCCTCCTCATCTTCATCCAGACCCATCGTTAATGGGATTATCTACCCCCCAAAACCAACAACCCCAAGCTCCAGCACTTCATCATCTTCACAAACCACATCCCAACTGATCACAAAAGACCCACGCGAACAACTCTTCTTCCAATACTTGATCCTCTTCTTCCTAACTCTCTGGATCCCCCTAACATGTCTCAAAGACTGGCCGGCCTCTCGGTCCTTGCTCTACCGGCCATCAGAGTTGACTCCTACAGAGGGGTGGAATAATAATAGCGAGAAGGGTGGTGAGCGAGGAGGGTATGGGAATGAACTCAAGTTGGGCTATTCGTTCCCTTGCATCGGCGCTTCCTTCGTCATGTAAGCCCCTTCCCCCCCTTCCTCTCTACTTATCAATTGTTTACCCATCGTTACTAAGAAACGCCGCACCAACTAACTCTCATCCTCTTCTTCATTACGTTCCTCCAAAATCGGAAAAAAAAAATAGGATTGGAAGCACAATGTTGGCAATGAACTTAGGCTCGAACCCAATGTGGCGATTCTTTGAGTGGCAGACAAGTCTAATGGACGGATTCGGGTACGCGATTTTTGTCGTCGGGATTTTGTATGTCTTGCTCGGATTGGGGCCCTGGGAGCTCCGCAAACTTCGCGATGAGCAAGCCTAGCACTCTCTCTCTTTTCTTAGTCCTGTCACCTCTACCTACTTTACAATACAATACCCTTTTCAAATTTTTATTTGTACAGTGCACGCCAATCCTAATCAAGTTCAAAAGAACCACCATAAATGTGAACAACAAGCTGCCTCGCAACACTCAACACCCAGTCAAATGCCTGTCGCCAAGTCATCGCAACCCCCACCACCGGCTTTCCTCCTTTCACCCTCACCTCCTGCTCAACTTGTCGCTCGTTATCCTCAATCCGTCGCCGGAGATACCTCAACAACAACCGCACTCGTTCCAAATCCCTCTCCATAACAAGCACGCGTGCAACAAAATCCACAAACGACTGTACATCATCCGGGTTTGGCCCCTCATCAAACACTACCATCTCCACTCCTCCTCGTTCATCTCCACCTTCCTTCGCCCCACCTTTCATTCTACTACTCTGTCTCAGATCCTGCTCAACAAGAGTCGACTGGACCCACTGCGTCAACAACACCCTCAAATCTCCAATCTCCCGTCTACCCATCAGCGTCGGTCGCTCCAACACAAGACCTTGCCGTTCATTCAATCCAGGACCTGCCGCCCCACCAGATCCCTGACGAGTAGCAGCAGAGGCGGCATCCTTCTGAGCAGCAAGTTCTGCCTCCTGTCGACGACGGTTTTTGATCAACTCGATCCGATGGGCCGCCTCGACTTCTGCCCGAATGTCTTGTGGGAGAGCTGCCAGGAAGTCGGCATCCAGTTCTGGCTCCTCTGGTTGTTGTGCGGCAGGAGCCTTCTTGAATTGTGCCTGAGCATTCGTTGCTGTGGTCGATCCGCCATTTTGAAAATCCTCCACTCGTTCAGGATATTCGTTAACCAATCCTCGACCTCGACCCCTCGCACGCGACCCGCGCGGTCGACCTCTTGGTTTACCCCTCCCTGGAGTCTTTGAACGACTGGTGGCTTGGTCCGGAACAAGATGGTCATGACCAACCGTCATCGCCATCGTTGTAGGTGCCCTCAGTTGGAACCCAGTACTCGTTCTTGCACCTCCACCACCACTTTCGCCAGTTTGAGCCAGTTTGCGGATTAGTTCATGGTTCTCCATGATATGGGTATATTCCTGCTCAATCTCGGCGCGAATCTCGGGGGGCAACGCTTGTAGCACTGACCTATCCAACTAGTAAAAGTATTACATTATCAGTTCAGTTTGTTCCGAGTTCCGAAAAAAAATGTTCATCATCATGTGTGCGAGTTAACGCAACCAAGACCTACTTTGGAGGGCGAAGGTAAAAAAGAATTGCCAAGCAAATGGTCATTCACTTCCAAGCCAGAGGACTCTGTCGCAGTTGTTGTCGACGGAGGCCTCGAAGACGTAGTGGTCTGTTTCAACTCGGCATACTCCTTCAACGCATCCCTCATAACAGGAGTCGACAAAGCCATCAACGCACGCGGGTCCAGTTGCGACCAGGGCGTGAGCTCATGTTTCTGCGCGCTTGTCTGCTGCTCTACCACCGTGCCCCCCTCCACCATCGCCACGGGCCTACCACCGCTCACGTCCGATGTACCTTCATTTCGGAAAACCAACTTGTGATCGCGCAAGAGCTCATCCTGGATATCCTTAGGCAACTCCTTGAATATTCCACTATCAATCTCCATGATCGGTTTCTCTGGCTCAACTCGTCGTTCGACTGGCGGGTCTCGTGGTTCATGAGTGGGAGTTACTGTTGGAGGTTCACTGTTGTCGAGTGGTCGTGGGTTGACTGCAGTCGATTTTTGTTGAAACATGGCTGACGTCAACGTAGTCTGATTCCTAGTCTCCGGAACAGCGAACGCCGCTTTCGACACCGTGTTGACAACATCATTATTCAACTTCAGCACTTGGATTCCAAGGCCTACATACGCACGTTCAAATAAACATAATTAGCAACAGTACACGTTATTTCAAGATTCCGTTTAACAACCAAATGGTCGCAGACAAGATGGTACCTCGCAGATCCAAGACGTCGAACCTGAAGTAGTTCAGGAGACGAAGCGCCTCGTTGGCGATTATATCTGGATCATCCGTGTATAAAGGTAGCTGCCCTGTTCGAGCAAACTGGTCGACCGGTCCATGTCCAAGGTGCTTCCATGGGCCCTTCACAAATGCCTTTCTCTTCATGATCTATAAGTTGGCAGAAAAGTGTCAGTGGATACAGCATATGCACGACGATATCGATAAATGGAAAAAGAAAAAAGCACCAGGAGTTACCTTCATGATGATGGACTTGCCCTTGCGGTCAATCTCCTTGAGACGCTTGCTCACTTCCTGAGCCAGATCGCGCATGAATACATCAACCTGCTGGTGATTCTCAAACCTCACGCCCCACGAGATCTCGGCGCTGACACTCTGTCGTGCTTTGTCCCGATCCGCGGCAATGGTCGTCTCATCGATACCACGACAGGAGTTGTACAGCAGGTCACCAGTCTTCATTCCACAGATGACTTGCAACTGTTCCCTCGCGACTTGTTGTAGCTGGTGAAGTGTTCTCACATTGAGTCGCTCAAGAAGTTCTTGCGAGATCTTGTATCCGACTCCTGGAAGGTCATTGACTACGGGATCCTTGCGGATGACCGATTTGCGAACAATAGGCGGAGCTTCATAGGACTGGGTGTACGACATGTTGGCCGAGCCAGGTGGGCTTGGGTCCTCCTCCGATTGCTCAATGAGATCCGGCACAGCTCCTTGTAATTCCTCAAGCGTCCTACTCGAACCTGGTGGACTAGGCCAAATGTACTGTCCATGTGGTTTGGCCCTCTTGGTCGACAATTTCGCTAGAAGGATGTTGGGGCCGATTCCAACACTCGCATGACAGCCCGTCGCGAGAAAAATCTCCTCTCGCACCTTGAGAGCAAATGCAACAGGGCTCATACGGGATGGATCTGTGTTCTGAGCTCCCGAGACACTGAACTGACTGCCATTCGGCCCTGCACCCCAGGTCGGAAGACACTTCGAGCTAATGTCAACAAGGGCCTCGTCCACCGACACTGCCTGCAGCTCATCTGCATATCCCAGGAGGATCTTGTAAAACTCGATCGAAATATCCTCGTACTGCTGAAACTCGTACGGCACCACCACCAAATCCGGACAGAGTGTCCTTGCCTTGAGCAACTGCATCCCGTTCTTGACTCCGAAATCACGCGCCAAGTAGTTGCAGGACGCGATCTCACTGTTGGAGGTCGACCCCCCCGTTCCATGAGCAACGGCGATCGGCTTGACTTGCAACTCTGGCTTTCCCCTCGTCGCCACCGACGCGAAAAAGCAATCAAAATCGATGTGCCTATGTTGATTACAACCGATTGAAAATTATGTCTGTAAATAAATGCACCAAACATGTAGTCTTTACGCGTCGACGTGCATCTTGAAGGTTTGCTTACATGATGGTCTTGTGGACGCTTTTGGTGACGATGGGAGGTCGATCCTTTTGGAGTTTGGTCGTAACGTCTCTCAGCTTGGCCTTCCATGTCGACAAGTAATGCAGACGAGAAGACTGGTAAAACTTTTCAACGAATCCTGGTTGGATGGAGCAATTCTGGCGGTTCCAGGGCACTGAGAGTTCGATGACTGTTGGATGGCGATTATCCTGCGGATCGATATCGGCCTGTGATCCCACGATTTCCGTCGTCTTGATCGTGATATCCGATTCTGGAACTGGCATCATGCCTGGTAATCCTGCTCGGGTGTAAGGGTTGAAGGCGAGTGGCTTATATACTGGTGTCGGTATCGGTGGAGGATCCACTGGTTGTGATAGTTGTGGCTGAGGTGGCGACTCTGTTGGGAAATCGATAGGGACTTGTGTAAATGGCAAAGAGTCCCATTCTGGAGGTGTGACAGTAGCTGGTGGTTGTTGTTCAGCGGGTGGCGCATGAGTTGGTGGTGTAAGCTGGTAATCAAGTTGATCCAGATCTAGTCCCTCGAAAAAGGAGTCATCTCCATTCATGTCCTGCAATGCGGCTTCAATCTCTACCTCCGGGGTATCATGCATGGCCTGTGCGTCGTCAATTTCGATACTGTCCTCCGCAACTATGTTGCCGGCTGATGACACTTCGAAAGCATTGGGTACATTCGTCTGGCGTGATGTATGTTGTGTATCGTTATTGACCATGTCGACATTGGGTTCTGCCTGCGTCTGGTATGGGTTCAATCCTTCCGTCGGTTTCGCCGTGTGTGAACTTCTTCCTGATGTCGATGGGGTCATTGGTCTTGATTTGGTCGATTGCGATCCTGATCGAAACTGTGTAAGCGAACCTGGTATGCGGATCGTGCTGAAGTTGTGCCAAGGAAGGAGCTTGTTTGCCTTGACGCTCTCCGTGACCCACTCTGGCTTCGCCACCTTGTAGTTTCTATTTGGGTATCATCAAATGGATAACTGATGAGGACAAGTTCAAACATAGGCAATAATGCAATAATGGAAAGCTTTATCTTTGCAACAGTGTAGTCAATGAGACTTACCTAAACTCTTTCATCTTGGACTGTGTCAGGTTGCTAGCAATGATATGTGTTATCTTGCTCTTGGACACTAGAACAGCGGATGCAAACAAATGAGCGTCAGCAACGTGGCGAATGCGGATCAAATTGTACTCTGTGTACAGCAAAGCGATACAACTTACGGAATTGGGTAAATTCGCCTCCTAATAATACAAGAAAGAAGACGTGGATGTTGAGTCGGTTAATTTCTATTGTGCGTTTTCCGTGTTGATAGCAATGGTAGTTTGTTCCGCGTATCAATGGTTTGCTTGCCTCTGTGCACGATCATATTCCGAATTTCTAAATAATTGAAGTCAGAACAAGCGTTTTTGTTAGCCATATGTGCTTCGTAGAATACGCCTGGTGAAATAAAGAGGCGAAATAAGCGAGTCCCAAGGCGCATTACCATGGATAGGCGGGTCGGTGTATCCATTGACGTAGACGATGACACCCTCAAAGATCTGAGGCAAGTCGTCCTCCACCAATGCAGCACTATCCGCCAATAATAACAAGCGAGTAGTTAGACAAACACAACATAGTCAGCTGCATTCATGTTCCTAAGACAGAAGTAGACGTACATTTCATCCTGCTGGAGCTGGAGCTTGATTTTTTTGTTCTTGAAGTATGAGGCATAGTCTCCGAATCCAATGGCTTCGAAGGGGTTATCGGGTTTCTCGCGCTCCATTCCTTGCCCGGGTGAGAGCGAGTCTGTTGAGAAGGTAGTTGTGCGATGTTGTTACGATGAGCGTGTGGAGAGTGAAAGGAAAGAGACGTGCATTGTGTGGAGGGAAGAGTTTGAAGAAGAAGGAATGAATGCAAAAGGGTTAATGAATGAAAGGAAAGGAAAGGAAAGAAAAGAAAAGAAAAATATAAAGGTCAAGCGAGTCTGCACTTTCAACCCCGTGCGCCACCAAAAAAAATCAGTGGAGTTGATTCAACCCTTCTGGTCCTTCCACAGAACAGAAGACATGCATAAGAATGGGCTGTAGACTGTTTAGCAGTCAGTTGGCTGAGTTCTGAGTTCTGTTGGAGACTTGGAGTCGATTTTCAAGAGAGTCTGCCACTCGCACACGTTGCAACTGCACCCACAACCATACCCACCGCAAGCCAAAAGACGCACAAGCAAATTCAACCCACCAACCAAGGTTCACTCCACTCTTTGCCCTTGCCCCTTGCCCTCTCTTTTTTCTTTTTTCGTTTTTCTTTTTTTCCTTTTCTTTCCCATCCATACCAACCTCACCGACCTCACCGAACACCCACATCCGCCCCTCCCCTCTGCCTCGTCAGTCTTGTCTTGTCTGCTCTGATCAACTCTGCCCTTGGCTTGATTGTCTCCCACCCACAAATAGGGATCACCCATCCCTCTCTCTCCCTCTCTCTCTCTCTCTCTCTACACTTGGACCACACAAGTCTGAAGAAAAACTCGGTACACCTGGAACAACACCAACAAGGACAACAACCACCACCACGCATACAGAATGGCTTTGTTCACTCTATCATCAAGAGCTCTGCCGGACGACGAAGGGAGTACGACTGCACCCCCACAAACAGGTAGTACTTGCGAACTGATGAGCTCCTTTGCCATCTTTGTCCAGCTCCTCCTCGCCACCATCGCTTTCTCGACCCTCATCTTCAAGCGGAGCAAGGAGAGACCTATGCGGCCACTCAAAGTCTGGTATGTTTTTCGTTTTTATCAGGGAAGGAAGAGTAGGGAAGAAGGGCAGTTGACAAGGTGCAAGGAGTCCAATTGAAGTGGAAGAGGACGAGGATGTGGGGTGACTCCTCGCTTTGGCCTCTCTACAGTCAGGCAGCAGTTTTCCGTTTGGATTGTTGTTGTGTTCAGGCACAAGGACAACGGGATGCAAGGAAAGAAGGAAAGAAGGAAGGACACACAAACAGGATGACCGTGACACACACCTAACCTTTTTCCTTGATGGCCGTCGAATGAATCAACTAGGTTGTATGATGTGAGTAAGCAGATTGTGGGTGGAGTGGTCATCCACTCGCTGAACCTCTTGGCGGCGACTATTTTTGGGCTGTCTGAACGCAAGGACAACAATCCTTGTATCTGGTAAGTTCACTCCCCAGTTCTCCAGCACCCAAACCCAACCCAGCTGTATACTCTAATGGTCCGTACTATGATCCGCATTTGCTAATGGCTTTTTCTTTCATATGCATAATAATAGGTACTTTTTGAACATCTTCCTGGATACGACATTTGGAGTGGGAGTTCTGTACCTGTTCCTCAAGGCAGCGGACAAGTATGTTGTGCATATGCGGATGGAGGGACTCAGGACAGGAGACTACGGGAACCCACCTCAGTTTGAACGCTGGTGGAAGCAGACGTTGGTCTTTTCCCTTGGTCTTGTTGTCATGAAGATTGTCGTTGTTATCGTTCTTACCTGGGTACGTCCATCTTGTCATTGGTGATCAAACCAACCATTGTCTTGACCACTTTCCATTGATCCATTTCTATCTCTCCTTGCTATATTATCTTTCAATTGGTCTCCACTCCTTTACTTTATCATTTTTTACCGTTGCCACTCTCATGCCTCAAGGACTGGGATAGTCGTCTGGACTCAATTGATCCACTCCTCTATCCTTGCACAGCAAACTGACCATCAATTGCTTTCTATTCATGACATACAATAGCCATTCTTGTTCACGTTCGGAGAGTGGGTGCTGGGATGGACATTGCAGAACGAAAAGCTCCAGATCCTGTTTGTGATGCTTGTCCTACCCTTGAGCATGAACATCTGTCAGTTCTGGGTCATCGACTATATCCTCAAGCAAAAGACGCCCGAAAAGTTTCCCATCAGGATAGATGACGACGAGGAGGATCTCTACGGACTTGTCGACGGACTGGAACACAACTCGGACGATGACAGCAGGGATAACGATGATTCAACAGAACACCATGACAGGCCAATGCGACTCCAACCTACTGATAGTCGCGACAGTCGGCTGGAGGAGGAGGATGATGATGATGAAGAGTTTACAGAACTCACCTCTGCACCTATCCACAGGCATCAATAACAGCTGTCTGGAGTACGATGAATCCAACACGAGCAGCGTATGTCTTTTCGTATCCGACCTTTCAGCATAGAGCGAACATCAACAACACCTTCAAAAACACCCGCAATAAACCCTCTCTTGTACATTATCGGCACATTTGTTTTCAAGAACAAGTTTGCAGTGAATTCTCTTCCCCTGCTCGCAGTAACATGTTCCAAGTAATGCTTATGGTGTATTTTTTCGCCTAGGTTCAATACGCAGAAATAAAAGTCTAGGCTGTGTATGTGTTCGGTGCAGACGATAAAGAATGAAAAAGACTGACGAATCACGCGCACACGCTCATGCTTGCAAACATCATTCATTTCCCACTCCTCATTCCTGCTCGTCCCTTCTCAATCCGCCTCGTCCCTTCTCAATTATCCTCGTCTCTTGTCCTCCTCTTCCTTTTCCCTTCCCTTGTCCTTGCCATTTTCTTCTCCCATCCGCAACTCTCAATTTTCTTCTGGACTCTTTGGTTTCTTTCATTATTCATTGCTCATCATAAGGAAAGTGGACACTCATTCTTCCTGTGTTCTGTCCTTTCTAGTCTGCAACTAGTTCTATTTTCCTTGTCCATCTAGTCGTCAATTACTTCTGTTTTTCCCTGTCTTTCTAGTCGTCAACTAGTTCTGCTCTTCCTTGTCAATCACCGCAGTCTCTTCGCTCCTCATCAATCCAGCTACAGGCGACCTCAACAGCAAACAACAAACTACTACAGCCACCTCGATCTAACAACACTACCGGTACCCATGGCGAACAACCAAACAACCGCCACCTCCGGCACCACTGTCACCAACCGCAGCAGCAAGAAGTACAGGATGCATCCGTACCTGGAAAACATCCACCGGGATATGAACCGTACCTATGATGCCCTGCAAGCACAAATCCGTCGATCCCGAATGAAGTCCACCGAGGCAACCGCCGACGCCCACTCTTCTCACATCAACAACAATATCAAGCCCTCAGCCCATGAGTCAACGGTTCCGTTCTCCGTCACATTGGAGTCATTACTCAACCAGTTTTCCGAATACCAGGCATCACAGGAAAACAGCTTCCAGCAGCTCATCGCCTCCCTTGCCAGCCACAACAAAGACAGCAACAACAACAGCGACAACAATACGACCCCTACTCCACCAGCCGATAATGACGCCATAACCGCCACCCCAGCCGCCATGAAGGCCCCACCCTTGTCTGTGTGCCCTCTCGATCTTATGCAGGACGATTCCCCGAGATCGCCGACTTGCTCAATGAGCCTCGATATGGCGGAATGCATTCCTCCTCTCTCAGGCGAGCTCCCATCCTATACTTCCGCTGATGCTTCCTCTACCTCGGCTGAGAAGCACCTTTCTGTCAACGACCAACAACACTCAATGGACAAGGATACCGACACGGACAAGGACATGGACATGGACGTGGATAGCTCGCCATTAACCTCAACTCCTATTGCCGCCAAGGAACCCACATCATTGCCATCTCCGCCTCCCACCGACAATGCCATAGATGTTAGACCAGCATCTTCGCCACCACCGTCAGTTGAGGGCGATCCCAAGGATATCACACCATTACCCGACAGTGTTACTATCAAGCACGACCCAACCGAATCGACACCTCCAAAAACAATTCCTCAACCCATCTCCAACTACACAACCGGATCGACATCGTCGTCGTCGTCGTCATCGTCATCGTCATCCAAGAAACCCTCGTCGCCTACTCGAACATCCAAGGATCCAACACCTCTGACACCAATCCCATTGCCACCATCGCCGCCAGTCCGCACCCCTGCTCAACCAAAGCCCCTCCATGTCAAGTACAACGCAGACGGCCACCTCACCCTCACCGAATTTGCACGACAGCTCCAGCAAACCTTTGACCGTAACCCCACCGTTTTCAAGACCGACGCCGACCGTATCAAGTATGCTCTCCGTTCGACGGGCGAGCATATATCGCGGTATTTTGAACCCTTCCGGAACAAGAGTGTGCCCGACAGTCGCAAGTGCTTGAAATCCTACCGTGTATTCCTCAAGACGCTGGCGGTCAAGTTTAGAGAGCCGCCCTCGCTCGATGAGATATGTACAGCGACCGCTCAGCTGTTGTCTCTCCGGCAGACGGGCTCCATGTCTAGCTACATCATCACCTTCCGAGACTTGACCGCCATCGTTTGTTGGGAGGAGCCTCTTCTCATGCATCTCTTTGCCGAGGCACTCTCGCGCGAGGTGAAGACTCTCCTTGGTGATCCAGCCAATATCCCATCCCTTTCCATGCTCCAAGTCGCTGCATCCAGAGCCTATGCTATGCGCCGGACCCAGCCTCATTCAAAAATATTTGACCAGAATCACCACAATTCGACTTCCTTCGACGAGGATCTGGACCGAGCGCAGGAACTATTGCGACAGCAAAATCAGTGCTTCTACCAAACCATTCAAAACTTAATGGCTCATTCGATTAAAAGTCCTCCTCTGACTTCGACCAGGTTCGCCACCTTGCTGTCTACTACAGACACTGACACTGGCGCCGTTTCCTCCATCGCTACCACCAACACTGCTGCCACTGCCCAAGCCAAGGCCATGATTCCGTCAGTCGGAACCTACGTCAAGAGCCATGCGTGGGGCAAGCTGACAGAGGAGGTGAAGCAGTACCGGAAGGACAATCACCTGTGTTTCTACTGTGGCAGAGAGGGTCACTCATCTTTCACCTGTCCTTTGAAGAAATCTTAATCTCCGTCCTCCTCTTTCTCTACCCTTCAGGAACAGACCCTCTCGAAGCCGATACATTAAAGTAAAATTGTTCCAATTTGTTCATGCTCTTTCAAAGGGGGTGTCGCATCAATGCGGGGTGCAGATGAATGGTTGTGGGAGGTATGAGAGATACGTACATCGTAGGTCCACACCCATGGGTACTTTTTTTCTTTTGCATGTCCAATTGGAAAAGAAAAAAAAATCAAGGGAAAGAAAGTGTTTTTCTTCATGGTGTAAGTAGCAATGGTCGTGGGAAGGTGCTTGTTCTTTCTTGATCTTTCCTTCATGCAAACTTTTTGATCTATCTTTTATTTTTGCCATTAGTTTCAAGGCGCGAACAAACAAGCATGCTCCGTGCTTAGCAAACTGGAAAAAAATACAAAAGCAAAAGTACCACAGGCACAAACCCAAAAAAAACACAAAAAAAAGTGCGACAACCCGCATCGCCGCTTAGATGGTCTTTATTTCAGCACACGCCCAGATAGTCCAACCTTCCTCATCATGCTCATTCTTACACTTCCCAGTGCCCTTGTGCAAATAAGTCACCACCTGCCACTCCGAGTCCAGACGCTGGATATAGATCTTGAAAATCGATCTCCTATCCCCGCCCTTTCCACCCCTCACCATCGCCCTCTGTCCCGCAAACGGATACTTCTCTCCTCTTCCACCCTGTAACTCCTGCGACTCTTGGAAGGCGGGGTAGGTATAGTCCTCGAGGTAGATACGAACGGGCACGTTGACGTCGCAGTCGATCTCGCAGGGCCAGTCGTGCCAGCGATCAGAGTAGAATTCCTTGTCATGCCAGCAGATGGAGCGTTCGACGAGACCAATGTCGCTGTAGGATTGGAAGCATTTGACGTTCCTTGAGATTTGCTCTGTAATCACAAAGGAGCTCGCGGACACGGTGGAGGTTGTGAAGAGGCAGGTGGCGAGGAGGAGGAGGGTTGGCTTGAACAACATTTCTAGGTGGGAGAGAGCGAGGGAGAGAGTTGGTCTGTTAGTTTGTCGCAGAGAAGAGATGAAGATGGAGATGGGTCGACACATTCATATGCTGTAGGCGTGCGAGAATGAGACTTACTAGGTGCTTGCTTCCTGAAGTGGGGAGGTTGGTCGTGCGGCAAGTTTGTGAGTACGTGTAAGAACGGATTCTTGCGGGTGTTGTGTATGTGATAGAAAGTGTTGTGGATGGAAGGAAGGGTGAAAGGATGAAGAAGGAAACGAAGAAGAAGAAGAGAGGAGAAGAAAAGGCAAAGTAATCCTTTTTGCTTGCTTTTTATTCTAGGTCAAGTAACGGAGACGACCGTTGACGATGGCACCATTTTACACTTTTGATCGCAAAAAACAGGCAAACCAACCACCCACAGTAGGGGGGAAATGGATGAGGGAAGGAAGGGGGTTATGAGCATCTTAGTGCTGACAACAGCAACCGAAAAGCGCGCATGCAAGGAGCCCCTATTCGCACTTCTATTTCCTTGTGAACAAGCAGCCCCTTGGCGGAAGAAGTGAGTAGAGAGAAGGAGAGGCATATGGCGACCAATGAGGTCAGTGCACCTACCCACCTAGCATCCTTTCAATGCTGCATAACGGAGAGAAGGGAGGAAGAAGGGAGAAAGAAGAGAGGAGAGAAAGAGTGGGGCCAGGGGATATGATCAGAGGTAGTTGTGGGCAATGAACACCTTGACGCGTCCTTTACACACCTTGTCGCGTCCTTTTTTCAGTTGACGCACCTTATGGAACATTTTATTTTCTGTTGTTGTGGCAGCAGCCAGTCAGTCGAACTTTGGACGTGAAGGCTGAGCAATCTCTGTCATTCATCTGCTGCATTGGACAACCACCCAACTCACACACACACTCAGTCATCATTCTTCTTCCTCCTGTCAAGATGCCCCCTTCTCTTTCACTGTCATCGGCATCATCTCTCCTCCACATTCGCCTCTTCTTCATCTCTTCCCTCTCTTCATCAGCCTGTCACCATCCACCTCACCAGAACAATCTCCCCCAGCACCAATCAACCTCCAGCTTCACCCACTTCCCCATCTGATTCGCACGATGGATCCACTTTCTCGACTCCCCCTCGAGTGCCTGCAACGCATCCTGCACGCCGTCGCAGACCAAAAAAATCGATCCTACCTCGCCCACCTAGCCAACCTAGTCCGCTTTAATCGATACATGGCCCTTGTTACCCTCCCCTTTCTGTATTACGATCCACTCAAAGCAGTTAGCAGTGTCAACTGTGGAGGTATCCGGACCAGGGCTCTCCTCTGTACCTTGCTGGCCTCCACTCCAGTCGCCGACCTCCATCCTGCCCTGTCGTTCGAATTCGAATCGGACGCCATCGCCAGCCCCGAACTTGATATACCTGGATTCGACTACATCCACAACGTTTACAATCTCGACATCATAACAAACCAGTTTCGCAATGGCATGCAAGAGGCGACCAGCAAATCTCGCATCAAGGAAACAGACTACACTCTCAAATGCTTGGATAGCAAGCCGCCGGCCTTCATTGAGGACTTTCAAGCCAAGGAGTTCCTTCTCTGGTGCTGTCACCAAGACGTCGTCTTCAAGGAACTGGTCTAGACCCTCGCGACACCCATCCTGGAACAGCTAGAGTCTCTGAGCATCCCCCTCTCAGACATTACTCGCTACCGCCATGCGATCGATCGACTTCCAAGGTTGGACCACGTCCGATTTATTCTGGACGTGATTTACGACAACACACCAGCCGACGGACCGACAGATCGCATTAGCCGGGATGATGCTATGCAGGCGGTCGTCCAGTTCGTCGAGGAGCACACACGAGTGTTCAGAGGTCGTCTTAAGACAGTCGAAGGAGCCGAGGGTGTATCTGGGATCTTTCTTGGCAACATCATTACCAGCGATGCTCAGCGGCAGATATATCGACTTTTACCTCCTATTCAACAGCCTAAGACAATCTCTAACAATAATTGGGATCAGTTGATGGCGCACCTTTTGGCAACTGACCTTGCACATGTCGAGTCCATTTGTGGTGCGACGCGCGAACAGTGGCGGCATGTCGCTCGCGAAAGCCTACAGATCCTTCCAAGATGTCGGTCCTTGAAGCGTCTGAATACATTGGCGCTGGGCAAGGGAACCTTCGCTTGGGCAGTTCAGGAGAGGAGGAAACAAGCCAACTCTGAATCAGGATCGCTTGGCGGTTCAGATGGCGGTCAAGGGTCCATTGACGATGACGATGACGACGCCACATCAGCTATCCGCCAAGTAACTCTGCCACCCCTGGAGCAAGTCGTGGTGCTGGGTTACAACTCATCGACAGACGGAGGAGATGACCTAGCATTTGCATTCAGCCAGACTCTGACGCGCCTCATCATCCGTCTCAGGAGAACCTGGTCCTATAACGACAATATCCTTTGGACGAGGATGGGTGAACCTTCCACTGTTGACAGACCTTATGTTGAATGGACGCGACAGCCGAATAGTCATCGACCCTGCGCTACTCACCCACTGTCCCAGTCTCGCACGAGTCAACATAAATGATGCCACCAACGAATACCGCTTGCAGGATGTCGATCCATGTCTCCCAGCCCATCTTCCCCACCTTCAGGACATGAGGCTATTGGGATGGTCAGCCTTGGCCTTTCATCCTGGGACCCTTGACTCCATGACCGCCATCACGTCCTTGGATCTCTGTCCAAGCTACTCTTTCATTCCGCCCATGGAGGAGGTAAAGCGATCCTATGGCCTAGAGGAGGTCGATGGAACAGAGACCCAAGCAGCCCCAACCCCCGGTCTTGCTCGCCCCCGCTGGTCATGGGACTGGCACTTACCACAGCTGTGTCACTTGAGGCTCACGGGCGAGTTTGCGATGATGTTCCAGTTCCGGATGCTTCTTCTATGTCCTTCTCTGTAGGCGCTGTACCTCGACATTCAAACAACCGACAGAGAGCATTCTCGAGACCTCTCTCAGGCTGATTTTCTTCTCCCACCCGTCTTCGCCGCTACTACTGATGTCAGTACTACTAATGCCAGTACCACGCCATTTACAGTCAGCCAAGGTGCTTTGACAAAACATCGTCAAGGACGCTCAATTCCGACTCATATTGTTGTTCAGTCACTGTCGAGGTTGGTCCTGCGTGGACGGTGGGTGGTGGACGATATTCTGTTGACCCACCTCCTCACTGGCGTGTTTCCCAAAGTGAAATATGTGTCCATGAACGATTCGGAAGGATTGACATTACCATCACTCATCCAGGTTCTCAGGGCCAACCTCAAGCTTGTAAAGCATTTTGACACGATTGAAATTGGGCTTTCAGAGCCGACTGCCGTGGAAGGCGCTGAGCTCGGATTATACCCTCACCCGGAATTCAAGAAGGATATGAAGATTACTTTCCATTACACGTTGTTCCTCCAATCCAAAGAGTATTTTCTTCTCCGGGACCCCTCTATCCTTGCACCTCCTAAGAGTAGAGAATAGAGAAAATAAATGCCTTGCCGACAAATGTCCTGCAATAAGAAAAAAAACCCCCAGGCGCAGTCACTCCTCAGGGAAACGAAGGTCATGGCTTCTTTCTTTTCCCTCTTTCCTTTCCATTTTCACACTTTCCACCTCTTTTTTTCTCTCTCTCGTCACTCCCACTCATCCTCACGACCATCAGCACAGATAGACTTACTCTTACTATAAATATAGACGCACTCTCACAACTGCCTATTAAATGCCTCCAGCATATCCTCCAGCTCATCGCCAACAGGGACGACATACAATCGCTCGGCGCACTCGCAACCAACAAGGACTGGATGTCAGAGAGGAGAGTACGGAATATGATTCTGGTGATGGTGAGAGTTGGATTTCCCATTCGTGTTTGTAAAAGGATTAAAGGGGGTGGATAACGAGTGAGCCCATTTTGCTCGTCTGGCGGGCGAAGCGCGTTTTTTTATTCATTTCTAGAGCCTCTCCTCTGCCTCGATTCCTCATTTTTTTTTATCGTGTCTGGGTCTGCATTGTGGTGAGGAGCACATGAGGTGATCGCAGCTAAGGTCAGATGGGGCTACTCTACGCGACCGATAGATAGGACGGGGACATGCTTGATTGACAGGATCCGTTTTGACTGATCCCTTGGACGCAAACGTATGAGATAAATGCGTTTTTAGCAATGATCAATCATACGACGGCAAAGCACTGTCAACTTACCAGAAAGGACAGGAAAGGACAGGTACTCTCCACTTTCTGTTTTTTTCTCATATTTTTTTTCCATTTTTTCTTTCTCTCCCTCCTCCCTCCCTACCCTCTTTCCTCCTTCCTTTCTTCCTTTGCTTCTACCATACTATCCCAGTTCTCTTACCCTCTCACGCCTCGACCTCCGTGCGACTCAGGGCCTTCCACTCCCACCCACACATCCAACACTCGAGTCGTCATGGAAGAAAACATAATCACCAACCAACCAATGGTGGCAAACGTGACCGCCCACCACATGCAACGAGTTCAGAGCAAGGAAAGAAAGGGAAGAAACGGACCAAGGGACGAGTAGACGAGCACCAACGACGAGTACTAGAGAACGCCTATTTTAATAAATAAAAGATCTCGACTATGGTTTGGTATTTGCATTGTGGTGAATGGTCCCAATGGATCACAATAGACAAATATGAGTATGACTATTCTTCTTTTCGTCGGGGTAAACCAAGAGATAAAAAAAAATCTTTGTTGTACAAAGACACACACATTCAGCACAGACAAAACAACCAAGTGGGATATTCAAACAACGTCCGCTATGTGTAACCCTGTTTCGGAGTTCATGAGGCTGTCCTATGGCGGGTTGTCTATACAAACATTCATCACGCGTATCTTTCATCGCACGTTAGCTATTTTTTCTCACTACCAAACGATGATCGAATGTGTTTGGTACCACGATAACGCCCGCGCCCTTCCGCCTGTGAGTGAGGACTTATGATCCAAGTCCATGAGTATGGTTAGACCTTGTTTCCAAGCTACTTATTCAAAGACCGCTCCAGACCATAACTCAAAATTCGAAGAGTCGTTTGATTTTTTCTCACAGGCACGACAACAGCTGAGAGAGAGAGAGAGAGAGAGAGAGAGAGAGAGAGAGAGAGAGAGAGAGAGGGTATCTTTTTGTTGGTATTAGTTTTTTTCTTCATTTCATTTTTTTGGTCGTTTTGAAGGACATTATTAAGAGGAGGGTTCATCTACAATCCAGAACCGTCTATGTGCGAGGATGAACGACAAGAGAAGGAAGGAAGAGAAAAGTACTCGTCCAGTTTATCTTTCATTGTTTTGGTTAGTGTAGTTGATTAGAGTTTCGAAGATAGTTTCGGAATTTAATCATTGATTTGGACTAACTTTGTTGTCAAAAGAGAAGAAAGGGCTTGCAGCTTCAAATCTCTAACGGTCAGTCTTTTGCCGTTCTCTTCTGTTGCGTCCTTTCATTGTAACACGAGCAAAGAAATATATATTGGATTGGTGGCATGGGGCATGCATGGAGACCTTTAATTGGCGGCAAAAATGATTTTCTAATAGATGGAGCGGGAATGGCTATGGTTGTTGACAAAAAAACATGTGTGTGTGGGGGAGGAGCATGGCCATACATGGAGGGAATATGTCACGTGGAGTGTCCTCGCACTGCATTCAGGGGAAGGGAAGGGGGGAAGGAGCCGGGGGGAGAAAGTAAGGGATGATGCCAGAATGGATCCCATGTCAGTCATGGATCATAAGAGGTGTAGTAAGACGTTTGCGTCAATTGAAATGGCGAGTAGAGAAATAGACTGCGTACTTTTGGATAGAGTGGGGAGATGAAGGCTGATTGGATCGTTTGTGAACACTCGACGGTCGGCTCAGAGCCATGATGAACCTTCGATTGCTGGAGCAGGAGAGGCTTGTTTTTATGGTGCTGTGTGTGTGTGTGTGTGTGTGTGTGTGTGTGTGGTGTGTGTGTGAAAAAAAGAGAAGAATGGAGGAGGAGACCAGTACATAAATAACGGGGATGAGCACGACGGAGGACACATACATGCGATGGAGACGAACTAGGCACATCATAGTATGTACTGTTCAGACGCCAACGGATCATTGGCATCCAGTGCCGGATACGATTGGATTGGACCAACATGCACTTTTCTGCAGTCCTTTTTTTTTTATTTCTTTTCGTCCTTCTCCCACTTCTCTCTTCTCTCTTTTTTCTTTTCTCTTTTCTTTTCTTCTTTCTCGTTGTTTAACACCATCCCCTTTCCCCCCTTCCTACTCTCATCTCGCTCATACCCCACCTCCCTTACCTCCCTTCACTCTCATCACTCTCATCACGACTCTTCCTCTTCTCCTTCCTCCTCTCTTCCCATCACACCTTTTCTTCATCTCATCATCACAACCATGGCCAAGCAACCTAACCAGCTCATGCGCGAGTACAAGCTCGTCGTCGTCGGTGGAGGAGGTACTTCACTCTCCTTCCTCTCACAGCGACCTCTTTCAACGCCAACGTCTCTCTTCTCGGCCATACACACACACCCATGCATCTTTCTCAATGCTCTTCTTTATCGACCCTCGTCCAAAATAACACCTCGACTTGCATGCCTCCCCCCCCCCTATTCATTCCCGTTATCAATGGATGCTCACTCAATTGAGCAACAACAACAACAACAACGTCCAGGAACACCAATAGCATCTACGACACCAACGGCAACATTCTCGACTCCTATTCGATCGTCCCACTCTACTTTCACACCCATAACAGCCGCAAAAAAATAGACCAGGCGGCTCTCGCTCAGTCTGTCATGCTCACTCACTCGTTCTACCTATTCACATACTCACACCTCGTCATTTTCTTTCCTTGACTCTCAATCCAGGTGTCGGTAAATCCGCATTGACTATCCAGTTCATTCAGTCACACTTTGTCGATGAATACGACCCAACAATCGAAGGTAACAATAGCAGCAGCAGCAGCAACAACGAGCAATGATATTGAGAACCTCAACTGTGTAACTATACAACTTCATTTTTCGCAAACTCCTCCCCCGCAATTTTTGGCGCCCTTTTTTCCTTCTCGCTATTCTTTTCATGCAAGATGAAAAGAAAGAGACAGAGAGAGGGGGAGGCAGGGAGAAAAGGTGGTGGTTCTTCGTTTGGAGTGGTTGCCGTGTGCATAGTTACAGTAAAGCAAGGGTCAAGGGTGGACATGAGGTCGCGTGTCTTTTCTTTTTTTCTTCTCGTCTTGTTGCCCAACTGCCTGCGCAAACCGTGTTTTTCATTTGGTTTGTTAGTTTGCGAGGTCCAGACCACTTTTGTTGAGAACCGTAGAGCACCTCCCCTATCAAACAAGTTATCCCACCTTCTCGCCCATCGACGATCGTATCCAAATTTGTGGAAAGCCTTTAAAAAATCATGTTCGACTTTAATATGGACAACGCCAACTACAACAATGGATCGATGCACGACAGAAAGGAAATGGGCGCACGAGTACCTGGCTCCAGGAGGATGAAACAACGGCCCACACTGGTGTCCCTTCCTTCCCTGTAAACGCACCCCTGAGCGAGCCTCATCTCTTTCCTGGCAGGCATGCATTGCGTCACCTACCTGAACCTACGCCTCCGTTCTCTCTCCCTTTCGCCTTTGAACCTCCTTGCCATCTTGTTTTTTTCTTTCTTTTTTGACCCTTCTTGTCAGTGGGTCCCGTTCTACCTTTTTTTTTTTTCCTTCTCTATCTCTGGACATCCTTCGCTCCCCTTTGATGGATCTTCCTGTGTCTCCTTCACTCTTTCTCCTTGTATACATACAATACTGACGAGCTTTGGCCTTCTTTCTTTTCTCAATGGTGTAATAGATTCCTACCGCAAGCAGTGTGTGATCGACGAAGAAGTCGCTCTTTTGGATGTGCTTGATACTGCTGGCCAGGAAGAGTACAGGTAAGCAACACACTCTCTCCCTTTGACAATCGATGGTGTGACCCTTTTACACTTTTTTCTTTTGTTGTTGTTCGGGCTCATCAAAAGAGGGGAGGAGGACAGAGAGAATTGTATGAAAAAACGTTTTTTATATTTATTTGGGTGTCCGGCGTGTGTTTCCGTCGGTGTTGAAGAATAACCCATCTATTTGATGGTTACCTCATTCCATGGCATGGTGGTAATGAAAATGGGTTTGTTCCCTTGTTTATTCATTATTCAAGACATAAAGACCAAACCATGGAATGATATAGCATGGCATTGCATGGCGGCTGTTCATCACCCTTTGGAACACACGCAAAGCGGAGCCCATTCATAAATGAAGGAAAAGAGAGGGATGAAAAATGGCCGTTTGGGCTCTCTTCTTTTTTTTTACATCCTTTTGGCCCCCTGTCCTCATCCATTGCAAACCCACCCACAGTAGCGAGAGCAAAATAGACAGAGAGAGAGTGAAAATGCTCTGAAGTGAGGTCAAAAAAAAAGGACAAGGAGCGATATTTTGCTCACATCCTACAACATGAGGAAGAGTACATCTCCCCTTCCTTCATTTCATTTTCCCTACTGGAGCATCTCTCTTTGTAGCAATGCTCTGTTTTCTTCGATCTCTACCACCAAGAAACCTTCTCTCTCTTCACTCCATCCCCTCATTTCCGATGGTTTCGTGCTCAACCCCTACTTTACTCCTTATATTTTTTTATTTTATTTTCTTCCTCATTCCCGCGTGGGATAATTGTCTCGTTATTTATGCTCTCCTTGCTCCTGTATTATGCAATGCTGGCCTAATTACCCTCCAAGAATGAATGCAGACATTAACGAAACGGTTATCTTTTTATCCCCTTTTCTCCTATTCTCGATTGTTTGGATTATTTATAGTGCCATGCGTGAGCAATATATGCGCACTGGCGAAGGTTTCTTGCTTGTCTACTCGATCACCTCGCGCAACTCGTTCGAGGAGATCTCAACCTTTTACCAGCAGATCCTCCGCGTCAAGGACAAGGATGAATTCCCCATCATCCTTGTCGCCAACAAGTGCGATCTCGAGCACGAACGCCAGGTCTCCACCCATGGTATGCCATCTTCGCTCTTGTTTGTTCACTCGCCTATAATCTGTTTTGCGCATCGTCTTGAACAATACCCCTGTCTCTACTACTTGTGACTCTCATCCTGTTCTGCTCTCTAACCAACATACATCCTTTGCTTTCTCAAAACTCCTATGAAAAATAGAGGGACGCGAATTGGCTAAGCAGTTTGGATCGAGATTGATTGAGACATCCGCAAAGCAGAGGATCAATGTGGACGAGGCGTTTTACAACCTTGTACGAGAGATCCGCCGCTTCAACAAGGAGACGCACAGCAGTATGCCCCAGGGTGGCGCCTATGGATACTCGCAACAGGGACAGGGCTATGGCAACCAAAAGTCTGATAGCGACGACAAGGGCTGCTGCTGCATCATCATGTAGAGACACACCTTGGGATCTTATTTTCCGAATGGATTCTTTTAAAGAAGACTCTTTTCTTTTCTGTTCCATGTGTCTGCAGTGCATGATGTTTCTTTAATAATTTGGTGGCAAATCTATGTGAATGCCACCGCTTTCTTCTTTCTCTTTCTCTCCTCCTTACCTCCCTTTCGACAATGTAATGCAGTCAATCAAGGATACGCTGGTTCGTGCGACTTGATTCTTTCTCTCGTTCTGCTTCTACCCCCACACTCCCCATGTCATGTTCATAGACACTTCTACCCTTATAGTTCTAATATTATTCTTATTTACCACTACTACTACTACAAAAAAAAAAAGATGATGTGTTGTTGAAGATGAAGAAACAAGATATAGAAGAGCATAGTTCTCTACATAAAGATAATAGACCCGTTTTTTACTCTACGCTTTCTCGTTCTCGACCGAGTGTGTGTGTGTGTGTGTGTGTGTATGTAAATTAGTGTGGCCCATGCATGTCTCATCATCAATTGTCTACGTGCGGGGGTCACCACCTCCAAGATCTTGTCTCGCCTCTGTCTCTGCGTCTCTGTTTCTGTCGCTGTCCCTGTGCCCCGATTTCAATCCGCACAAAGGATGCAGACCCCTTAATATTTTAATTCTATTATTACTTTCCACCACCGGCTGGCTCATCACTTCATTTTTTTATTTGTGTTCTGCCAGTCCTGTTGGTGCTCACTTTTTTTTTTTTTTTTTTTTTTTTTTTTTTTGCACTGTTCTCTGCTGTATGGATTCTTGGAGTGAGTAGGAAAGACGGGGAATAAGAAAAAAAAGAGTGGAAGAAGAAGAAGGGGGACAAAGCTTGAGCCGCTTCTTTCTGTATTTCTCTTTTTGCCTTTGTGCAGTGCTGTTGGGGTGAAATGAAAAAAGGCGTTTGGTTCCTCGGTACAAATGATGAAGTAGATGGTTATACATAAAGATGTTATTCCATACCCAGTCCAAGCAAGGCCAGGGGTCCAGTCCACACGAGCAAGGCAAAGGGGTGTTCAGCGAAAAAGAAAAAGCAAGACATAAAAAGGGCACAGGTCAGGCACCTCCCAAAGCCATCATCTTGTGCATCTAATTTAAGAACATTTTGACGAGTCAGAAGTGAAGAGAACATAAAAGTGGGAGGGAAAGAAGGACAAGGGGACTTCTGGCCCATTCAACTTGAAGGGAGATGTAATTAGCACTGAAGGGCCAATTCTCCGCTGGCAATGGCTCGCTGGTTTTTTTTCTGTCTCTCTGGCTGTGACCCTGCCCGTTCGCTGGACCTTGGGACCTTGTCCCTTTGTCCTCTGTGCACTCCCTTTTCTTTCTTTCTTTCTTTCTTTCCTTTCCCTTCTCACCCTCCCCCTCTCTTTCTTCTTCTCTTCTTCTTCTTCTTCTTCTTCTTCTACCTCTTACTTCTTTCATCCAACCATCCCTCTTCCTACTCCCTTCTCTCTCACTCACGACCTTACATTATATACATCATCCCCCTCTCTCCTCCTTAGACGCTGGCAAGTGCATCACTCTCTTTCTCTCACTCTCTCACTCTCTCACTCTCTCATCCTCTCATCCAACTCATCATCCATGCTTCTCCACTCACACATCCTCATTCTCCTTTCGAATCATCCATCAACAACAAATACAACATCAACGACAACAACAACAACACCAACAACAGCCAACAACCAACAGGAGGCGTGTTTCTCTCTTCTATCTCTCCCTTCTAATAATAACACCACAGGCTGATACCAGCCACATATCTACATCCATCCTTCCCTTCCTCCTTCACTGCCTTTTGGGACAACTCCCTTCCCAGCCCAGCCCTGTCCCTCTCTTCACACCGCCTTCCCTTCTCTCCACTCCCACCCTTTGTTACTCGTTGCTGTTTATAGCTACTAAATGGAATTCGGTGCCTGACTCTTTGACCGAACCTCCCTTCTGCACTCGCATATCAGCCTCATTTTCACTGCCATCTCTCTCTTTCCTTCCTGCCTTTGTCAACAACTGCTTCCCTTCTATCATACACCCTTGCAATACAATCAATTGACCGTGAACTGTCTTGGCTGACCTTATTATTCTCCTTCTCTTCTACCCTCTTGCCTCAACCTCAAACCAAAAAATAATACCCCCTATCAAACAGCTAGCGACAAAATAATATCCGGCCCCCCTAGACACACAACACCAACTGACAAGAGCATAACACCCCCGACGCCCCGCTGATAACGCAGATACAACAACAAGAACCATGGCGACCCCCGATTACAGCTTTCAGTTCGGAAAGTTTAACTACATATGCAACAATGTTATGTTAACCTTGTGTCCGCTGGTCGGCACAGATGACGGTATCGAACCCGTCTGTTACTCCCGTAACGTCCGTCTCGCCGAGACCCTCATCTTCCAGCCTTGTAAGTCTCCCTCTTTGCTTTGAAAGAGAGGCGGTCATTTTTTACTTGCCGTCTCTCTTGCGTGCAGTCCATATGGCCCCTATGCCAAAGAACCAGAAAAGAAACGGGAACTGAAAGGAGACCAGGCGAAGGACCACACAATGCTGACCGAACCTTTTTCTTTTTCTTTTCTTTTATTATTATTGCTCTCGGCGAATAACAGCAACGCTCATTATCCACTTGATCGCCTTGATCATGACTGCCATTATGATTTATCATATCCGGTCAAAGTACACTGCTGTCGGTAAGCATCTTCTCCATCCTATCGAAGTCAAGATAGCAAGTATTGCTCAGGGATGTCACAGGAAAAGGAGATTGAAGGAGGTCCTGGCAGGAGAGGGCAAGGGAAGGTGGACGACCAACGGGTCCAGGGGTCAATTGATGAAAGAGGAAGGATGATAGAAGGGTACTGGACTATATTTTCCCGGACCTGAATGGGACACATGCAGCAATCCATTGGCAATCAGGACACCATCGACACATGCAGAGTGCTGATACAGACATGACGAACAAAAACAAAAAGGAAACAAAAAACAAGGAGATATACATGATCGAACAAGGAAATTATAGGAGACAGGAAGAAATTGGGCAGAACTCCTCGGTCACCACAGGAACATACATGGCGGCTCATTTTCTCTCATTCTCTCCTTGGTATGGCATGGAGCATGCACTTCGGGACGGATAGCAACCATGGATATGTTTTTTTTTTGCGCAAATGGACAATGCAGACCAATGGAACATTGTTTGGTTGAAGAAAAAAATGTGTCGTTTTCTACTTCAGAGAAGAGAACGACGAGCGCGTGTATATCTGATCATCACTGACGATCTTTTATCTTTCTTTGATGTCAATCACTGATCAATTGATACTCATAACAATCAATAGGCCGCAAAGAGATCATCATGTTCTTTTATCTCTACATGCTTGTGACAATCATGGACCTGCTGCTCATCTCCGGAATCATCCCCACCGCTAGCAACCTCTACCCTGTAAGTCTGCTGCCCCTAGTTATTTACTTTTGCATTCATTTCCGTACCGTAACGAAAGAAGGTGTTCTAACCATTCCGACTCTATTATTGAACGCTCAATAGTACTTTACTGGAGTCCATCTAGGACTAATCTCGGCGACCTTTTGGTGTCTTCTGTTGAACGGATTTGTCGGCTTCCAGTTTGCTGAGGACGGCACCCCTCTCTCCCTCTGGGTACGTCTTCTTTCTCTCTAATTGTTTGCATGTGTTTCTGTCGCAGTCATGTACTTATTCCTTCAGAGTGAGAATGATAATTGAAGGTGTAATTAACATGATCTCTCACATGTTTTTTTTTACGGATAATAGTCGATTCGGTTGTCGTCATTTGTTGTGTTTGCGGCGGTGACATTTGTGTCGATTGCAACCTTCAACGGCATGTCGCCCTTTGATAAGAAGAACCCGATCGCTCTCTGGATTGTGTTCTTTATCTTTAACGGCGCAGCTCTGTTGATCTATGTGATCTTGCAGATTGTGCTGGTCGTCAACACATTGGACGATCGCTGGCCATTGGGAGACATTATCTTTGGCATTGTCTTCTTTGCGACTGGTCAGGTCATCCTTTATGTCTTCTCAGTCCAAATTTGTAATTTTGCCAAGCACTACATCGATGGGCTGTTCTTTGGCACGATTGCGACGCTGCTGAGTGTGATGATGGTCTACAAGTACTGGGACTCGATCACCAAGGAGGACTTGGAGTTCTCTGTCGGATCGAAGCAGAACGTGTGGGAGGTCAAGGAGTTGTTGGGCGAGGACGAGATGGGCGGTAACGGTGGCATGTATGGCCAGCAGCACCAGGGTCATGGATATGGTGCACCTTCCCCTGCTGCTGGCCCCTATGGCCAGTCCAACTACTACGAGGAACGCTACTAAAACTAAACTAAGCTAGGAGATCTTTCTATAGTGTTACTTTTTCTAGTTTTTTTTTTTTTGTTTTATCTCTCACTACAATACATATAGCAACACATTTACAGAAAGAAAGACGCGTTTTTTTTTCTTTTTATTCCTGTTCACTCATAACTAGCGGCGGAGGTGACGTCACTAAGGTGCGCAAACGAGGGGCTGTTTATGTGTTGATGAAGGCGATGGTTGTTTGTGAGCGTTTGTGTCAACCAAGAAAAGTGAAGGGGTGTGACTGCCTCCGGGATTAATTGGCCAATGGGCCATTGGCTCTGGCTGGGATCATCGTCGATTCGTATGAACAAGAAAAAGGGTGGGGGGACGACAGGTCAGAAAAAAAAATAGAGTGAGAAGCGAAAAGCAACAACTGTCTGGGTCCCTTGTCTCTCTGTCTGTCGTATTTCAAACGCACTCACATACGCACACACAAAATACATCCTTTTTTTCTTTTCTTTTCATCATCATCATCGTCCTTCACACACACACACTCACTCACTCACTCACTCACTCCATCACTCCACATAAAAAGAAGGGATTCGCCCACGCCTCTTCTTCCCAGGAACTTGGTCCAGCCACTCACTGGGACATAGCACAAAGACACCGCGCTCGACCGTTTTTTTCGTGTTCTCTGAGGTATGTTTGCTCTCCGTTGTCTCTTACACACGTCTACCACGCCCTCCAATTTTGCCACTGATTCCGTACACGCATGGAATTGTTCACTGACTACAAAATACTATTTGACTCTGTCTCTCTTTTTCTCTCTCTCTCTCTCTCTCTCTCTCTCTCTCTCTCTCTCTCTCTCTCTCTCTCTCTCTCTCTCTCTCTCTCTCTCTCTCTCTCTCTCTCTCTCTCTCTCTCTCTCTCCCTCCCTTCTTCTTTGCTCTTTTGTCATCGTCATCATCTTTTTTTGCTCTCTTCCCTCTCTCTCTCTCTCTCTCTCTCTCTTTCCCTTTCATTCATCACACCTCCCCTCCCCATTCCCCTCTTTGTGTTTTCATCCATACTCCCTCCTCCCTCCCTCCCTCCTTCGCTTAAACACACCCCTCCACTCCCTTCACAGGAACTCGCCCTTCCCTTCTCACTCACTCTCACCCTCTCACTCCGAAGTGATCAACCTTTCTATTCTTAATAACCTATTATTGTTATCCTCCTCTGAGCTTGATCTGATCTCACTCACACTTCCACCACAAACAACAATAATAACAAACAACTCTCGATTGATTGATTGATTGATTCTTGTGAAAGTGAGAGCGGACAGCAACTCTTCTTCACCCATGGACCCGCACATGGATATGGACATGGACAAGGACAAGGACTCCTCCACTCCAAAGGCTTACCAGCCTCGGCCCCACCAGCAGCAGCCACCACAGCCACAGCAGGGTCACCGCATCGCGTCACCCCAATCCCATATGCACCCCCAGAGTGTTCCCTCTGCACACATCATGCCTCCCCAGCAGAGACCTAACTACTATGGATCCCCTCCCGGTCCCGCTGCACCCACTCCCTCTGCCACTGGACACTACCGTCGACCCTCCTCCCCAGGACCCTACGGGAACCCCCCTCCTAGCGCCTATGGCTCTGCACCCCCTGCTACCCCTTACGCTCCAACCTATGGTCGTCACCCCGACTACGCAAAGGAGGACTATCGCTACAGCCAACAACAGCAGCAACAACAACCTTCTGACCGTCGCCGCGACTACGAGTCGGTCGAGCACAGCCACGAGTACGCTCCCATTTCGAGAGACCTCTACCGGTCATCGTCCCCCACGCGTCATCACCACCAACAGGCAAGAGAACCAGGCCCCGTTGCCACCATCACCTCAAACCGTCGTAGCGCTCCGACGACAACTTCAGCCAGCTATGCTGCACACCGTGGACAAAGCACCCCACAAACGCATTCATCGATCTACCAGCCTCCCGGACCTGGACATGACCAAGACATTCTTGAACGCGAGCACGGGATGCGTGCAGCAGCTCATTCGCCACCACTGTCACGCACTGGTCACCCCTCGTACGGCAACAGTGCTGGCACATCCAGGAGTTACCCTGCACGCTCTCCCTCACCTGGACCCTATGGATCATCGCCTCCCGACAATATGTCATACCGCCATTACTATGAACAACAACAGCAGCAGCAACGGCAGCAGCAGCAACAGCATCAGAGGGCATACCGGCAAGAGTACTATGTCTCTGATGGCGAAGGTGAAGGGAGCTCTATGGGACAGCATCATCCATATCAACAACAGCAACCACCCCACACCTCTCGGGCACCAGCCTACCGCGCATGGCCTGCTGGCTCTCACGAGGCCGCTGGACGAGAGTATCCACCCTCAGTGTCCCAACAGGTAAGAAGTTTGGAAATAACTTCTGCGAATTGTTATTCCTTCATCGTAGAGACAATAATGGAGAACAAAAGAAAACAAAAACTAATTCTTGGCCTTGTTCAATCGATCTTCTGCTCGTCATGACAACCTAGTCTCCGTACTATGCAAACTCGCGGCAAACGGTTCCATCGGATAGATACGAAAGCTCCGGGCCGGCGCCTATTCGCCCCGTCTCGCCTTATCAATCGTCATATGGACGCCCACCTGCACACTCGGTTCACGCACCAACAAGCGCTTGGACATCCACTCGTTCGCCAGAGATCCCTCCTCTTGCAGGCTTGAACTATCGCCGTCGGTCAGCAAGTGTTGATGAGGGAGTTGATAGGGAAAAGGTAGCTTTTTATTTCACAACGGCTGGTTGATAGATGTGTTTGTCTGATGAAAAATGCTGGTTACTCACACACAGTCTGATATTTTTTACTTTTTCATGTAACAACATCTACCACAAAACAATAACAATAATAGCATTACTACTCTCACTCGTACCACAACCCTGCTGCGATGAGAGTACGCTCAAGGTCTCCTCCGCCCCGTCCTCTGTCACCACCCATCCCACGAGCACACTCTCCTTCATACCAGGTACGGCCCACTTTTTACTGTTCTCGAATTACACCCCTCGCACACAGCGTGGTAATTTGATCAACGTACTAATCAGTCGTAACTCTCCCTTTTCGCTAAACAGTATAATTCCAGTCCCTACAACAGAGGAATGCCTCCATCGTACAACGAACCGACCTACATCTCATCCAGATCGCCATCGCCTGTTCGACCCACACCACACCGCAGCGTTGAACGTAAGGCACCCGCCATGTCGATCGCTCAACTCCTCAGTGACAAAACTTCACGGGACCCCTCGCCAGAGTACATGGACGAAGAACCTATGGGTGACAGATCCCGATCTGTCTATCGCCATCCGGTCCAGGACCATCGCCATAGAGACCCATCACCGGGTCCCATGCAGCGGTATAGAGACAGGTCACCCATCCGAGAGCCATCAGTCCCACATCGTTACAATGAGGCACCACCTCGTGGCCCGGGGCAGTTGGCAGAGCGGGCAAGGATGCTTCCTACTCACAGCCCATTGGAAAGCACTGCCTCGTCGAGCCTTTACCCACCTAGAGCAGACCCCAGAGACAGAGAGAGGAGTGTCGCGGATTACACTACCGAGCCTGCTCCGTCGACAATGGCACGCCCAAGAGATGAGAGGAGAGTAGATCACCCTATTTCGCACGAGGATGCCCAGTCGACTTCGACATCATCTACCAGGACAGAGGTCTGGCCAGAGGCTGAGCGTTCAGACACTCCAGCAATCTCTCAGGAAGCCTTGGAGAAGGCTCAGCAGTCGCCTGTACAGGTCAAGCGTCGTGCCAAGGCAGAGCAGGACAAGCGTTCGGCTAAGGCCAAGACGGAAGAGACGGAGGGGCCTGTGGAGGAAGTCAAGGTCAAGGCGAAGCGCGGACGTAAGCCCAAGGTCAAGGAGAACCCTCTCGAGACCTCAGCCGCGGCGACCCCTTCTTCAGTTGCACCCAGCCCCATGATTTCGTCTCGCCAAGAGCCATCGACCAAGGGCGCTGCCAACAGCCTCAAGCGACGTGCGCCCGACACGGTTGCGGACGATAAAGAGACTGTACCGTTAGATATCGCGCTTGTGAACGAAAGGAATGGAACGAGTGCCGTACGACCGACTTCCGATTCGGACGAGGACTTTGCACAGCACAAGGACTTAATGAGCTATATGTTGGAAGTTCACAAGCGTGGTCAAAAGGTCCAAAGGGCTTACGAGAAGCAAACTATCGTAAGTCGTCACTTCCGTACATATTGGATTTTTTGACCCGCAAAAAAAGGATACATTGGTACTAACAGCGTTTGTTTATATTATATGTTTCACGAATTACAGCGCAAGCGTCGGAAATTGCATGACAAGTTCTTGGCCAAGCAGGAGAAGCGACTAGAGTTCAAGGAACCTGGTGATATGTTGGATGATGAAGGCTACCTGGGCACTCGAGCCCCTTCGACGGAGACCAGGGAGTCATCTCAACAACCACCACCAGCACCGGCCACAAAAGGCCCTGGCAAAGGACGTGGACGGAAAAGGCTGCAGGCTGCTCAAAACTCGGAGGGAGGTGTCAAGCATGAGCAGGATGACGATGCTATTACCCACGAGACCACGGCGGAGCGAAAGAGACGTGAGCGCAAGGAAGCTGCTACTGCGGCGGCGATGGCTCAAGTCCAGGCCATCAAGGCCAAGGCCAGGGCTCGTGCACAGGAGAGCGAGCATACTGCTCAATCAGAAGGCATGGACGAGGACCACGACAACCATGTTCCCCGATCAGACATGTATGAGGACGATAGTGACGACCAGGCGTTTGCGCAGGATGACCAGCGCGTCGACCTTGAGGTGACCGACAACGAGAGGGAGCTCGAGGATGAAAGCGTCATGGACGAAGAGACACTTGCTAAACGTCAGGAGAAGGAGTATGAGGCCAAGCGTCGCGCCATCTGGGATCTCATTGCCCACCGACAGATTCGCGAGGTAACTACAGTCTTTGGAGACTTGTTGACAGATGTCACAATGTCGATTTTTTATGGCAACAATTAACAATACTGGTCGTTTTATAACACATTCTAGGTGGGCAAAATTGTGGCCAACTCCACGTCGATCAAACTGCAGAACTGCAAGAAGGTGGCTCAGTTGTGTCAGCGAGAGTCCAGAAAGGCTGCCATACGTATGGTGAAGCCCAGCAGGGAAGTCCACAACAGAGCGAGAAAGGTCAGCAAGGAGATGTTGTTCTTCTGGAAGCGTAACGAGAAGGAAGAGCGTGACCTCAGGAAGAAGGCCGAAAAGGAGGCGATTGAAAAGCTTCGCATTGAGGAAGAAATGCGTGAAGCCCGCCGACAGGCCCGCAAACTCAACTTCTTGATTACTCAGACCGAGCTCTACTCTCATTTCATCGGCAAGAAGATCGGCAGTAAGTTCCTTTCAGTCTTGCGATTGCAGTTTATTGTCGCGTGCGTCCTTTTTCTACTTCTTCCCAATGTTGCGTATAACTAACTACATATCCATAATCCCTACCACCTGAAATAGCTGAGGCGGCTGAGGCGGACGACGATGCAACACCCGTCAGGATGCAACCCTCGAGCGACCCCACACAGATGGCAATTGCTCTAGATCCCAACCATACTCCCATGGAAGGCGAACCTGACTTTGAAGAGGCAACGGACGAGGCACTGGAGGCGCAGGCCAAATGGGGTGCGCAGCAAGCCCTGTTGGCTGCTCAGGAGAGAACTAAGACCTTTGACGCCGAGACCAAGGAGCTCCAGCAGGCCCAGACCAACATTGCCCTTAACCAAGCTGACTGTACGTATTTGAGAGTTGAGGAAGCTATCATTTCCGAGTATATTATGCGATGGAAATGTACTCACAACGCTTCTTGTTCTTCTTAACGCACCCTAGTGGATGAAATGAACTTCCAGAACCCATCGAGTATGCCAACGGTGACGGAGATTGAGCAGCCCAAGATGTTGATGTGCCAGCTGAAGGGATACCAGATCAAGGGTCTGAACTGGCTGGCCAACTTGTACGAGCAAGGAATCAACGGTATCTTGGCCGACGAGATGGGTTTGGGCAAGACAGTCCAGTCGATCTCGCTGATGGCCCATTTGGCCGAATCGCAGAACATTTGGGGTCCTTTCCTGGTCATTGCTCCTGCCTCAACTCTTCACAATTGGCAGCAGGAATTCACAAAATTCACGCCCGACCTCAAGGCCCTGCCCTACTGGGGTAACCCCAAGGACCGAAAGACCCTCCGCACGTTCTGGAACAAGAAGCAGGTCTACAGCAAGGATGCGCCCTTCCATGTCCTCATCACTTCGTACCAACTAGTCGTTTCGGACGAGAAGTACTTCCAGCGTGTCAAGTGGCAGTACATGGTTCTGGACGAGGCTCAGGCAATCAAGAGTTCTTCGAGTGCCCGTTGGAAAACGCTACTCGGATTCAACTGCCGTAACCGTCTGCTGCTAACAGGAACCCCCATTCAGAACAGTATGCAGGAGCTGTGGGCACTTCTCCACTTTATCATGCCCAGTCTGTTCGATTCACACGAGGAGTTCAGCGAGTGGTTCTCGAAGGATATTGAGTCTCATGCCGAGAACAAGGGAACCCTCAACGAGCACCAGCTCAAGCGTCTCCATATGATCCTCAAGCCCTTCATGTTGCGTCGCATCAAGAAGAACGTCCAAAATGAGCTTGGCGACAAGGTACATTTTCACACTACATTCTCGCTCTATTTGGGTTTTCTATGTCTGATCCATGTGCACGTACCTAACAATACCTCTCAAACCTGTACTAATAGATCGAACTGGAGGTGAGCTGTGAGCTGACGGCGCGGCAGAGGGCGTTGTACAGAGGACTGAAGGAAAAGATTTCGATCGCAGAACTGCTGGAGACTGCATCGTCGCTCAACAGCAATGACTCCGTTGACAGCTTGATGAATTTGGTCATGCAGTTCCGTAAGGTGTGCAACCACCCCGAGCTGTTTGAGCGTGCCGATGTGGTCTCGCCCTTGGCCCTATGCTCATTCAGTCAAACACCATCCATTGCCCGCGAGGGAGACGATCTCTTTGTGGCCTACACAACCAAGAGCAGGATATCATACTCCATCCCAAAGCGCCTTTACCGCGAGGGTGGTCTTTTGAAGATCCCCTCGGAGGAGTCAAACGCTGGACGCGACACCAAATACCTCGACAAGCTGTTCAACATCTGGACCCCAGACAACATTGCAGAGTCGATGTACGAGGAGAACGGCGCCTACTCGTTCTTGCGGTTCACGGACTATTCTCCCAGCCAAGCCAGCAAGGTCTTCAAGGGACACCTTCTGGAGCGATTCGCACAGCACTTGGAAATCGCAGAGGAGCGTTCCCGACGTGGATATGGGCTCGGCCATGACGAGTCGGACTCGGAACTCCCTGGAAGCACCTATGCCAAGTTTTTGATTTGCGAGACCCAGGATCCCTTCTCGATCGGCAACCGGTCACTCTTGAGCCACACTCAGCAACTTGGATCTGTTCTTGAGAGGTCAGAGTTGGGCGAGTACGTGTCGATTATGGAACCGGCCTACCGACCCAAGGTAGTGGCACCTCCGATCGACATTATTTGCTCGGACCGTAGCTTCTTGGTGGACCAGCAGGAGCAGCTCTTTAACCAAAGGCTGCGCCAGTTGCTGTTGGGTGTCTCTGATTTCATGACCGAGGCCTCGCACCAGGAGGAAGTTGCGCCCATAATGGATCTCTGGAGAGTCAACAATGGACGTGGCTTGCTGGGCGAGCCCTCGATCAGCTCCAAGGGTTACTCGACGATTGAGGTGCCTCAAATGAAACAGCTGGTCATGGACTCTGGAAAGCTCGCGGTACTAGACAAGCTGCTGGTGGAGCTCAAGGCCGGTGGTCATCGCGTGTTGGTTTACTTCCAGATGACCAAGATGATTGACTTGATGGAGGAGTACCTCACTTACCGCCAATACAAGTACCTCCGTCTGGATGGATCGTCCAAGATTTCGGATCGTCGAGACATGGTGACGGATTGGCAGACGAGGCCCGAGATCTTCATCTTCCTGCTGAGTACCCGTGCAGGAGGTCTCGGAATCAACTTGACGGCTGCCGACACGGTCATCTTTTACGACAGCGATTGGAACCCGACAGTGGATCAGCAGGCCATGGACCGTGCCCATCGTTTGGGACAAACTCGCCAGGTCACGGTGTACCGTCTTATCACGCGAGGCACAATCGAGGAGCGTATCTTGCAGCGCGCCAAGCAGAAGGATGAGATCCAGAAGGTGGTTATCTCAGGAGGCGAGTTCAAGCAGAGCGTGGACTTCAAGCCTCGCGAGATTGTGTCGCTGCTGCTGGATGACGATGAGTTGGCGAGCAAGTTGCAGGAGCAGCAATTGAAGCGCAAGATTGACGAGGAGGAGGCCAAGAACTCGAGGAAAGGAGGCAGTGGATCCAAGGATGGAACACAACAACGACCTTCCAAGCGGAGCAAGAAGGATGGCAAGGGCGACAGCACAAGTGTTGCGACGCCCATCTCGACGCCGTCGAGCTCGGCGGCGGCTACTCCTGGCAAGACCCGGACGTTGGAGGAGATGTGGGCTGATATGGATGCTCAGGCGGCTGCGGCTGCGGCTGCGGCTGCAGAGGCAGCGAACACACCGAACGAGGGAGGATCAGGCAGTAAGAGCAAGCGTGGACGTGCCACGAAGGAGAAGGTGCCCAAAGAGCCCAAGGCCAAGAAAGAGAAGGAGCCCAAGGCCAAGAAGCCTGCCAGGCTCGGCAAAAAGGCCCAGGCGGCTGCTGATGCCGCTGCTGCTGCCGTCGCATCTACCGTTGCTAGTATTGGCGGTGAAAGTGGCATTGGAGAAGGCGGGTTTGGATTTGGCGACGATGGAGACCTGGACGTAGACCGGATGGAGATGTAATTCTCTTCTTGCTTTGTTTTTTTTTTCTGTTCCGGAGGGAGCTGGGGTGTTGGGGTGATTAAGGAAGGAAGGAGGAAGGATATTGGGCGATTCTCATTTTTTTTAGCAAGCACAACATGTACAAGTACCAAATAATAACTACTTTTTTTTCACTCGAGCTGCACTTTTTAACGATATGTATCTAGACTAATCTTCCCTTCAAACAATCCAGGTTCCTGGAACTTACCGTCTGATCCGCCGAGCTCGATCCCGGCAGCAACTGTGTCTTTGTCCGATTGTTCCCAGTTGCAGTTGTTGTTGTAGTTGTTCCTACAAGTCGACCACAATGGCGACGATAGTCCCATATGAATCAAAACGGTATTAACGTCTCGTCTGATTTTTGAGCCTTGTCTCCATCTCGTTCCTCCTCCAACCATGGAAATGAGGACAGCTACGTTAAGTATCCCTGTGTTGCATGCGACTCAGTCTGTTGCTTCTTACTTTACCCTCATTCGTGATTATTTTTTTAAAAAAAAAAGTAGCGCTACACACACGCGAACAGTTCGGTGGTATTTGGGGTTCCTTGTTCTTTTTTTTCTGCTTGTGTAAGTGAGCCCGAATAATTGCGGGTTTTTGTGTGTACTGTACCTGGTATTATCTCTTTTATCCCACATTTGACCAGGAACCAGATGGCCAGCTCTGTTCAATGAACAATAACAGTGAGAAAAGGACTACCAGATCGATGTATTATGAAGGTGTTTTAGGGTATAAGAAACGGTTCTAAGCCTCGATCTTGCCGTCAGTGCGCATTGGTTCCTGAAGCTCGCCATAATACAACTGAACCAACTCGATCCCGGTTTCGCTGGTAACCGGCTGTTGCTGTGCATACTTTGGTAAAGCTATCCAGAAATCGACCTTATTTTGCAGTGTTGTACCGCCTCCGATCAAAACCGAACCTCAAGCGCCACCAAGAAGCTGAAGAACACACCCACACAGGAATATCACATTTCAACTCTGCAAGATCCATCGCCGCAGTCATATCGTCATATCGCTCTAAAGATTACAAGGTAGTCCATGTCAGACGTGCGAGAGGAAGGGGGACGATCATACTATGAGACCATGGGGTTTATCGCCTTCGAATCGCATCACTTGGGCATAAGAATTCGACACGCAAAAAAAAGACAAAGCGGCTCTGGGAACAATTGTACCTTGGGCATCGTTTCCTTTGGGTTATGCCAACATAAAGCTAGGACGCAGAGTACTCTGAATGAATGCCTGTGCCACTCTGCTGATAATAACAATGAACAGGTGTACCTGTTCACTTTTATCAAAAAGGCATGACACGTCCCTCTTTACAGCTGTCAAATCAAAAGACAAAAATGTGCAAGTGGTCGTACAGCCACGCCTTAAATGACCGCTGTATTCACTTTTTTGCTGCTTCCTCATTGATAGCGCGTGTCAACGAAAATGGGGCTATCTGACAAAAGGGGATGAAAGGTACACAATAAAAGAAAGCGAATAAAAACTAACGTGTTGGTCAAAAAATAAAAGGAGGGAGTGAGGACGAACTTATGGCTAAGTTAGGCCTTTTGAGCAGACTGGCTGCTCTCAAGGTCTTGAGTGGCGGCCAACTTTGAGGTATCTTGGGCTCGCTTGTCCATTCTCAGAGTAACAATGGCTTCGACAATGACCAGGAAGGCGAGAAAAAAGGCGCAGGGGGCCTCATTCATGCTCATAACGAACGAGAATAGCGTTTTTTGTTCAGTTCTGCAGATAATAATGTCGTCGGATGCCGTGCTACAGATCCGGTTGTGCTCCGCGTGTTGCTCCAAGTACCTGTAGAGGTTATGGGACTTTGCAACAAGGAGAACGGCAGCAACAAGAAGCATTGAGCAAAAGCGGTAGTTGACAGAGAGCCAGCGAGGTCTGGTACCAAGTGCGACAAAGGCAGAAATGGGGGTGAGGAGCAACGAGACGGCGTGACCGACCAGGATATCCCACACAATTTCGTTCTTGAATCCTATCTTGTTGCAGTATACCCAGTAGTCAATGATGAGACTGGCATTGATAAGCGCAAACACAAGGATCAAGACTCGAAAATAGAAGATTTTTTGAGTTGGGAGCTGCATGACGAGGACTCAGGATGGAGATGGAAGAAAAGGAGTTGGGTGAGAAGATCGAAGAATGAGTTTAAGAGTTGTTTCTGGAGAGTTTTGTTTTTCGAGAAAGTGTGGATTGGAGTTGGGCCTTTTTATTAGGTTTAGTGTGGCTACGGTGGATCGTTTTGCAAAAGTCGACGAAAAGGGCGAGGATATCCAGTTAAATCGAATGTTCCATTCTTCTGTGTGGCGCATAGGGTGCTTGAACTGGGCTCGCCACTGTGAAAAGAAAAGGTTGGGCTGTTGTGATGACGCGATGTGATTGACGATCCATGGATAATTCGTACCAAAGTCCTTTAAAGTTTGGCATCGCAGAAGAAAAGTCAAAGAAGCATTATATTCTCATTTTTCTCTCTTTGTCCGTCTTCTTTCTTCCACGTTCACAACTTAAAGCGAAGAAAAGATAACAACTGTTACTGCTCCATGAGAGTGAAGAGCTCTAAACTCTCGTCTTTGGCTTTTGTGGTACTGGGCGACGATCAAACGTTAACATAGTGTTGTCGACCTTCGAATCCACTGGTAGAGTTTAAATTATACATCCTGTGGTTGCGACGCACGAGCATTATATTTTTTGTCTGTTTACATAAGGTGGCTATCCTTTCATTGGGCGAAGATGAGATTATCGCTGCTAGAACAGCTTCTCGGCGTGGTCGTGATGAAATCACCGTCTAGTCTGGATTCTATTTTCCGACAGAGATCATTTTCGATGTCGATGTTAGTGTCCTGCCACCATCCGTCAATATTCTAGCTCTTCTGCGGTTTGTCGAGTCGGCCTAGAATTTCGTCTAGATTGGCCTACTCGGCGTAAATGACCGCTACGTCTTTGCATATCGCCTTATCCTTGAGATCCAAGAGGGGTGACCGCTCTGCAGATCCAGTAGTACAATACCACGTACGTGCGAAAACAACGTTGACATACGACCAGAGCGCAAGGTTCGAAGACTTCCTGCTCTTCTTTTTGTCTGTCTCTCATGCTTTTACTCCGTAACTGTCATGGAGATCAGAGGAAGCCATTCAGGAGGAAAGGCCCATGGTACATCTCGCACTACGAATCCTGCCCGGAGATATAGTAGCAGGAACGGACATCAACCAGCAATATTTCAGAGCCAATGCATGAGACAGAATCAGTCGACACTATACAAGTGTGTCTATATTATTTCTACACTTAGACTTGAACTGGAGCTCAGACGACTCGGTGGAGGTGGTGGATGTGTTACCCTTGACTCGCTCGACTTGGACGAGAGGCTATACAACAAATGGGACCTATGATAACCAACACCACTTATCTTGAACAGGCGACAGCGGAGATGACTCCGACGACTCTGTGGAAGTTGTGGGGTATTTCGCCTCCCAACCCACCCGACTCGGACGAGAGCACAGCCGACCATTGGGACCCTTAGTGGGCGGTACCATCACCACTTCAACTAGACTTTGAGTAGATGGAGGTCAACGAGATAGCGGTTCAGTTGTTTCAGTGGGGCGTCCAAATGTCTTTTGAAAAGACGGACCGTCAGAATTAACTTACAGTGGGTGGAAAATCAGAGCACAACGACATCGGGAACGCTTGAATCCACCTGTGGAGCCAGAAGACCAAAGCCACCTTGGACTTTTTTGGCAGACAGCCGGAGTGGAGATGTTGAGGTTCTTTTAATGTTTGGGTTACTGGACGAACACGCCTTTGAGGGTGTCACTGAGCAGCAAGTCGCCAAACTTGGTAGATGTGCAGGTACACATTATGAGGACTGGCCATGGTAGCACATTCCTTACCTTCTCCATGCATTTGACAGTCTCACTTACAAGATGAAGATGGGGGTGTTAAAGTTCAATGTTGATCTCGAGGCTACGCCCCATGGATTCGATGGACCCAAATAGAGAGCGAAAGAGAAGACTCAAAAGAAGAAGCAGTCATTCGAGTACAAAGAAAGAGGACTGAGTTTTTCTTCGCTTCTCTATCGCGCTCCAGTGGTTATAACTATTCCGAACAAACATCATGCCTTTTACCTGACGTTTTCGAGTTGCAGCCATACACAATGGAGTTGATCCATATTTTTGGTCCCGCCCCTGGCGGGTTTCTTCTTATCTTCTAAAATTCAAAAAATACAATGAAAATGACAAATGGTGAAATGGTTGGACATGCCGTCCTTTTGTTCACATTCATTCGCATGTCAGTTGTGGTTGTCCTTGACACCTTCGTTACGTTAGCGTTGTGCCTGATTTTTGCATATGTGACTGTCGGTGGCTTGTCTGTTTTCATCAAATTTGCCTCTTTTTTTTTTTTTTTTTTTTTTTTTTTTTTTGGAGTCTCCAACAACCAGGCCCAACAAGAGTGTGCAGTCGCTTCTATTATCTCCGCCACACTCATTCTCTCCCCATTCACCCTACCCTCTCCTTCTCTCCCCCTCTCCCTTCCATCCACAACGCAATGGCCTGGCACGTAGAAGACAACCCTACCCCCGCACCAGCAAAGCGGTCCAACGCCAAAAGGAAAAAGGGCTCTGCCCTCAACACCTCTACAAAAAAAACCGATACCACCTCTCACGATAACGACAATAACAACTCGGACGGAGAACACGATACCACGGATGGAGGAGATAACGACACCAAGAACGAGCTCTCGAAATCACAACGCAAGCGTGCCCGCCACCAGGCTGCATCCACAGAAAAGTCAATGACCGAGGACGAGAAGAGCTGGAATCAGGTCTCCCTCTTCGACGTTCCTGACCTTCCCTCCAACCCAGAACCCGTCCTCATCTCCAAGAAGGCCGCCAAGGCCGCCAACAAGAAAGCTGCTGCCAAGGGAAAGAAGGGTGGCAAGGGAGTCAAGAAGCTTCCAGGCGGTGGTGAGATTGTGATCGCAGACTATGGAAGGATGGACGACTGGGGTTGGACTCCTGTCAGCACTGAGGGCATCATGATGGACGATATGGATGGTTTCCTGTGTCTTGAGGAACTGGATGATGTCCAGGTTGCCTACGAAGGTAGCGATCTCACAGGAAAGACCATCGTCTTCAAGGTAAACATATAGCTAGGATAACAGCCGCGCCATTGTTTATTTGAGTATGATATGGACCTAACATTTTCCTCATATTACCATGCATGTTATTAGCACGATGCAAAGTCTGCGGCAGCAAAGAAGGGCAAGAATGTCAAGCACTCGGAGCCTCTGTTTGTCGAGAATGGCGAGGTCTTTTACGATATCGACACCTTTGATGAGGATACTCTCATCAAGCAACAGCAGGAGGGAGTGCAGGACACCGAAGGTGACGCTGTCATGGCTGAACCCGAGGGTGACGATAACCAGATGGACATCGATGACGAAGTGAAGGAACCTGTCGCCAAGAAGGCTGAAGCACCCGTCAAAGAGAAGAAGGAAAAGAAGGAGAAGAAGCAGAAGGAGGTCAAGGAGCAATCCGCCAAGGCTGAGAAAAAGGAGCAGGAGACTGCTACCATCGCTTCTGGATTAGAGGGGGACGCTGAGGAAGAAACCAAGGAGGTATCCGAGGCTGCACCTAAGAAGTTGTCCAAGAAGGAGAAGGCCACTCTCAGAGCGGAGGAGTTCAAGGCCAAGCGTGCCGAGGCCAAGGCTGAAAAGGCTGCCCTGAAGGCCGAGGAAGAGCCCAAGGAGGTCTATAACCCCATGGAGGGGGTCGATCTCGGTAAGTTACCCTGTCCTTGTGTCGCTGCTATTTTGGACTCTTTTATCCTATTATATCTGCACGCTAACATTCGTGTTATATATCTTCGGCTCTTTTGTATGATAGATTTTGACATTTCGGCATGGAAGGACTACAACCTCTCGCCCATGATCGAGAACGGACTGAAGAAGCAAAAGTTCACCAAGCCCTCTCAGATTCAGGAACAGGCCTTGCCTCTGGCCTTGGCTGGACGCGACGTTATCGGTGTTGCCGAGACAGGATCTGGAAAGACGTTGGCCTTCGGTTTCCCCATCATCCAATGCCTTGCTCAACAGGCCGCCTTTGCCAAAGAGAGCAACAGCCCCCTTAACGAATCTCTCACTGCCCTTATCTTGACTCCTACCCGTGAGTTGGCCATCCAGGTTAAGGATCACTTGGTGGCATTTACTCAGTTTACAGGACACCATGTGGTACCTATTGTCGGAGGCATGTCGGTCCAGAAGCAGACAAGACAGTTGGACAGGAACCCTGCGATTGTTGTTGCAACCCCAGGTCGACTTTGGGAGTTGATTTCGACCAACCCAACGTATTCCGAGCGATTGATCCAGGCAAAGTTCTTGGTTCTGGATGAGGCTGATCGCATGCTGGAGTCGGGACATTTCGAGGAGTTGAGCAATATCTTGAAGCTGTTGGAGCGCAAGCGCGAGAAGACCAGCGATTGGGATCAACACGTCAAGGCAGCCGCTGCTGCTAAGGCCACCAACGATGCCGATGATGACGACCAGGAGAAGAAGGACGGCAAGAACAAGGAGGACACCGTCAAGCCTACCTCGATTGCCAGGACCGACTACGAGTCCCTTCGCCAGACCTTCATCTTCACTGCGACATTGTCCAAGGAGCTATCGTTGAACTTGACCCGCAAGAAGAGCAAGGCCAAGTCTGCTGAGCAGTCGGCGGAGGGTACCCTCGAGGATTTGATGGAGAGGATCGAGTTCCATGACGAGTTGCCCGCCCTGGTCAACGTCGGTTCTGAGAAAATTGTCGCGGCAAAGCTTTTGGAGGCCAAGATTGACTGCTTGACGAACGAGAAGGACCTGTACTTGTACTACTTTGCCAAGAAGTACCCCGGTCGCACCCTGGTCTTTGTGAATTCGATCGATGCTATCCGTCACCTGGTTCCAATGATGCAGCTGCTCGGGATCGAGGCTCTGGGCATGCATGCCCAGATGCAGCAGCGTCAGCGTCTCAAGAACTTGGACCGGTTCAAGTCGAACCCCTTTGCATTCATGATTGCCTCGGATGTGGCTGCTCGTGGTTTGGATATTCCCTTGGTCGACCATGTTATCCACTACCAGGTACCTCGTTCCGGAGATATCTATGTCCACCGGTCCGGTCGTACTGCTCGTGCCGAGAACGAGGGTATTTCGTTGTTGATCTGTGGACCCGACGAGGTCCAGCTCTACAGGAAGATGTGCATCACCCTCAAGAAGGACCAGACCGGTGGTATCCCTGATTTCCCTATCGACCGTGGAGTTATCAACGATATGAAGAAGCGCGTCGCCCTTGCCAAGAAGATTGATGAACAAGAGCATCGCGTCCAAAAGGTATGTTGTTTTCCTCTTTCGCAATTACCGAGTATCATGTGGTACGAATACACATGCTAATTAATTCTTCCTCTCCCTTTTTTTCTAATCTCACTAGTCGGCCCATCAAGACGACTGGATGTTGAAATCCGCAGAGGCGATGGATATCATCTTGGATGAAGACGTCCTCAACGCTGCCCCAAAGTCCTCAAAGAACAAGGGAGGTGACGACGAGGACAACTCTGCAATGACGGGCCGCAAGAACAAGATCAAGGCCATGCGCGCAGAATTGAAGTCCATGCTCCAGACAAGGATGATGCCCCAGGGTGCCTCTGCCAAGTATATTACCTCGGGAGCCATCCGGGACCTGGCTGATCGGTTGAGGGACTCTGCGAACCATAACCCGTTGATGCCTGCCCACATCAAGTCCACCGCCTTGGAGGATATCAAGGCGCAGAAGAAGTCCACCAAGAAGAAGGCTTCTCCTACCACTACCACTGCATAGACACACAAGCATAGCATTTTAATAACATTGCATCCACACATTTTTTCATCACCTTTCATTTCGCTTTTTCTTTCTCTTTATTTAAGACCATCGTTCTGTTGAAATGATCATGACTTGTAAAGATGCTCCAAAGATCAGAAAGGAGAACGGTAGATGAAAAAGAAAACGCTAAAAAAAAGGTCCAAAAAAAAAAGAAAAAAAAACTAACGAAGGGTTCTACTCCTCTTCCTCCTCGTCTTCATCGCCAGCAGCAGCCTCCAGCTCATATGTCCTTGTGAGCAACTGAGCCATAATCGGGGTATCGCAAGCAAGACCCAAAAATGGATGTGATAGCAGCTCACTAGCACTTGGTCTATCCTCTCCCTCGCCTGACGTACACACTTCCACGAACGATTGGCATCTCTTGGATGCCAGTCCCTGATGCTTAATGGCTGGTAACGCTCCACTCGCAATCAAGAACATGGCCTAATGTGCACATAAAGGGAAGAGAAATGCGAGTTAGCAATCACCTCAAGTAGCTTGCACAAATAACAAGATTGCATTTTGCAAAAATAAACATGAATAAAACTTACGCGAAGTGGGGGCTCGTGGAGGTATGGTGGCTCGCCCTCGATCATCTCGCGCATGACGATACCCAAACTCCAGACATCGACACGAGTTCCATAATTCCAGCCCTGGATGACCTCGGGTGCCATCCAGTAAGGTGTTCCGACCACTGAGTTCCTCCTGGGCTGCTCCTTGGTCAACTGCACCGAGTGTCCGAAATCCGCCAACTTGACTCGTCCCTGGGAATCCAGCAGGATGTTGTCACTGCGAATATCACGATGGATCCGGTTCTCCTCGTGAAGGTAAGATATGGCCTCGAGGATGTCCTTGGCAACTCTCGCCATATGACATTCCTGCAAAAGCCCCTGATCCGGGTGACGCTGGCCCTTGTAAGGGTTGATCGCGATCACATCTGCGAGGGAGATATCCATGCGCTCCATGACCATCCAGAGCTCCGTCGACGACAGATGGCAATCCACAAAGGCGACAATGTTGTCGTGGTGACTTGCCTTCATCAGCTCCAACTCGTTGCGAATCGTCTTCATCTTGGCCGTCACCGTCTTGGCGACCATCTTGATCGCAACCAGTTGGCCAGACGAGGTCTCTGTGGCCGAGAACAAAAATCCAGACTCGCCCTCTGCAATCTTGACAATCTCTCCGTACAACTGATAAGGGTCCTTGGGTCTGGGACGGCTGAGAAGTGACTGGAGGCCATACTCTTCAATAAAGGAGATATCCTCCTTGTCCTCTGCAGTCCAGTCCTGAACTGGGCTCGACTCTGCTACGGCGTTCGTTTCCTCAGTCTCCTGTGCCTTCTCTGTTGCGGATGAAGACCCATTGACGGTACCAGCCCCTCCTGGCGCCTTGGCCAATGGAGATGAACCCACGGGTTCCAGAGCATACTTTCGCAGTAAATCCTCCGACAAGGTAGGCATGAGTTTTTGGCGCTTCTCTTCCTCCTCGCGAGAGATCGCTCCACCGCTCACATCTGGAGGGGCTCCACCAGCCGCACGGTCGCCATTCTCCAATGTTACATCGGCATGGGCTGGGGTCGGAATGTTGACGTACATGCTCTTGACCGATTTCCGACGAAGGTGATGAGGTGTCATGATGCTAGGAGAGGCCGAAGTACTGCCAGAGACGGGTGGCGACATGGGCGAAGAACCAATGGTGCTCTTGGTTGCCTGAGGGATGGTGACGACAGTAGGAGACCGCTCCTTGAAGTAAGACGAAATAGGCAGTGGGTTCGAATCCGTGGGCGCACGCATGGGTCCTGGGTGAGAGTCTGGCTTGCGTGGCGAAGTGGAGGGAGTTGCAGCGACTGCTGTAGGGGTAGAAGGGGCCGACACAGAGGTGGCTGACTGGGCAGGTAATGGCTGACTGGGTGTTGCGGGTGACTGGACAGGTAATGGCTGACTGGGCGTTGATGCTGTACTACCCCGCTCTTCGTGATGAGTTGTGGCCGCTGCTGTTGCTGCTGTCGCTGTCTCTGAGGCATCCGAAGCGCGTGGTTGGAGTTTGGGTGTAGAGCAAGTCGAATCTGTAGTCCGTGTCCTAGATGAGGCATGCGATTCGGCGCTCTCCCTTGGCTTCCATGCATCCCGTCCCTCGCCTGGTATAGCTCCTGCAGAGTGATTCCGGGTTCGTGAATAGTCTTGAGGCGTCTCGTCCGACTCTCGAACAGACCCCATACCAAAGTTGGTGGGCGTTTTTGGCACAGATCCAACCATTGTTTTGGCGTCCCAACTGTCGCTATTTGTCCGTGGTGCTGGTGATGGTCGACCGGTCGTTGGGAAGGTGAGTTTGTTGGCCTGGGGGGATTCGAGTGGGTTGCGTCCGGCAGGGTTGAGACTGGAGGTGCGACGAGGATTGATGGTCAATTCTGTTTTGGGCGTCAATGAATATCCTGGCTGGTCCTGACGTGATAGTCTGGTGTCCGGACCTCGGGGTACGACTCCAGGGGCACTGGCGAGGGCAGACAGGGGGGTATTATTTGGCTTTGGTGGAGGTGGTGGTGGTCGTGAAGGTGGGGGCAACTCTAGATCGTTGAGTTGCAGCTGCATCAATTTCCTGAGTGCCTGGGGGTGTTGCTTGACCTCCTGTTCAGTGATCCCTTGCTCCTTTAGTATTGTCATCCATTCATTTGGCAGGCCCTGTTGTTATAGAAATGCAGAGGCGGAACGGATAAAGGAACGAGAGTGAGTAGGGGCGAGTGAAAAGGATTTGTGGTCAGAATGGTGTGTGTGTGGTGTTATGTGTTTGTGAGCACCAGGTTTGCGTACGGCAAGAGTCGGCAAAGGAAGGAAACGAAAAGAAAAGAAAAGGGAAACAGAAAGCAGAAAACAAAAAGAAAAGAAAAAAAGGCGCACACAAAGTGAGCAAAAGGTCTTACCTTGAGTCCAACCTTGCCATTCTGTGATATATCGACGTCGACGTGAGCCTTGTGTTGAACGTTGTACGGCCATCCGATCTTGTGCTCTGTGATGAGTGATTCGGTGTGCGCAATTGGAGGAAGTCAGTCAAATGAAAGACAAGGGAGAAAGAGAAAAAATGAAGTATACAGAACAAAGGAAGAGTTCAAAAAAAAGAAGCAAAGTAGGCAATTAGTAACCCTTTCTTCGTTGTGTGCACAAACTGACAATCAAACAAACAAACGCACGAATAAAAAAAAAGAGATGATGAGAGTGAAGAAAAAGGACATAGATGATGGATTACCTTCGGAAGGGAGGTTGGGGTTCAGCATGGGCTGGTGTCGTGTGGTGGGGACGAGATGGGGGCTGATGCAGGTGGTGTCGAGGGGATCGTCGGTGGGGACCTCGTTCTGCCAGACGTCGGGGATACCCATAAACTTGCGGCGTTCGTGGTTGTATTCGACGTGGATGCCATGCTCGATATCGGTGGGCTCGCCGATGTTGACAATCTTTTTGGCGTGGGAGTGGGTGTTCTTGCTGCGTCCAGGGGACCACTGGGCGAGGCTGGAGGAAGACTGGTTGGCGTGGAGGTATGCGGCTCCGCGTTGCTGGTGTTGGTTGGGAGCACTGCTGGCGAAGGAAGTGGTGGAGACGTTCCTGTTGTTGGTCAAGGACGATGCTCTGTTGCGGTGATATCCTTGGAAGTGCCCCGTTGTTGAGCTTGCCGGGGAAGAGCGCGAATTGTTGTTGTTGTTGTTGTTATTGGAATAACCCTTTGACTTTGAGCCGGGGTTGTTGTGGTTGTTGTTGGGCAGGTACCAGTCCTCGGGCTTGGAGCCGTGGCCGTGGATCGCGCCCTCGGACGACATCTTTTGGCCCATATTGCAATCTCTTTATTCTTTTTCTTGCAGTTGTAGTTGTTGCTTGTTGGATGAAGGAGGATAGTAAGAACGATGATGAATAGAGAGGGGCAAGATTGATTGAGAGAGCAGGTGATGGAGGTGTGAGGGTGTGAGGTTATGAAGGAGTGAGAGCAGGAAAGAGAGGGAGAGGGAGAGAGTGAGCAAGAGAGAGAGTGAAAATAATAGATGAAATGTAGATAAACGGGGTATATGCGTGAAGGGATGATGGAAAAGGAAGAAGGGAGGAAGGAAGAAGGGAGGAAGGAAGAAGGGAAGAAGGGAAGAAGGGATGGGGATGGGGACAGGTTGGCGGTAAAGGGGAGAAGAGAAGAAGAGAAAAGGGAGAAAGGAGAGATGGTGGCGGAGGAGAGGAGTGAAGAAGAAGAAGAAAAAGAAAAAGGCCGACACCAGGGACACAACAGAAAAAGACTTTTTCGCAAACAGCAGACTCACTCAGGGAAGGGTCGCTCCTGACGCTGACTCGCTGCTGCTGTTGGATGCTGGCAAGTGACAGACAACCTTAACTGCGTCTGAATACTAACGTCTGTGAACGCTTCTCACGGTGGTGTACTCTCTATGTCTCCTTGTCGTGTTCTCTCTTTCTCTCTTTCTCTCTCTCTCTCTTTCTCTCTTCCTCTCTTTCTCTCTTCCTCTCTCTCCGTGCGGGGACACACATAACAAGCACAACAACCGCCACTCTCTTTTGCCAGCAACCATCTCGAAGTGACAAGGACAACAGGGGTACAAACAAACATCTATATGACTTGAGTGTGTCGGCCCTTTCACCAGCCAGCCAGCCAGCCAGCCAGCCAAAGAAAAAGTCTGAAAGTGACTGTCTCCACCTGCCCTTGTCTGTAAACATCAAAGTACACAAAGGTAACAGCAAATGCACGCGCTCTTCTTTTTCCCTTCTTTCCCCTCCACCCTCTTCAACTCTTTCACGCCACACTACCACCCTCACTCAGTCTGGCCCTTTCTCACAAACAACAACGGACACAACGGACTCGAACACGCGAACAGAAAAACAACACTCAAAACGTGATTCTCAATGTCGACATTCTTCCCAAAGGAGGCTCCACCAAGGGCACACCTCTACATGAACCACTACTCCTTCAACTCACCAAAACAACTTCACAACCGTTGTATCGCATCCCACCCCTTCAACCACAAGGTAATTAATCATCTTTGCGCCCTCATACTCTGGGCAAACAAAGCGACAAAGAAAGCATCCGGATCAAATTGCGACTCACACTAACCCACACAAGATACAACCCACATTAGATCCAAGTTTTTCTCCCTACAGAACACTCGCCCACGATCCAGACTGCCCTCACAGAGAAACTCCTGAACGAAACCTCGACCTACTACCATGCTCACATTCCACTCTCCCTTCTCCTCACCTCAAATTTTATGCAATACATCCGCAACGGTAAGGGCATGGGTCGTCCTGTATTTCTTTCGCGACTTCAAACTCACACTGCACAGCAGAAAACTAACACGCTCCTTTCTGCAGGAATGGTCGCGCTATCTGTCCAGGGCGGGATCGACACACACGACGTTGTATGCGTGGATGGGAAAGGTAAGTTGTCTTGGGGTTCTGTAGGTTACTGAATGCACTTGGCACTCATGGAGTAGACATTGTTTTCGAGAACAAATTGAACTCACTGCTGATGCTTCTTATCGCGAAATAGGAAAACTCATCCTCAACCTGACAAAGGACTCTTACGAACAGCTAGGACTTTCAGGAAAGCCATCGACATTCCACAAAGATCGCCAACGCTATGGTATGGGCAATTACGCGACAAGGATCAATTCCACAAGTTTAACCCATTAAGGTGCGAGGGTATATGCTGATGTGTCGCTTCTTGTCGAACTACCTTTTTCATAGTCGTGGAAATTGAACTGAACAAGCCAGCAATGATCCCAGGGAAACCAGGATTCGAGAGGATAAACTGGTGCTTTGAGAATACCTTTGCGGCTCCTTTCTCTATGCTATTCGCCAGCGTCGACCCACAAGGTACAATTTCATCGAGCAGGACTACGTCAGATCCTCTTTCTATTGTTCTGAACAAGTATAACAGGACTGACAAATGCCCCTTTGAACTCGTTACTCTGCTAGGTGTGTCACTACCGCTCGAATTTCCAGCATCAGCGCGGGCGACACCAATGACGTTCAACATTCAATCCACCTGTCTCAACAACGTTGTCATCCCGGATGCCACCCCTATCCGAACCATCGGAAAGAACGACCTTCGCTGGCGAAGATCAGTCTCAGAACTCTACGAGTGGATCGGTCTCGCCTCCATGCAGTCTGAACGGTATGTTATTCTTTCCTTTCACTTGACTACTTGCTTATCTTTTCATCGCACTGCATGTTATTTTAACTGGAATTGGCTTGCTACCATTTTCTATTGCTCTATAGGATCACATTCGGCGACAATATCGATCCATTTTTATGCGTATATTCCCCTCCACCACCTCCAACAACAGAAGACCAACAGGATTCAAGGCCGTCCTCTGGCTGCCTCATTGAAATATCGGGATTTATCCCATCTCAGAGCATTGTCAGGATACTGGAAGCACTTCGGTATTGTCACATTTACCTACCTACGCGCTTTGTTTTCGCTTTGAATGGGTATCATTGGTTTGGCAACAGCTGCAACTAACATATCTTCTATCCGCAATATCACCATCCTTTTTGATCTCCAGTTCACTGTTGGGTAGTTCGGACTCGATCTTGTCCTCTGCACAAGGGTGGGCCAACATGACTGTCTGGGGATTCCAGGACTCTCCGATCTCTTGGGTAGGCAGAGAACATGGACACCTCGTCTCGGGCGAAAACATGTACTCCTTCTTCTTGTGGCCTTCTTCCGTCCCCTCTCGGCACTCTAAAGACCACCCCGACCAAGGCGTATACGTTTTGCTAGAGAACGTAGCAGCCCACGACGCTCATTCCTGACAAGCAAAATGAATTCAGAAGCTGTAATTGATTAAAGTTGGTGCGGGACTTTACCAAACAACCCCCTTCTATTTTTTGATGTTGCTCGTTCTCTATCCCTTGTACACCGGGCGCTTTGACAACAACGGCAGAACGGCTCTGGGTTCTGATTCTTCTTTTTTCGGGCAATAAGATCAATGAGAAAAAATGCGACTGAAGATAAAACAACGGTGAGGTGGTCTGAATCAAGATCGGGCTCAGCGAGTCCACCCTGGACCAAGCCTTGCGCTGTTCGCATCCTCCTGTGATATGTTGCGCGACAGTGGTCGAAGAACACCCTACCCAACCTCTTGTAGGCAAGCTTCACAAGGGGGACCTTTCGTGAAAAATTATGCCCGCCTCCACAGTCCTAACGCTGAACTTTTTACGCGGACAAGTCTTTTCAACATCAAGCAGATCAGATCAGTTCCCAAGTACATCGAATACTTTGGGCGCCTGAGCTTAGAGTTTGACGATTTGGGAGCGGCGAACATTAGGATAAACTTCCCAATAGATTGAGCTCCGCCACCCGTTCACTAAACTATCCTACATGTTTGCCACCTGTTCATGCAACTCATCATCCTTTCCCAGTATTACCCTTCTTTTCCTTCTTCGCTCTTATTTTTCCACATCACTGTCACACACAATACACTGCGGTTCTCTTCATTTTATTTTAATGTGCAGCATTGACACCTCCTGCCAAAGGGTTTCATCTTATTCTGCCTGAACACAACAGATTGTTTTCTGGCCTAGCTGTTCATTCGATCGCCCATGCCCTCACTTTTCTTTACAGATGCACTCTTGCCTTACTTGTAGTAACATCTATCCAACCCCCCACGATAGCGTTCTTTTCTCAAGAAGTTCTGGCGCCTTTGCTTTTTTCCACCTTTTTTTTCCCTGCACAATTTTATGTCTCTGACAAACAGAACAGAAAAGTCATTTGGATGTAAGAGGGAAACTTAGACCAAACTCTTCAGTGCGCCATCCACCAGTTGCAGTCCAGCCCGGAACCTGGCTATGCACAACAATTGTCGATGCTCTACAGAGCTTAAACAGAAAATAAAATAAAACTAGACGCGAATAAAGTGAATAAAGGAATTCTTCCCATCCTCTCTCCATCATTGACCACCTCCTCCTTCCAAACAAACTCTCCAACAACCGCTCGTCAGCAGCGTATGGGTCCTTGGTAGAGATACCCTGGGCCTGCTCCCACGCGATCGTCGCGGAGCATCGGGGTTTCCAGATCAGCTCCGAAGCCTGTGTTTTCCAGGTAGCCAACAAACTTGTGAAGGACTGTCTTGGCGATGGACATTGGGGTCCGGAAGACCGCGGACCATTCAGTCAACATGCTCAAGGGGGTGATGCCGCGGAGGAGATCCGACACATTCCACATCGGTTTCTCGTCTCGATCGGGAGCTGGACTACCGCTGTGCACGGCTCGAGCTCCACCGATGGAGGAAAATCCTCGCACATGATCCGCATCCGAAGGGGGCCACCAGTGTATGGGTACTGGCCTCGGTACCTGACGACCTCTGTCCACCGCGCGTTTGTATTCTCGCTTCCTGGCTGCGTTGTAGCTGTTTGTCGCCTGCACACCCCACTCGTTAATCTTGCCCATGGCCTCCTTCCAGATCTCAGTGGTGGTCTCAGCTGCCGAAGGGCATTTCCAGACGTGATCGTTATCCTCATTCTCGAGCTCGCATCGTCGGCACACGCATGTTGGGTACAGGTTGGGCTTGCGAGCCTGCATGGAGGTCAGAGTGGGCAGCATTCCATGCAGCTTTTTGATATGATGTGTGCGTTGGTGAGAGTCCTTGCTGTTGCTGTAAAAGGTGAAGACTGCGTGCCTGTCATGGACATAAGCCAAGGTCGAGTTCCATTCCACGTCATCGATGTCAGGGATCGCCCTCTTGACCCGCCTCTGTGACGTCCAGGCCTGATGGTGACGGATTGTCGATTGTTGTTTGAGGAGCTGACGTAGATCGATTTCAACAATCCCGCCGTAACAATGTGCAAAGATCGTGATATCCGTCTGTTGAGTGAGATCCACCATCCAAGGAGGCCTTTCACGTCCAAGTTATCATATGGTGTTTGTTACATCTCTGTAGATCTCGACAATATCCATAGCGACTATGGGATGAGAATGTATATATGATACCAAGCATATAAGACAACCATTGTAACATTTTTTGTTTAACTATCCTACTAAACACCAACCTATTCTCCAAACAACAAAGTCTTCTTATTTTTCGCACACCACACTCTTGAATATGTCCATCTACTATTAACCTGTAACCCTCACTGCAAGATTCGCCAGAGTAGTTCTTGTATGTCATCATCTAAAGCACTTGTACTCTCAACTGTATCTTTGGGGCGAAATACAGGGGAGAGATTACATTTTAAAAAAACATGTGCTGTCTATTGCTATTTTATTCTGTGTTCTGTTGCCCACTATGAAGAGATATGTCAGTTATGGAAGTAAACACTCCGTTCCTTGGGCTTTGGATATTTTTTATATGCCTTTTTATATCCTCTGCACATGAAGGGGCCCCTACCGAAAAAAATATAAAAATATATTTGTATTCTCAACTATGTGCTTGCTATATGATAGATACCATCCTACATGCTGTTGTGTATGCAGTTAAGTATAAGCCTTTTTAAAAAATTGTTATTGTTGGTTAACGTCATGACAATCCAATACATAAATATTATTATGGATCTAACAAAACACTTCCAACAACTGCTTGATGACCATTGGACTTTCCTCAACGCTGGATGGCCAACAATTACACCACGTAATAATCATCGTACTGTAAGCAAGGAAATTGGGTATATGCCAGAAATAAAAGAAACCCTAAATCGACGCCTTGGTCCTATTCCAGTGTACTTCTTTCTTGTTGACATCTGGCCAAAGGTTAAGTATCCTGGTCCATACAAAGAAGTGGAGAAAGGTCTTTTAATGCTCTATCATCTTGTCAAAGGACTGTCTATGGAAGCAATGGAACCACACATGCCAAAAAGTAGTTTTCATGCAATGCACTCTGTGTTTTATAAGAAAGAATATACTTTGCACAACAAGTACATCACCAACTGTATTGCAACAATGTTCTCCACAATTAAAATACGCCTATTGTCTGCAAAGGAAAAGAATCCTCCATTATTTAAGCATGTTACATTGCATCTTGATGGTCATGATACAAGAGCAACATACAAAGGTGAGAGTAGTGCTGATATGTACTCTTACAAGCTGAAAAAGTCTGGATTACGCACACAGGTAGCAATGGATTGTAATGGCATGGCTTTATTTGTCTCCAAATCTGCATCTTGCAAGAACAATGCTGATGGAACAATGCTGCTTACGATGAAGTTGGACAAGAGAGTGCATGAGATGGATTGCATTGCTCTCGATGGAGGGTATCCACAGTTCTTAAGGAGGCTTATAGATGAGTCTGATATTCTTAGAGTCCAAAATTTCGCTCATCCATACCGTAAACAGAAGAACAAGGAACTTACACAGGAAGAAGCGTTATACAATACCACCTTTGGTAGTTTCCGCTCGCAGATGGAATCTCTGTTTGCAGACCTTGGTTCCACATTTGAGAAACACAACAATCGTACTCCTGTGTTGGTGGATAAGAAACAAACATATAATTTGCAGTTGAAGTTATCTTTGTTACTCTTAAACATGAAAAAGATGGTTGCTTTGTTGAAGATTTCTGCAGAACCAATTCATACAGCTTGGCTTCGCGAAGGATTCGAGTATCCGACAACAGAGAACGACGTTGAGCAACCAATGGGATATGTTGATGTTGGTGCGCTAGTGGAGGATGGAAATACAATGGCACAACTCCAGAACGAATTTCTTGGTATTAAACTTCATGGTGATGTTGATGTTGATGAGGACACACCAATGGATCAAGCAGTAATAATGCAACCCGGCCTTTCCATTGAGCTTAGAAGTACGAATCGACAAATGGATGTTAATGGTAATCTGTAGACTTATTGCAGGTTTTTAAAAGAATAGACATACATGGCCTATTTAGTCAGCTTTAAGATACGGTATTAACTGCCAAGACGCTAATATGCACCGGTATCTATTATTAAAAGCCATGGTATTATTGTAGTAGATCGGATGCTATTCTATGCTATTCTACAGCATTCCTTTTTATTTAACAAAGAGGATAAACACATGTACAAACCTACGTCATAAAATAATACTACATTCTTAACCATTTTTAAACCCCGTCTTTAATGCCAAGCAGTCTTAATAAGCAAGATCTACGTCATACGAGGAACACTACATTATTAACCACTTAGATGCCTTTTTAAAACTCTTTTGTTACTAAGCGCCAAGCAGTGCTAATAAGCAAGCGCTATTAATGTCCATTGTGGCAGTGTTCCTGAATTAGTATAAATAAAGGAGTCCACTTCCCTCTTGCTTAATCTTTATCTAGTAACCAACCAACAATTATCCATATCTATACAACCATCCATACCTATACAACCATCTTTTATTGCAATTCTTTATATCAGTGTACTAAGCAGCTGCAATCTACCACACATAAACTGAAAACTCATTCACACCCACCATACCACAAGTACAATCCATATTATTCATATCCAAAAACATGAAGTACGTTCAGCTTACAATCGAGCTCATCACCAAGGCCTTTGAGACATTCTCCTCTAAGAAGGGAGTGGAGTTTAACAAGAAAGATGCAAATAAGATCTTTAAGGCGCTTGATGAGGATGAGGAAGTAGAGAGATACTACTTTTGTGGAGAAAAGTGCACCAAGTCCAAGCGCAAATGCATGAAGGAAGTTGATGATGAAGGCATGCATTGTTATGTCCACGATCCTGCGCGCAAGTGTCAAGGCACAACTATTAAGGGTGCTAATTGTGGTAGTGTAGCCAAACTTGGTCAAACATACTGTGGACGTCATCAAGATCAAGATAGAGGTTATATAAAACGTAGTAACAACAACGCACCTGTCGACAAGCGTACCAAGTCTTCCAAGGCTTTAAAGAAGACACATACTTCTAAGTTTGTGTCTTCCGATGACGATATGACTTCCGAGGATGAAGAACCAAAGAAGCGAAAGAGAAACAAGCAGGAGTCATCGGATGAAGAGCCGTCCGATGATGATGATGAAGAAGATATAATTGCCGTCTCCTTTCCGTTGAGTCCAAAGGTAGTTGACATAACGTCCAAGAAAAATGTACCACTCGCTAATACATGTATATGGACGCGTTATGCAACTAATCCAGCTTTCCTGTATGCAAAAAGCTTTACTGTAAATGGCAAGTACATTATTAGGCTAAAGGAAAAGAATCTCTACATTGCATTGTGTCCACCTAAGCTCATGGGCAAGAATCTCCCTGCGCCAGAAATATCTGAGAAAGAGGCACGCATATTGGCCAAGATGGGTCTTCAAGAGGCAACTTCAGCAGATGTAGAAAAAATAGAAGAGTCTTCTGCTGATGAGAATTCTGACGATGATACAGATGATGGTGATACGTCTGATAATGCTGACTCTGACGATGATTCCTCTAAAGATAAAGACTCTGATGATGGCAAGTCCAATAACAGACCTGATGTAGAATCTGGAGATGATACCTCTAAGGATAACCCTGATGAAAAACTATCTCATAAAAAGCCATCTAAGGATGATGAGAAGAAGACTTCTCGAAAGAAAAGGCATTCAGAGATGCCCAAAAATGCAGAGCCATCTTCTAATGTAGATGTTTCTAAGGATGAAAAAGATGAACACACATTTGCACTGGCCACAACGGTGCGTAACATTAGATCAGAGAAAGACATACCACTTGCAAAGGATGGAGGATGGATGGTTCATCCTAATAACGACATGCTTGAGTATGCAACTAACTTTACGATGAAGGCTAAGTACATTGTCAAGCTATGTGGAAAGAATACATACGTTGGCCTGTTTACGCTTGATCATCTGCGTGGCGGTGGTGATGTTCCAGAGATGGATATCTTGGAACGCTCCATGCTTAGCAAGATGAAACTTCAAGAAATGTCTGATGAAGAGAGAAAGATGCTTTTCAACGAGGAGGTCGAAGTAGAAGAGGAACTACCAGTGGAAGGACCGACAGATATATCCAAGATGAAATGGAAAAGGTTTCACAAGCAGCAATTGGAGTATTCCAAGAATGTACTTGTAAATGGAAAGCACATTCTCAAGATCCGCAAGCAAAACATTGTAGTTGGCTTGGTGACTGATGACCACATTAGTGCAGAGAATGTCGACTATGATAATCTTAACCAAAAGGAAAAAGAAAAGATCTTCGCTATGGGCTTTAAGCCACAATGGTCTAAGGATAGGTCGACAGAGAAAGGTGAACCGGTAGAAAAAATAGATGATGAGGTGCAAGAGTCGAATATTAAGGAAACTTTAGATGAACTTGTAGAAAAAGTAGATGATGAGGTGCAAGAGTCGGATGTTAAGAAAACTCTAGAAGATGGTGGACCTATGGAAAGCGAAAATGTGAATGCCTCAAGTGTTTACACTACAAAAGACCATCATGATTTTCTGAAGGCAATGGGAGAAGTATATAGCAAAATAACAGCTATCGAAGAAGAACTCCGCGAGGAATACGTTTCGGCAGATGGTAATGCAGAAGAAAAAGAACTAATTTTTCACCTAGGTTTGTTGGAGAAAGATTATTCCAACTACGAAACATGGCACATGGATAAGTTTGGTTCCCGCGAACCACATTCCGATATATTATGTAAGTTTGCAAAAGAAGGATCTAACAACAGAAAAACCATAGTGCAAAGTGTATTAGATAGTATTCAAGCCAAAGAGAAAAGTACGATGGAAGAAAAGAAGCCTCTTGAAGTAACATTTGAGACCGCAGAAGAGTAGATCAAGAATTTTAAAAACTGTAGATATACCACTTGCACAAATAAAGCTTTTATATATGGAATACACATGTAATATTATCCTCGTCCCTTCCAATGAGATTCACCAGATATATTACCCATCTTTTTAAAAACTTCCACCATCCTTTGCACAATTTACAATATTTCTTTCTTGATCACAGTGGTGTTTATCCACAATCTACTTATATTTAACATTACGAAAATTACAATAACTATATCTAATATGTTCTACAATGCATGCACTCTTTATGACATTTATTTTTTCACCATTGGCATATTTACCAACGATCTGTATAGGAGGCCGCATATCAACAAATATTATAACAATCGTAACTTCCTACAAAGTATGTTACATCAAACATTATAAAAACCACGATAACTTCATCTGAGACGTTCCACAATGCATGCACCCTCACCATTATTGCATTACCCATATTTTTTTAAAACATTCACCTAGGAGGCCTTTCACGTCCAAGTTATCATATGGTGTTTGTTACATCTCTGTAGATCTCGACAATATCCATAGCGACTATGGGATGAGAATGTATATATGATACCAAGCATATAAGACAACCATTGTAACATTTTTTGTTTAACTATCCTACTAAACACCAACCTATTCTCCAAACAACAGTCTTCTTATTTTTCGCACACCACACTCTTGAATATGTCCATCTACTATTAACCTGTAACCCTCACTGCAAGATTCGCCAGAGTAGTTCTTGTATGTCATCATCTAAAGCACTTGTACTCTCAACTGTATCTTTGGGGCGAAATACAGGGGAGAGATTACATTTTAAAAAAACATGTGCTGTCTATTGCTATTTTATTCTGTGTTCTGTTGCCCACTATGAAGAGATATGTCAGTTATGGAAGTAAACACTCCGTTCCTTGGGCTTTGGATATTTTTTATATGCCTTTTTATATCCTCTGCACATGAAGGGGCCGCCAAGGCACTGAACCACTCTGTGCTGCCACCTTCGCCGCCTGATACGACAAAGAGTTGGTTCTTTTTTTTTTCGTACACAATTTTATTTCTCTAACAAACAGCATAGAGAAGTTATTTGGAAGTAAAAGGGGACTACAGACCAAACTCTTCAGTGCACCATCCGCCAGTCGCAGTCCGGTCCAGAACCTGGCTCTGCGCAACAATTGTCGCTGCTCTTCACAGCTTAAACGGAAGAAAATAAAACTAGATACGAATGAAGGGGATTCTTCCCATCCTCTCCATCATTGACAACCTCCTCCTTCCTAACAAACTCTCCGACAACCGCTCGTCAGCAGCGCGTGGGTCCTTGGTCGCCCCAGGGCACCTTCCTTCACAATGTGTGGCTAGCGAAGCGCCACACGGACAGAAACCATCGTGCGTGATGTAACCGTATCCTTGACTCCAATCACCTCGGGGGCCTGTATATTTGGATGTCTTATCCTTGGCAGAGATGCCCTGGCTTTGTTCCCATGCGATTGTCGCGGAGCACCGAGGTTTCCAGATCAGCTCCGAGGCCTGCGCCTCCAGGGTCTCGGAGCACCGAGGTTAAGAGTTGGTTTTTTTTTTTTTTTTTTTTTTTTTTAACTACCATTCATTTTGGTATTACAATTGGTGGCGTCTCCGTAAATATATTCATATTAGGAAAGTGCTATGCAAGCAAATAGTGAGTTTGTATGGTGTAGTTGGTTATCACGTCTGTCTAACACACAGACGGTCCTCGGTTCAAGTCCGAGTACAAACACTTTGTTTTGTTTTCTTTCTTGGGGTTAATAACCCGGGTTGTTGGTTTTATTCAACAACCGAACACATTTGCGTGCTAAGTCCATGTAAGCACTTTTTCATCTTTTTTTAATGATACCGTGGAAGATGACACCAAACAGTTGCAGTAGCGCTTGTTTTCGCCACTTCTTTATGGAGCACCACTCCCACGTTGTTCAAAGCGGTTGTTAAGATGCTTTTTATACGAAAATACCGTTTTTTTACGTGTATGGTGGTGATGAAGACAGAATTTTGGCTGGTGATGGCATTCGATGGTTGAAAGGGCTTTATTAATGATGTGGATGACAAAAAACGAAGACGCTGCCACAAAAAACATCGATGTATTGACTTTAAAGAAAAATAGGTTGTCCATGGACTTAGCATGCAAAACACGTTGGGTTGTTGAATAAAACGAACAACCCGGGTTGTCTAATAGACTAATCCTTCTTCTTGTCGCATTGCCCACTCTGTAACATGGAATAGCACGATAAGGTGCTGGAGGAAAGTTCAGAAACGAGTAGGGCATATAGGAAGCCCTGTATTTTCGCGTCAGAAGAAAGCATTATGCGGAATGAAAAAAAACCTGGTTGAGCGTTTTCTTTTTCGTGTTTCCTTTTTTTTTCTTGCTCTCTTTCCTTTTCACCTCTGCTAAAGAAGTTCATGCGCATTGTGTAATTAAAGCAAAGCATGTTGGAGTTACCAGCAGGTCTCTTTCCTTTTGTTCTCTCTCACACACACACACACCCTTATTTCTTTTCATTACGTCTGTTCCATCCCCTTCGTTTATCCACAAATTGCTACCCTATCATCGCAAGGTAAATTATTGATGTGTATGTATGTTACACTTGCCTCCGCAGTTTTTTTCGTCTGCCCTCTCTACCCTCTGGCTTTCATTGTTTTTTACAAAGTGATGAAGAGATCTCAGGGTCACAGAGGCATGGGTTAGTCTCGCGTCATTGCACGAAATTTGGCACGTATCTCGGATACCGGCCTTATGCCCGGCAATGATCTTGTCCCAATCGCATGCTTTGTGAGAGTATGGAACAATTGCGGCTGGCAAGACGAGGATAGCAACCATTTTGCTTAGTGTTTAATTTGGGGCTGTATACATGCTTACTTCGTGGACTCGCCATTAACAATTTTTTTCTTTCTTTCTCGCTTTCGCTCTTTGACTTGACTCTCGCCTTCATCCTCTGGTACCACGTCCTGCTTCAACACGCGACCCGCCTCCTAGAGCCAAGAGAGTCGGGCAAAAATATGCACACATGTCCTGGGTGCAGCGACTTTTTGAGGCATCCTCGCCAGCCCGCCCGACAAGGTCTATGCAGTGGAGAATAAAGCGATGTTTAAAGTGGAATAGGAAAATGGCTCTACAATACTGAAATCATTCATCGTTGTTCCTTCCTGGCCCTAGATTCTTGTCATTCATTCTCTTATTCATGACCTCATTCATCACCACTTGTCTTTTGTTGCATGAGCCGAAGTGACAGTGCAGTGCCGTAGACCGTGTCTTGTTTGCCTCCACTCTTCATGGTAACCGCAATGCCTCCCTCTCCTTGAACAATAAACAGCATCTTCTCGTAGTACTTTGTGTCGTGTTAGGTGATGTAGAAGAACAAATCTTATCGCATATTTTAACGTTGCTTTGGCCTTCGCTCCTTCGCACTTGGCTTCGCTCTCATTACCAACTCTCTGCATCACCATTTCATTCCCACCGCTTTCATTCCATCACACTGCAACAACAATCCCGGTACTGTAATGAACGACGCACAACAGAGATACCTTGAGGAGACGCCTGCAAAGAAATACTCCATCATTGATTGGGCTCTGCTGTCTGACTCGGTCGATGTTGACATGCTCGAATTGACTTGGACAAGAACCTTCCTTAAGCATCTCAAGAACTCACCGCAGCAAGACAAACTGGAGGCCTACAGACGACTGTCAAAGATGAGTGTTGAAGATAAGATGGCTTCGTTTTCACCGATGACCACAGATGTAAGTATCTCGAGTTTCAACGGTTCATCGTTCTAATTTCATCTGTTGGCAAAATATAACTTAGAGAAAGATGCGGAGTGATCTTTGACCGCTCGTAGCCCAGCACCAAATAATCGTAGCTCAGGATCAACTTGATCATGCCAAGGTGGAGGCATCACAGAGGAGAGCGTTTTCGTCTGCCAGAGAGAGCTCATTATTGGAAGATGTGCCTGCCAGACAACTTTCCAGAGGAGACTTACTTGATCGAGCTTGAAAAGAGGCTTTCGAACGCACTCGAAGGCAGAGCGAGGCTGACGGTTCAGCGACGGATGAAACTGGAATGGATGAACGGGGCGTTGACGTGGACAGACAAGATGCAGAAGTCGAACAGGATGCTAGAGTGTTCACCGCTAACGGTAAGTGTCATGAAGTCATTGTTTTCTTCCTGCACAGCAGCTAACAAAGAGAGAGCGAAAGAGGCACTCATACGCTGCTTCTTCTTTATTAGTTGCTTATGTCAAGAATGACAAGAAGCCAAGAAAAACGGCGACAGAGCCTTGGGGGAGCCTGGTGTTTTACCCTATTGACAATGTAAGCCGCTGAAAGAACGTGTTGCCTTGTATGTCTTCGTTACATTTGCTTATATGCTAACCTATATTGCATTGTGGATGAACGAGAAGGCGAAACCTAGAATCTTGGGCATTCTCGGCCACAGACTGTTGTGCGGGCTTGTCAACGAACCACTTGCCCTTGTATCAGCATTCAGTGGAGAAGCTCAACGCCTATAGTGTTCAAGAACGCAAAGCGAAGGACATTCTCTTGCTCAAGCAAGTTCAATATGATTGCTGTGGACATGTTCTGGCTTTTGTTTTGGTTGAAATTTGAGCAATGAACCTCACTATAGCTTGTTGCATCTTGATAGGGAGTCAATGTCATGCTGTCTGAACATAATGTCAAAGCGAACATGCGCCAACTTTCAAGAGATGGGCCAAGGTCCGCTAATCGATACAGCCAAGGAATCCGCAGCAATTTCCAGCTTTGATGATCATTTATACAACTCTATCTTGGAAAAGTGCCTGCCGAGGCTGAAAACTGAGCAGAATGTGGGAAAGGACAGGAAGTCCCTTGTCGTGGAACGTGACAAACTGAACGAACCGCCAGTTGACCTTGATGCTTTGCCTGAAGAACTAGAAATCGAGGATAAAATGTTGGACATCATGATTAAGCTGTATGTATCCAATGACATCTCTTCCTCTTTTTCTTGGCCTTTTCTCCTTTGTCTTTTTTTTTTTGTTTTTTGGATTAATCTATTCTCACAGGGCTGTGTGGCCTTATTCTCACAGGGTAATATCACATCCATCAATGTAAAGTCCAAAAACGCAATATGAAGTAGCCCTTTCACTTTAGATACCTATTGTGCCTCATAAAGAGGTGCATCGATTGGTATAAGAATGGACATGATTGGGGTTCTGGTTCAATGAAATATTGGCATCAAAGTCTTTGTCAATTATAGGACCATTAGATGGTCAAAAAAGTTAAATTTGGTCGAAGAAAGCAGGAGTATGAAGGTGGTAGGCCATGGCAACAATAGTTAGGATGGCTTCAGAGAGTCTTGAAGTGATTGCGAGCAGTTTGAGAAAAAAAAGTAGAGAAACTGTTTTTGCACAAAGACCATGTCACCTTCTTCATGCTAAGCCCATGTAAATTTTTAGGACCCTGTGAGAATAAGACTTCACAGGGCTGTGAGAATAATTTCATCCAAAAAAAAAAAAAACTACGATCTACTAAGATTAAGCCCATTGTTCTATAGATTTGTTCGAAAGAACAACATCTCTCTCTTTTTCTTTTTTTTCGTTCTTGGTGCATTTTAAGGGCCTTTCATCAAGAGAGATGGCGGTCAAGATGGTTCGATAGAGTAGACAGGCAGAGCAAGTCAGCGCCGTGGGGTTTGCTTGCGTGGACTCAAGAGAACGAGTCCCTTCCCTCTCTCTCTCTCTCTCTCTCTCTCTCTCTCTCTCTCTCTCTCTCACACACACAAAAAAAAAAGAGGCTGGAGAAAAAAAAAAAAGGCGTGCCCCAGTCAGGTAAATCAAGTCTGTGCTATCCTCGTATCATCTGTGCTATCCTCGTATCATGTTCAGTCCCTCTCTTCAATCATCCTTCCAATCCACATTCACTTGCATCAAAAAAACCGAAAAACCCTAACATCCCATCCCATTACCCATTCATTCTATCGCAACCAAATCCATCCCCCATCCGTCCAATCAGCAGATCATGCCCAATTTCATACTATCCTTTTGAGGCTACATCTCCTTCGAGGGTACATGATCTTGTATATTGGGAGGTGAAGGAGAGCAAGCATGCTGAGCAAAACAAATTTATTGATATAAAGAAAGAGAGTTTTAGCAGTGTTTAAAAAGTGTTATTGAAGGAAGAGCGAGAGAGAAGGACAACGGGATGTGAGCACAGCGCCTTAGGTACCGCACTCCCTGGGAGTACCGATACACTCAACAGCCAAGCAATCACACCATTGGCTACAGACAGAGTTGTACACGCGATAACCGAGGTGTCCTGTGTAAGTACTGCAATTATATCCGTAATGTCGGAAACATCCATCTGTCATCACGTTGTCGCCATTGAAATCCATCTCGTATCGGAACCTGACAGCCTGCGGGACTGTCATGTTGGCGGGGAAACTCTCACCAGCATCCCAGCAGTCCCAATAAGACTAAGGATTGGTATTAAATGCATGTCTCACAGCTCTGGCAAGCCTAAACCAGTCCTCGTCGGGCGATGCGAAGATTATTGCTGTAACGTTGCCTACTGGGAAATAATAACCAGGGTGTTATTGACAAGGTATAGAGAAAGTGGAATAATGAAACAAAGAGAGGATCTGTTTAATTCAGGGACGAAGAGTCCTTAAGTGCTCTTCGTCCCCTATGTACACGTGATTATAGCTCACCTGCAGTTCCAGAAAAGAGTGGGGGGTCTCCTCGATTTTGGAAGTCCAATACGATGGCTGTCTGAAGTTCGTCGGGTCTGTTTTCTTGGATGAATCTTACGACGCGAACAGGTGTTGGCACGTATATATTTACAAGAATGAAATCCAGTGTGATAGTCTTGTTGTGATGTAAAAGGTTGAGATAGGGAACCCTTTCTTCCCAAGCAGTCGCTTTTTATATCTCAACATTGCTCCTTTTTCTCCTTCGCTTGCACTTTATCCACGCACCAATCAATCAGAGACGGGTGTTCAATGGCTGTTAATTACCAACGCTAACACTTTTGAAAAAAAAGCGTGGTAACTCTGGAGAACCGTGCACCATTTGCGGAAACAAAACAAAATTGATCGATTAAACGGACCTCCCGGGTAGTGTTTCTCAAGAACATAGTGCATTCGCATTCGCATTATGTAAAATCAATGGAAACCCCTTTATTTGCATTCGCATTTGAAAAACACTACGAGTCCCCGGGCACAGGTTCATGCAAGTGATCACTGCTATGTCTTTGTGAAAATGAGGGGGTTTAAAAATGTTGACTCGGGATTGCCTATTGTTTTCTCCATATGCAAGTAACGGTTTGTTAAAAAAAGGATAAACTCCATTTGCGCTGAAAGTCGACAGAGTGTAGTAGAAGTAACCAAAAACACAAAAATACAAGGACACAAAAGCTGAACCTTAATGCGTGAGAATGTATACAAAAACGACAAAGGATACTGATGATTAATAACAGTAAAGCCGATAAAAAGAACCTAACAGGCGCGACTCTTATCAAAATAACTATAGTTTCCCTCGTAGATACGCTTGCCTATGTGATTGCAAAATGGATGTTATGCTCCCCAAAGTCACGTGCATATGCGCACAACAGGCGCTCAAGTGGTCACCTGTCAGTCTGTTCCACCCATTCCACCCTTCCTTGCGAGCAATATTAGCACCTAAAATCGTCCATCGCTCTCACACACCAAGCTAATTCGCACAAACATAGTCATGCATTAGCGGCCTTTCCCAGTGGACCTTATACAGTTTGTACCCATGCATGATTATTTACAGGATTTCAAGAGGGTGAAGGTCCTTGTTATTGCTGGAAACTAAATCAACACAAGCGTAAAGAGCGATTGCTTTCGATGAATCTTGTCAGTTTGCGGTATTTTTTAGAATTGTGCACGGTCCTCCTGGGAGAGATACCCCTGGGAGTCGCCGGCAGAGTCGACTGATACTTCTATAGTAAGTAGCCTAGACCTTCTGGGAGAAATGTGCTACAGTGCTCCAATCAATTGATCAATAAAAACGTGATTTCGACGTTTCTTTTGAAATGCTCATTCATCAATGTTCTAAGCAACCCCCAGATTCCTATCATTCATTCTCTTCATTCGTAACCTCATTCATCACCACTTCTCTTTTTTTGCACGAACCGACATCGGATCATCGCTGGAATTGAAATGCTTGATCTTGGTTGAGCAATTAATTGGGTCGCATACATACAGTGGCGAATGATTTCCATGTAAAATTTTACATGGGTTTAGCACAGAGCAAACTGTTTTTTTGAATACTACTATGTCAATGCACTTTCTTCAGGCAAACTGAAAGCAGTTCCATACAAAGTATATGGAATGTGATCTAGAAAATAGGTATGCACAAAGCGTTTATATCATTTACAGAAGGTATCGTTGTGTTTTGTTTTGTTACATGGATCTAGCACGATTTCACATTTTGTCATGATATTGCAATCTATTGAGAATAGCTGGCTTCGTACATCAAAGAACTTTAGATCGCACTTAATGTGCTCTACATGGAACTGCTTTCAGTTTGCCTGAAGAAAGTGCATTGACATAGTAGCATTCCAATAACAGTTTGTTCTGTGCTAAACCCATGTAAAATTTTACATGGAAATCATTCGCCACTACATGCGATCCAATTAATTGATCAACCAAGATCAAGCATTTCAATTCCAGCGATGATCCGATGTCGGTCCATGCAAAAAGAAGCAAGTTGTAATGAATGAGGCTACGAATCGAGAGAATGAATGACAGGAATCTGGGGGCCGGTCGGAACATTGATGAATGAGCATTTCAAAAAAAAAAGTCCAAATCGCAGAAAGATGAATCACTTTTTTGGAGCACTTTATCTTAGGTGCCATTAGGAGAATATGCGACAGTGGCTATCCTGACAAAATTGTTAAGTTGGCAATTTTGCTCTGACTAGTCATGGCCAAATTGAATTGATTAGGTGGGCTTTTATATGTGAGAATAACTGTAAATGGACCCCAGCTGTATTGAACAGAAGAGTCCCAATCTCGCGAATCTAAATCTACAAGAGCATGTTCCTTCTCGAACATTCGATATCAAGTCAAGTTGATGGCAGCTTGACATACTAATCATGACCGACATAATGTGCAGACCTCAGTGGGGAAGCCCGCACCTTACCGCACACTCTTCCATGATCACGGCAAACGAGGTCGGGATGTTATCCCGAAACCTGGCGATCCGCTTCGCGTCCAGCACCTCCAGGTCGCTCCCCATCGCCGTGATGAGCATATCGTCGGGCATGTTGGAGAAGAAGTTGCGCGCGATCTGTGTGCGCCCGGGGTCCGAGCTGTCAAACGCGGCCGCGAACAGCGCGGGCTCGCACGTCGGATTGAACTGGAAGTGCGTCTCACCCTGCGGGAAGAGCATGCCCGTGTAATTGGAAAGCGTGACGTTGACCTGCGGGACAGGCCCGTTGACTGGCGCCGGCTGGCCGACGACGTGGCCGCTGCCGCCGTCATTGAGCTCGAGGACCAGCCCGGCGACGAGCTTGCCCTGGATGACAGTGAGGAACTCGTTGGCGCGCGGGTGCGAGTGCGGCACGTTGAGCCCGCACGGGTTAACGAAGCCGACGGCCATGGCGACCTCGGTACCGATGAGGGCGGGAAAGTTGTTGACGGTCGAGAGCGCGATGGTGCCGCCCGTGCCGTCGGTGACGGTGTTGTTGATGAAAGTGAAGGTGATATTGGTAGCGTCCGGCGGTTCGGTGAAGAGGATCGCCTGGCGGTCATTGTAGCTCGCGGCCCCGGTCAAGGCCGCCTTGAGGGCGGGGGAGGCGTTGGTGTTGCTGTTGAAGCCGCTGGGGGAGGGGTCGGACTGGTGGCGGGCGAGGGGCGAGGCGGCGGCGACGGCAATGAGGGTGACTACGTGAGCCACGGAGAGAAAGTTGACCATAATGGTGGTTGGTTGCTTGTTAAAAGTGTCGAAAGTGGTGAGGAGGTATGAGATGTGCTGATGTTGGTGAGATAATGTGGGAAGAGATGAATCTTAAGGAGATGAGCATGCTCTTATATACCTCGCGAATGGTAACCTGGCCGGAGTACAAGTACATTCTTCACAAAATACATAACTACTCCTTGTGGGAGCATGGTTGATCCGCATGCACTCGACAGCCCGACCATAGTCTTTCCTCCCCGCGCCAATCGACCAGCGATGCATATATATCGAGCTCAAACCCTGACTATCGAATTACGGCCATACACAGCTGAAAGCACCGCATTCCGTCCGATCTGCGCAGTTAACCAGCGGATAGCGCCAATTTCCATCCAATCAGAAACGTTAGTCAGTACTTTGGTGGGGGACCACATTGGAATACTCCGTGCTGTAATTTTTCTTTCTTTTTGGTCGTGCTGTTGGCTTAAGGGGCGGATTCCACTGGCCCGCTCTGCCCATGCCTCGCATCCCAACCACTCCGTTCTTATTCTTCATCAACACACTCAATCTAGTAGCGATATCATCCACACCATACTTCGCGAAATCACCAAAACCATAGCACAAAATAACTCTATCAAGGCTGTTTAAGCCACAATAAATCCTCTCTTTTCCCTCAAAAAAAAAAAAAAACCCAACCACTCGGCAAAACCGGGGGAAAAAAAATTAACCACTTGGCCACGCCACTCTACTATAGAGAACACTTGAAGACAAGATAACCAAAACACCGCTAGGGAGGCCATCCATATCCCGCTCCTCCAACCACAGACTACTGTATAATAATATCTGTCAACATCTTTTTAAACAGCATGTTATGTGAGATATATTGTACTCTCACATAACATGCTGTTTAAAAAGATGTTGACAGATATTATTATACAGTAGTCTGTGGTTGGAGGAGCGGGATATGGATGGCCTCCTAGGTCATCTCGCGCAATGGGTTGATCGTTATCATGGACACATGCCATGGAGACTCGCGCTGCTTGGGCGTGCAGTTGAGGGGGATCTTAGTCTTTCGCAACTTTTGTCCAAGGGTCAGTTTTTCGTTTGCTAGGCAGCGGCGACTCTGACAATTCCAACATTATATATGTGATAATTTTCCAACTTCCCTGCTCGGATCCTCAACTACGAGTCCACAACTGCAATCAAAACTTGTCCTTACAAATGGAACTCTCATCATTTAACCCACGAAGCTTCTAGCCAGTGTCTCCATCCATTCTCTTGCGTCTCGCCGTTCTCCCTCCCACCTGTCGATGCTCTCCCCCATCCCGCGGCTTCGCAAAGCCCTTGCACTGAACTAATGCACTCGGCTGCTTTCCACCTCACAAACTGCGCACTGTAATAAAAAGTGCGCGCTGGTGAAACACTGCATTCTACAGCCCTCCACAGCCCACCACAGCTCTCCACAGCTCTTTACTGCACTCCACTGCCCTCCACTGCTCTTCCACGACCCTCTCTTGTGTGCCCCTGACTACTCTCTCTTGTGTGCCCCTAACTTCTCCCCTGCGTGCCTCTGACTTCTCTCTTGTGTGCCCCTGATCCCCCTTTCTTGTGTGCGCCCCTCCACTGCCCTCCACTGCTCTCCCACGACCCTCTCTTGTGTGCCCCTAAGCCCCCTCTCTTGTGTGCGCCCCTCTACTGCCCTCCACTGCTCTCCACTGCTCTCCCACGACCCTCTCTTGTGTGCGCCCCTTTACTGCCCTCCACTGCCCTCCACTGCCCTCCACTTCACTCCCATGATCCTCTCTTGTGTTCTCCTGCCCCCTTCCTCCAGTGCTCTCCCACGATCCCCTTTTGTGTACCCTTGACCTCCCTCTCTTGTGTGCCCCCTCCACTGCCCTGCCCTGCCCTTCCACGACCCCCCCGACCCCCCGACCCCCCATACTCACGCCTGTACTAACACTGAACTCACATAACACGAACGCCCGTTCTAACTGTCGCTCTCTCTCTCCTCCAGCCTGTCGCTGCCCACCCTCCAGCCTGCCGCTGTCGACCCTTCGACTTGTCGCTGATTCCCCTCATTTACTGTCCTAACAACTATCCTAACAACTGTCCTAACAACTGTACTTACGCTGAATTAACACTGTTCTAATGCTTGTCTAACATTATCCTGCTGTCGGTCTCTCCCTCCAGCCCATCGCTGTTCCTTCTCCCTCACACCGTTCTCACACCTATACTAACGCTGAACTAACAAATATTGTTAGAACACAGTTGTTTGTTCAAGTTAAGGACGAGGAAGATAAGCAGCAATAGGCAAGAGGGACTCTATTGTGTACGTGCACAAGATGTTTAGCATCTACTAGTCGCAGTAGGTGCATGTGTGGTGATTTGGAGTGGCTTAGCTTCTGGTGGCCATTTCGCTATTTTACGCGCTCGCCTGCGAGTGTCTGGAAAAGCACCTTTCTTCCACGATACGAGCAGGTAGGCACTATGCCCTTTGACCATTGGTAGCAATAGTAGTTTCTAGCCTTTGGAGAATAGTTATTGACATAAAACACCTTTCTTCCACGATACGAGCAGGTCTTGAGAGTTACTGTCTTTATTCGCGATATTGAGAGGGAGCACATACACATACACACACACAAACACACACACACATATATATATATACATACATCCTTTTCCTCGTCTGCCGCTATTCGAGTTATGCCCGTTGACCCCGAAGATACTCCTTTGGATACAGGAGTTGCCGAGAGAAACTCCACTCTCACTTCTCCCTCTCCTTCGACAAGTGACCCTGTTCAACCGGGCACTGACGCCAACGACTCGGCCAGCCAAGGGCAACTCCCTCCAAGACCCCCACACATGTTTACTCACGTGCTAAGAGGGTGACTTAAGATAGACTACGAAGCGTAGAATTGAAATTTTTTGAAACCTGTGGATGTCCAAACCTTATTTTCATATGTATGTCCAAGTTTTGCGGACTTATGTCCGGACATGACATTTCACTTCGTAGTCCATTGGATTGCACAAAACTTCAGGCCAATTGGGTTCGTAGTCCTTCCAACTAGAACCTCCGCACTAAAACCATGCGTTTGACGCAGGCCAAATTTCGTCATTTTGATGATTCGAGTGGAAATGGAATGCTTGTTCATGGATGCTAATGACCCCTTGTTAATGACTCATTCATTGCTACATTCTGCCCACACTTGACCTGTCAGAGAACTGTACGTTGTCTTGGCACTTGGGAAGCATGTCATTGGCGTTGGTTTTCATGTTTTATTGTCTCATTTTCGCCTACGACTCCATTCTTTCTAGGAAAATAGTAAATATAAAACAAATATGGTATTTATTGTCCTCACTACCCTTTGTCCTCCCTATCCTTCCTTAACCCTCGGTCGTTGCTGCTGCCTTATCGCTCTCAGCCTTGAGGAGTTCTCTCACAGCATTGATGCTCATGCCTGTATAATCCTTGCAAGCAAGGATCGAGTCAATGGTTTTGTCTTCGCTTGCCGCCTTTTCTCTAATTAGCTCTATGAGTTCTGCCCTGCGCCTGTACTGTATCTTCTGATTCTCCCCCCAAGCCTTGTACGAATCAGCATATGCACGAGCAAGAGGCCCATGGTACTCATCCCAAGCGTTCCTGAGCGTCCATGCACCTTTGTCTGCGTGCATTATATAATTGAATGGCGCTTGTTGCTGTTGTTCTTGTTGTTGATATGGAGCATGATGGTGAAGAGGTTGAGGATGGAAATGAGGACGTTGAGGATGTTGAAGATACTGAGGATGTTGAGGATGTTGAAGATGGAAACCAAGGTGTTGAGAAGGTTGAGAATAGAAGTCAGGGTGCTGAGAAGATGGGTGATGGAAGCGAGGTTGCTGAGGATGCTGGATAAGCATCTGTTGTCGCATCTCCTTGAATTCCTTGACCAATTGGGCGTACTGTGCCATCTGTACCCCCATTGCTTGTGTATGTCGCTCATGTTGCTGTTGAAGTTGTTGCTGGTACTTGGCTTCCATGGCAGCTAGAGTCCTGTTGAGAACGGTCTGTTGTGAGGCAGATCGGTTGATGGCCTCAATAATATCTGCGCCATCAACATGGATACCAGCAGCAATGGCACCAGAGGTTTCCCGATGTTGCTCAATAGCTTGAAGAAGCTCCTTTGAATAATCCAGGAACAGTTGGCTCTGGAAGATCTCAGGCAGCTTCTCAATCAAACTGTTCGAAAGGGTCCTGCCAGTTCCAGGTACAGGCTGCAGGCAAAGAACGGTGTCTTGGATGATGACCCGCCGCATGCGCACCATAAGCTTCAAGAATGCAACCTTGTCGGTGTGCGCACTTTGCTCGAGCCCTGACTGTGCTGCTGGGATATCGGGTTTGGCCTCAAAGAAAACATCATCTTCACGGACTTCGTCTGGGTCGTACCCTGTCATCTCCTCCATGCAAGTCTTGTGCCAGGCCTCAACAACACTGTCATCATGTCCATCAAAAACTTGCTCGATCCAGCCAAACAGCATGGCTTGCAGCTCTGGAGGTGGTGGGACGAGGTCACGCTCAAGGATATAGGGGCTCATCAGTGCCATTAAAGTGCGCCATAAAATATGCACCTTTGATAGGGTTCTTGGGAGCATAGAAACTCATCATCTGGTTCATCACCCATCGCCTGAGATGTTGGATATCCTGGATGCCAAGTCCTAGCTTGAACGCCTCCTTGGTACCTGCATGTCGACCGGCGTGGGTGAGCCTTACTGAAAAGACCTCACAGGCACGCATCACAGCGGCAGTTGCCTGTTGTTGTGCTCTGCTTGTGAGAGCGTCAATGTGTGCCTTGTCCTGCTTGTCCTGAGCAAGCTCATGCTCTAGCTCTGCCTCGATTTGCGCGGCACTGTTGGTGACGGAGCTGAGGTCAGGATCAGGCACAGATGGGACATCACTGCCAACAAGGACCTTGATGTCCTTCCACTTGTCTACATCTGAGAAGTCGGGAGGGCTTTCCTTGTTAATCTAGTATGGAAAAAAAGAGGAGAAATAAAGTCAGTTAAACTTGGGTGCATTTCACAGCAAGTAGCCAGTAAACAAATATTTAACATACCATGAACCGCTCGAGCATGTAAAATGCAAATGCTCCCACAGTACAGCGACGAAAGTCCTTGTGGCGGAAGGTATGGCGTAGAGCATGGCGCCCTTCTTGTTTGTTTTGCCACGTCGTAGACAGAACGTGAGTCCACAGGCCCACGTCGATCCATGGGCGTTCTTGCGGTTGAGCGTTGCAAAGACATCAGACAGATTGAGGTTCCGGATGTCCTCATCTCTGAGGAGCATATGGTGCCGAGCCAGAATGCAGAGACGCTCACGGATGTGGGGGAACCGGGTGATGCACTTGTATTTGCGGACTCCTTTGGTTCGGTGTACAGGTTGTTTTTGCCAGGTATACGTTGCCGTACGTACCAGCTTGTTGCCTTATAAAAGAAGGGAGATATGACAGGTTGCTGTGAAAAGGTAGGGCATGCTTTCATGGTGTTTAGTTGTCATTACCGTCATATGTGTCGCGTGTGTCACAAGCTGTGTTCCTTGTTGTTCCAGTTGTAGCCTTGTCATAGACGAGACGAACGCCATAGGCGTTGATGGCATCATCCAAAGGTCCATCGGTACGTGGGTTAGGCGCAGGATTTGGGCACAAGGTGGTCCTTTGGTTTTGAAGCTTCCAGAGATAAATACAAGCTTTGCGGTAGTTATCAACAGTTCCCAGAGACAAAGGTACCATGATCGCAATACGACCATGTTTATCAGGTACAAGACCAGAAAAGACTAGTAATAATTGAAAGGTCAAACAGATATCAATGTCATTATCTCCCTCATAACATCAATTGAGACCGAAAATTATACATACCTTTCATCTTGTCTGCCTCAGTCTCGATTATGAGGGGTTCTGCAGGAGCTTCTGTTCCAGTGGCATGCTCCAGCCCCTGTTGGTCTCCAGACTCAAAGTCCTCACCTTCCAGAACAAGGCCAGTCTCATCCTCACCTTCCACCATTGCATGCAGTGCTTGTAGTTCTTCTTGGGAAGTGATTTCGACTGAGTTGTTGTCATCCTCTCGGTTATTGCCTACGAAGATTTCCATGTCGACATCTACAACCTCATCCAGGATGTAGTGTGTGTCAGTCGATAAAAGGCACAGAGTGCAGATGTGCATGTACATCTTCAAAGCCATGCATTGCGAAAAGAAACTTATGGAGACCCCGAAAACCGGGAGGTCTTGTGATTGCATTCCTTTCAGTCGTTTCAGTAGGACATTTGACTCGAAGTTCTCATCAATAGGAGCATCGATTGTTGATGGAGGGACTGGTAGATCCAAAAAGAGGAGATTTGGCCGCGACTCTACCGCTTCCATGACGCCATGCCGCAAGACCTTCGGTAAACCGCGCAATCCTGTTGTAGTAACTGGGAATGACTGTTGACCTTGCACATAGCCGCTGAGAAACTCTGTGTGCTTTGATCCTGGTGCAAAGAACTTGTTTGTGACCCTTTTGATGGCAACACAAAGGCCACCTAGTTGAATGAAACGAAGGCAAGGTATGAGATACTGGAGTTCACAATGGGACGCAAACAAAGGGCAATGCCATATGTCATGGCGCTTACCAGATAGCGGCGTTCCCGGGTGTGATTCATCCGAAAGATAGCCAGGGAGCGGAGTGGAAGCTCGAGCAGGGACAGGTGCATGGACTATGCCAGTGTAATCGGATGAGTGACGAAAGGTCTGTACGATGGACAAGCTCATGCGCTAGGTATGAATGAGAACACGCGTTTGCATTACCAGGGGGAGGTCGCTGGACGATGACGTGGATAGTTTTTTTAGGCGGCTAGTCTGGAAAGACATTAGAGACATCATCGGTCGGGTCGAGTTCATTTGGGGAATCAATTTCGCTCAAGAGAACGGGCATATGTATGTCTGCTGAACAACGGGGATCGAGACGACTGTTTGCAACAATGTTGTCAAAATCAGGACTCTGCTCGACCTTGATGAGCTTCTTACGCTTTCCCACAGACTCAAGGGATGGGATAGAGACAGGGAAGTCAGGTGGTTCTCGGTTATGGTGTTGCGAAGCATCAAAAGATAAAGGTGAGAGATGTAAAGGTGTAGTGAAAGAAAAAGAAAAAGTAAAAATGGATGCATTAAGAATGCAGGGGGATGAAAGAGAAAACAAGGGCGTAAGAATTGGCGTGGGAGTGGAAAATGACGGCAAAGAATAATATAGGCGAAGGGGTTGGGCAAGACATCCATTATTCCCTAAATTTCAAGGGAAGGAAGAATTGCATCGCTCCCACCATCCTTTTCTCATCACTTCTGTTTCATCAACTCACATGTCAGTACCATGATGTCACCTCTCTTCATCGCCTTGCTACGCAATTTATCCTTCTTATCCGTCACGCACTTGCCGCAAAGGTAATAATGCCTTCTGTGTCTTTCTTATCTTGCAAGAACACATTGCCATGAGTGGCCCGCTTCTTTTACTCCAATGGATACAGGGGACACCACCTAGGCTCTGCTGAGTGCTGGAGTGATCACGAAGGTACTTGCTTTTGTGTTCAAGTGTACACCTTGCACGGTTTTGAAGCTGAATCACATTGTCATAAGTAGCCCGCTTCCTTAACTCCAGCAGATGCACCGGATATACTTCTGGGATCTATCGACTACCAAAGTGGTTACAGCAATTATGGTCATCAGATAGGTGCTCTATTGGGTGTATTGTGACAGTCTGCTTGACACTATTCCTATGGCAGCATTTCGTTAATTAATCCTTTTGCGGCTCTGCATCGTACAGAGGTGACATCTTCAGCTACTGCCATGGTTTGGCCTCACCATCGGCATTTAATTAACGACGCGATTACATTTGAAGTTTTTTATTGCAATAAAGAATGAAGGAGAGAAAGTACAACGACACCAAAGTCACAGCACTCATGGCGGCTAGATACTCTTCAAATCGCGAGAAATAGAGAAGTACATTAGTATATGTTCTAACAGGCCTTGCATCCTTTTGGCAATCAGACAACTGCACATACTTAGTTTTGTTCAAAGAGACGCTTACGAAAAGAGATTGGATGGACCAACCTTTCCGACCCATTAGCCTCCTTACCGGCCCTTGTGATCCAGGCTATAATTGCGTCCACAGCTATCGAGCCGGCCGGATCGACGCTGTAATCTGAAAGACCAGCTGAGTTCGGTTATTGGTAACCAGATCCTGGAGCCAAAGTGTCACCGTCGATTGTGGAGTCGTGTGCATACCTATAGCTTTCCAAAATGCAAGTAAATAGAGCAGACAGAGCAGGCGTCGCATGTTTCAAGCCCACTCCGCCTTCGGTCCGCAACAGTGGATGAGGCCTCTCCAACTTTGTCCAACGACAAGCATTGGCCATGGGAGACAGAGATAGAAGGTGCAGTTGAATATACCCTCGTCGCACTCGTGTTGTAAACCACCTTGATGCAATGCACTGCCAAAAGAAAACAGCGTAAAAAAAAAAAAAAAGCAGGCGTTGCATGTTTCAAGTCCACTGTCCGCCTTTGGTCCGCAACAGTGGATGTGGCCTCTCCAACTTTGTCCAACGACAAGCATTGGCCATGGGAGACAGAGATAGAAGGTGCAGTTGAATGTACCCTCGTCGCACTCGTGTTGTAAACCACCTTGATGCAATGCACTGCCAAAAGAAAACCAGTGTAGAAAAAAAAGGAAAAGAAAAGCAAGTGTTGCATGTTTCAAGCCCACTGTCCGCCTTCGGTCCGCAACAGTGGATGTGGCCTCTCCAACTTTGTCCAACGACAAGCATTGGCCATGGGAGACAGAGATAGAAGGTGCAGTTGAATGTACCCTCGTCGCACTCGTGTTGTAAACCACCTTGATGCAACGCACCGCCAAACGAAAGAAAGTAACAATCAACCAGGAGAACTTACGTAATGCTATCCGCCTTGGGTCCTTGACATATTTCAGCGAGGGAGGAAGAAAGAGTAGTTGCAAAACAACAGGATGTCTCCATGCCCCCACGTAGGGACTGGTTCCAGGACAATGGGCGCATCAACTACGTCACCGAAGTGACAAGTCGTACGCCAAACGCAAACTACGTCACCGAAGTGAGTAGTCGTGCGTTCTCCCGAACCCAAACTCGATCATATGTATTTGCTTATACACAAATGATCTAAATAGAAAACTACACTGATACTCTCCTGAATTGACTGGAATCCGTTCCCTCGTCAGTCGCCTTTCGTTTGACCCCTTTGCCCTTGTGCCCACCAGCACCAGACCCCCCAGGGCGGGGCCTGAAACTCTGTTTCTCTTCCCAGGGATAATTGCCATCAATGTCCTTGGGCTGGAGGTAGCGCGGTCGCTCTTGCTTGAGGAGGTGGCCACGAATGACATTACAGATATTGTGACCGGCCATCACGTCTCGATGCATGTACTTTTTGCACTCTGAATAGTACAGGCGCCGGAGATCCACTTGGCCAACGAACTCTCCACAAGTTGGGCACTTCTTTGAAGTGTAATACTCGTTTACACCGACAACAATGTATCCAAGCGATCGTGCCTAATAGAGAAAAGAACAAAATATAACATAGTTAGTCTCCGCATGCTGCATTTCCCAACGATAACAGAAGGCGAAGAGTAATAGTTCAGCGTACTTACTTTTTGAATAAAGTACGACTCAAAAGACTCGTGCAGCGACAAGAGCCTGATCCTGGAAGAGAACTGCCCCAGGCCAACTCCAATGACGATCTTGTTGCTCTCCTTTCTCTTGGCTCCCAATGATCCTCCAACCATCTCGAGCAAACGATTGGCAATCAGACGGTACTCCTCGTCGCGAGCCTTCCTGGCGTTCCACCGATGCTTCTTCAAGACAACACTACCATAAAAGGAACCCAGCTGGGCCTCCACCTCCTGCATCCTTGTTGTGTACTCGGCAATACTCGCATCAGGACCAAAGCGAGCGGGCAGACTGGTCTCAATCTGGCAGATGGATCCTCCCCCCTCGAGCGGCTGTGCCTTTCTCTGCTCTAACCAACGCCGGTGCTTGAGGGTAGGTTGATACACCGCTTTCTGCTTGACTGCGAGGTTGAAATACTTTGTCGTAGGTTGCTTGACCAATGGATCCTTCTGGGCTCCCTCTGGACCTCCTTCCGCGTCAAGGTGCTTGTTGCGAGAGGGTAATAAAGCGCTTGCTCCCACCACAAACGCCTGTCCCAAGTCGATACCGAGAATCTTGATTCTTTTCGGATCACATCCCCAGAGGTCGACAACGTCCTGCGGGGTAGACACCACGTTCCGAATCTCCGTCAGAAAGTAGTCCGTGCCGGCAACAGTGGAAGTGAGACGATTCGGGAGTCGATCCGCCGGTAACTGTCGGTACTTGACGGAATGCAGCTCGTTCATTTTGAAGGCGATGAGCTGGAGACGGAAACCATCAGTCCGAATGGATCCATGGAGGACATAGCCCTTGTCCGTGTATGATGTGGGCTGGAAGTCAGCATGTCGGATTTGTTGTATGTGTCGTCTTGTATCTTCAAGAGGCATCAGGCGAGTCGACCGGGAGTAGCTCCGCAGCTTTTTCCGTTCCACCTCCGAGTATCCCCCAATGTCAGTGAGTAACTTCGTGATAAGGCAACCGGGTACTGCTCTAGAGAGCCACATTCCGACATCAGTCTGAGACACTTGGTCGGCGTATTCGATACTTGGAAAGTCGGGCCATGCGTAGGATTGAAGCACTGTCTTTAACATCGGATCCCGCCAAAAGATCCTTGTAAGTTCCAACTCGGAGACAGTGATAAACTTGTTTTCAAAAGACGACATCGGCACTAATGAACGGGGGCAGCCGCATACCCTGTTCAAAAGGACGAAATTCTCAAATGCAGTGATGTCGGGATCGACGCAATCCCTTGCTTCGAGTGGCAGGAGCTTCTTCGTCTTGAGGAGGGCAATCTTTTTTTATAGAAAAAACGGAAGAGCGTCAATAACAGCGTTCGTCCAAGTCTAAACAAAGGATTCAATAGTAATTTTTTTCGCATTCAAACGATCTTTACCTTTTCGCAAAGGTCCGTCGAACCATTCCTGTAGTGCTTCTTCAGCTCAACCGACAGTTGCAAGGCGGTTGATCGTAAAAAGCTCGAACCCGCAAAGTCCCTTTCTAACCCGTCCCCGTCCTTCGTGATTGCTGGCAGAAAATCCCGGGCTCGTTCGATAAAAGTGCAGACTGCGCTTGGACTGTCAATTGAGGGTGCACCCCCCTTTTCCTTCCCCTTCTGCCTTTTAGGCAGTTTGCCAGAGTACATGGCATTCAACAGACACATCAAGTACTGGAGGGGTTCGTTCTTTTTGTCCAATGTTTCATCGTGCTCAGAATCATCGGGCTTGGTGAGATCCTCTGTTGTGCCGTCGTTGATGTTTCTGCCGTCAGCAATGTCCTTGGCGGTGAACTTTGGGCATAGCTTATCGAGAATTAAGCGATCTTCAGCATGAAGCTTACTCGCCTGCTTCTGAAGGGGTTGCTGTTGAAGGGGTTGCTGTTGAAGGGGCTGGACGGACTCGATGGTCCCCACCACATCCATGACCATTGGCAATGCTGGCACCACTGACTCGTTTATGGAGAGTGCAAGGCGCTCCAGATACAAGCCAATAGCCCTCTGACAAACCCGCTTGACATGAGACGACTGATGGGCAATATCTCGAAGGGCGATCTTGACCCTCGGAAGATAAACAGACGAGCCTTCTGGACCAAATTCCCTGTTCAGGCCTCTGGTTGCGTTGGCATTGACGGTGCCAATGTCAAGTGTTCGCATGGGGTGGTCCCTTGCCATGGCATTAACCAGATCCTTCTTGTCCATACCCTCCGCAGACGGCAGACGTTTCGGTGACTTAGGTTTCGATGAAGAGACGGCAGACTGCGGTTCCAACGGAGAATCAGGGGCCGACTTGTATGGTTTCCATTGGTTCTGTTTCATGGCTTCTGGTGGCTCATGCTTCACAACCTGAGAGCGGGTCTTGATAGCATATCGTTGGCGGTGCTTGTATCTTCTCCCTGATGAATGAGGAGGAGGAGGCCGCTGATCTGGCGGACGGTCCACGGTGGCGTACCGGTTAAATACATCCGTCTGTTGCACCAGTTGATCGGCAACGAGACTACAAAAGAATCACAGAAGAAAAACAAAGGTTAGAATACAATTCATTCATTTAATTACAGTTAAGTTATCGCCGTTGGAACAACTCCTTACCTTTTCTTGTTCTCGTTTAATCGCTGGCGAAGAACACGCAGCCTTTCAAGCAACGCTGCTAGATCGGAAGACTTTTGGATCGAGCAGTTGGTTGAGCTTGTATGGTCAGATGGCTGTGATGGTGTTGTAGCAACCGCGACCTTGAACTGCCGGCCAGCAAAAATCGCTTTTATGGTTTGCAACTCTGAGTCGATGTAAGTCTTGTTGGGTGAACGTCGAATGGGCCGCTGGAAAGTGGAAAATAATAAATGTGGTTCATGAGTGATCGCGATTTATTATGTTTCATTCGTTCGTTCGCTCGTTCGTTCATCCGTTACTTTTTACTAATGATAATTCGATCCATCTGTACTCACAATATTTTCTTCTTACTACTATAGCATGTTACTGAGAAAGTGGCTGACTTGGCTCAAGACAGATTGCGGCCTACAAGCTACCAAGTTCATGGATACTCATCGAGGCAGCTAGGAGATGCAGAGCAATCCAGTAAGTAAAGATAATTGGTTATTAAATGGATGAAGTTATTCTCACAGCCCTATGAAGTCTTATTCTCACAGGGTCCTAAAAATTTACATGGGCTTAGCATGAAGAAGGTGACATGGTCTTTGTGCAAAAACAGTTTCTCTACTTTTTTTTCTCAAACTGCTCGCAATCACTTCAAGACTCTCTGAAGCCATCCTAACTATTGTTGCCATGGCCTACCACCTTCATACTCCTGCTTTCTTCGACCAAATTTAACTTTTTTGACCATCTAATGGTCCTATAATTGACAAAGACTTTGATGCCAATATTTCATTGAACCAGAACCCCAATCATGTCCATTCTTATACCAATCGATGCACCTCTTTATGAGGCACAATAGGTATCTAAAGTGAAAGGGCTACTTCATATTGCGTTTTTGGACTTTACATTGATGGATGTGATATTACCCTGTGAGAATAAGGCCACACAGCCCTGTGAGAATATATTAATCCTTTTTTTTTTGATTTTCTAAGGTTTTATTTGTGGCTTGTTGCCGTATGGTTGAAGATGTAGACGTTTTGCGCTATGGCTTTCTTAATTTCTATGGAAATACAGTCAGAGATATCCTCCGATGACTGTGTGTGTTTGTGGAGGAAGAGGATGGTGTTTGCTGTGTTTATACCTATAAGGCAGCACGCCAGCAATTGTGGAGGGGTGATGTGTATTTGGGCTTAATGGAAAAGATGGGGGGTTTAAAGGAGAGCAAAGTATGGAGATCTTCATCGGACCATGTGGGCTTGTCCGTGTATTCTCGCAAAATGAACTGCCATGCTAGGTACTTGCCCTTGCATCCGAAGACATGGTGGTTCTTGTCCGCCTTTCTTTCCCTGCATCCCTGAGCGTCACAATGGGCGTCCTGTTTCCACCTGTGGGCCCGAAACGTGCCACATGGGATAATGTCACGCTTGTATCGCCACCAGAAAGTGCTGGCTCTATGTGGAATCTTGGTTTTCCAGAACTTGCGCCATTGGGACTTGGTGCCGGATTCAGGGTGCATCGTCGAGGGGGTCGGGGGAGGTTCGGGTTCGGGAGTCGGGGACAGGTACTGTCGGATCTGTCTGGTGGAGGCAGTCCCTAAAGTTACCTTTGTCTTGCCGTTGTCGAGGAGGATGAGTGAGCGTATTCTCTGAGCCAGGCGATCTCCGACGACTCCAGCATGCGGTGTCTGTATCGCGTCCAGGTATGCTTGTGACATCCGCCGAGTATTAGTTCCTGCAAGTTGTGTAATGAGTTCGTCTCTTATACACTTCGATTTCCGGGAGAGTCGGCGCTTGTATGCCACCTTGAACTTGTTATTCCCGTCTATCTCCAACTCGAACAGGTCTCCAATCCGTGCGGTGAGAGTGGTGTTGTCATTACCTATCGAAGGGAACCACCATTCCAGCGGGCTTTCCAGAAAAGTGGTCGAATCTGGAAGTCCTGCTTGCATGGTGGGTGTCTTGAGCGGGGGGAGTGTGCTGGCCGCTTTGACTAGCTGCAGAAGGTGGGGGAAATGTTTAAGTTGTTGGTGGAGTTGGTTCTCTTGGGGGTTCAGCATAAAGGATAGACGGTGGGTGGACTTCGTCTTCCATAGAATGAGATCCAGTACAATATCCTTCCCCCAGGATACTGACGTAGTTGTGGCGTTGCGAAGGTGCTTGATGAGGAAGGTCTGCTGCTGCTTGGCCGGATCAATAACTCCAAGACCGCCGTTGTGTCTAGGGGAGGTGATGACCTTCCATGATGCTGATGGTTTGAAGGGGCAAACAAATCGTGTGATGGCTTGTCTGACTTTGGATAGGAAGGAGGTGGGAAATGGGGTAACCCACGCGATGTGCCAAATGCGGGAGAGGATAAGGGCATTGACGATGGTAGCGCGTCCTAGGACTGAAAGGGAACGAGCTGAATGCATGTCGATCCCTGCCTTGATTTTGCCGAGTATTTTGTTCCAGAATGTTGTTGCCTGCTCTCTGCAAAAAAATATTGGAAAGCCAAGGTAGGTGAGTGCTTCCTTTGTTGTGCCGTCATGCCATTGTAGGTGGAGGGAGATGAGGTGTGCCTTGAGGGTCGAGTCTGAGTAGGTAGACATTGGAAAGGCAACCGTTTTGTTAAGGTTGACCCGTGCGTTTGAGGCGTTCCTATATAAACGTAGAGCCCCATCCAAAGTCTCCCATTCCTGTACTGAAGCGACGAGCGTCATAAGGTCGTCAGCGTAGGCTCCCAGTTTGACTGGCTCTGGGCGTTGTGGTATGTTGATTCCTTGAATGAGAGGTAAAGATTGGATATGGGCGAGTAGTGGTTCAAACGCTAGATTGAAGAGGAGGGGGGATAGCGGGTCGCCCTGGTGGAGGCCTCTGGACTGAGAGATCGGGTCCGAGATATAGCCGTTGATGTTGAGAGATATTTGAGTGGAAAAAAAAAGGGTCAAGATACTCCTGATGACTTGTTGGGGGAAGCCAAATCTCTCCATCGCCATCTCCAGGTAGTCTGGATGGACCCTATCATAGGCCTTCTCCTGGTCCAGTAGAACTCCAACATGCTTCAGCTTCCTGTTCCTGCAGTAGTCGCGGAGATTGTTAAGGACCATGCCATTGTCGGCAATATGCCGACCAGCCGTAAATCCTGTCTGGTGCTGGCCCGTTAAAGTGCGCATGTAAGGTTGGAGTGCAACATATTAGGTTTACTATTGCTCTCTAGTTAGTCATTCCTTGTCACCCTCTGTCACCTCTGACTTTGTATGACACTACACCTAGAAACCTAGTTGGCGACTTTGTATATATATTTAGTTGTATCATAGTAATAACATCAATCATCACTGCTTCAACTCTCGTCCCCGTTCTATACTTCTCTGTCCCAGTCTTCGCCTGTTGCATGGTAGCAAAGGTTACACCGATCCATCACCGCCCTCCCATTTTATCTTTATTTTTATTTTTATTTTTATTTTACCTCCCCCTCTCCACATTTTTTTTGTTGAGGGGAAAGGGAGTCTACACCTACATCCATCGGTGGAGTCCTCGCCCTTATCGCCCTTCGTTGCCGACTAAGAGCTGTTTCTCTAGAGTTAAGAAAGGTCCCTTGATCTTACTCATTAGCGCATTAGCGACCAGTATCTTAGCCTCCCAGCCTTGTCTCCCTCTTCCTCCATCCCTCGCCCTCGCCCCTTTCTTTATCGTCTCCCAACATGCCCCTCTTGGCTCTCGACATTCTTCATCGTCCTTAGTCTTTCCAGCTATTAGTCTCCTCTGCACTCAGTCTCCTCTGTTCCCAGTTTCCCTGTTCTCAGTTTCCCCTATCCCCAGTTTCCCCTGTTCTCAGTTTCCACTGTTCCCAGTTTCCCTGTTCTCAGTTTCCCCTGTTCCCAGTTTCCCTGTTCTCAGTTTCCCCTGTTCCCAGTTTCCCTGTTCTCAGTTTCCCCTGTTCCCAGTTTCCCTGTTCTCAGTTTCCCCTGTCCCCAGTTTCCCCTGTTCTCAGTTTCCCCTGTCCCCAGTTTCCCCTGTTCTCAGTTTCCCCTGTTCCCAGTTTCCCCTGTTCCCAGTTTCCCAGTCACAGCTTCCTCTGTTCTCAGTTTCCCTTATTCCATGCTCCCTTGTGCTCAGCCGTCCTCGTGCTCAACCGTCCCTTGTTTCAGTCTTCCTTGTACTCAGCCTTCCTCGTACTGAGCCTTCCATGCTCCCAGTCTTCTTAGCAATCAGTCTCCTGTTCTATATCCTGTCTTATATTCCAAGCCTCGTTTCGTCCGCCTCCTTGACATCGTTCGTGATATCTTCTCCACGGATGCGTCATTCCCAATCCCCTCGTTTGTCGGGTTGCCAACAGTTGATGCGCCCAGTCCAGCCCTCTCATCTGTTCGATTGCCTTCAGTCAACATATCTTATTCCATTTCCTTGTCCATGGTATCGCTGCCCATGGATATGTCAATACCTTCGTCCGTCACACTCCTTCCGTCCATTCAGCCAATCTGCCCTACGATGCCAACCGACCCCTGCCATCCCCTATGTCATCTCGACCACAAGAAGACAATTGATTCTGGCTCAAGTCCTCCATCCTTCGTCGAAATCACCAAAACCATCGTCAAGGATAGTGCGTCCATTGAATCCGGAACCGTCAACCCCAGTCCACTTCGATCGTATGTCCATGCTGCCCGCCGTCCGTAACAATCCCGATCCAAAAGTCATCCACCATGTGGTTGTCTGTCGTTGGTGCAGAGAGATGAACATGTTAAGTTGAGTGTTAATCTCTCGTTCCTAAAACAGCCACAAATTCGACGTCACGCGCAATGTCCCCTATGTGCACACAAACCGCGTTCCCTCTATGTGCACACATCCCTTACTCCCTCTATATACACGCGTGCGGGAAGACAGCCCGCTCACCAAAATTGTTCACATGCACATCCCTTTTCTTCGTTCATGCAAACTCTCTTTTCCTTCCTGTCGTTCTTAACCAATCCCGTTACACTTTCATTACAGCCGGCTCACCAAAATTGTTCACATGCACATCCCTTTTCTCCATTCATGCAAACTCTCTTTTCTTTCCTATCGTTCTTAACCAATCCCGTTACACTTTCCTTGATCACGCCATTCTCTCTTCCACCCCATGCAACAACACTCTCTGTTCCCTCCTCCCTCCTTCAGCAAGCACGCCATTCTCCCCCATGCACAAACTCCTTTTGTCCTCACAGTCAACCACACCATCATCCTTTCACCTCATGCACACACCCTTCCAGTTTCCTTCCAGTTCCATTCCAACATGACCTCAGTTCATCGACAGTTCGCCGTTGCTCGACATTCAAAAGCAACAAGCTGCCCATTCTCACTTCTCTTCTCTTTGTTCCCTACACCCTTCCATTCCCCTGCCTCCATTCCCCTGCCTCCATCTCATTCGCCTACCTTCGTTCACACCGCTATTCACACATTTGCTTCCCCATTCAAAAAAAAAAAAAAAAAAA